AAGAGACAATACATCAGAAAGTTGGAGATTCTTGAATGCCAAAAAATTGGATGAAGTTTCGCATTTGAAGAAGTCTTGCTACCGAAACATATTTCTATTTCTTCTGCTGTCTTACCCAATGACGTGCAAGAAAATTATCACTGTCATCCCACCCCTGCCAGAAGTCTGTGATGTGTGTGTTTCACCAAAGATGGCAGTGACTGCATTTCTCTTCTGAAAGCTGATTATTCCATTTCCTGCCTCAGCCCAGCAAATGGTTGTATCGGAAACTAGTAGCCGCGTGCGCAATATTTCCTTTTTTTTATCTTTCCTTTTTTATCTTTCCTCTACTGCTTCTTATTCCTCTTTACAAGTACCGTAAGTCTCGTCTCGATAATGAAATTTGTTTTGGTTTTAAAGTTTTCTTTGAAAACTATGAAGATAAATTTTGGTTCTGGGAGATAGTTGAGATGTATCGGAAACTGATCCTCATCTCAGGAATCCTTCTCTTTGACTCCAAAAGCCATTCTCAAATTGACTTTGCCGTAATTTCTGCAAGTGCATTAGTAATTTCTCACACCATGGTCAGACCCATAAAAGGCAAATTCGAGGATCGATTACAAGCCTTAATGCTTTGGATAATATTCTTCAATGTCTGCCTCGGTGCAATATATTTACAGCCCACCATTTTCCAGAATCCAATAGGAAACGAATCCATTTTTGTGTTTCTGAACAGCGCCGTGGTGTTAATTGTTGTGGGTAAGTTTTATTTGCTTACAATAAGCAATGACCAGTTTTGCTAATGCTGGGATCAGAATGAACGCTGGAATTGGCCAACCTAGTACCAGATCCTTGATGGCCAAGGTGATAATTGATCTCCGTGAGAATGTGTAAATGACCGTAAAGAAGGTTTGCAAAAATACCCTTTTTTAAAACATTAGTGAAGCTCTTCGAGTCTCTGTGACAAAAAGATCGAGGCCGCGCGAAACAGGATGGCATAGAAGCTGTAGCAACTTATTTCGGACTACTGCAAAAACCCACAAATTGGAAAAAGGTTTTCCTTACAATTCTGTACCTTTCGGGATGTTTACGGTCATTTTCACATTTCTACACTGATCAAAGTTTACCTCATGGAGAGAAAAAAGGTTGGCAAACATACAGCTTGCGACGCTTTGTTTGCTCTGCTTCTTTCGCATGACAACAACAAAGCCGCGCGAAACAACATGCCCCTTGAGGGACCTGGTACAGGGTTGTCTAATCCTAACATTTATTGGGACCTTGTATCAGCAAAGTCGCGTATTTTTAAACTGCACTGAATTTATATTGTATGACTCGGGCTTACGGCCGCTGAGCAAGCTGAGGACAAAGAGAGCCATCACTCTCCCCGATTGTACAATTTGGGAACAAGACCTCACTTTGAGGTTTTCCAAGACCGACCTCTTTGTCCACTATTAAGAATTTATTAAAAAGTTGAGCCATACAAAACTGGCGAGGGGCGTGTAAGCCAGGTAATCTGCGTTGTATTACATCTAAGTTGTCTCATTCCCTTCTTCAATTTTTACTTTCGTCATGACAACCTGTGAGCCACTGTTATTCAAATGTCTTAAAAAGCTTCCGGTATCATTCAATAACTATCTAACTGTTTGGCGCATTCGGAAAAAAGGAAAAACCTAAACATTATGGGATTTTATTGAGAAGATTCTGCATGATTTCGTGTCATATTTTTTTTCTTCAACAGTTAAAGGCCTCCTTTCCTTAAAGTCTAACTGGAGAAAGTTCTGCTCTTGCTTGGTGCGATGTTTCCGGAAGATGCGTGGCAGATGTCGCGATGGTCATAAGAGCGGACGGAGTGATTTGTCCCTAATACAACCACTGACAGAGGAACCATTAGTTTTCGATGAATAAAAAACTTAATTGTTTTGGCTTCATTAAGGTATTTTGGCGCGACAAAGAGAGTACACAGGGGTCTCTCATTTTGTTGCTTAGCTGTACCCCCAGCCAAAGTCTGCTGCTTTGCATAGCTACTACGCTGACAAAAAAAATTATCTATTTCTCTTCAATTGAATCTGTTGTTCGTCAAATGTTTTCGAAGTTTAGGTAACAAGGAAAAGTTAGTTGTATAACAGGTCTAAAGAAATATTTCACAATGCAAAATAGTGCACGAACAGTGTTAGGCTTTGCTTCTTTTCTCCGTGTATTTCATTATTTCTTTTTCATTAATAATTCTATCTCAGAAAGGTTGAGCAGGAATTTAAAATGTCGCTCTATAATTAGTGGACCTTCGTCTTGCATACCCCACCCATAAGGCCGGGAAGCTAAATATATTTAAACATTTGAAAGGCTTATTTACTAATCATTAATATTTTTATCTATAGTACATTGCAATTGGCCACATTTACTCCAACACTTAATTGACCCATCTTTTCTTGGGAAAATTGGTTTACAACACTAATTCACCCTCGGTACAAAACCACAAAGCCTGGTCTACATTGTAAAAAACGGATCGAGACGATAACTTCTCCCCAGTTTGCAATGATAAAGAAAGCGTCAGTATAGATGCGTCAATAGTTATTTTATTATTCCCAATTCCTCTTAAAGTAAATGCCCTATCTTGAACAATTGTGACAACAATAGCGGTAGATATTAATATTTAGAATACCATATGATTTACTAATACGATATGAGCTTGATCAAAATGTGATCTGGTGAAATTAAGTTAAAGCAAGTAATTTTTGGTACATTGAAAAGGAAGAAGGAAAATAAAAAAGTCTGCATGCGCGGAGTTTCCATGTACTCATGTCGCGTGAAAAAATGTCAGCCTAAGGAAACACGGGAGAAGTAGATTGGATTCTTTACGTTTAGGATCATCAAGAGAGGATAATTTTTTTTTTTGGGGGGGGGGAACACATTACTTTCAGGAGCACGGGGGATATTAGTTGTCACCAACAGAGTATAAAGGGGGGGGAAGGGGTCTGTAGAGAAGTGACTGCTAATGAGGGGGGATCATTTAAAAATGTTTCAGAGCCATATGGGGAGATCATGTAAATTTTATCGAGACACAGTCAAAACTCATGATTTAACATTAAACGGATCAAAATGTCTCTACACTGAGAAGTTTCAACAACCAATTTGTCCATCAACATAAAAAAATATATACCTTACAGGGCATGGCGCTCTATTAATAATTACAAGTCATTCTATAGTCTATCTTTTCATTTATGAGCGTGAAAAGAATCGGATCAGGCCAACAAAAACGATCGAGTCTTTTGAAGGCTTTCACGTCAGTTATCGTTGACTTTTTCATTCAGTGACAGAAAATGTCCTCTGTTAAATATCTGTCTGATGTAATGCCATCGGTTAGTTTGCCAAATACCTTTTGAGAGCGGTTTCACTCCAATTCGTTGGTATAAGAAGTAACATGTATTCTTATATTAACCCTTTAACTCCCAGATTAAATTTGTAATTCTCCTATCTGTCAACAATGCATTTATTATAATGTTAGTCCAGAGAATTTAGTATTGGATCAAATTATTATCCTCAAATTGGTATTTTTCTTATTCTCATCACTTACCTGGTTGACGTTGTATTGATATTGTAATGAGAAATTCTTTCCTGGTCGAGTTAAAGGGTTAAAGATGATGATAAAGGTGATAAAACAGCAAAAGGAAAAAAGAAAAATGTTATCAAAATTATGAACATCAAACATAAAGACTATAAAGAAGTATTATTTAATAACAAGCAAATGCATCATACAATGAAAACTATCCGAAGCAAAAATCATCAACTTGGAAGCTATGAGCTTAACAAAGTGTCATTATCTTGCTTCGACGACAAAGATACATATTGGGTGGTATGAATTCTTATGCTTGTTGTCATCACAGAATCTGAAAAGATGTGACGTTACAACAAGCTGTGGCAGTATAGCTAATAAGTCCAAGTTCCTGGTTAAGGTTTCGCCCTCAAAAGGGCCGTACAAGTAGTTTCGAACAATAAAATGCCCTGAAAAAACAGCAGCCACCAACAGTGGAGCACATGCAGCTATGACTAGCTAAGCTTTCTTTGTCGATCAATTTAATTTTCAATTTAACGATGGAACCGTAAAAAGAATGAAAAGGAAAAAAGCAATTGGGTTGATTAAGCTCTCAATTACTCATCTAATTTCTGATTGTTATTATTTCTAAACTACATGTAAAGTCTAAGTTTTTTTTTGTCTTGAAATCTGGCCAGTGAATTTTATGTTCTCTTCTTTAATCTTTTGGTTTTCTCAGTTCAAACATTATGAATGAGTCAAGTCCATCAATTTTTGTATCTCAGCTGTTAAATCATATTGGCTTTTGGTGCAAGTCAATGGCGGTAAACATGATGAGGAAAGGTTAAAAAGACGTTATACATTGTAACGCCAAAGCGGCCATTACTCTGCAATATGGTCTTCCTCCCCCAAGATTGGCTCCAGGACCTCATAATTTGGGTCTCTTTTGCGTCGACAGCCATGTATCAAATGGAGAAGACCCTTTCCTGAAAGGAAAAGAAAAGTCACATAGCGGATTAACTTTTCACACCGAAAAGTTACAGAAAAGCAAACTAAATTGTTGTAGACAGTAGTATTTTGTAGTAGTAATTTGAAGTAGTAGTACTACAAATATTGTATCAGGAAGTGTTCTTGATTTCCAGCGGTGGAAAAACGTGTAATCCTTCAGTGAAGGTCGGCAGAGATAACGGATAACAATAGTCAAAGTTTCCTAACATGTTCATACATTTGGCTCACTGCTAACCAAGTTTAACAACTTTGACTAGGTTTTTGTGACTTAATGTGTCAAACGGACCACTTTGTCTCCCAAAGACCGAATCAACTATTTCACTTAAGTATAGTGCAAGAAAGTATTAATGCATTACAGAGATATATACTTGTCGGTGTAAAGAGTTCATTTGCGAAAAAAAGTAATTAAACAACTCCGTCCAAACCCCTAAAGTCTTCTGCAATGCTGTTACAATATATTGATCGAAAAAAAGTTCTGATCAGATGACTTACCAACTGCCACAACCAACACGGCACAGTTGAGAATCAAAAACATCACATTTACAAATAACGAATTGTTATCTCCATGCCCCTCGTTCAAGGCGGGCCGTGAATAAACTGCACCAAGAAAGACATTAAAGAATATCACCCAAAGCACAAACGTTTGTAGTCGATCTTCAAACTTGTCTTTCATCGGTCGAAAGATGGTGTACACAATTCCTGATGCACTTGCGGCGATCACAGCAAAGCCAATTTGAGAATCGCTTTCGGAGTCGAACAGAAGAATGACTGAAATAAAGATCAGCTTCCGGTACATCTCAACTATCTCCCAGAACCAATACTTGTCCTTATAGTTCTCATAGAACACTTTCAAGCCAAAGTTAAACTGTTTGTGTTTTTGCGGGTATTTTCGACATTTCCAAAGGAGTGCCAGCAGCAGAATTGGGAAGGCGATGGGATACAGTGCAAACCCAGCAGCGATGTGCCAAAAGTCAGTGTGTCGAGAGGTAGAACAAGGAATGGAATAGTCGGCCTTCAGTAGAGAAATACAATCGTTGTCATCATTCAAGAAACACTTCTTGACACACGCTCCTGGCAGGGGCAGAATGTTTATAATCTTCTTACTTGTTATTGGATAAGACAACAGGAGAAATAAAAAGATGTTTCGATAGCAAGACTTCTTCAAGTTTGAGATTTTTTCCCGTTTGGATTCCCCCGTTGAGCTCGCCGAAGCACTCTCTAGCATGGAATTCTCAATTCCATACAAGGCATTTTCTGCTGTGGTATCCTCCATTCTTTCTAAGGTGTTTCTCGCTATAAAATTGGAATTGTTTTCTCCCGTGGAATTCTCCATCCTGTTAAGGAGAAGCATTTTAAAGAAGAGGTAAAGCAGTATTAAAGAGACAGCAAAGACGTTTATAGTAATAGCGAGGACAAATTGAATAAATGGGTCCAAGCGGAGCACAGGGTGAATGCAACTCAGAGGTGCGAACTGTAAAATATTTCCTTCAACAAATTTCAAGCATTTCGCCGCAGATAAAATAGCCATTGGCCACTGTACATGCAGCAAAGCTGAAAAAATACCAGCAAGAACTTGATAGAATCCAATAATGATCTTAATGCAGGACATTACGACATCTGCAACAAAACGATTGTCTCCTGCTCGTCTTGAGTCGCACTTGAAAACAATCACAAACAGCAGGACAAAGAACAAAAGTATCAGACCACAAGAAATGACTGTGACTACCAGCTTAGGACATTTTAAACATCTGTTGAATCTAAGATAATGGTACGAGGAACATGTTGCACAGAGGGTATCCTGGTAGCCAGTGTTGCACGTTGAGTTTATTCCGCCCTTACATGAGTCTGGATAAGGGCACTTCAGAGGCTTTGGCAACAGTCCTTCAAAAGTGGAGAAGGTTTTATTATATTCAGCTGTGGTAATTTGGATGTTTTGGACGAAACTTCTGTAAGATTCCATTTTTTCGGAGCTGTTCCATTTCCAAAAGTAATTTGGTGCTAATATTGCAGTATCATTCTCACAGTTCATTCCATGATATGGACACGATTTGCAAGGGCCAAAACGATCCAAGCGGTAGAATTTATGGAGGCATCGACATGCACGGTAACCAGCGATTTCATTAGTGTTAGTACCTGTTTACAAACACAGAAATGTTATGTAAATACAAAGTGATCAGGATTTTCCAACATGAAAACCCTTTACTTTCTTGAGAGATCTTTCAGAGACCAGTTGTTCAAAGGACGGATAACACTATCAAATGGCGTGGGATATTGATCAAATGAAGCCTTTAAGTGCTACTGTGGTTCTTTCTTTATTCACTCCGAGCTTTCGCCGTTCTACGGCATCATCACGGCATCTATCAAATGGGTAAATCGCTGTCCAATGGATAAGTGTGAGCAGAACGTACTGCGCTATCCACCGAATCGAGATTTATTCAGTCAAGAGCGCTATCCAGTCTTTGAACAACCAGAGCCAGATGGATAAACTTTCTGCTAAAGTACAACCACCAGTGCTCTCCACAACATTGTAAACCTATGGTTGCATGGGGAGTAATACACATCAGAGACAGAACACCAAATTTTACAGACAGCACCTGGTCAACAATTTACGGTTAGCGACGGGTAGTCGTTTTACCTCACCGCCTTCCGAAAATTAGCAGTACAGGTGTCGAAACAAATTGGTTTTCCTAGCTTGGCTCTACAATCAGTAATGACTATTAATCGCGAGAAAATGTTTGATAATTAGTTCATGTGTAAAATCATAATGAAAAGCAAGCACATCTTTCAAAGCATAAAATCATGGTCATCGGACAATAAGAACGAAAGTGAAATCACGCAATAGCTTCTTATTGAACCTGATCCTTACCGTATGGGCATGCGCGATAGTCATTAGGACTTTTTCCAGGATGCTACTCCTCATGAACATAGGTATACGTGCTGCAAATCTTGCATCCATATTGACCCATTCCTTCTTTATCGAGACGAGATGGGTCAATATGATAAAGGAAGAATTCTCGTTCTTGAGAAAAGAATTCCTTATTCTTGTAGCAAGAATTTCTGAAATCGAGATTCTTCTCAAGATATTCATACGTAATGCATTCTTACAAGAAGAATTCTCTTCTATTCAATATTATTGCCTCAATTTTTCAAAACTCAATTTCAATCATTATTTTCTCTTACCGTAAGGGCATGCACGACAGTCAGTCGCGGATTTTCCAGGGGAGTTAATTTCAGGAACATAAGTGCCAATGGAGCAGGTCTTACAGTCAATTTGGCCCATTTCGTCTTGGTAAAAGCCTCCTAAAAATAAAACATTTGGGAGCGATACTCTATCCATTGAGATCAGACACTCATTTTATGGTTTTTAGCTAAACGTAAATGTCTCCAAAAACAAATTGCAACATGTAAAGCATCATATTTACCTGCAGGGCACCTCAAGCAATGTGTATTCGTAGTATCACGGCTGCTGTAGGTGCCCGTCGAGCAAAGGCTACAATTAAGGCATCTGGGATAGACCTCCTTTCTGCATTTAGGACACATAAAGCCGGAGGCTAGAAGACCATCCCGCTGATAGCGGCGTTCTCGGTAAGAGACGATTACAAACAAAGATTCTGTTGGAGCACATACACTGATGAAAGAAATGCAAACAAAAACTTGTTAATAAAACCAAAAGGGTGAAAAGCCGGCGCAACAGTTCACTGTAATTCAAGGTTAAAGAGTTCCACAAAGCTTATATGTTAGGCAAATTAAATGGCCTGGATTCAGACCCACACCAAACCAGACCAAAAGATACTGAATATGACAAATCATTGATGAAAGTTCAAACATGATACATTATAGCACAATACAGCAGAGCACATCACAGCCAGATTTTACTGCAACTGATAAAGTAGATCAAACCGAAGATAATATACTTGAGCACCCTATATGTAAATGACCTCGAGGCAGCAAAGAATGACTGATCTGTAATGTTCTTTTCTTTGTTGATATACATTATCAAGTCAAGGTTAATCAATCGTTATTTTTAATCTGAGTTTTACAGCAAAACCCGAGCGATCCTGAATTACAACCAAAACTGCTCTACATGACCTTTTACTTACACTCTTGCCTCGTTTATCCCTCGAGGAAGCTCTTTGAGGGTTTTGCAGGAGAGAGCTCTAAAAAGAAGTTCAAACCTTTTAACTTTAAGATGAGGTTTGGGGTATGCTTAAGTAAATTGACAATTAGTAGGTTCAAATGAAGTGGCTCATTTGGTCAGAACCGTGCACGAAGATCAGGATCAGTCAAGAACAAAATTATTGTGCAGTTTGTTATTTATCACTGCATGGTTAAACATCTTCAAGTTAGTTGGCATCACCAGAGGTTTCGGTGATCTTAAAAAAACAAGATGTCTCTCTCGGAAGGTATAACCAACTTGAATTACAAATTGTCAAATATCTCAAATAATAATATTTATCCAAGCAACTACATTGAGGAACAGTGGGTATGCAATTGTATTAATGACTCAAAGTTCATACTTATTAAATGTAAAAAGGGCTTTGAAGAAATGTATCCTAGTTAGTAGATTGAGAACTATCTATACTTACAAAGTAACATTTTCAGTCAGTCCATTGAATACATTTCTTGGAAGTGACATTAAGGCGGGGTTTTCAAATAGCGTCCTAGAATTCAAGAAGTTAATTTGTTTATATGATTGGCTTCAGAATGAATTGCTTTAAAATGGCAATTTCCCTCACGCAGAGTACATTTGATGCCATCCCGTACTAAAAAAAGTGAAGGGGAAACTTGACATAAAACCATCAAGATTGTGATACTGATTTAGACAAACCAACTAAAAAATTGATCGACACTGAACTTTTTTTAAAATGCTAAATACTATAGAACTATGTACGAAGCTGAAAGAAAAGCATCTCAGTTTACTTCTATTCAATACAACTTACACCAAACGCAGATCAGTGAGGCCGCGAAAAGCATTCGCATCAATGTTTTTGATTCGGTTTCCATGTAAAAACCTACAGATAAAAATAAACAGAGAATCAAACTATCTCGTAAGTAATCACATATATTAATGATCTCCATGTGACACCTTAGAATTTGCAAATAATTCATAGATTTCAAGTTACTTACAAAAAGCTCAAAGACATTTCAGCAAAAGCCTTTTCAGGAAGATAAGCCAGACTGTTCTTGATAAGCATCCTTAAAAAAAAAACAAGACGGACGCTTCGAGGTTTCTGTTAAACCATTCTAACACACAGTCTCTCTCTCTCTCGGAGATTTGGAGTAAGGCCTCCAGTAATGTTCTGTATTAATTAGTTCTTCCGCGCTATTTTAGAGTAAACGTTTCTTTTTGCTGTGTCTGTATGTTTTGTTAGGTACAGTATCTTAAAATTAATTTCTAAACGTTTCATATAATACACAAAAAATTCAGTTTTCTTCGTGTCAACTTAAAGAGAAAAGATTACTTACAGCATCTTCAGATTTCTAAGCCCAGCAAAGGTAAGGCGGCTAATTTTTGAGATGTTGTTGAAGTTCAGAAATCTAATTAAAGGAAAATGATATTGATGTTCATAGTAAACCTTTTTTATTTTGTGTTCTAACTGTTTCAAAACAAAAAACAAAGGAGAAGAAAAGGCAGATTTGATCTCAATATAAAGAGTTTTCAAATAATATTTCTCTAATTAGCATGTTACCTCGTAATTTTTGATGACAGCAGGTTGCATGGAGTAAGACGTTTTTCGTCTTGTCACGAGCCTGGGACAAAGAAAAATTCTGAGTCCCCATGAGGAATCGAATCTCATGGGGACCCAGAATTTTTTCTTTGTCCCAGTCTCATGACAACTGAAGACGTAAAACATCTTTCTCTATTTCTTTACCGAGCTTAAAACTTACCATCTCTCTTATTCTATTTACAAACAGATTACATGTTTGAAAATAAATTTTCTCTTACAATACTTTCAATTGCTTGAGGCCAGAAAACGCACCATCTGGTATGGACGAGAGCTTATTGTTGAAAGACAAATCTCTGTATAAGTAAGTATAGCAGATATTAGGCAATCAATCGCAAACAAAGCCGTAGATGAGTGAAGTATGAAATCAGTAAGTCACAGTATCCAATCAAACACAACTTACAAAGCGTACAGTACGTTCACATTCTGGAACGCCTCGGCTGGTAGCTGCTCGATCTGATTTTCCCTCAGAGACCTAGAGAGACAATGCGCATATAGGTAAATGTGAATGCACTCAAGCCTTCCCAGCCTGCCATACGTACTGACGAAAAAGTCTATTGAGGAATTCGAAAAACCCCTAAAAATAGGAATCAATTTGCAAGGGGAATTCTCTTTTTAAAATGCATATTGCTTACATTTCCCTCACACAGTTGATTCTTGACGTTGCAAGGCTTGATATGTTGCTTATTCGATTATTTCCCAAGTGCCTGGAAAAAGTTAAAAGAAGTGAAATTACCAGAAATTAAATAAACAAATGAATGAATTCAAAACGTTCAGTTTCATTAATAAAAAATCCCAAATGTAGCTCACTCAATTACAACTGCATGATACGACACTAATAACGTTATCACCAAAACGTTTGTTTTGTGATTGGACAGAGGAATCGAGAGAAGGAATTCTCCAATGTTGCTATAGTTTTTAACTCGTTGAAAACTTTGCATGTAATAGAAAATTTGCGATACAAAGTATGTATTAACCCTTACTCCCAGAAGTGATTTAAATGTAACTTCTCCCTAAAATATCCATACATTATCTAACAAACAGGTAATAAGAATACACAAATTAATCAGGCAGATGTTATCTCGTTCTAACACCATATTCTCATAACTAATTAACAAGGCAATGTGTAGTAGCAAGAGGGGAGAATTAACAATCAGATCTTGGAAATTTAAGGTTAAATCCTGCGTTATGATGCATACTTAAACTTGAGGTAATTTTTTTTTCTTTCGTGTTTTCTCCTCTTGAGTTGACTCATGCTGACTAAATTCTTTTACAACTTAGATGAGAAAAAAAATTGATATGAAACATTTTCCTGACGAAACATCCTTTTTTTACATTTTGTGGCTTTTTATCACCTGCAAAAGATATGTATTGCTCCACGGAATCGTGTGCGCCAATTTCCACTAAATTCTCAGGATACAGTGTATATCGTATGTGTCCAAAATGCGAGCAAATAGTCGGTAGGAGTTTGAAGCGTTAAAGGTTAAATCCTCCTGAAGAAATCGAAATTAGCAAGGAAATTGAAAAGAAATTATTTTACAATTGGCTTTGAATAGTTGATGGAAAACCAAAAAGTAAAATTGCAGTTTACGTTAAGCAAATTTAGTTATAATTTTTGGCGTAGAAAATGGCTCAGTGTTTACAAGATTACACTTCAAGCCATTTGAAAGATTTTCGATAAAGTGAAGCAAGATTAAATAACAACACGAGAAGTAACCCACTATTTGAGTAATAGAAACTTACATTAACTCCACCGTCTTAAGGCCAGTCAAGTCGGGCACAGATGTTAAGTTGTTGTCGTCTAACCGCCTGGGGTATTTAAAAATAAGAATAAAAAGTCGTTAACTGACACTGATTACCTTACCCAGTATAGTCATGCACATCTAGCGAAGGCCTCTCCAAGTGGACGCGTTTTGTGCCACGGGGCACGAAATAGAAAGGTAACAGGGAACATGTACACGTAATTGTTACAAAAAAAAGCTAAAAAGCTGGATAGGAATCGGCACTGTTTAATGAAATTATTAAGGAACCAGGAGGTTAGTGCAGCAAGTACATATTCGTGTGATAGTTTTCGTTCATGAGGGATTGTTTTTTGTTAAGAAAGATAAAAACAAGAGCAATTCTTAAAGCAAGAAAACTGCCAACTTCTACTTACAACATAAAGACAGGACTTACAAGTCAACGAGTTTGCTTAAAGAGTTGAATGCTCCATCAGCAATTTTTGTCAAATTTGCCAATCGAATATATCTGCAGTAAAGAATAACAAACTATCATAAAAGAGGTTATTGCTTATCGTGGTGGTAAGTAAAGATAAACTGTTTAATCGTTTGTATCACGATGTAGTCACTCGAGGTGTAGATGGCGATCTGCATCTCAAGTGAATTAGAATTACAAAAATTTAAGTTTCTTTAGAAACAGGCCTACAACAAGTCGAAAAGCTGCCTACCCCCCTGGTTTTCGATGATGACGTCGTCGACGAAGGCGTAGATGACGTTAAAATCAGAAAGGAGTTTAAAAGTTTGACGGGATCATCATTATTGTGTGAAATGTTCAGCTGTCAGGATTTGCTGATTGTTATCACCAGCGATCTCACGCCAAGAAAACACGCGTGGTAAACGAGGAAAGACTGAATTAGAAACTGAAATAACAAAGGTTTTAAAGAACAAAAACTGTAGCAGTACTAATTGGGGCAAAGTGGAAACCTTGAAAAGGTGCCAAAATTATTGAGATAAATCTTACATGAATCTTATTAACATGTTAAAATTACGGTTCTTACAAATACAGGATCCTGTCAAAACCAGCGAAAATGTCTGCAGTTAAGTTAGGTCCAAGGGGGTTATCTGAAATGTCTCTGCGAGGATTTAATAATGTGTAAAGAATAGCAATTAGCCTTAAAATAAGTCTTTCATCATGTTTAAATATTGGACTCAAGTGAAGCTAGATGATATTAATCATATGAACGTCTGAACTACCTACCTTCCAAAGATTAGTGACCAGTATAAGGTAAAGAACAATTTATCTCCTAATTACATATGTAGCCTTTTTCAAATTCCACAACTTAGGTACACACTGCGTAATAATGATTTTGGTATACCTAGATTTAATACTGTCACTTTTGGAAAACATTCGCTTAGATATATGGGACCCAAAATATGGGCAATTGTACCAAGAAATGTAAGAGAACTGACATCCATATCATCTTTTAAATGTAACATACGTAGAATAGACCTTGTTTCTAAATTGACTGATAGTAAATGTGAAAACTGCCTTTTATGTAAGACTTAGGTTAGATTTTAAATTGTACATATATATTGTTTTATTTTTAAATTTCTCAAATTTTTAGGTAGTATTTAGTGTCCCCAGTTAGTGGTTGTATAACTGCTATTTTAGATTTGACACATAAATAAAGGTTGTATGTATGTATGTATGTAGAGAAGAGCGTACGTAAGAGACGTAAGCCTGGTTCTCACTAGGCGACGCAAGCGCAAGTGCAAACTTGAAAGCTCGTATGATGGCTTTGATGAAAGCAAAAGTGCAAAGCACAAGACAAAGGAAAAAATCTGATCTCTTGCTTCCACTTGTGTTTATGCTAGCGTCGAGGTAATTTTCAAGGTGAAAAAAGAGTTGTTATGCTTGCCTAACGTTTGTGCTTGCACTTGAGCTTATGCTGTAGGAAAACCAGGCTTTAGAGAAGAGAGTACTGAGTGATAACTTTGTGGTAGCCCCCTTGTAATTCTTCAGGTTTCTCCAACGCCTAGCCGATATCCCTACATACTTTCAATTAATCGAGTGCTTGCACTCGGACCTGGACTCCACAACAATAACTAACGCAGTGAAAAGTAAGACTCTTCTCATGCTTCATAAAATGAGTATATTTTCCATAAAAGATGCACACACTTACAGGAAAGTGATATTCTTAGAATTTTGCAAAATCTCTTTCATGTCGTCCAACGTTAGGTCGTTGTTAGACATCTGTCTGTAAACAAATAAAGGGATGAAGGTTTATTTTCATAAAAGGGTTCGGAAATCTCTTATCGAGGTCGACAGAAGTAGTTTTTGCTTTACATCTTGATCAATTTAACGAAAACGAGAGAAAACGCACATGCATCGATTTTGACATCAATTGATCGTGTCAACGCATTCTCGTGAGCCATCAGACTCAGAATGTTGTGTAATGCGTGGTAGAGGCTTAACTCTTAATTTGAATTTTCAGGCGGGCTTGAAAAATCTTACGTGCTTCCTTTAGAATAAGGATAAAAATTAAGCAAATTTGATGCAAAGTAAATCTTAAAATCCTATTTTCGAGTTACATAAAGGAGACGTATGCTGATACTTTTTATCCTCGCTGTTACAACTTTCCCCGACTGAGATTCCAAAGCTGAGAGTGGCCTAAAAATTCGCAAATTTTCTTCCTCTTTGGATTCCTGACCACCATTTTGAAAAGAGTCTGAAAAACAACTCAGCAAATTGGACATACACGAAAATCCTTAACAAGCCACTGCGCTTTTTACAGCAAAGTCTTCAGGTCTGAGTCCAGAGGATGGTAAAAAAGAGAACTAGAATTGCTTTTTACGTCATCGATAAATTGCCAGGTTTGCTGGGAATGATTCAATATAACAGCGAACATAACCGAGTTTTTGGCGCATTTTAAGACAGTTTCGGAGAGGATAGGTCACTCAAAACGCGGTATTCATGAGTCATTATGTCATATGTATTTTTTATTGGTGGAGATGAAATTTGTATGGATTGTTGAGCATACTTCTGATTTGTAGCTTAGAATAAAAAAACCTTGAAAAACTAGAACTTACAGTCTTACTACGCTTTTAGGAAGGAAAAATCCACCTTTGATGTTGTTCTGGTAGATATTTCTAAGATCAAACGAAAAATAACAAGAATAAGCATTATATTAGAGAATCTATTCCAAATATGAATGAACAGGAAGTGTTATTTGAACCCAAGGCGCCTCGTTAAGGTTATCAAAAGTGACTAGCGTTAGGTCAGAATGAAATTAAGGGTTTTTTTAAGGGGAAAATGTATAATTGGATGCTGATTCTTCTTCAGTAGCATAGGAACAAAATCTTGCCGCTTGAAATTTTATCTCTTTACCCTTTATGAAAAATCATGCAAGTACTCACACGTTTGACAAAGCCGTCAGATTCCGGAAAGTGTTCTTCGGAATTGCCCTTAACATGTTTCGCGATAGATCTCTGAGAGGATAAGAAAAAGAATGACAATCAAAAAGATCAAAAACAAATTAATGCAGCTAAACGCTTGAACCTCCTGTAATGGTTTACACGCTTGTGAAGGAGATCTATGATAATGATAACAATAATAGTAATAATGATAACGATTAAGTGTCTGAAAATATTCGTAATGCGTGAAAGTCTCAAGCATGATTAGACACACAGCAAGTGTCTAAGCGACAAATTCAGTTGAAGCACAAAAGAAGACAAGTGAACTTATCCTTAGAAGTGTCTGCTGAGAGAAATGACCCCAAGAGCATTGAATAATAAAATTGCTGAACCAGTTGAAAGGAAAAAAATAAAGGACATGGAATAAACGGTGCAGAACTACATAAATGTAATGCATCCAGCCTAGATCCGGATCGCTTGCAAGCAAATAGGAATAAGTCTGACGACTATGATAAAAGTAACAACGTGAACATCAACTCACATTTCTGCAAGTGATTTCAGATTTGAGAAGGCTTCCTCCGGTATAGATTTCAAACGGTTGTTTGAAAGATCCCTAGACAACGAAATATTTTAAAGAATATAACTTCAGTAGAGAACCATAAGGAAATAATTATTTACACGAGTATCTGATTGTAAGTATTGGTCACAGGAATAAAAATACTACATGGGGAAGTACTGGGTAAGATTTAATGCGTAAGTGCCGCAAAATTGTTGATTATGATACGATGCTAACGTCGATGCTGGAATAGCTTAGACCAGGCTCTTGCTAGGAAGAGAATAACAATCAGGCAAGAAAAAGACCACATCTGTAAAAGGAAGTCAGTTATATCCATTCAACACATTTTCTCTCTCTCTCCCCCTCCCCTCTACCCCCCCCCCCCCCCCTCCCCCTCCCCCCCCCCTCTCAACTCTTGCATTGAAGAAGAGTAATCGTGCAGGGCCGCCATTTTGAAGTAGGTCTATAAATCACTTTCACAGTAAGAGAATAACGTTGTACTTACAGAGACACCGTATATTCAGGCAAGTTACTGGGTACTTGTGTTATACCAGTGCACTTGACACGAACTCGTACTCGATCAAAGTGATGGCAGGTACAATTCCCTGGGTGAACATCCTTCAAACAACTGAATCCTGAGGCTACGCACGATGACAAAATTGCCATCAGCGTAAGACGTGTCCATAACTGAACTGAAGATTCCTTGTACATCTGCAGAATGACGTTGACGTCATGTTAAATTTCTTTACTAAAAAATTGTAAATCATCTGTTCATTCTGATGCTCCAAATTGGCGAAATGATTGAGCTCTGTAAATCATCAGCAGGTTCTAATTCTCCAGCAATAAAAGACGGTGAGAAATGCCTCGTGTTTGAAAATAATACTTCCAACAATGTGCTTTTGGAGCTAAAGTAGGCTAAGTTACTTTACGTTGCAGTTTATCAGTACCTTCTGCGAAAATAAGTTGTGCCGCTTGGTAAACAATGACGTTTTTCTTAACCTACTTTTGTACCACTTTAGTTAACGCGGATACCTACGACATTAAAAGCATAGAAGCAAACTTGATTACTACGTAGATTAATGTCAATAATGCCTTAGCCACGAAAATAATTGAACTTACATCAGAGATCGGCCCGCCGAACAAAAACTGCGCCACCTTTGTCGGTTGCTTTAATGACTATGTTTTTGCGTTTTTTTTGGACTTTTTTAGTGCCGACCACTCTTCCGAAGAAAGATTGGAAAATTTGGTGTTACGATTGAATTTAACTGTAACCAGGATATGACATAGTGAAAAAGGTAAAAAAACGTTCTCTGGTTAAAAAGGTTTTAAAAAATATGAGCTTTCGGCTATTATAGGATAATAGGATAATTGTAGGAGAAACTGGCAGATGGTTTAAAACCCGAAGAAAGGAACATCAACGAAATCTTAAAAACTATACGAGTGGCTCGAACATTGCCAACCATGTGTGGGAAAACAATCACGCGATTGACTTTGAGGGCGCTACCGTGATAGACAAAGGTAATTACCACGTGCGAAAAAACACTAGAATCTTGGCATACCGCAAAAACTGTCGGCGCAGACAATAACTCTAAACCGTTACCAAGACAATATTCTATCTTATTGTAATTTGATTTTGTTCTATTGTCCATTTTTAGCTTTTCACACTTCTATTGTATTTTTTAGTTTTTAATTTTTTCACACCCTCCCCTGTATATATTTCCATTCACGCGCTTATATTTTTTACATTCGTTAAAGGCTATAGTATAATAGCCGAAAGCTCATATTTTTTTAAAACCTTTTTAACCAGAGAACGTTTTTTTTACCTTTTTCACGATTGAATTTAAGTTTGCGAACTGGCCCCCCAGGGGAGTCCATTTAAACTCTCTTACCTGAAGTGTTTCGAAAGTATCTTCGTTCGAGATGTTAGAATCATCCTCTTTGTCAACTGTCAATTCTTCTTTCAACTGAACGCGGCGAAGGAATTTTCCAACGTCTTGCTTAACTAAAAATTCGTCGGTTTTTTTTTGGGTATCGGAACAAAATTTAAACCCTTACTGAGAACTGATTTTTCTGAATCGGAAAGTAGTAAATTTTCTGGTATGGTAACTACAGTTTTAAGGTTTTCAGGCCATGAGTCGCTTGTAATTTGAGGGCCGATAGGTTGGTCGAGTTTTTGGGTCTTAATTTGGTACAAATGGTTAAAAAGTTTCGAATTGGCATCCTGAATTTTGGCACAGATTTTGGAAAGTTCAGAGCGGCAATATAGAATTTGTTCGCTGAGTTTGTTACGTTTTTGACTCAGCTCTGATTGTGATTCTCATAATATTACGTGAAAAAAAATTTTGGGCGCACTGAATTTGGTGACGATATTGATTAGAGTTTTTTGGAGAAAGTGTTTGTGGGACAGGTAATTTATTGTTAACAACTGAGTTGAAAACGTAAATTGGTAAAGGGTAAAAACACTGACGTTTCGAGCGTTAGCCCTTCGTTAGAGCGATTGGAGGAATTGTGGGTTGTGTATGTTGATATGCAGAAAGTGGAGCTACGCTATTGGTGGGAATATGGTGACGAGAAAACAGTAACGTAAAGGTCTTTTAAAAAAACATTCGCGAACATTCCGATAAGTGCGTGGTAGATGACAATCGAAACTCACCACATAAACAACGAAGTCTGAGAAACTGTGAAAAAGGTATGGAATTCTTGACGTGTGATGGATGTGAAGATATACAACAAGTAACTATGTGAATCTGTCGGTTTGTAGTAAACACTAATGCATAAACCGTTGCCTTCAATCCTCGCGTTTTTTTAGACTTTTTAGTGCAGTCCACTCTTCCGAAGAAAGATTCCCTTGGTGTTACGATTGAATTAAGTTTGTTGATATCGTGGCGACGTTTTTTGATGAAAAAATCTAAAGATCCGAACTGGCCCTCTGAGGGAGTCCAGTCGAATCTGAAGTGTTTCGAAAGTATCTTTGTTCGAGATGTAAGAATAATATGTTTGTGGGACACTGCGCTCGCGAACCGTTTTTTTTGTTTTTTATCTGTTGCGTTCCTTGCTTTGTAGTTAAGAAGTTAAAAGTAAAACTTTCGGAATTAAAGTTATTGTTCGTTTTTGGATGTTAAACAAAAGGAAATTGTCTCAAATGTCATCAAAGAGCGTTCCGATTTCTATAGCGGTCTTACATTTCCGGGTGAAATCCAACAAGAACTTAAACAATAGCATGATATACGAATACTTAACGACCCACGAAACATAGGTGACGTGAAGTTGTAATGAAAAGGATCAGCTAAAAGGCATTTTCCCTTTGATTGAAACTACTGATTTTTGCCCTTGTTGAGTTAAGCCTTCCGTTAAGACAGCTAAGGAAGAAAAAAGGTAAAGAAAAAAGTCAAAGAAAACAAAAGCATCAGCTTCAGGGGTTTTTACCCCTAATTGATTCTAGAACATAACGAAAACAAGGTACGGGTTTTTCTCCTGACAATGGATAAAAACCGTGGGTGATTTCATTTGTAATATAATATATCCTCCACTTTCTAATAATCAACAACTGTTCCTTCCTCGCATCTCGAGCGAGTTGCTCCTTAGTGGGTGAGTGTGTTGTTCTCGCGTTTTCTGTAATTAATAAGTGTGCATGTAAGTTTGTTTTGGATGATCAGCGTTACATTAATCACACAAGGCAATCTCTTCTATCCTTGATACCCTACGACTTTATCTTTCTAGTACTTTTCGACGGTAAGCAATCTGGAAAACGGGACTTAACAATTGGTTAGGACGCTGGACTTGTAAATATGGTTCCTCCTGCTACTCTCTGGATTTGTTCTCGGTCGCTCCCAGTTTAAAACCTCGCGCTGTATAAATAGCCAGCTGGTCTGCCTCTTGTTAGTTGGGATTTTCTAGCACTTTACCTTTATTTGAAACATAAATTGTTCATCATTTATTTAAAGAGACATGCTTTCTTAGATCTTCTGAAGCAAAACTTAACACTTCAACTTAGAAGCGTAACGGTCTGCTAAACAAACATTTGCCGCATAAAGCGTGATTGGTTGGCTGATTCCTTTACATCTTTACATGTCAACCGGTTACAACTGCTTCCTCTTCACAGTGCATGTCACCACTGACTGCCTTTCGCAATGAAACTTCATGTACTTCGATAGCCGAAAGATAACATTTTTATAACAGTCTAATAACAGCCATTCTTTTACAACGTTTGCTTCATATCAATTTAATGACAATTACCACACGTCCATTATTTTTGGTAAAAATTCACCGTTCTTTGATTAATGCCTCATGTGCATTCTTTGAAAAATCTACAATATCTGTAACGAGTACGACCTAAGACTTTCAAGCACAAATATGATTTTTTGTAATCAAAGGCGCCTGCAGTAAAGAAGTAGTTGTCGAGACCACTGCGTTAGTTTTCACCTCTGATCTCCTTTGAAGCCGTCATATGGTGTCACGCAGCACTCCCTCATGAGAGTTCTCTTGGGCGAGTATTGCATGACATCCGAGAGTGTTTGGGGTGAGAATATTTTCAAGTCTTCATGATGTATTCAAACGTTTGATCCTCTTACTCAACAGAGTCTGTGAATAATGGCTACAAACGTTCATTATCAAGCTGGGATCTTCCTCTTTTGCTGCGTGATGCTGTCCGCTGGCTTACAAGTGGAAGTAAAAAGGTTGAAATATTGCGGTAAAACATTTCTCCCTTACTTAATGAATTATTAGCTAATTTTTGACGGTATTCCTATTTTGTCTTGTGTAAAATATTATCAATTGATAGGGCATAATTTAGGGTGTCAACTTTTTTTGTCCCTTTGAAGTCCAGGATAAGTCCAGAAAGAAACTGGGTGCTGTTTGAAGACTATAGGGGCCAGGGGATGGTTGTCTTTATGGGCGTAGAGCTGTAGATAGCCCAGCATGGCGTGCATTGAATGCCATCGTTGTATTCCAGGTCCTCCGGATAAAACCTTAAAGTACAAGGTTTCTCCATGGCCCGTGATAACAGCTGCTGATTCCGTCAAAGTCACGGCTACGTTCACCCCTGGTAAGTCGTTGTGTTACTTTTTAAAAGAGCTCACTTAATCAACGCGAGTTGGAGAATAGTTGTCAGACATTCCAGTTTGGCGGTAAAAACGTTTCAATGTCGGTGGTCAAACCTAACTTCAAATATTTTAGTGGAGAGAAGGCAATAAGAACGGAGTCGTTTTATTGTATTGTGACTGGACATGAGAGGATAAAATTCTCTTTGGCTAGACCAAGGAAGTAGTCAAGATAATCGATACTCTCCTTTATAGCGTGATCCCATCGCTTTCTAATCTTCTCAGTTTTAGGTTTGTCTTAAACACGAACAATTTCAAAGAGTTTCTCATAAAATCTTTTCTATATTTCTCCTTACAGCGAGAGACATTTTCTCTTTGTCTTTCTTTGTCAACATCACGAAAGATGGAAAAACTATCATCGAGCGGAATAAGGAGTTGAATTGCAATTACGTGCCATACCACTGCTATTTCTCAGCAGACGGTGAGTATTCATCAGGAATACTTAATCAAGATACAATTTCCTTGAATTCATTGAAGGAGTAGTTTACACCTATTCTGCATAAAATATTTCCTGATATTTTTCGTCGCACGATTCAGGAGAAAAATATTCTTTTATTCTCCGAGACACTCAGTTACTCCCTCGAGGTTTTCAGCTTTGGTAAACAGCAGAACTTATTACAGAGAAGTTCTTCATATTATGTATTTTGTATTACAGTTGTTATAAGTACGAAACTTATCAAATGTTAAATCTCACAAAGATAAGCAAAGATGAAGAAAATAAAACTTGTATCCATTATAAACAAGAGAAAGTGTCTGGCGAAATTACTCTTTTTATCTGCACTTTTAGTTGGTTACTTTTCTTATGTATTTTACTAGCCAAAACGAAGGAATGCGTTTTTGCGCGACATAACTGTCTCACCTCTCATTTCCTCCAAGAGACCTACACCTTGACCAGAACACTACGCCTTAACGTAACCAAGGTTCCCTCCACCTTTAAGGTATAGTACTTAATAGTTTTTTTCCATACATATTAGCTCCAGAGAAGAGAAACATTCTATTTGCTAAACGTTTTTAACACATACTGTACTGGCATCTCGATGGCTAACCCATGATGCGCTTATCGTGAAATTATTGGAGTCTAAACCATGCATCCACCACATCTTCTCTTGTTCTGCTGTTTGTTTGTTTTTATAATTTGATATATCGACAATCAATTCATTGCCTTTTTTCGAAAATAGGGGAAACTTGGAGGCACATTCATGCTGTTCAATCAGGAGCAGTTCTGCGTTTTCTGCGCCCAGGCGGTAGTGGTCGTGTCATGAGCTAATCACTGCTGACTCAATGGACCAAGGCATCCACTAGTTATTGAACTTGAGGCTGAACTTAACTTCTTTTCAATATCGACATTTAGTTTTAATTTCGTGTGGATATATTTAGAAGAGATACAATAGTAACTCCAAGTTTAAGACGCGACGCATCTGTTGTTGTAAACGTAGTTCTAGAAACTTTGTCGTTCAACTGTTCTTTGTTTTTGTTTTCTTTTTAATCCTTCTGTTGCTTTTTGTCGAACGCGTTTTTAAGGAATCGATTTGATTGGTTCTACAGCAGTGTACTTATTTTGTTTACATTTTCTGGAAAAAAGGAATTTTCAGTGAGGCCTCTTTTCTTATCATTTTGTCTACGCGTTATGACTCTCTTAGGCCACTGCATTTATGCGTGTTTTTTATTATTTTTTTTAAAGTTGAACCTATTTTTCAAATTTTTTTAGTAGTTATGCGTGGAAAACTAAGGCCCATCCGTGATATCCCTTAAGTATGTTGGTGAAGCGGAAGGTTTTATAGCCTGTGGCTTGCGTTTTCAAGGGGCATCTGTCAGTCCTACACGTATACAAATAGAAATTGATGTGTAACTTTTGTATTTTGCTGAAATAAAGTGTTTGCGTAAATAGGAGTGCGTAGTCACTGCTTAGGTAGAAACCGCCTCACCTGACGGGGTACAGGATGTTGAAGTCTTGCGATGTAATATGCTTTAAACCAAATATATGCCTATGTAGATGGCGTCTCGAGCAAAGCATTAAATGGGCAATTAACAAATCCTGGTTTTTCCCTCCGTAAACGAACGGTATATTTTCCAGAAAGGACTGGCTTTTAGGACTGCTGATCGAGTTTCGTGATTGAGCGATACATTCCCTAACGTAAAAATGAACTAGAAGCATATTGCAAGGAGATTATGATAGGTGAGTGTCCTGTGGACCCGCACATTGATAAGTGAGTGTCCTGTGGATCGCACATAACGTTTAGGCTAAGCTCCGCACCCGAAAGCTCACTTATCTGGTGTTAAGTATAGTAGGCTGAAAATGAAATGAGGATGGAACGAAAAAACAGCATAAGAGACAGCGCTGTCGGGTCACCTGATCATTATAATCTAAAGAACAGTAAACACTCGGGCTGTTGGTCTCCTTTTATGAATTGATTATCTTGAAATATGGCCGAAGGTCTGCTATTTTTTTTCGAAACAGTTATTACTTGAGTTTCTCGGAAAAAGAAAAGAAAAAAAGTGAATCATTAACAAGTGATACGTTATCGGAAGAAATACTTTACTACAATATACTTTTGTTTTGATGTTTTCCAACATCAAAACATTGGAAGCTTTCTTCTCCTTCTCATTTCCACCAGCAGGAAAGTTTCATAATTTTGAGTGATAATCGCAAATATGGTCTTCCCTTCCTCTGAAAAACAACTCGCCGTCCAATTCTGACATAAATTCGTATCCCCGAGGAGGCATCAATCGACATCAAGAACATCTACCGCTGTTAGAAACAAGCACAAGTTGGAAGCAGAACACAATAGGACCTCAAGAGGGACGGATGATCAATTCGTAGGAAAAACATACGAAGTTGATAGAATTAGAATTATGATTTGGTAAATTTCTATTCCATTTGTAATATAAAGGGAGAGGTTATTCGTTTGAACGCGAGCGTGAGACGAAGAGAAAATTCTATGCGGAATCGAACCTCGTCCAACCAAAAGCGGAGACAATAAGGGGCTTTGAAAAGATAAACGCAGTTTGTTCAAAAGCTACGGGAAGCTAGAGATTTAACTGAAGCAAAAACACCGTGACCAATACGCTGTTTCGGTCACTGTTTCACAATTTTAAAAAAATCAAATTGTAATGATTATTTTTATTGATGATCACGATAGACTTTTGTAATAATAGTAGGGGAGTAAAAGAGCCCTACATGTGGAATACCAGGAGTTAAAATCATCATGAAAAATTTCTACTATTCTCTAATCGCTTCATGTTTTATTACTTTTTTGACATGGTGCAATCAGATTTACCTCAGAACTACTCTGCCATATGATAAACGAGCATTTTTTTTAAAAGGAGGCCATTATCCTGCTGCGCGCGTTACAAAACGTGTACAAATACTAATAGCTCAACGACGAAGACTCAGTACTACGGCGAGGAATACCAGACAACGTTATTGCAATTAGGTGTAAATCAAGGGGTGAAATTGAGCAGGACATTTCTATCCCAAAAACAACTGCATCCGATACAGTTAATTTTGGAATAGCGTTGTACTCCTTTCTACCTGAGCAAAGAAATTTCGAAAGTCTCCCTTACGAGTTATGTGAGAACGGGAACAGCGGGTATATACGCCATGGCTGAATGCCAACAGCAATGAGACCTGGAAACCTCAAAACTCGTTACCAGTCCTTCCAGAGCCTTAGGTCAACAAAAATGGCGAGATGACGTTCGTGGAAGTGTTGAAAGTGGTACTTTCATTTCGATAGCAAGAGTAGTTGCTTCAAAGAAAGGCAATAATGGCTGATCGGAATAGAACACGATCCAAAATTTACGAGACGTTAAATAACCCTGAACTTCGCTGTAAAACGGGGTAAGTGTGGGATTCACATCCGCTTGTGCTGTCATGAGCATTTTCAATTCATCTAATGTTCATGTAGTTCAGATCTTCGAAGTCATCATTTTCGCAAGTTCACGACGTTAAACGTATAGGTTCCTTTACGTAACGTTTATCTATGCATGTTGAGAAGAGGATATCTGCACGAGGGTCCTCTTGCGATTGTAGAATCGAAAAATACTCCTAACAAGGGTAAAGGTTGATTTCTGAGAGAAAAGAAACGATTTTCCCCTATTTCCTGTACATTTTTCGTTTCGTTTTGGAAGAGTTACATGATATTTGTTCCCGGCGCTCAAAATTTTTCAAAATTATTTTCAGTCGCTTACAAGTTTTCATGGCCTCTTATTAGTATTATAGATGTCTGGAAGTGGTAAAATGACCACAAAAGATGGGTTTTGTTGTATGGTATTCATGGCCTCACGTTGCGTTACGTTGAAATACTGTGAGAATAGCAGTGAAATTTGACCTCTCATGACTCTCATGTGATTTGATGTAATTCTGGATGGTAACATTTATTGAAACTATCGTTTACTACACTTTTACATCTTTGGTATTTCTGCTTTCCCCTTTTTAAATTTACCTTTTCAATTGATGTTAACTCCTTTAGCTTTCATGGAAAGAAATGTGTTTATTGTACGATGTTTTAGATTCAATATCGTTTGAGCATTTAAACAAGTTATATTTTATCGTCATCAATATTGGTTCAATTAATATATAAAACTGTTATTTGTGCATTTATTACCAGGCATGGTAATATGTTGAACAATATTGTTATGATACAGGACTCAAAACTTTTGTGGCTAATGCAGTTTTGAATGCAACTATTGTAAATGTAATAAATATATCTTTAATGTCAACCTAAGTTCTGGTCTGGTCTCCAAATTTTCAGCTGAATTGCTCCTTGAATTTAAGTTTCTTAGTGGAGAGAGAAAAAAAATTTTTGTGTACTCACATCTTGAAAAAATGTTACTTGAACTTACCAGTACATGTATTTACATGTTTACAAAGTTTTTCATTGTGTTGTGGTCTTCAATATGTGTATATACATGTTATTCAGTCTGTTAAACAAGTGTTTTCACTGTAGTGAAATATTCTGTTTATATGACTGTGTAGGTACTGTAAACAGTTCAAAATTATTATGCAATTGTGACTATCCAAATTGTACGTGAAATTAACTTGGCTTAGGATAAGGTGCATAAAAATATGTATCCTCTTTTGGGAAAAATTTAAAGTGTATAATAATATTATACATGAAGAGACTCTAGTCAAGTTACTTTGGGTTCTTTATATAATCGATGTGAAAAATGTGCTAATAAACTTGATTTGCCTTTTCGTAGTTGTGGTTTCTATGGAAACCCAGCATGGAGAGGTTACTGTTCAGTATGCTACAGAGAGGTGTATCTTAAGCAGCAGAGGGCACGAGCTGCATCACATAGCAGAGAAGATGCGTTATCTGGTGGCTCTCACAATTTCCAAACAGAGGGTATAAAGCTTGATATTCTGTGATTCATTCATCGTCTTTGATTTCTGTATCCTGTTATAGTATTTACTAAAACAGGGATAGATATCCTTTGCTATTCATCTTTGCACAACCTGCACAGGATTTGTGCTTGAAAATAATGTTGAAATCATCTTTTTGTGCTGTGCTATCTCACTATTTTTAGTAAATACTAATTAAAACAACTATTCACTTCAGTGTTGGTGGTGAGTGGTGGATATTAACCTTGTGGCCTGGCAGCTCGGTAAATAAACACCACTACCCACCTCACTAGCCTTATTCACTCTGGTGAATAGTTGTTAATAAACTATAAATCAGTGAATCATGTTTATTTAACTGAGGGTCTGAATGTCTCCTCTTTTTTTGCCTCTCACCTGGCGGTTATTGATATTAAATAACTTTGAAAAGGAACAAAATCTATTAGCAGTGGTTTAAAAGGATTTCCTAGTGGAAGCTAATAGTGCTTTTCAAAAGAAACTTAATTCAAATCTGCAAATGAGGGCAGAAAAAAAAATTAAAAATTTTTTTTCTGTTTTTAATAATTATCACCATCAATGGTAACTTTAAGGTCACTCGTAAGCATGCATTCACACTCTATAACACCATCCTTACAGTTTTTGTTATTGTTATTGAGTGCTTTGAATTTCCTTTGTAGTGGGGCATGAGGAGGAAGAATCAGGAGGAAAACTCAAGTTCAACAAATTTGAAGAAAAAAAGAGGTTCCAGTTAGAATCAAAAAAGTGAGAGTTAATACTGGTGTGCATTTGTATGCTTGTTTTGACTAAAATGTAGAAATTGATTCATGGGGAATCTGATTTTTTTTCAGTAATTTCTGTTATTCAATGTTTATCAAGATAACTTAAAGTTGACTGAGGTGATCAGAAAATTGTTCATTTACCTGATATGGCTCTAGCCAGAATCAGATGTTCCATGTACTAACCAGCATGAAATTTAGGTTCTTCTTTATGATTACCATTATTTAAACCTACCGTAGATTTTAGTGTTATATTATACTTAACATTAAACCACACTGACTTGTATCAGTAATTATTTAATGTGTAATTTGTGTCTTGACAGACAAAGTGTCAAGAAATTATTCAAAAAGAGTCCAGGCAGATCTTCTGTACCAGATGCTGCAAATTTATCCCCATCTCAAGGTGAGCTCTGATGGTGTGCATTGCCATTGTTCTTGGAAAGGGTGTTTCATATGGTTCCTATTGTTTTGTTGTTAAAATTGTGTAAGATAGAGTTTCTTAGTCTCTTGTGTGTAGAACAACATTCATGCACATGTGCTTAAACCACAGTCTGCTTGATTGGATCTCTTTATTTGCGCGAGTTTTGCAGAAGTCAAATAATTTTGAGTAAGGCCGGTTTTCACATGTTTCACTCTGTTATGCCAGGGACAGGGGGTTCATTCAAGCCTTCCCACTGGCTTGTTTTAAATTTGGTGTTTACAAATGTTGGCTTGATAGCTAAGACAGACATGATATACACAGCAGTGGCTTTTTTTTTATATTGTCCATCAAAATTGTGTCAACTTACAGGTGTTGATAAGCATCATGACTCTCCATATAAGGAAAGAAGATTGTGTTCAAATGCAAAGCTTGCTACATATTTTTCACTCACAAATTTTTCATATTGGTAGTATTGTAATTATTTTGTCCCTTCTGATAGTAGTCTTGAATTAACCCATGATGGGCTTGTTTATGGTAAATTGTCATCTCCTATAGTTGAGCCTGAAAAGAGTGTTTCAAGTTTCCGGGATTTCCTAAAGACCCTCAGGAAACCAGCAGCACAAGATGTCAATGAGAAATGCAAAGTGTGAGTAATTTTGATTGTTTTAAAATTCATCTATTTTCAAAAGTTGTAAAAAGTGGTTTTATTGATGTGTGTTCTAGTGGTTCATTTTTAATCTCTTTGTTCATCTGCATTTTAATCCAGAGTGTCCCTCAGCAAATATCAATCTTGACCAGTTTTTTGCCAGTTTAACTTTTTTATGTGAAACTTAGATTAATGTACTTAATTATTTACAGACAGCTATACGTCTGTTTTATTGGCTACTTATCTGATGTAGTAAATTTTATTAATAGTACAGGTAACCTTTTAAAACAGGTTGGCTGAGCGTTTAAGGTGTTGGAATACATTTTGGTGGCCCCATGTTCAAATTCAACCATAATTTATAGTTTGAGTTATCTTATGAATATCAATTCTGCTCCTTACTCACATTTACAAAATAGTCACATGGTCTTCTTTCCACCTAACTGAGATTTTGGTTGTCACAAGGGCAGATTATCTCCTTCTGGTTCATCAGGAACTGTGACATCTCTCTAAATTCATTTATTTTTTCTTTTGACAGGTTTGTTCAGAGCATTTTAAACAACCCATCTCTGAAGGTGGAAGAACAGAGTCAGTTGGTTCATGACTTTTATGGGGTGAGTTTTTAGCACATGAAGGACACTTGAAACAAAACAAACAAAACGCATAGTGAATGGTATGTTTGATTTTGAATTATTTCAACCTATATTAATATTACTTCATTTCTTTAACCGTTATCCATTTTAGGCAATGTCAGAGCATCTACAGTCCCATCAGTTGTTTCAAAATCAGCCACAGGAAGTGATTGACAGAACATTGGATGGTGTAGAAAAACACATCATGACGAAGTTGTATAGAGTGTATGTACATGTACAATGAAAGCTGTTCTTTTAAAGGGAACAACTTACTTGGTTTTGTGTCATAGAGATAAGGAAATGTTTATTCTGTAGTATGATCTGAGGATACTCTCTATCTGAGCTTGAGCAAAATCACCACACTCCATCAATGTTGAGCACTCAATGGAGAAGGAAAAATATTTATCTTTTATTAGTATTTAAGTGATTCAGCATGATTGAAAGAGAGAGAAAGATTTTCTTGAACATTTTGAATGTAACTGTACTAACTTAAGTAAACTGTCATGAAAAAAGTTTTACTGCTTTACATTATTCTGCATTTGGTGGTAAATGTACATCTATGTTATTTTCAGCCATTTTACCCTTTACACCCAAACATCAGCATGGATTTTCTCTATACTTTTCTTCATACATTTCCTAAGGTTCTGTTAAGGAGAATTTGGTGATCATTTCTTTTATTCATATGACCTTAACATTTGATTCAAGGGGGTGATACTTTAAAGAGAAATCAGATGCTGGCCATACTTAAGGGTCAAAGGGCTACGACCTTCTGTACATGTTGACTTGACAAACTTGAAATTTAACCAGCAGCTTGTACGTTAATTTTGCAGTGTTTTCTGTCCACCGTCTACGGATGATGAAGCTAGAGATTTGGAAAATCAAAAGCGTATAAGAAGTTTTAATTGGATAACTCCTCAGCATCTAGATGCTGCGATAAATCCTAACAGTGACAAGGTACAGCAGTTGATCGAGGAAGCACAAGAAGGTATGATGCATTTTTGTGTAATGTCTGTGGGTATTTCTTTCAGAGATTGTGTTAATGTTGTTGTGGCAAGTGTTTATTAAGTTTTGTAATTACCATATTGGGTTATGAAGATTAAATGTGGAGTGGGTAAAGAGGTGTACATGTATTAGAGAGCTGGTAGGTGAGAATGATTGGTTCTTTTGCTATATGCTCTATTTGATTTAACTAATGCATTGTGGTGGCTTCAAATCTTACTGCCTGAAAATACCCCTGCTATGCAGGATACAGCAAGTAGTCATTAGAATTAAAATGGTGGCCTGTGTCTATTCACCTTGCTCTTATCAAAGAAATTCAAAGAGGACTAAGGGTCATTGTGTTTGCAAAGAGGATGGATCTACATGTCCATTATCAGGCCAAGTGGTTAATTAGAAGTGATAACGTTAAAGTTAAAATGAAGCACCTCAGAAAAGCGATTACAATGATATAAATTAATTGTGAAGAGGTGATTACATATTTATACTAATTGTCTTTGTTCATGGCTTTTGTTTTTTTTCATAGCTTAGTTTTTTTTTCTTATCATAGCTTTTGTTACCTTTGTTAACTAGTCTTGTTGTGAGAAAGACTTTTTCCCTGATCTGATGAAATATTTGGTGGCAGAGTGGTAAAGTGCCTTCTGAAGGATTAGGATATTAATTTTGTTGTTGTTGTTATGTCCAACCAACAGTGTATGTGAAGGTTCATCCTTTTAGCCTCAGAATCTCTCTTTTTTTTTTTTTTTTTTTTTCATGAAATGGTTTGACATTTACAGCTTTCCAAGTGCCTTAGTTTAGAATGCTCTCTAGCTATGCACACATACCTTTCTGGTTTGGCAGTTGCAGCTTTCTTAGCGCCTTAGTTTGTAATGCTCTCCAGCAATGTGCACAAACTTTTCATTGCATGACTCAAGGGTTCATTGCCCATCAGTGTTCCTGGACTGGAAGAAACACTTTGGTTTGTCATTTGGTATCTTGTAACCAGAATGCACAAGCCATTATGAGATGTTAACTGCCTTTTGTCCATTGTTATGGCACAGTATAATAGTATATTTAAAGTTTTAAGGCATGTCAAATGTGCACTTTATAGTTTTGGAATGCAGTATGTATGTTTATTTCTTTTTCACTTAATCTTTGTTTTTCCTCTAGATCTGGTGGAAATAAACACAAGGAGAGCTCCTCAGGATAAACTAGCTTGTGTTGTGCGTTGCTGCAAGAACATATTCAGTATCCTTTATTGCTCTACAATCTCTGCCATTTTAACATTCTAACTTATTAATGAAACTGCTTTTAAATTTTAAAAGTGATGGTATGCATTAGCAAATATAAGTTTATGTGGATTTTAAGTTATAGTGTATTTACAAAAAATAATTTCTTGAACTCTCTTTGAGAATTAAGGCTATATAGTGATGATCTCTTAACCCCCCCTCCCTCCCTCCCTCTCCTTAAACCCCTCTCTCTCCCCCTTTCTTCCTTCCTTCCCTTAATCCCCCTCTCTCCCTCCCTTCCTTCCTTCCCTTAACCCCCCTCTCTCCTTCCCATCCTCCCTTCCTTTGATTCCCCTCTCTCCTTCCATCCTCCCCCCATCTCCCTCCCTTCCTTCCTCTCCCTCCCTTCCCTTAATTCCCCTCTCTCCCTCCCTTCCCTTAACCCTCCTTTCTCCCTCCTTCCTCCCCTTAACCCCCCTCTCCCTTCCCACCCCCCTCTCCTCCCCTAACCCCCTCTCCCTCCTAATTTAACCCCTCTCTCCCTCCTTCCCTTAACCCCCCCTCCCTCCCTTCCCTTAACCCCTCCTCCCTCCTCCCTCCCTTAACCCTCCTCTCTCCTTCCTCCCCTTAACCCCCCTCTCTCCCTCCCTTTCCTTAACCCCCATGCCTATAGATTCAAGTATTGGATCAAAATAATCTGCTTAGATTGATTGCAAATGAAAGACTTCAGCACCTACATGTACATGAAACCTTGGCTGTCTTGACAGTCACTGCAAATGTTCTACCCTAACATTTTGACAGAAATTATTCACTTCTCAACACCTGCTGGAGGAGCAGTTAGTGCCGATGACTTCCTTCCTTGTCTCATTTATGTTGTCTTAAAAGCAAATCCTACGATGCTACATTCCAATGTTCAGTAAGCACTATCTACTTATTTACATGCGTGTTAATTCATTGTTGATATCATTACATGCGAGTGATCAAGGAATCCAAAACTTTTTATAGGATAGGTATATCCTTTAAACCAAGACAGGTGCACTTCAGTTTGTATTACATGCAATGTGGTATTGAAACATGTGTTTTGTCAAAAATTTGAAAATGGTACATTAAGAGATTTCCATACTTACAGAAGGTGGGAAATAAGTTGCTTTGTCAAGTCTTGCATGCTCAGTATATTTCTTGATTGAGAAAAAAAGACATTTTTCCATTTCGAAGGTTTATGAGACAGTGTGTTTTTTTACCAGGTATATCTCCAGATTTTGCAATCCTAACAAACTAATGATGGGAGAAGCTGGATATTACTTCACAAACCTTGTAAGTGGAACCTATGCATAAAGCAATGATCCTGCACAAGTCCCTTTTATAACTGATTTATACTGGTTCTTCTCTTACGCTTGTAGTTCAAACCTGACTTGGCCTCTGGGTCGAAAGATGGGGGTTCAGGGTAATCGGTCAAGTTGACCTAAAGTCATCTCGCTTAAAATCATGTCGCCCTCGAACCTGAGTCGTCGCCCGAAATAAAAAGTTCAGTCATCGGATGAAACCGGGTTCGAGACGTAGCGGGGTCGTTGTGTTGTGTTCTCGGGCGAGACACTTGACTCTTATAGTGCTTTTCTTCACCCCAGGAGAATGAACTGTCAGGGAAAGCTGATGAGTACCTTGGGGATACCTTGCAATGAAGTAACATCCCACTCAGTGGTACTATAAGCAATGATAAGCTCCAGACGGATGTGCCACTCGGCTCCAGTGCTGACTTTACCTTTGTACCTTTTTTGTCCTCACATTTCCATTCTTTAATTTCTTTGTCAGTGTTGTGCTTTATCGTTCATTGAGAAGCTTGATGCTCAGGCATTATCCATGTCTCAGGAAGAGTTTAACAGGTAGATAATCACCTTTAGGAACATTTGTACATTGCACCAGATCACTTTCGTTTAATTTTCCAGTTTTTGCATAGTTGTTTTAAACAGAGACGCTCGAAACTCTGAAATTATTTCTACCATAGTTGTTTTTAGATGTTAATGCAGACTGTATCAAACGTGAATCTCGAGGTGGTGTCTGATGCAGTACTGAGGGAGACGCCATACTTAAACCTCAGCCAGACTTATTGGGCCGGGTATTTAAACATAGTTTACCCTTTTCCTTTTTTTTTTTTTTAATAAAACCATATTCTAAACCATCTTTAATTTAGCCGAACCTTTTATCTGAACAGTTATTTTTGTGAACATTGTCAGGAAGGCCGAAAGCTAACAGTAGGTGGGAACGCATATTTTTGGATTGTAAGGCGCACTTGTTTTGGGTCTTCTGGAAGCATTTATACTGGCTTTTTTAACATGAAAAAAAAAAGTGCAACAACAGCGCTGTTCTGTGAGGTTTATCACTCACCTATTATATTTGTAACTACGCTGAAAGTTACAATATCAATTTTGTCGAAACTACTTCACTTGTAAGTTAACTTTCCTCTTTGGTTTAAAGAAACATGTATGGGGATGAAAGCGACGGTGCAGAGCAAACCAAACCTGAAGCGGAGCCTCCTGTGACATGCAAGGGTCTGGAACTTATGAAGGTTAATAAAACCGCACCCCAGGGTTTCAATAAAAGTTGGTTACTGGCGGTCTACTCCCGCTTGTAAAACCTCTTACCGATGTCTGCTTAGCCCGAGAGCAGATGCCCGGAATGCTGAAAATTACATTTCCAAGCGTCTAGATTTCAAATTGTTTGTGGGGGAGCATGCGCAGAGATCCCCTTAGGGGAAAGGGGCCGTACAGCTCATTTTTCGGGCACAGCCAGCATCGGCTGCCGCTCATGGAAAACGTTTTTGATATCCCTAGCATTCCATTAGTACATGTGTGTTCATTAGTTTATCCATGGTATGTGTAAATGACTATGTAACTATGTACATGCATTCTATCATGAGCTTGAGAGAAAATGCTATTACCTTGGCACGTTTAACAACCAATCCCAAAACTTTGCTTGCTTGTGGCAGTTTTTGCCTTTCCTTCTTCTCTTTCTGTCTGATTTTGATGGACCTTCAGCTTCGGTCCCTAACCTTATTTACCTCTAAAGTTTTTTTTAACAATCTCGAGCCCCGAGATTTACGTATTGGTGTCATTTGCGTATTGTTTACTTCTTTGTTTGTCTGTTTGCCCTCTCAGTCCAATTTAGAGAGGCTTGGCACTTTGAGGGAACGCCAAGTGAAGCTTAAGGAGGACGCTCTTTTACTACAAGCACAAATGACAGAATTCAGGAACAACATAGTAAAGGAGGTAAAGTTGAAATTCCTGCAATTACAGATATCGTTTTTTCTTAACCATCCTCTCAATAATCAGTTACTGCAAGGTGCGGTGATTTTCAATCGTATTGTTGTGGTTGTTGTTGTTATACTTATTGTTCTGATTACTCGTAGCTAACCTTTGATGGTCGCTACTGCCATTGTATTTCTGTAGGTTGACGCTATCTTAGCTGGAACAAGTAAAGGAAACACGTATCTGAAACCAGTTTTAACAGCAGGCGAGCCGCTTGAGACAGGTGTGACTGCGAGTTGATCTACCAAACAAAGATTTCAAGAAAATTTGCAACTGAGACTTGAATCGGCGCAGAAAAGGCGCATCGATCCTGATAAACGGCGAAATTTTCTCACATTTTCCACACCTCCTTCCGTGATCATAAAAATACTGTTTTATGCTATAGTTAAGATATTATGCGCGCTGTCATTGGTCGATGGGTTTGATTACGTGGGATTATAGATTCATGCGCGCATATTTTTTGAGAACTATTTTCTAAAAATAATAGAGGACTTTTATTTCGTGTTTACAGAAAGTGATTTAGACATTCGGGAGGATTAAGAGAGTTCACAAAATGTAAGCAAGTCTTTCATTGCATCTCGAGTGCACTTAATTTTTCTCGAATTCTTTCAACCACTCTCTCTCTCCCTCTCTCCCCTCTTTCTGTTGTATTTAAATACAGCTCTATCGTTATGTCTAGATACACCTCTGTATTCACGGAAAGAGTCCTCTATTGCTTAAATAGACACTTGCATGCATGGTACATAGTACTTAATTTTGTTATTATAATTAACCACTGAAGACAGAAGATTCAGGGAAAAGACGATCTGCAAACTGTACTGAAAAAGGAAATTACTGAGAATAAGTTACATAACAGGTTTTATATGGAAATTATTTAGTTATATGTAATGCAGAAATTGCTATTTATACTTGCATATTTCAATAAATTATATATGTCTATTGTTTTTCACCCCAACTCCAATGTGTACATGATATTTACAGTCGAATTCATTGTAGTGTGTTCAGTCGAATCTAAGTTAAATATGACTTTTGATATTCACATAGGACAAGAAATTAAATCTTGCATGAGATTGGAAAGTCTGCGTTCTGCGATCATTTGGGTCAGGATCTGGCTAGGATTGCTGATTTTCTTTTGAAATGTTGTACTATTTCCTCTGTTTTGAAAATCTTCATATTCTTTTAAAAAAATTAAGGATCAAACCTTTCTACATGTCGTATTAGCAATCTGTACTTATTCGCCTCCATCATTGGCCATCCTTACAATATCTTAGCTTCATTCGTCCCTTCATAAGTTACCATGAGAGTCTGGGAAAAAGAGACTTAAATTTTTATGCAACAATGAGAACCTGTTTGGTTCACATACGTTACTTCACGTTTAAATTAAACCACGAGCAGTCTCTCTGTTTCGGCGAAGACCGTCACGCGAGTCAAAAAGAGTCGGTGAAAAAAATCTGATGTCAGCCTCAGCGGCCAGAGTTCCGCGCGATTCGCCTACATAAATTTCTTGTTTTTTTTTTTCCTTTGGAGGGACTGCGTAAGCAAACATAGGAAAGAAGAAGTTTAAGGAGGGATAGTCAATTTACTGCTGACGAGGTTAACAATATCATTTCTATTTCTTGTTTTAATCTTTGGAAATACGGTCATAAGGAACTCTGTTCCTTAAATTTTAATTAAAAGTTAGATGTAGGCTTGCTTTCAATTACTCCGATCAGTAAAAGGTCAAGACTTCCGAGCTAAGTTGCGCGCTGCCGTCCGATATGACTTCATCCCCTTTATGAATAGCCTTTTGTATGGCTAACACAACACTGTGAATAAGCAAGAATTACACCCAGGGTCATTTCGTGTCAAGAGTTTCGGCTGCTTGTGTTTAAGCTTGAGTAACTTTCTGGCCGGCAGGCTAGCGGGCTGCAAGCGGCGTGCCTCTGGTAATCCGCGGCTGACCTCTGCACGACTTGTCTCGAATATTCCCATGGACGGAGAAACGTTCGTCCTGCAGCACTAATAATGAAAGCTGTTCGTAGGCCATGAATTTTCAATGCAGGTCTCCTGCCGAGCACCTGAGTAGAGATAAAACATCTTTGAAATAGTTTTTGGCGTGAGCGCCAGTCAAGCGTATCAAATGCTCTCAGGGCCGCGGACTCAAGTACTACCCGCTCTGAAGTCTACGTCTGAAATCTTAATAATGACAAGTTTAACACAGCACGTTGGATTTAGCATTTTTACCACACGTAGCACTGAAATAACGAACTGACCGAACTACGCAAAAAAATTAATCTGTGAGAGGAATGCCGCATATTTTTTTGTGGGTCAAATTTTGAAAATTGCAGGGCCTTTACGCGAGTTTGTGTAATAGTTCATTTTTTTCCGTCTTATTCCAAAAGTTGTCCAAAAAGTCCACCTGTTTCTCAAAAATCGATTATGGGCGAGACGAGTGGAAGGGCAACATTTTGTCAACTTCCTAAAAATGATGCTTAACATCGCGTGACTTACCCTCTAAATGATATTGCTCAATAATTTGCTCTCCACGTGACTACTTCCCGTTCGTAATTTCAGTGATGTAGGATTTCGTAATCCTGGGAAAATTCAGATAATGAAAGGCAGAAAACTCGAGTGAGTCAATTTTATGTTGTTGGACCATTGGCAAAGAAGATTTCTGTGTTGTTCTGAACAATTAGTTTTAATCCAAACAGGCTCAGACAGAGGAAAGAATGCCATAAATTTCAGGACAAACAACTGAACGGTCCCGAATCCTCCTTAATAAGAATTTTTCAGCAAATAAATAAAATGGGGAAGGTTTTGGTTTTTTGTGTTCGAAGCGAAGGTCAAATTCATGGCCTTGATGACGACAAGGTGTATCTAAAAGATGTTGCAGAATCGTTCCAGGGGCAAAGGATTATTACTGAGAGGGCACGTTTAAATCCTGAACGACCTTGTTCAGAGAAAACAGACGTACTCTTTGTGAAATAAACGCCAGTCAGTTTTTTCAACGAATTTTTTCTACTTTTTGGATGGAATAGTCTGTTCTAGAACCGATCTGTGACGCAGAAAAAATGGATCGCATACTTTTGCGTGGGTGACGGGAAGCTCTTCTCAGTCTCGTGCTCACAGTCACGCTCGCCACAAGAGATGTCGTGACTCTGCGCTTTCCGATAGAACAATAGATATGATTGGCTATCTTCGAAGGAGTTATTCTGTATCAACGAATTCCATTGGTCACTTTGCCATCAAATAACTTTATAATGGCGTCAGCTGATAAATGTAAAAAAATTTGACTTTATGATGTGAGCGGGAGAATGGTACATGTGCAGTAGATTAATGTCGAAAGAAGAAGAAATTTTGCTCACCGAAAAGCAGTTCTTACAACAGAATATTGTGGAAGGTCTCTTCTTTTAACGACCAAAGCATAATAAGTGCTTCGTACTTAAGGAAGACGTCAGGGAATGGCTAGGTTGCGGCAGACGCCGCCAGTATTCAAGGAATCGCCATTGCCGTGCGCCCCTCCGCCAAGCCCTGTGTTGGGTTGTCGTCGGAATCTTGGTTTTGCGGTGCTTTCGTCGTCTCCAGAGCTGCAAGAAACTCAGGAAATTGCAGAAATGAATGATTCATTAGTTGTTGCACTGTCACGAATGCGAGTGGAACAGTCCTCTTTGAAGAGAAAAAAGCACTCTGAGCACGAACTTCCTCCGGGACTTGAAAACCACGATCGAGCGCAACATGAACAGAAAAGAGCAAAAAATAACCAAAGACAGTCAGGAAGTACATCACTGAAAAGGCAAAGCCTCTTAACTCAAAGTTTACCTACGGCCGCTGCGAATACTTCATTTCCTGTTCCAAGTACGTAAAATTTACTTTGGTGTCCGTGAACAAGTGAAATTTCGAGCTTTCATCTCTGAGAAAATGTTCCCTGATATGAAGAAGACTTAAATTTGCAAATACTCTTTTTCGTGATCGATAACTCATGCTGTCATCTGACTAACATTTTATCATCGGAATATGTAGCATTTATTTTTGAAAATAGTACTCTCTGAATTCGTCTCGCTTTCAGCGGCCACTGACAATGACTGATGTTTTGTGGCATAAATTCTTGACTATCGAGATTTGAGAAGTACAATTATATTCACCTCTTTTCTTGTCTCGACTTCACTATCAAATAGTGGGTAAAATGTACATGGATATCTTTTGAGAACAATTTAGAATGGAAATTTTACAAAGAAATTAAATGGCTATAATCGGAAATATATGAAATTCTCGAATTTTTCCTAAAATTTAGGAGGAGTTGAATACAAGATGGCGTTTGCTTGATTAAGCTCACCGAAAGCCTGTCTATGCAGGGTGAAAACATGTATTCGGTAAATATTGTAGATGAAAGGCATATTTATATATTTCTTGTAAAATTATTTTAATATGAAAGTAACAAAATATATTGCTGTATAAAATGTATAGGTACGAGGAAAGATGTATTTTATGTTGTAAGATAAATCCACAAGGGGAATATTTGTGTCATTAAAATATGAAAAAGATATGAATCGTGGTTTGAAATTTCATATCGAGGTCATGGTCTATTCTGCTACCCTGCCTGATATCTGATTATATTTATCTGTTTTCTACTAATCTCCAATCTCCTATCCTACATCAAATGACTTAAAGAACAATACTTTTCCTGTCTTTTGGCTGATTGAAAATGAAAAAAAAGCCAATTATGATACATGATAATATTGGTTTCTCATAAAAAAAAAATGTTTTGATAGTCTTAGGTATTTCAAAACTGTATTCATGCTAATTGGGGTCATTTTTGGAGTGTCTTCTTTGCAGAAAGTATAAAGCACTATTTTCCTTGAAAAATAATTGTTGGCTGTTTCCTATGCATGGGCAAAACATCAGTATGGAAAAGGCTGCATTCATTTAAGAAAAAACTAATGAAATGGGTAAGGCATAGATACAGAGTTTCCTAGACACATTATGAAATGTGTGTGAAACAGCTTTGGAGTACAGAAAGAAAGCTGGTAGTAATTAGATTGTGTAATCTGCCAACTAATAAACAGGACAGGAATAACAGGAATAGTTAAATTGTGGAACCTATAGTAGATTTGGTAGAGAACAATCAGGATGTTCAGTAGACAGCAGAAATCAGAGTTTCCTCTTGTAAGATTTTTAATGTTCAGCTTCTTGGGATATAGTAAATTCTCTTGGTACACTACTCTTACCACTCTATTTCTCAATGAAACCCCCCTGAGCACTTGATTAGAGTAGAGATGGGCCAAGGGGGGGTCTTGAATTATTGCAAGGACAGAAAGAGATTGGTTGCAATCCTGCAATGGCCCTGAAAACAAGAATGAATGAGTAGGAGAATTAAAATTAAGTTTCTCATTACTTCCAAATACTAATCCACATGTGAAAAAAGAGTAACTAGATAAAGGTGAGAGAGTGGAAGTAAAAGGGACTAAAGTTGTGGATGGCAACAGACAGTTTACAAATTCCACCTTCTTCTTTAGAGATCCTGATTATAACTCACCACAACTATCCTACTGCAAGTGGTACTTTTCACAAGAACAGTTACATTTTTTGAACAGGTCCTTTTCACCACTTAAAAGCTATGTCCATTATCTGCTAAGGACCAATGCACTGAATCAGCTTATACTTTGAAATAGCATTTTCATTATCAATTTATTTCATGTACTCTTTGACTGATCTTATTCTTATCTTTGCAAACTTGATTTTAAAATGTAATTGTCCTCAAAGAATTGTTATCCTCTTAACCCTTTAACTCCCAAGATCTCATTAGTAATTCTCTTTACTGTCTGACATACAATTCTTATGATGTCAATTTGGTGAATTTGGTATTGGATCAACTAATAATCTCCTAATTTATATTTTACTTTAATCTCATCACTTCTATGCCTGATGTTGTACTGATAATGTAAGGAGAAATTCTCTCTTGGTCACTCATGGGGTTAAAGGGTTAAAACAAGATCTACTTTACATCTTCTGCCCCTGGGTGTGCTCAACTTCACTCATTCCAACATGCCTCTTTTCTACATTTCTTTTTTTTTTTTTTAATAGATTCTACTCACTATGCTCTTCTTTGCCAATCCACCAATTGAAATTTTTCTTCCCTTATCTACTAGTGTACTCTCATGGAATAAGAATTTAATTTAACATATCATTCCACTACTATGGCAGCAGTTAGAATTCCACAATGGAAAAACTCTTGGAAGACAACATGCTATATTGGGATCAATGTCAGAATCTAAGCAAATGTATACCTACCCCTCCATAACCCAACAATAGTCAACTGATAACAATTAATATTGAGTTAGGGGAGGGGTGGGTGCACAGTTGCTCAAAACTGACATTGATCCCTGCACAGAAAATACCACTGGGAACCAGGGAGGGGGGGACTTTGTGGGCAGTGGTGTTATAAATAAGTTTCTTTTTTTTATTAATTATCTTTAATAAGTTAGCAGTATTCTGCTACTTGCTTGTTATCTATTGCTCCATAAATGCTGTTGTATTGGGCATAGGTCCTCAATTGCAGCACTGCTAATGTAAGAGAAATACCTTCAGATTACACCTCTTTCCTTCTTAATTGTGCACCATTAATTTGCCCATGGTGTTCATGCCTCCAATCAATTGCCATAAAACGATCAAAATTGTGGAACTGACAGAGCTATCTAAAGATCTGATCTCTGATTGACAATTATTAGACAAGCTGGTTCAACATGAACATAAGTGAGAGCTAAAGCTTTGACTTACCTGCTTAACAAAACCAAAATCAGAGGTAAATAACTCAACCCAATGCCTTGATAACTGTTCCTCTCATGCAGAAAACAAATTCGATTGTTGTTTTCATTCCATGCAAGAGAAGATTTGAAATCAGCATCTTACCAAGTACAGTAATAATAGAATTATCCCTATTCTATTGGTGCAGTTAGACATTGGTAAGGTTATGATATTTTACAAAATATTTGGTAACATTCTTACAAGTCATGCTCAGTGGTATGTTCATTATGCATGATCAAAGCCACAACTTGCCTTTCAGTTTATTTTGTTTCAGATTATTTTAAAGAATATCGAGAATCTGATGTGGACAGAGCTGCACCTCACAGCCCCCCGACCCCTCCCCTTCAATCTCAACAATGGATATTATACTTGTGCAGCTATAATTTGCTGCTTAAGCTGAGTCTACAATTCCTTTAAGGTGGTTGGGCTATGATCCTGCCAAGGGCTTAATATTCACTTAACCTTCTCTTCATAGAAACCAGGGGAGTCCCATCTGAAAAGGGGAGGATCCTCATTTCCTTGCTTTAGAGTGTAAATTTTGGATTTCTTATCATCAAGGGTGCTGATCAGGGCAATAAACCATATACATTGAGCAATCAAGGTCTCTTGGGGTTGGTAATGAAGACATGTGGAAAATGAATATCTTAATTATCTAATTCTAGAAAGTCAATACCTAATCAAAACCATAAAAGATGTTGACTTGGTGTCTTAAACTGGTCTCTTTTAAAAGTGGATCCATCCTCTCTTTTAGGGTGAATTGTCCCATTTGTATTCGAATAAAAGGCCAGGAACACATAACTAGATCAAGATCCATCTCCTCTACAATACCAAATATGGAAAACAGGTTTGAAAATTCTCGTAGAGGGTGGGAAACCAAAATTAGGAAAAATCTAACAGTCCCTTTAATGGGGAAGTCCTTGCCCCCCCCCCCCCAAGAGCGGGAGGGGGAAGCAGAATATTTTTACTGCCCACAATCTTGTTCCATCCGCTCTCTTATCCAGTTGTAAATTCCTACAGAAATCTATACTGTCACCTTCCGTCTCAAATGAATAGACATTCATGCCTTATGTGTTTCACTTGAGGGTTCCATTTCAAACTGGCTTTGTGATGTTGTCCCCAATTTTCCATTGTGAACACTTCCCAGCATCAGCTGTTGCATACGACAAAGTTTAAAATGGCGGCAGATTGTAGACAATAGAGGGATCAGAGAAGGATCATTATCACCACCTGTTGGGCATTTTTCCATTTATTAGCTCAAGGTATGAGAGGCCTTATTGTAGAAGAATACATCAAATAGTTTTTAATTAAGAAGCCTCGTAAACTTTTGTATAGCTATTCCACGCAAATAGGGATCAGCTTATTACTTTTTTTCGTGAGACCTTGCTTCTTTTCGAATAATTTGCGTTGCGGAACTTCACATTCTGTTCTCACGTCATTTTACGTCTACCGACCAATTTCTCGCGCCCACCAAAATATTGTGTTCAAATATTTCTCACTCAATTTTGACCTGTTTCATTCATAAAAATGATCACTTTGAATAAACTAGAGACTTGGAGAGTGGGTGTTGGAAAAAAATTAGCAATACCAGTCATGCATGGACCAGTCCAGTCGCAGTAAACCTGTTTATTCAAATTTTTGTAGTTTCGGCTTCATGAAAACATCCGGCCATATAACCTAATTTTTGCTATGATTATTTTTGTTAATTTGCCTCTCGTTTTACAGAAATTGCTCAATATTGGTGTATGAGTAGCAGGGGCCGCGCAGCAACTTTTGAGTGGGGGTCCGTTATTCGTTTAATTTATTTTATTTTTGTAAGAAAGTAGGGGGGGTGGGAGAGAGAGTTAAGGCCCCCCCCAGCCCCTCCCTATGCGCCGTCCCTGAGTAGCCAGCGAGCATTATTAGCGCCTCGAACATTTCTTGGCCGGCGAATATTGGCGCGAGGCCTTGAAAAACGCTAGCCGGGTGACCTGATACTAGTGCCAGATCCCTAGAAGACCTCTCTCCGGCTTGCTTCTCAAGGGAGTTCAGTTACGCGAGGGCGAAGGAACGCTTGTGCCGCAGAGCTAATAATAATAAGGGCCCACTAACAGACCACTTCAGTAGCAATGTGTTACATGGGCTATCAATTTTGCATCTATTCAGTCAAGACTAATAAACGTGTCAGCCAGTGAACGACATTCGTTTATCAAAGATACAACTTCAGTCACGCAATTGAGTTGCCCTTCCTGTATTTGATGCACCTGTGAAGCTTCGGCATGAAAAGTCATTCGATAAACTATTGTCAGCTATTGGCTCTGCAGGATTACAAAAATAATCAATTCTAGAGAATACCATCCTGAACCATTAGAAAACGATCAATTTCTTTATCATGCAATGCTTATTATAATCAGTTTGTTTTCAGCAAAAATGTAAATGAGACTGCGGTTTTGACTATCAAATTTTCTTAGCCCGGTTCAGACGCTATACTTCTCTCGACCCAAATCGACCAAACTCATGTAGTAAGACTTTTTTTTCCTCCAAGGATCAGTAATGATTAGCAAATGTTTGTCCAATTTATTTGTAGGGTCGTTCTTCAGGAACGATGCCGGTCGCTGAGTAAATGGGCAAATTATAAATAACAAATTTAGTGAAGCACGGTGGCTAAACAATAGTGACAATTTATTGTAATGAGTAAATGAGTGTTATGACTAAAACAGAATGATGACACGCGAAAAATCTTGTTGTAAGGCTCGAATAACAAAGGTTGTTCACATACATTCTATAAACTTGGTTCAGTGTTGAAAAACCATTCCTTCAGTGGATCAGTTATAGCAATCACCTGCACTTGGAGCAAGTTTTTCGGACAAAGATTCACGATGAAATATCTCTGTGAAGTTCTTCTCTTCTCTTTTTTCTTGACGGCGCTTTCGAACTCGACGAAAGTGTCGTCTAAAACAGCAAGAGCCGATAACGATACGAAACATCATCCGCATTGTGGTGTCAATAACAACTATTTCTACGCTGGTCCGAACTCCAAGAAAATAGAAAATATGTTTTCTGACATTCAACAACAACTGACCAAACTTGAACAAGAAATCCGAAACATGAAGAACCAAACTTGTGAGAAGCAAGATGGGAAAGGTTGGTGGGAAAATGACTTTTAGATTGAACGAAGACGATTTAGTTGACTTGATGCTCATTCAGTTTCACTTTCTATCTTTTTTAAAGCTGTTTATAAGAACTGCGCCGAAGTTTACAAGTCAGGCGACAAGATCAGTGGTGTATACAAAATCGATCCTGATGGTTTGGGAGAATTTGAAGTCTTCTGTGATCAGACAACAGCTGGTGGAGGATGGACGGTGTTTCAAAAGAGATATAACGGTGCAGCAGATTTTTTCCGCGGCTGGGATGACTACAAACAGGGCTTCGGCAATCTGAACGGCGAGTTTTGGCTCGGACTGAGCAAGATTCACCGCCTGACTGCGAGGAGCAGTAACAAGCTGCGTGTTGACTTGGAAGACCTCCATGGTAAAAAAGCGTTTGCAGAGTACAGTTCATTTTCTGTGGCGAGCGAAAGGGCGAAATACCTGCTGGGTTTAGGAGTTTATTCAGGTGAAACTGATTTAATCTAAGAGTGGTGTTAGTATGTAACGTTACTCAAGTAAAACAGTTGTACGGTGTAAGAATAATTATATCGTCGGCAATACTCATGTGGAGAAAAGGAGGAAAAGGGTTAGAAGTAAAGTGTTTTGTCATATTTTTCTTTATTTCAAAATGATTTCTCTAAATACGATGTTTAGGAAATTTACACTCATTATGCAAAATGTTTCAATCTTAATTAAAAAGCAGTAAAACAATTCTTTCACTTTTTCAGGCACATTATCATAAAATTCTCACTGAAAATACATTTTTTCAGGCACGGCTGGTGATTCCCTCAGTTATCATCGCGGCGCACCATTTACCACTAAAGATCGAGATAATGACGCCTACTCAAGCAACTGTGCCTCCAGTTGTACAGGCGCTTGGTGGTACAAGAAATGCCATTACTCAAACCTCAATGGCCTCTACATGAATAGTAAAAATGACGCCAAGGGAATGGCGTGGTATCACTGGAAAAAAAATTATAAATCTTTAAAAAGGTCTGAGATGAAAATCCGTCCAAAGGACTTCTAAGGTTCATCATACTTTGATATTGTCAAAAGATGAATATGTTCTCAGCAGATATATAAGGGTCGATGTATTTTAGTTTTAAAAGAAAAGTTTTCAAAAAAATCAGAAGTGCATGATTATTAATCAAAGTTAAAACCGCTGACGAAGCCATAAAAATAAAATACTTCTATGAAAGAGATGTAGATGTAGCTAAGCTTGTGGTTCCAATAAAGATAAAACAAAGGGAAAACAAAGTGTCTTTGCTGTAACATCAATATTTCAGTGGTGCCTGACAAAACAAGACTCTGTTGAAAGCGTTAACTCGAGTCTGCTTGAGGAGTATATAAGGAATAAGGCGGAAAAAAAAAAGCGAAAAAAGCTAACAAAAAAAAAATGAGCAACCCGAAAACAACTAAGAGTATCCACACATCAATCACATGACAGTTAAACGGGTATAATAAACGTGAGAGGATCACATCCAAGTAAAGGGCATTTGGCGACGAAACACGAAAAAACGGCCACAGTAGATAAAGACTCGCCGCCTACGGCTAGGTTCGAGTAATAATAATTGAATGTGACCCTAAAATTATAAAAGTGACGCAACAGAAACTCGACGTGTATATTTTGCCATTAAACGGGCCAAATCAGTAGAGAATAATACAGAACTAAAAGCCTAAGCAACAAAAGCGAAAAAAATCTAACAAAAAAAACGAACAAAATGAACAACCCGACAACAACTAAGAGTATTTACACATCAATCACATTACAGTTAAACGAGTAGAAATGAGAGAGGATCACATCCCAGTAAAGGACTGTAAAAAAACTTAATATAGACTTTATTTCTGTGATAATCTCTTTCATATTAGGATAAAGAGGATTCATAAGTAGATAATCCTGTCCGATAATGTCCTGCTGACGTGAAAAATCTACAAGTCGATCATATATTCTCCAAATATTTGTTTTCGAGGAGATCGGGCATATTTCTGTTAGTTTTGTTCGTTGGGGCAAACAGAGACTTATGTGGGAGTGTTTTTAAAACTCAAGTTGGTAAGTAATAAACCCGGCTCGGTCCAGCCTAATTTCCTCATGTTTACCCAAAGACTTCTCTTTGCAGGCTATGCCTTACTGGGTCACGTTATGACTAAAACTGATGTTCTTGACGAGTTTGAATGTCAGCTAAAATGTATGGGAAATGGCAGTTGCAAATCGTTTAATGTTCATCACAAAAGCAATAATACGAAGCGCATTTGTGAGCTGAACAACATAACATGGCAGATGAACCCGGATGATTTCAAACAGAAGAAAGGATCCACATACTTTGGATCTGTTCAGGTCAGTAAAAAAATGCATCTCTGAAGTTTGCTTGTTAACGTGTTGGATTCTACAGGCGTTAATGCAATCATTGTTAATTCGTGTCAATATTAAATTTTGGTAACACTAACATTAATCACCGTTTAGTTTCCATTGTTTGATATTAACAACCGTTTCAAAAGTCGTATTTGTTTAATCCTTAGAGATCACAGATTTTGGACGCCTTGCTTTTTTTCCTTCTTATTTTTTCCTGGTTTTGTGAATAACCTTGAGCAAGCAAGTTAAAAAGGAATGCCGGAGTTGCACGAGCGCGAAAATTTAAAAATCCAGCATGCAGAGACCGCTGTAAGCAAGGCTTGCTCTCGACCCTCTTCATTAGTACATTTAGCCTCAATACTTAAGGAAAAGACAATTGGCAAAAATGAACTCCGATTTGGTTCCCTTTTCCTGTTATCCTTAAAGCAAGGCTTTAGATAGCATCGACAATAGCTTAGAGAACTCGGTGGCACGACGTTCAATGTTTCCCTTTTGCCGTTTAACGTAAGGGTCAAGTTTAACTTCAATTTATACAGAGTAGCTTTGCAGCTGCCATCAATTTGTTATAACAGAGCGCCGTGAAAACAACAGAAGGCATAAAAAGTAAGACTTACTTCATAATTTGTTAATTGGATTCTTTGTCGCACACGCAATTACCTCTTCAAAAAAAATATTCTCCTGATTTACACTTTTATCTCTCTACATTTTATATACATTCATTCACGAAGAATTGATTTTTCTTTATTGAATGATTTAAATTTAATCCTTGAGCAGTTTTTTCGTTTAATGCCTTTTGAGATGTTTCACATCGTCATAATTCAACAGTTTAAAGGATGATGTTCCATTGCAATCGCTTTTTATAGAAATAAATAGGAATCAAAATTACATTATTCAAAGAAAAGTCTATCGCTTGTACGGCCATCAAAAAACTGGAGGAAACATTCTTGACGCGTTTTTTGAAACTTGACCCAGGCCACATGCGTCCATGTTTTCCGTGAAAACAATGAACAAATAAATGGCGGCAAGTGTCGTCCAGGATACAAAGGAGAAAGGTGTCAAATACGTAAGTACTTATTACAATAACAATTAAACGTATATTATGGCTCCAAGCCCTTTTTTCAAAAATTGTAAAATGGTCGCCATTTAAACATTTCATGGTCGCGCAACTACTCCTCTCTCACTCCTAAAGAAAAAATAAAAAAGAAAGAAAACGTCTGGTACCAGAGAAGATTCACAACAAAGATGCTGAGACCGGATTAATACGATTTTGGTCGATTGTGCAGCTGAAAAACATCTCTCATAGTTTGCCGTGAGCTAAACTATTAGTGTTGAAAACCTTCCTTATTTTAAACAACATTTTGAATCGCTTAAGACTTACTTCGTACTGCAAAGTTGATGGTAAGACTGAGATGCTGAACGTCATTTAAATGAAGGTTATGTCATTGAGATCAGTTTGACTTGATCAACGCTCATTTATGGTTCATGCGTATCTGAGAGTAACGGAACGGCGAGGAAGAACAAGAGAAAGACAGGAAAAACGGGCGTTGTTCGATAATTCAACCAAAGATTGATAATTTTCTCAAGTCTCCTTTTTTTATTTTTCTTTTCTTTTCGATTTGTTGATTGCCAATTGGCGACTTTGGTCTAAAGTTTAGTTGTCAAATATGACCAGATATATTTTTCACCCGCCAACTTGAAGCGCTGATATAGCTATGAGCAATTTGAGCTAACCAAACAGCCACACCTTAAAAATTGTCAATGAGCCATGCGTGCATGCATGAACCATTAGTTCATGCCTAGATAGTCACTCACTTTTAAGAATAAAACGTTTGATCTTGATAGTGCAGCACACGCTTTATTTGTGAAACTCAATGCATTGTTAACAAACTTTTTTCCAATATCCGTTATATGCTTCTTGAACCGTCCGCTTTATGGCGCACCGTGCGAGGAGTTGACAAACTCTGGATAACAACTCGCAATTGAATTCAATTTCATTTCACCTGCAGATGAAAATTAGGCAAAGAATTGACCCTCCTAGGTGGACTACACCTTTAGCAATTACGAAAAAGCAGCCTGAAAAAATTTCAGGCTTCGAAAGGATTCGAACAGTCGTGCCAAGAGGGGTTTCACACAATCTACTTTAGGTAACTAGGCAGAATACAATCTCTGCACCAAGCCGAACATTACATTTCAATGTGGATCAGACTGATTACGTGGCAAACCTTGGCTCAAAACTTGAAATTGGGAACAGGGAAATTAATGATAATACTGTCCAGTCTATAAGACATTTCTTTCGCTAGCTGGATCGCATTTTTCAGGTGTGGATTTGCAATGATAGATCTGTTCAAAGTGTTCTGCCGAGATTTTGTTGCTGTCGTCGAGTTTCGTGTTCTAATATATGTCTTTTTTAATTCTTATTTATCACACCATTTATTTATTTTTTACACGGCTTGTCAACGCGATCAACAGTAGTTTAGAGTAGCCAAACCCAACTACAAAAGACAAAAAGTTTCTGTCTGCATTAAAATTTTCGTGATGATTAAGCAAATGTGGACCCAAACTCCAAAAGATTGAATATAAAAGAAGACTAAGGCGAAAGACGATGATGATGATCTTAATGCACACAATAATGATCAGTTGTCTTTCTTATAACTTATGCTTATAAATATTTTCGTTCTTAGAAGGCAGGATTTATGGGGATAGGGATAATTACAAGTTTACGAATGTCTTAGTAGGCTGGTAAGAAAAAGCTAAGTTTTTTCGGGATGGGAAAAATAATAGAACCGAGTATTCTACAGAGATTCCAAGTTGCAGGTAGCAAAATCAATTTTCAAGCTCCCCATTTAAACCTCATTAGGTTGCAATCCTAATTACATAAAATTGAACACTCTCTCTTGTAGCTTCTAAGAGCTGTTTCGAAATTTACAAGTCTGGCTATAAAATGAGTGGAGTGTATTACATCGATCCTGATGGTTTGGGTGAATTTAAAGTCTTCTGTGATCAGACGACGGCTGGGGGAGGATGTACGGTATTTCAAAAGAGATTTGACGGCACTGTAGATTTCTTCCGCACCTGGGATGACTACAGACAAGGCTTCGGCAATCTGAACGGCGAGTTTTTGCTCGGGCTGGACAAGATTTATCGCCTGACTGCGAGCAGCAGTAACAAGCTTCGTGTTGACTTGGAAGACGTCCGTGGTGGAAGGCATTTGCAGAGTACCAGTCATTTTCTGTGGCCAATGAGGAAGAGAAATATCTACTTATATTGGGAAGTTATTCAGGTGCGATTGAACTTTCTCACAACGACTATATATTCGAGGACATCTTATTCATAAGTAAGCGCACAGTGTCTCTTGCGAGCTGAGCATGCGCACAACGAAATATATTATCAAACATGTTGCTAGTATATTCAGTGGGCTTCACGAAAACCTCACTCTGAACATGTTAGTGTTAGTTGTTGTGGAGGTGACTGTTCGTTGCATGACGATTAATCCAAGGATTTTTTTAAGCAGGCTCTGCAGGTGATTCTCTTGCATATCATCGTGGCTTGCAATTTTGCACCAAAGATCGGGATAATGACAGATCCCAACACAACTGTGCCTCATCCATAAAAGGCAGCTGGTGGTACAACAGTTGTCAACACTCAAACTTAAACGGTTTGTACCGAAAGGTCAAAGTGGATTAACGGTAATGCGCTGGAATCGCTGGAGAGGTAGTGAGTCTGTCGAAAGATCAGAGATGAAAGTTCGTCCAAATGACTCCTAAGATCTGGTATTGGGAGCTTTGGGTCAAACGAAGGAAAACATGTATTCTAAAGGAAAAATAAGCATGCTGTTGCTTTTTGTTTTCTTGGCTTATTTTTCAAAGACCTGATCGTTACTTCTTGTTGGTTAAACTTTCATTTTAAAAAGGTTTCAAGGTTTGTGGAAATCAAATTTTCGTGTCGTAATCAGACCAACTAAGAACAAGAGATTGTATAATATTTTAAAGAGTTTTTCATATGATTTTGTTTTCAAAAATTTATCGCCAGGATCAAAACTGGTTAACACTGCTTCCGTGGTACCTCAAGAGATTTGCAATGCGAGAACATATTTGTTTTTGCAATTAAAACTTTGGATAAACTATTTAGATATTGCCAATGAAAGAACAGTCAAAACTGTCTAATTCAATGGCTCAAGCAAAGGACGGTTGGATGCTCTTGAAGGCATGGTCTGAGGTCTATTTGACATTTCAAACGACATGGTCCGTTTTTAATCTTTTCGCTTTCTTTTAATCTGAAGTAAGCTTATCATCGGCTCGCTAAGAATATTAAAATTGATAATCCTCAGATAAAGCTATCGCACATCATTTCTAAACGCTCTGTTGAGTCTCCTATGAGAGACATCTTTCTTCCAATACCCCCAGAGCCCATGCACGCTACTGAAATTGGTACTGATCATGGAAATAGAACAACTAGATCATGTTGATCTTGACAGTATGTCTTATGATCTTAGCCAAAATCTCTGCCTCATTTTTTTTCGAAAAAAGATTACTCTTCACCCATCCAATCATCCTCTCTTGCTGGGTGTGGTTTAAAATTCTCAGAGTGTATCACTGTCCCTTTAATGGGGAAGTCCTTGTTCCCCAAGAGCGGTTGGGGGAAGCAGAATATTTTTACTGCCCACAATCTTGTTCCATCCACTCTTTTATCCAGTTGTAAATTCCAGAAATCTATACTATCACCTTTCTTCTCAAATGAATAGACATTCATGCCTTATGTGTTCACTTGAGGGTTCCATTTCAAACTGGCTTTGTGATGTTGTCCCCGCTTTTCCATTTTGAACACTTCCCATCGTCAGCTGTTGCATACGACAAAGTTCAAAATGGCGGCAGATCAGGATCAGAGAGGGATCATCATCACCATCTCAGGCATTTTTTCATTTATTAGCTAAAGGTACGAGAAGCCGTATTGTGGAAGAACACATCAAATAGCTTTTAGTTAAGAAGCCTTGTAAACTTCTTCATAACTAATCAACGCAAATAGGGATCAGCTTATTGCTTTTTTTTTGTTAGACCTTGCTTCATTTCGAATAATTTGCGTTGCGGAACTCCACATTCTGTTCTCACGTCATTTTACGTCTACCGACCACTTTCTCACGTCTACCAATTCCAAAATATTGTGTTCCAATATTTCTCACCCACTTTTGACCTGTTTCAACCATAAAAATGATCACTTTGAATAAACTAGAGACTTGGCATGGAGAGTGGGTGCTGGAAAAAAAATTAGCATTACCTGTCATGCATGTATCAGTCCGATCGTGGTACACTTGTTTGTTCAGATTTTTGTAGTTTCGGCTTCATGGAAACATCCTGCTATATAACCTAATTTTGCTATTATTATTTTTATTAATTTTCCTCTTGTTTTACTGAAATTGCTCAGTGTTGGTTTATGAGTAGCAGGGACCGCGCGGCAAGTTTTTGTGAGGGGGGCTATTTTTGGCTCCGTTATTTTTGTTAATTATTTTTTTTTTGCAAAAAAGTGGGGAGGGGGGGGGGCTAAAGTGTATCGCTCTGACGAAGGGCTAACGCTCGAAACGTCAGCTTTTTTACCCTTTACGGTGGCTAATTTATGTTTTCAACTCAGTTGTTAACACTAAATTACCTGCTAATAATAACAAGGGCCTACTCGCAGACTACTTCAGTAGCAATGTATTACATGGGCTATCAATTTTGCAACTATTCAGTCAAGACTGATAAACGTGTCAGCCAGTGAACCACATTTGTTTATCAAAGGCCCCACTTCAGTCACACAATTCAGTTGCCCTTCCTGTATTTAATGCACCTGGGAAGCTTCTTGTATGAAAAGTCATTTGATAAACTATTGTCAGCTATTGGCTCTGCAGGATCACAAAAATAATCAATTCTTGAGAATCCAATCCCGAACCATTAGAAAACAATCAATTTCCTTATCGTGCAATGCTTATTAGAAATCAGTTTGTTTTCAGCAAAAATGTAAATGAGACTACGGTTTTGACTATCCAATTTTCTTAGCCCGGTTCAGACGCTATGTTTCTCTCGACCCAAATCGACCAAACTCCAGTAATAAGACTCTTTTTTTCTCCAAGGATCAGTACTGATTAACAAATGTTTGTCCAATTCATTTGCAGGGTCGTTCTTTAGGAACGATGCCGGTCGCTGAGTAAATAGGCAAATTATGAATAACAAATTTAGTGAAGCCTGACAGTGGCTAAACAATAGTGACACTTTATTGTGATGAGTACAATAGTGTTTTGTCTAAAGTAGAATGCTCACACGCGAAAAGTCTTGTTGGAAGGCTCGAATGACAAGGTTGTTCACAGACATTCGAAAAACTCGGTTCAGTGTTGAAAAATCATTCCTTTAGTGGATCAGTTATAGCAATCACCTGTACTTGGAAAAAGTTTTGGGACGAAGATTCACGATGAAATATCTCTGTGAAGTTCTTCTCTTCTGTTTTTTCGCGACGGTGCTTTCGAACTCGACTAAACTGTCGTCTAAACCAGCAAGAACCGATAACGATACGAAAGATCATCCGCATTGTGGTGTCAATAATAACTATTTCTACGCTGGTCCGAACTCCAAAAAAATAGAAAATATGTTTTCTGACATTCAACAACAACTGACCAAACTTGAACAAGAAGTCCGAAACATAAAGAAGAACCAAACTTGTGTGAAGCAAGATGGGAAAGGTTGGTGGGAAAATGACTTTTAGATTGAACGAAGACGATTTAGTTTACCTGGTGCTCATTCGGTTTCACTTTCTCTCTTTTTTCTTTCAGCTGTTTATAAGAACTGCGCCGAAGTTTACAAGTCAGGCGACAAGATCAGTGGTGTATACAAAATCGATCCTGATGGTTCGGGAGAATTTGAAGTCTTCTGTGATCAGACAACAGCTGGTGGAGGATGGACGGTGTTTCAAAAGAGATATGGTGGTGCAGTAGATTTTTTCCGCGGCTGGAATGACTACAAACAGGGCTTCGGCAATCTGAACGGCGAGTTTTGGCTCGGACTGGACAAAATGCACCGCCTGACTGCGAGTAGCAGTAACAAGCTTCGTGTTGACTTGGAAGACCTTCATGGTAAAACAGCGTTTGCAGAGTACAGTTCATTTTCTGTGGCAAGCGAAAGGGCGAAATACCTGCTGAGTTTGGGAGTTTATTCAGGTGAAACAGATTTAATCTAAGAGTGGTGTTAGGAAGTAACGTTACTCAAGTAAAGCAGTTGTACGGTGTAAGAATAATTATATCGTCGGCAATACTGATGTGGAGAAAAGGAGGAAAAGGGTTAGAAGTGAAGTGTTTTGTTATATTTTTCTTTATTTCAAAATGATTTCTCTAAATACGATTGTAACGAACACATTTTTCCAAGACTTAAGGGTTATTGATGTTTAGGAAATTTACACTCATTATGCATAGTGTTTCAATCTGAATTAAAAAGCAGTAAAACAAATCTTTCACTTTTTCAGGCACATTATCGTAAAATTCTCACTGAAAATACATTTTTTCAGGCACGGCTGGTGATTCTCTTAGTTATCATCGCGGCTTACCATTCACCACTAAAGATCGAGACTCAAGAAACTGTGCCTCCACGTATACGGGCGCTTGGTGGTACAAGAATTGCCATCACTCAAACCTCAATGGCCAGTACGTGAATAGTAAAAATGACGGTAAAGGAATGGCGTGGTATTCCTGGAAAAAAAATAGTAAATCTTTAAAAAGGTCTGAGATGAAAATCCGTCCAAAGGACTTCTAAGGTTCATCATACTTTGATAGTGTCAAAAGATGAATATGTTCTCAGCAGATACAATAAGGTGCATGATTATTAGTCAAAGTTAAAACCGCTGACGAAGCCATAAAAATAAAATACTTCTATGAAAGAGATGTAGATGTAACTAAGCTTGTGGTTCAAATAAAGATAAAACAAAGGGGAAAAGAAAGTGTTTTTTGCTGTAACATCAATATTCCAGCGGTGCCTGACAAAATAAGACGCTGTTGAAAGCGTTAACTCAAGTCTGCTTGAGGAGTATATAAGGAATAAGGCGAAAAAAAAAGCGAAAAAAAGCTAACAAAAAAAAATGAGCAACCCGAAAACAACTAAGAGTATCCACACATCAATCACATGACAGTTAAACGGGTATAATAAACGTGAGAGGATCACATCCAAGTGAAGGGCATTTGGCGACGAAACACGAAAAAACGGCCAGTGGATAAAGACTCGCCGCCTACGGCTAGGTTCGAGTAATAATAATTGAATGTGACCCTAAAATTATAAAAGTGACGCAACAGAAACTCGACGTGTATATTTTGCCATTAAACGGGCCAAATCAGTAGAGAATAATACAGAACTAAAAGCCCAAGTAACAAAAGCGAAAAAAATCTAACAAAAAAAACGAACAAAATGAACAACCCGACAACAACTAAGAGTATTTACACATCAATCACATTACAGTTAAACGAGTAGAAATGAGAGAGGATCACATCCAAGTAAAGGACTGTAAAAAACTTCATATAGACTTTATTTCTGTGATAATCTCTTTCATATTAGGATAAAGAGGATTCATAAGTAGATAATCCTGTCTGATGATGTCCTGCTGACGTGAAAAATCCACAAGTCGATTATATATTCTCCAAATAAAAATTTGTTTTCGAGGAGATTGGAAACTTTGAGTCGCAAAGTACATTATGGGAGACTCCTTTGAAATATTAAGGACTTTTTTTTTCCCACAACTTCTTCAACAAATATCTCTATTTTACAACAGATCGAACAAAAGGCCAATCTGCGTTTTTCAGGCAAGCGGCAGCAAACGCGAGGCGAGCGTGGGGGGATAGAAACGTGTGAAAGGAAGACCGCCAAACAATAACAATATTCAATGACGGGAGTTGCATAACTTAACACTGGCTCGTTCTTCCCATCAACAACGCGCTCTAATTAATTTGCCGACGTCAAACTAGACTCCTTTCTTTTATTCACCGATGTTTTATAGGACTTGTTAAATAACGAAACAATATCCAATTTGTGGTTGAAATGGCGAAGTTAAAGGAAGAAATAGATACAGTACGCAAATTAAAGATAAATAAACGTTTTGGTCCACCCTAAATTTTTTTCCAAGCTAGTAATAATCACAGAATTGTAAAGTGCGTCCGATCTCGCTTCGTAATGAGTGTTTCTGTTTTGGCTTGACAAAACCCAGAGTACCATTAACCTATAATCATAGAATGGTTCATGGCGCGGCTCATAATAACTCATTTTGTTCGATCAAAAGTCATATTAGGCACGAAAAAGTCGACGACTGCATAGAAAACTTCAATTTATGTAAAGTCCTTGAATATTTGTCAACTTTTGGGACATATAACCTGACACCTGACAACGTTTCACGAGCTTAATGCGATCTTTCCCTAACTTAGATTATGGATAATTGGCAAAAATGGCGTCAAATAAACCATGTGTTTTGGTTCCGTTGGACTAAAAGTTATCCTTAAATTTCGCTCATATTTGCGACCAGCTCTTGAAAGTTAAGCTTTCAGCTGTTTTTCGCGACCGATGTCACCAATTACTGCATGTGAGTATCGAAAATAAAGCTTTTAATCAACGTTTATATAAAAATATCAAGAATTTAGCTGAGGTGGCGACTTTCTGGATCAGTTTTTGGCAATTTTTTTAGCAACTTTTTGATATTCAAGTGAGAAACTTTCCACTATTCTACGAGCACAATCGGTACGGGCCTATACCCTACTCGTAAACACTTTATTAAAAACATATAAAAATATTTAATTACAGTTCTTTTGCGCTCGAACAGTCTATACTTTTTTCGTTTCCTTGTTGGGACTTTTATTTTGTATAAGTATCCATTAGAGTTTCCTTTTTTTAGTTATGCGATAGTAAGAAATTAAAAATTGTTTATAATCCCTTGGCGATGGGACATTGTAAAAACAGTTATTTAAAAAACCTTTTGTTTTGTTTTTCGATGTTGGCCAATAACCGGAGCCTCGAGTCCATGTACTCGACCCAGTTACGCAGCTCGTTTCTAAGCATATCGAACATGGGCTGATTATTCTTTAGTTGATAAACTTTTGTCCAAATATCTGAGGATTTTACAGTTGTGGTTTCAAGCAACAGATATGTTTTTCTTCACTTGTTAATAGGCAAGGCCACGGATGATATTTTTCTCTTTACTGAACTTGTTAAAGCTTACGCTGGATTGAAGGCAACAAAGGTTTCATTTGAACACAAGTAATTATTAAGGTATTCATTCCGAAGGCAACTTTGTCCACAGAAGGAGGTTCTGGGCGACAACGAGGTCGATTTCTACAGTATCCTGAAAGACTTCGCAAAGAAAAAAAAAAAGGGCTTGCGGCAAAATCACTTGGTCTTTGTGATTACTGGCATATTTCTGTTAGTTTTGTTCGTTGGGGCAAACAGAGACTTATGTGGGAGTGTTTTTAAAACTCAAGTTGGTAAGTAATAAACCCGGCTCGGTCCAGCCTAATTTCCTCATGTTTACCCAAAGACTTCTCTTTGCAGGCTATGCCTTACTGGGTCACGTTATGACTAAAACTGATGTTCTTGACGAGTTTGAATGTCAGCTAAAATGTTTGGGAAATGGCAGTTGCAAATCGTTTAATGTTCATCACAAAAGCAATAATACGAAGCGCATTTGTGAGCTGAACAACATAACATGGCAGATGAACCCGGATGATTTCAAACAGAAGAAAGGATCCACATACTTTGGATCTGTTCAGGTCAGTAAAAAAAATGCATCTCTGAAGTTTGCTTGTTATCGTGTTGGATTCTACAGGCGTTAATGCAATCATTGTTAATTCGTGTCAATATTAAATTTTGGTAACACTAACGTTAATCACCGTTTAGTTTCCATTGTTTGCTATTAACAACCGTTTCAAAAGTCGTATTTGTTTAATCCTTAGAGATCACAGACTTTGGACGCCTTGCTTTTTTTCCTTCTTATTTTTTCTTGGTTTTGTGAATAACCTTGAGCAAGTAAGTTAAAAAGGAATGCCGGAGTTGCACGAGCGCGAAAATTTAAAAATCCAGCATGCAGAGACCGCTATAAGCAAGGCTTGCTCCCGACCCTCTCAGTCATTAGTATATTTAGTATATTTAGCCTCAATACCTAAGGAAAAGACAATTGGCATAAATGAACTCCGATTTGGTTCCCTTTTCCTGTTATCCTTAAAGCAAGGCTTAAGATGGCATCGACGATAGCTTAGAGAACTTGGTGGCACGACGTTCAATGTTTCCCTTTTGCTGTTTAACGTAAGCGTCAAGTTTAACTTCAATCTATACAGAGTAGCTTTGCAGCTGCCATCAATTTGTTATAACAGAGCTCTGTGAAAACAACAGAAGGCATAAAAAGTAAGACTTACTTCATAATTTGTTAATTGGATTCTTTGTCGCACACACAATTACCTCCTCAAAAAAATATTCTCCTGATTTACACTTTCATCTCTCTACATTTTATATACATTCATTCACGAAGAATTGATTTTTCTCTATTGAATGATTTTTTGTTTAATGCCTTTTGAGATGTTCTCCTTCGTCATAATTCAGCAGTTAAAAGGATGATGTTCCATTGCAATCGCTTTTCATAGAAATAAATAGGAATCAAAATTATATTAGTCAAAGAAAAGTCTATCGCTTGTACGGCCATCAAAAAACTGGAGAAAACATTCTTGACGCGTTTTTTTAAACTTGACCCAGGCCACATGCGTCCATGTTTTCCGTGAAAACAATGAACAAATAAATGGCAGCAAGTGTCGTCCAGGATACAAAGGAGAAAGGTGTCAAATACGTAAGTACTTATTACAATAACAATTTAACGTATATTATGGCTTCAAGCCATTTTTTTCAAAAACTGTAAAATGGTCGCCATTAAAACATTTTATGGTCGCGCAACTACCCCTCTCTCACTCCTACAGAAAAAATAAAAAAGAAAGAAAACGTCTGGTACCAGAAAAGATTCACAACAAAGATGCTGAGAACGGATTAATACGATTTCGGTCGATTGTCCAGCTGAGAAACATCTCTCATAGTTTGAAGCGAGCTAAACTATTAGTCTTGAAAACCTTCCTTATTTTAAACAACATTGAATCGCTTAAGACTTACTTCGTACTGCAAAGTTGATGGTAAGACTGAGATGCTGAACGTCATTTAAATGAAGGTTATGTCATTGAAATCAGTTTGACTTGATCAACGCTCATTTATGGTTCATGCGTATCTGAGAGTAACGGAACGGCGAGAAAGAACAAGAGAAAGACAGGTGAAACGGGCGTTGTTCGATAATTCAACCAAAGATTGATAATTTTCTCAAGTCTCCTTTTTTTATTTTTCTTTTCTTTTCGATTTGTTGATCGCCAATTGGCGACTTTGGTCTAAAGTTTAGTTGTCAAATATGACCAAACATATTTTTCACCCGCCAACTTGGAGCGCTGATATAGCTATGAGCAATCTGATCTAACCAAACAGCCACACCTTTAAAATTGTCAATGGGCCATGCGTGCATGCATGAACAATTAGCTCATGCCTAGATAGTTACTCACTTTTAAAAATAAAACGTTTCATCTTGATAATGCAGCACACGCTTTATTTGTGAAACTCAATGCATTGTTAACAAACTCTGGATAACAACTCGCAATTGAATTCAATTTCATTTCACCTGCAGATGAAAATTAGGCAAAGAATTGACCCTCCTAGGTGGACTGCACCTTTAGCAATTACGAAAAAGCAGCCTGAAAAAATTTCAGGCTTCGAAAGGATTCGAACAGTCGTGCCAAGAGGGGTTTCACACAATCTACTTTAGGTAACTAGGCAGAATACAACCTCTGCACCAAGCCGAATATTACATTTCAATGTGGATCAGACTGATTACGTGGCAAACCTTGGCTCAAAACTTGAAATTGGGAACAGAGAAATTAATGATAATACTGTCCAGTCTATAAGACATTTCTTTCGCTAGCCGGATCGCATTTTTCAGGTGTGTATTTGCAATGGTAGATCTGTTCAAAGTGTTCTGCCGAGATTTTGTTGCTGTCGTCGAGTTTCGTGTTCTAATATATGTCTTTTTTAATTCTAATTTATCACACCATTTATTTATTTTTTACACGGCCTGTCAACGCGATCAACAGTAGTTTAGAGTAGCCAAACCCAACAACAAAAGACAAAAAGTTTCTGTCTGCATTAAAATTTTCGTGATGATTAAGCAAATGTGGACCCAAACTCCAAAAGATTGACAATAAAAGAAGACTACGGCGAAGGACGATGATGATGATCTTGATGCACACAATAATGATCAATTGTTTTTCTTATAACTTATGCTTATAAATATTTTCGTTCCTAGAAGGCAGGATTTATGGGGATAGGGATAATTACAAGTTTACGAATGTCTTAGTAGGCTGGTAAGAAAAAGCTAAGTTTTTTCGGGATGGGCAAAATAATAGAACCGAGTATTCTACAGAGATTCCAAGTTGCTGGTAGCAAAATCAATTTTCAAGCTCCCCATTTAAACCTCATTAGGTTGCAATCCCAATTACATAAAATTGAATACTCTCTCTTGTAGCTTCTAAGAGCTGTCTCGAAATTTACAAGTCTGGCTATAAGATGAGTGGAGTGTATTACATCGATCCTGATGGTTTGGGTGAATTTAAAGTCTTCTGTGATCAGACGACGGCTGGGGGAGGATGGACGGTGTTTCAAAAGAGATTTGACGGCACTGTAGATTTCTTCCGCACCTGGGATGACTACAGACAGGGCTTCGGCAATCTGAACGGCGAGTTTTGGCTCGGGCTGGACAAGATTTATCGCCTGACTGCGAGCAGCACTAACAAGCTTCGTGTTGACTTGGAAGACGTCCGTGGTGGAAGGGCATTTGCAGAGTACCAGTCATTTTCTGTGGCCAATGAGGAAGAGAAATATTTATTAATATTGGGAAGTTATTCAGGTGCGATTGAACTTTCTCACAACGACTATATATTCGAGGGCATATTGTTAATTTGCACCCGCGCAGTGTCTCTTGCGAGCTGAGCGCGCGTACTAAGAATTATGTTATCAAACATTTTGCTTGTATAAGTTGGGCCTCACGAAAACCTCACTCTGAACATGGTAGTGTTTGTTGCTGTGGAGGTGATTGTTCGTTGCATGACGATTAATTCAAGAGTTTTTTTTAACAGGCTCGGCAGGTGATTCTCTTGCATATCATCGTGGCCTACAATTTAGCAGCAAAGATCAGGATAATGACAGATCCCAACACAACTGTGCTTCATCCATGAAAGGCGGCTGGTGGTACAACAGTTGCCAACACTCAAACCTAAACGGTTTGTACCGAAAAGGTCAAAGTGGATCAACGGTAATGCGCTGGAATCGCTGGAGAGGCAGTGAGTCTGTCGAAAGATCAGAGATGAAAGTTCGTCAAAATGACTCCTAAGGTCTGGTATTGGGAGTTCCAGGTCAAATGAAAGAAAACATGTATTCTGAAGGAAAAAAGAGCATGCTGTTGTTTTTTGTTTTCTTGGCTTATATTTCAAAGATTCGATCGTTACTTCTTGTTGGTTAAACTTTCACTGTAAAAAGGTTTCAAGGTTTGTAGAAATCAAATTTTTGTGTCGTAATCGGAACAACTAAGAATAAGAGATTGTTTAATAGTGTAAAAAGTTTTCCATATGACTTTGTTTTCAAAAATTTATCGCGAGGATCAAAATTGGTTAACACTGCTGTCATGGTACCTCAAGAGATTTGCAGTGCGAGGACAAATTTGTTTCTTCACTTAAAAGTTTTGATGAGCTATTTACATATTGCTAAACGAAAGAACAATTAACTTTCTAATTCAATGGCTCAAGCAAAGGATGGCTGGATGCTCTAGAAGGCATGGTCTGAGGTCTATTTGATATTTCAAATGACAAAGTCCGTTTTTAATCTTTTCTCAGTCTCATAATCTAAAGTAAGCTTATCATCGGCTCGCTAAGAATATTAAAGTTGATAATCCTCAGATAAAGCTATCGCACATCATTTTTAAACGCTCTGTTGAGTCTCCTATTAGAGACATCTTTCTTCCAACGCCCCTAGAGCTCATGCACGCTACTGCAATTGCTGCTGATCATGAGAATGGAACAACTAGCTCATGTTGATCTTGACGGTATATTTTGTGATCTTAGCCGAAATCTCCGCCTTATTTTTTTATTCGAAAAAAGATTGCTCTTCACCTAGTATGTGGCAGCCAGGCATAGGTCTGGCCAATTTTGTAAGTGGATGGTATAATGTTGTTCAGGCCCTTTGAACCCAAAGCTCTCGCTGCTCAGGAAGTGTTAGCAACGGCAGGAGCCCATTACTTAAGTAATGGACTCCTAGAAACAGGTATAAAACACGTGTGTACACACCTTTGGTATACTTCCTTTAAGAGAGAATCAGAAACCTGTGTCAAAACTGTGAAAAAGCTGTACCACGCTTCCCTATTAAGTCACGGTTTATTCACCTGATTTAACGATTTTACAACAACGCTTCGGTTAACTTCCACACTCAACTCTCGGCTTACTCGAAGGGAACACTCACAACTTCCCGTTGTAAGCGCGTGGAACAGTGCCATACATGGGGTGATAAAACATGTGCCGCATACATGCTTGTTTGGTTATGTATAGATAAATGAAATCACTTATAAATGTCAATCAAATTAAGAATAATTAATGCATCGTTCAGTTTCCAATACCTGCCCCTTGCACGATATGATTAGTACATTGGGAATGAAAAAGACTCTAGTGTCCAGTTGTCTATGGTCGCTAACTGGTCATCTTTCCTAGGCTCCTCTCGGCCGTGGTTTATAAACATAGACTTTGCGGGATTGTTTATCGTCTTTGCTGAAGTGTGCACGATCATTTCAGCTGGAATCCGCGGAGCTAATGATCAAATTGGGGATTCAAATCAAGAAGGAGACTCTTACCTTTCAACCCGTGATAGTTCCGACCTACATACCTGCAGAAAATTGGGAAAATGCGAGATACATCTCCATAGATATTTACTCAATAACAGTTGTTCCTCAACGTCGGTCCAGTTTTCTTTTCCAAAATTTTTTTTCGCGTCTTCGGGAAATTAGTGGATCTGACACGATCATTAATGAAAATCAGGATCGTGGTTAAAAATCTGTGAAATTCAATGCTGATCGTAAATTTATTTGCTTATTAAATGTTAACTTGGATCTCCTATGACCGAACATGTAATCATCATGGAGCAGAATTTTCACGAAACGAGCTCCAACTGAGAAAACGAGACTCGTAAAGATATCTAGTCATTCGGGAACCAGATTTAATTTATATCAGCATATATATAATCAGTGTGTTTTCTGTTTGTGTGCTTTCCACACCAACAGTTACTTTTTGAACAGGTCCTCTTTACCACTTGTAAGGCTTTGTCTATTATCATGCAGGACCATGCACTGAATCAGCCGATACTTTGAATTAGCATATTTTCATTACCAATTCATTTCATATACTCTTTGAATGATCTTATTCTTATTTTTGCAAACTTGATTTTAAAATTTAATTGTCCTTAAAGACTTGTTATCATTGTTATCATGCCTTATGTGTTTTGCCTGGGGTTCCATTTTAAACTTTGTGATGTTGTCCCCGCTTTTCCATTGTGAACACTTCCCATCGTTAGTGTTGGAAAGTTCAAAATGGCGGCAGATTGTAGACAATAGAGGGATCAGAGAAGGATCATCATCATTGCCTGTTGAGCATTTCTTTCATTTATTAGCTCAAGGTATGAGAGGTCCTATTACGGAAGAACACATAAAACAGTTTTTAGTTAAGAAGCCTTGCAAAGTTTTTTTAGCTAGTCCACGCAAACAAGTATTAGCTAATTGCTTTTTTTCAACAGGCGTTGCTTCATTTCGAGTACCTTACGTTGTGAAACCCACATTCTGTGTTTCCATCTACCATCTCACGTCAGTTCACGTCTACCGGCCAATTTCTCACGCCCACCGAAGCATTGCTTTTAAATATTTCTTATCTACTTTTGACCTTTTTCATTCATAAAAAATGATTACTTTGAATAAAACTAGAGACTTGAAGAGTGGATGCTGAAAAAAAAATAGCAATATCTGTCATGCATGTATCAGTCCAGTCGCAGTAAACTTGTTTGTTCAAATTTTTGTAGCTTCGGCCTCATGGAAACATCCGGCTACATAACCTAGTTTTTGCTATTATTATTTTATTACTTTGCCTCCACTATTACTGAAATTTCCTAGTGTTGATGCATGAGTAGCCAGCAAGCGTTATTAGCGCCTCAATACGAAACATTCCTTGGCCTGCGAATAAGCCCGAGGCCTTGAGAAACGCTAACTGGCGGGTGATCTGGTACTAGTGCCAGATCCCTAGAAGACCTCTCGCCAGCTCGCTTCTCTTATGGCAGTTCAGTTGAGAGCGAAGGAACGCTTGTGCCGCAGCGCTAATAATAATAAGGACCTACTCACAGACTACTTCAGTAGCAATGTATTACATGGCTATTAATTTTGCGACTATTCAAACAAGACTGATAAAAGTGTCAGCCAGTGAACCACATTCGCTGATCAAAGACCCAACTTCAGTCACGCAATTTAGTTGCCCTTCCTGCATTCGATGCACCTGTGAAGCTTCTGCATGAAAAGTTTCTCGATGAAATATTATCAGCCATTGACTCTGCAAGATCACAAAAATAATCAATTCTAGCGAATTGCATCCTGAACCATTAGAAAACGATCACTTTCTTTATAATGCAATGTTTACCAAGATCAGTTTGTTTTCAGCAAAAATGTGAACACGAGACTGAGATTTTGACTAGCCAACTTTCTTAGCCCAGTTCAGACGCTATGTTTCTCTCGACCCGAATCGGCCAAACTTCAGTAATAGGATTTTTTCCCTAAGGTAATTGATTAACAAATGTTTGTCCAATTCATTTGCAAGGTCGTTCTTTGGGAACGATGCCAATCGCTAAGTCACTGAGCAAATTATGAATAACAAATTTACTGAAGCGCGGTGGGTAAACAATAGTGACACTTTATTGTAATGAGTATATGAGTGGTATGTCTAAAATAGAATGCTACAGACATTCTATAAACTCGGTTCAGTGTTGAAAAATCATTCCTTCAGTGGATCGGTTATAGCAATCACCTGCACTTGCAGCAAGTTTTCGGACGTAGATTCACGATGAAATATCTCTGTGAAGTTCTTCTTTTCTGTTTTTTCCTGACGGCACTTTCGAACGCGACGAAACTGTCGTCTAAACCAGCAAGAACCGATAACGATACGAAACATCGCCCACATTGTAGTATCAATAACAACTATTTCTACGCTGGTCAGAACTCCAGGAAAATAGAAAATATGTTTTCTGACATTCAACAACAACTGACCAAACTTGAACAAGAAATCCGAAACATGAAGAACCAAACTTGTGAGAAGCAAGATGGGAAAGGTTGGTGGGAAAATGACTTTTAGATTGAACGAAGACGATTCAGTTGACTTGATGCTCATTCAGTTTCACTTTCTATCTTTTTTAAAGCTGTTTATAAGAACTGTGCCGAAGTTTATAGGTCAGGCGACAAGATCAGTGGTGTATACAAAATCGATCCTGATGGTTTAGGAGAATTTGAAGTCTTCTGTGATCAGAAAACAGCCGGTGGAGGATGGACGGTGTTTCAAAAGAGATACAACGGTGCAGTAGATTTTTTCCGCGCTTGGGACGACTACAAACGGGGCTTCGGCAATCTGAACGGCGAGTTTTGGCTCGGACTGGACAAAATGCACCGCCTGACTGCGAGCAGCCGCAACAAGCTTCGTGTTGACTTGGAAGATATCCACGGTAACACAGCGTTTGCAGAGTACGGTTCATTTTCTGTGGCAAGCGAAAGGGTGAAATACCTGCTGAGTTTGGGAGGTTATTCAGGTGAAACTGATTTAATCTAAGAGTGGTGTTCGTAAGTAACGCTATTCGAGTAAACTTCGTAGGTAGTATTGAAAGCAGTTGGGCCGGTGTAAGAATAATTATATTGTCGGCAATACTGAGGTGAAGAAGAAAAAGAGAAGAGTTAAAAGTAAATTATTTTACCATATTTTTCTTTATTTCAAATTGATTTCTCCAAATACAATTATAGCGAACACATTTTTCGAAGACTTATAGGTTATTAATGTTTAGGAAATTTATACTCATTATTCAAAATGTTTCTTAATGAAAAAGCAGTGAAATAAATCTTTCACTCTTTTAGGCACATTATCATAAAATTCTCACTGAAATTCTTTTTTCCAGGCACGGCTGGTGATTCTCTCAGCTATCATCGTGGCTCACCGTTCTCCACTAAAGATCGAGATAATGACGCCTCCTCCTCAAGCAACTGTGCCTCTCGTCGTAAGGGCAGTTGGTGGTACAAGAATTGCTATTACTCAAACCTTAATGGCCTTTACATGAACGGCAAAGATAACAACGCGGGAATGGTGTGGTATCACTGGAAAAAAAATCATAAATCTGTTAAGAGGTCTGAGATGAAAATCCGTCCAAAGGACTTCTAAGGTTCATCATACTTTGTTAGTGTGAACCAAAAGATGAATATGTGCTCAGCAGATACATAAGGTTTCATGTGCTTTAGTTTTAAAAGTAAAGTTTTCAAACAAGTTAGAAGTGCATGTATTATTATTCAAAGTTAAAACCACTGACGAAGCCATGAAAATAAAATACTTCTATGAAAGAGATGTAGATGTAGCTTAGCTTGTGGTTCCAATAAAGATAAAACAAAGGGGAAAAAAGCGTCTTTTGCTGTAACATTAATATTTCATCAGTGCCCGACAAAACAAGACGTTGCTGAAAGCGTTAACTCGAGTCAGGAGTATATAAGGAATAAGAACGAATTTTTCTCTTAGTAGCATGAGTTTAGGTATATAATTAAACTTTGAGAAACAAGGACGTCGGCATGATGTCGTCCCCAGTTTCAAAGGTCTACACAAGGAACGCCTTGGACCATGAGACAATTAAGGACTCTTTTTTCCCTCAACTTCTTCAACAAATGTTTGTTTTACAACAGAACAAATGTCAGTTTGCGTTTTTCAGGCAAGCGGCGGTAAGCGTGAGGCGAGCGTGGGGGGAGATAAGCGTGTGAAAGGAAGAGCGCCAAACAATAACAATATTCAATGAAGGAGGTACACAACTTAACAATGGCTCGTTCTTCTTATCAACAACGCGCTCTAATTAATCTGCCGACGTCAAACTAGACCCCGTTCATTCATTCACCAATGTTTTATGGGACTTGTTAAATAACGAAACGCTTTCCAATTCGTGGTTGAAACGGCGAAGTCAGATGAAGAAATAGATACGGTGCGCAGACTTAAGATAAATAAACATTTTGGTCCACCCTAAATTTTTTTCCAAGCTAGTAACAATCACAGATTTGTAAAGTGCGTCCGATCTAGCTTCGTAATGAGTGTTTCTGTCTTGGCTTGACAAAATCCAGTGTATAATTATAACCTAGAATGGTTCGTGGCGCGGCTCATAATAACTAATTTTGTTCGATCAAAGGTCATAACAGGCACGAAAAAGTCGACGACTGCATAAGAAACTTCAATTTATGCAAATTCCTTGAATGTTTATGAACTTTTTGCACACATAGCCTGACACTTGACAGCGTTTCACGAACCTGATGCGATCTTTATCTAATATTAGAAGGCCGGATAATTGACTACAATGGCATCAAATGAACCCATGTATTTTGTTCCGTTGGACTAAAAGTTTCCTTAAATTTCGCCTATATTTGCGAACAATCTTAAAAGCTAAGCTTCCAGCTATTGTTCATGACCGATGTCAGCCATTACTGTCAGGATCGAAAATAAAGCTTTTAAACAACGTTTTTATGAAAACATCGAGAAATTGAATCGGCGAACTTCCGGATTTTGGCAATTTTTTTAGCAACTTTTTTTTATAATGAGCAACTTTCCAGTATTCTACGAGCACAATCGGCAGGCCTACACAAAAAAAATGAAATAAAGGTTCGGCATCACAATTTCTGCCACAACAACAGAAACGGAATGCTGAATACTACAACCGCTCACCAACAAATCCAGACGTAAACTACAATCCACCGAGGACTTCATTAACGCCTCTTTTCACATTTGATGTGAACTGACACTACCGCTACCGACAGAGTAGATTATGGACTTACTAAACCTTTGCCTTGCGTCAACTTACTTTAGTACAACGGTAAACACTACAAACGGTACAGCTATGGGGTCTCCAGTTTCTGTTGTTGTGACAGAAAGCGGAGAGTGCCCCTTCGACTTGCCGACAAACGATACCGCTTTGGTTACGCTACGTTGACGATACATTCACCGCCGTACAACACGACGAAGTCGACGCATTCCACTACCACCTTAACGGACAAAACACTGACATACAGTTTACCAGAGAGGTCGAAGAAAATGGTAAATTACCTTTTCTAGACTACCTGGTAAGACGTGACGACAACTCACTACGGACAACAGTTTACAGGAAACCGACACATACCGACAGGTTATTGGACGAGTCATTCTGCAACCCGACATCACACAAAGCCACAATTATCAGGATTCTCACGCGACGAGCGTAACTAGTATGCAACACGACAGAAAGTTAACCTACGAGAACAAGTGCCTTGACTGCGTTTTTTCAAAGAACAACTATAACGAAGAATTCATTCGACGAAACACGCACCGACTTACCACTACTACCGAAGCTAACGACAACGCAACTCCCACGACTACAGCAACTATACCGTACATAAAGGGCATATCTGAGAACATCTCGCGCATCCTAAAACAATTCAATATCCGCGTCGCTCACACAACCCATTACCACACTACGTCAGTTACTGACTAACGTCAAAGACCAAGACGAACTGAGGAAAAGATAGGGAGCAGTTTATAAGATCACTGTTGCTCCAACTGCCACGCCTCCTACATCGGTGAGACTGGAAGAAACCTCACAACTAGACTGAGTGAACACAAACGAGCGACGAGGAAAGGCGATGTCAACAATCACATTGCTGAACATCACCGACTTGCAAACCACACTATTGACTGGGACTCGGCGCAATGCCTAACCTACAGCACCAACTACTTTCAGCGAATGACTCTGGAAAGCTGTATACTAACTAGGAACAGACTCCCCTCAACAGGTGTTAACCACTACCAGCACCCTACAAACGACTTATCCACGACATTAACATTACAAACGAACCGAATAGAACGACTTAACTTTACTAACGGATCGAGACTCACCAATCACGACCGACCTACGCCACTTGAGTCTTACAGCCACTAACATCACGGCAAAACTGACCAATCAGTTTATACAAACCGGACTAGGAAAATTCGACTGACGACAACTATTCACTTGACTCTGAAGATGACTTCCACCCAGGTTGTCGAAACGTCGTCACCACTACCGACAACAGTCCTTCTCAGAATTACACCCACCCGGAAGATCAAACTACACTATTAAATAAATTGTGAAACGGTCGCTATTGAAAAATTTTTGGTCGCCCCACTACTTCCCTCCCACTGCTCAAGAAAAAAGCAGGAAAAAAAAAACGGTCATCAACAGGAGGAAATCTCATGTTGTACTGGATAAACTATCTACTAAGGTGAACATTTGCCAAATTTAAACGTTTACTTGCTTGCCGATTAAAGAAAAAAAGTTGAAGAGGTTCTGATGTCTGATAGCAGAAATGATTTACAGCAAAGCTGCTGAGACCAGATTAATACCGTAAAGATTTCGGTCGATTGTTCAGCTAAGGAACATCTCTCATAGTTTGAAGTGAGCTAAACTGTAAGCATTGTACACCTTTCTTATTTTAAAAAACATCTTGAATCACCTAAGACTTAGTCACCATACCTCGTACAGCAAAGTTGATGGTTAGACTGAAATGCTGAACGCAAAATGAAGGTTATATCATTGAAATCAGTTTGACTTGATCAACGCTCATTTAAGGTTAATACGTATCTGAGAGTAACGGAACGGCGAGAAAGAACAATAGAAAGACAGTAAAAACGGGCGTTTGTTCGATTGACGATAAAGAAGACTACGGCGAAGGACCATGATGATGATCTTGATGCAGACTATAGTGGTCAATTGTCTTTTTTACAACTTATGCTTGTAAATATTTTTGTTCCTAAAAGGCAGGATTTGTGGGGATAGAGATAATTACAAATTTACGAATGTCTGAGTAGGCTGGTAAGAAATAGCTAAGTTTTTTCGGGATGGAAAAATAATAGAACCGAATATTGTACAGAGATTCCAAGTTGCTAGTCAGCAAATAAATTTTCCAACTCCCCATTTAGATTCCGTTAGCTTGCAATCCCAATTACATAAAATTGAACTCTCTCCCTCATAGCTTCTAAGAGCTGTTTCGAAATTTACATGTCTGGCTACAAGATAAGTGGAGTGTATTACATCGATTCTGATGGTTGGGTGAATTTAAAGTCTTCTGTGATAAGACGACGGCTGGGGGAGGATGGACGGTGTTTCAAAAGAGATTTGACGGCACTGTAGATTTCTTCCACACGTGGGATGATTACAAAAGGTGCTTCGGCAATCTGAACGGCGAGTTTTAGCTCGGACTGGACAAGATTCACCGTCTGCCTGCAAGCAGCAGTAACAGGCTTCTTGTTGAATTGGCAGACGTCCTTGGAGGATGGGCATTTGCAGAGTACAAGTCGTCCTCTGTGGCCGATGAGGAAGAGAAACATCTACTAATATTGGGAAGGTATTCAGGTGCGATGAACTTTCTCAAAACGACTATATATTCGAGGGCATATTATTAATTTACACCCGCGCAGTGTCTCTTGCGAGCTGAGCGCGCGTACCAAGTAATATTTTATAAAACATACTGCTAGTATATTAGTCTTCATGAAAACCTCACTCTGATCATGTTAGTGTTTATTGCTGTAGAGGTGATTTTTCGTTGCATGACGATTAATCCAAGGGTTTTTTTTAACAGGCTCGGCAGGTGATTCTCTTGCATATCATCGTGGCTTGCAATTTAGCAGCAAAGATCGGGATAATGACAGATCCCAACACAACTGTGCTTCATGATCCATGAAAGGCGGCTGGTGGTACAACAGTTGCCCACACTCAAACCGAGACGGTCTATACCGAAAAGGTCAAACTGGATTAACGGTAATGCGCTGGAATCGCTGGAGAGGAAGTGATTCTGTCGAAAAATCAGAGATTAAAGTTCGTCCAAATGACTCCTATGGTCTGGTATTGGTAGCTTTGGGTCAAAAATGAAAGAAAATATGTATTCTGAAGGAAAAGTAGGCATGCTGTTGCTTTTTCTTTTCTTGGCTTATATTTCAAAGACTCGATCGTTACCTCTTTTTGGTTAAACTGTCATTCTAAAAAGGTTTCAAGGTCTGTAGAAATCAAATTTTCGTGAGATGATCGGAACTGCTAAGAACAAGAGATTGTATGAGTTTTTTTTTTTAATTTATCGCCAGGATCAAAACTGGTTAACACGCTTTCATGGTACCTCAAGAGATTTTCAGTGCGAGAGCAAATTTTTTTTTTAACTTAAAAGTTTTGATAAACTATTTACATATTGTCCAACGAAAGAACAATTAACTGTCTAATTCAATGGCCCAAGCACAGGATAGCTGGATGCTCTAGAAGGTATGGTCTGAGGTCTATATTTCAATTTGAGGTCTATGTATTTCAAATGATGTCCGTTTTTAATCTTTTCTCATTCTTATAATCTAAAGTAAGCTTATCATCGGTTCGCTAAGAATGTTAAAGCTGACGATCCTCAGATAAAGCTATACAACATTATTTGTAAACGCTCTGTTGAGTCTTCTATGAGACGCATACATCTTCCTTTAAACGCCCTCAGAGCCCGTGCACGGTGCTGCAATTGCTGCTGATCATGGGAATAAAAAAACTAGCTCATGTTGATCTTGACAGTATATTTTATGATCTCAGCCGAAATTCCACTTCAATTTTTTTTTGAAAAAAGATTGCTCATCACCCAGTATGTGGCAGCCAGGCATAAGTCTGGCCAATTTTGTATAATGTTGTCCAGGCCCTCTGAACCCAAAGCTCTCGCTGCTCAGGAAATGTTAGCAACGGGTATAAAATACGTGTACACACCTTTGGTATACTTCCTTCATGAGAGAATCAGAAACCTGCTCCTTGCACGATGCGATTAGGACAGGGAAAACCCAAGGAACGTTGTGGGGACCACTGGGGATGAAAAAGACACTAGTGTCCAGTTTACTGTGATCGCTATTTGATCATGTTTCCCAGGCTCCTCTCGGCCGAAGTTTATAAACATGGACTTTACGAGACTGTTTATCGTCTTTGCTGAAGTATGCACGATCATTTCAGCTGGAATACAGGGAACTAATGATCAAATTGAGAATGCTCATCGAGAAGGAGACTCTTACTTTTCAACCCGTGACGGTTCCAATCCACAAACCTGCAGAAAACTTGGAAAATGTGAGGTACATCTACAAAGAAACTTACTCAATAACAGTTGTCCCTCGACGTCGGTCCAGTTTTTTTTAAACTTTTTTTTTCGTGTATTCGGAAAAGTAGTGGATTTGACACGATCAATAATGGAAACCAGGATCGTTGTTAAAAATCTGTGGAATTCAATGCTGAACGTAAATTTATATGCTTATTAAATGTCAACTTGAATCTCATGTAACCGAACAATCATGTAATTTATGTATCTTTGAGCATTTTAAAAAACGAGCTCGACCTGAGGAAATGAGACTCTCGTAAAGATATCTACCGGTAGTCATTCGGGAACCATATTTAATTTATAACAGCTTACGAACTGAATCAGCTAAAGAACTCGTCTCCTTTAATTCTTGATACGTGTTCTCTGAATTATTCCCTCCAGTTCACAAAACTTTGATGTTTGTACAACTGCCCCACTCTATTAATAATTAAATTGATTATGTATTCAAAGAGCGGTTCATTCTGAAAATAGTTACCAGTTATCAAAATAGATGAGTGCTACATTAAACTCAGGCAGTCTTTCTTAAAGAAAACATTTATACTCACAAACAGTTTATAAATGTTATTGGTCATGCAAACACATGAAATTGTTAATTTTTTTTAAAGTTAGTAGACATGAGGCTGTGAGGAGCTCAGTGGTCAACCGGTTGGAATATGTCAACTTCAAAATAAAATGTGCAATGGCATTGGCCCTTGATTCATGTGATTGAGCAAACTAATTTATCTATACTGTTCCATTGTGTTTAGACATAATTTTCTGTGTTTTTATTTTCAGGGCACTCCAGATAGGCCTCAGAACTGCTGGGGGTATGAGCCAGGGTGTACCTCAGCAGATAAATGGTACATCAAACCACAGTGCGATGACAACATGTCTGGCAGACATTTTAGAACGTAAGTTGATAAAAGATTCACATAGGTGCTCAGATAAAACACACCAGAGATCACTCAAAATGTCGTAGTTGGTTATTTTTTATCACCTTTATTAGAGAAATACTTAATCTTTCCTTAACAAGTTTTGATCATTTGTTGGCATGAACAGGTTAACCATTTTACCTCCTAAGAGTGATTAACATCCAATTTCACCATAAAAGATCATCCTTGAATCACACATTTAACTTATGAGAATAAAGGAATTGATCATGTGCACCATGTAACTAAAGGAGCTTCAATTGTTAGACAAATTCTCCTTGTCAGCACTGTTGTAAATGAGTAATGAACAGTATGGAGACTATACATACTGATGTTAGGGACTAAAAGGTAAACGCAGTAATATTTCAAGTCTTGAAACACCCTTAATTTTAGCATATCACTGTGTACCTGACTAACTCAAAAGCAATAAAGGGGGTAAGTTTTCTGAAAAAATCATGGTGCTGTGTTGGTGAGAGAGTATAATGGGGTAATTTAGTATTATCAACTGAGTGGATAAAGTAAATTGGCCTCTATGAAGAGTTTCAAAGCTGTTAGCCCTTCTTCAGGGTGAATAACACAAAAGTAAGTTTGATGATCCATCTATTCTATTATCAATTTGCAGTTGGCATGTTAAGATCACATACAGTAATTATTATTAGCAACAGAAAGTTTACATGGAAAGTAGAATATCTGTACCTTAGTAATGATATGAAATTGATTCTTCGTTTCAATTTGTTATGTTATGTATATGTTATAGGATTGAAGACAAAATTCACCAGTTCTGGAAAGAAAGTGATTTTGGTTTTGTGAAATCTGTTCAGGACAGTCTACAATTGGTTTGTAAACCAAAGGAAACCCAGGTTAGAATCTGAAATTTCTCTTAAGGAGTTTTAGGGTGAGAGAGGGTATATATGGAAAAATGAGAACAGTGAAGTGTTCTATGATCAAGTAACATTTAGACATTATTTTGGCTAAATTGGCAAAGTCATCTGCAAACAGTGCCCAAAAGTTTGGCTGAGGCTCATAACTATAAAGCATCATCTGACTGTCTGGGTGTTCTTCATGATATCAAGCTTAGGATAATGATAACATTAATCCAACTCCAACCATCAGATAGACAGTATAACAAGCAGGTGATCAAACTCAAAAGATACCACCAATATTTGAGTTACAAACTCCTAATCAACACACACAACATACTCCAAGTCTCCAAAAGGATATGACCAGAGGCTAACTGGAGATAAACATTCAACTTAATGGCTCATCTATTAATTATTAACTTTCCAGGCAGATGCCTCATCTCTTGTTTGCTCCAAGCAGCTGACATACTGTAAAGCAAAGCATCTATTCATGGATTTCAGGAATATGCCAAATGGACAAAGGTACAGATTGAAGGAAGATCTAAGTAAAGATTCTGTTTGGGAATATATTCAATGTTATTTGTTGATGACAAATTTTGAAAAACTGAAATGACTTAATAAATTTGTGATGACACCTATTTTTAGTGATATATAGATCAAAAGAAAATAGTCCATCAAACACACAACTGATTTTCCTTACAGAGAAAAAACTGTTTAGCCATCAATTTTGGTTGACTGCAAGTGAGAGTAATAAGTCATAAAATGGCCTTATAATGCAATCATTTTTATAATAATAAAAAATGCAAAATTGACACTGTTCTGAGGATCATATTTTACATTTATTATGATCAAATTTGTTTAATGTATTAAAAAAAATTAATTCAAATGGAATTTGTGGGGAAAATTAGTTCCCTATTATCAGGTACTTCCTTCACGATCATTGTTTGCTACATATGTAATTAGACAACCCTCAACTTGTTATTATTGTGAGGTGGGATTTTTTTCAATTTTCCTTGGAGACATTAGGACCCCAAGGCTTTAATTTTCACTATTCATTACATGAGAATGGTTGATATGAAAACAGTTTTAATTGTATAACAAAGAGGAAGTTTGAAACTTATAAGCAATTTACCTTTAGATGATACTCTTAGTGTTAATTTTGTTTTAAAATTGGAAAAAAATATAATTAACTATTACTAGTCTTACATTTGTACCATTATCAATTTACTTTCTTTTGTTGCTGTATAATAAAATGATGTTGTTGATGACCACAATGCCTAGCACATCAAAGACAGATAAATTCAAGCCTCAGAAAATTGGTGGGTTTTGTGAAGTGGATGCTAGTGCCCTCAGTGAAGAAGGAAAATACAGAATGGAGCTTAGTTCATGGTAAAATCATATTTTTGATGATACATTGACTGCAAATTATGGACTAGTCAACATACCCCATGACACTGTTCCTCTGTATGTATAGTATTTGCATAATTTAGTTAACGTGAAAATAGAAAATTTAACCATTATTATCTTTTTTCTTTGTCAATGTAATTATATTATCATACAGTGAAGATGAATGGCATAAAGTAATAGAGAAAGTTTACTTTGAAATTAAGTTTGAACCTCACAGTTTGTTTCCTTTGTAGATTAAGTTAGTAATAAACTTCACTATCTTTCCCTAATTCCTTGTGTTACTACTTTTTCCAGGTTAAATGAAGTAGAAGATTTCTCTTCCTTGTCCTTTAAACCAAACCGGAAAGAACACTGTGATATCTTGGTGGAGAAACCTACTTTCTTCATGAAATTAGATGCAGGTTTGTGTATTTTCCATTTAACACCCATAAAGCCTGGTTTATACTTAGGACACAATGTAACCATCACAGAATGGTAGAAACTTCAAGAAATAAAGAAGAGATCAGTTTTTTCTTTGTCATTGTGTCTCTCATGTATCACCTCTGTAATTAACATAAATTTAATATTAATTATTATTGAGTAGATTTTTTTATTGCAGTTGTAAACATGTACCATCACTTCTGTGATTTTTTCAACTTGTATGTCACTCAGCATGTGAATGGATCGTTTGATACTGATGTCAACATTGTACTGTGGGAAAAGGTTTGAAAGATTCCTAAGTTGTTCATCATACTAGCAGAGTCCTGACCCCAGTTGGTTGAAAGATAGTGATTAATCTAAGTGTACTCCATCCAAGGATTAACAGTTTCACTAGGTTTTGGGTAATATTAAAGCTAACATGGAAGATTAAAGTGTAAGCAGTAATACAAACCATAGACTGAGCTTATTAAGTTGTACAGAAAGGCTTCTCCCCTTTACTACATGTTTTGTGATTGTTCAAACAAAACTTTTAAATACACATGCAGTATCTCAGTTTATGTTTTAATCGTAAAACAAAATAAGTGTTATGAGCAGTACACAACATACTCAGAAAATTAAGCCCTAAACACCTTCAAGTTTTAAGTTCTGTTTAATGTGTTTTGGCCATTCACATTTAGGATCAGAAGCACCAAACAAAAAAAAAGATGTTGTCTCTACAGCTTACAAATAAGTTTCCCTCTGTCTGATTGGCTTAATTGTTCTTCCAGATACAACAACATTTTAGATTAATTATAAATATTTCCAGGGTTCACAGTTTTCTGGGTTTCAATATAAACAGAAATATTCCAGAGTTCTCCTTATGTCCCACACCTCTTTTCTATCTCTTTTGTTGTCATCTGATTTTGTGGAATTGATTTTTTTATCAAGCATGAGAGACGAAGTTTGGGGAACTTTGGAGTAACATGGAAAGTGTTTTCATCAAACCCTATTCTTTATCTTGGAAAGGAATATGAAAACAAGAGGGTAAATTTGTTGTTGTTTGATGTGCTACAACTATTAAAAGTTTACTGGAGTATTCTTGTCTCGCATATCTTTTAATATTAGTTTAATTTGTGTTTGTAGGTGTGTTTTAAAGAAGCCATCTTTGCCCTTCTGCCAAGAATGGTGTTTGGACTGTACTATAACACACCTCTGGTTAGTTTTCTTTCTTTTTCTGTTTGTTAATACTATATGTGATCATTTTAGGTTACACTGTAACTTACAATAGTCTATTTGATTGTTAAATGCCAAGCTTAAGCCTTTCAACCAAACAAGAGTTAGGCTGACATTTGCGTTGTTTAGATAGGGCTGAGAGACTAGTTAGTCAATGATCTAGTGGCTCTACATTTTATTTTAATACAGAATCCTTTTTCACCTTTTATCTACAAAAATGTTTTAATAGTCAGAGATCGTCTTTAATTTTTCCAGACTCCAGGTTGTTCCAAGAGTGGTCTTTTCAAAGCATTTTCTGAACATGTCATGGGAAGACTGGGCATTATCCAAGAGAGGAACTTGCAGGTGAAGATTGTGTTTTTCAATGTTTTATCCATTGTGGTATTGTTATGATTGTATATTTCTACCTATAAGCACAGGTGGCCTAAGCTCAAGTCTCAAGAGAAAGCAAACTATTAATCATGAAAGTGTCATGTATTGGCATTGGCAGCATTGTCATGCAGCTGTGGTTTCTAGCAATTTCTGTCATTTATTAAGCTTGCTTTTCCATCATTGTTATTCCTGTCAAAAGACAAAGTCAAGCTTGACTTTGTCTCGTTGACATGTTCAGAATATTCCATCACTGTTATTCCTGCTTGACTTTGTCTTGCTTGACATGTTCAGAAAATTCCATCATTGTTATTCCTGTCAAAAGACAAAGTCAAACTTGACTTTGTCTTGTTGACATGTTCAGAAAATTCCATCATTGTTATTCCTGCTTGACTTCATCTTGCTTGACATGTTCAGGAAATTCCATCATTGTTATTCCTATTAAATGACAAAGTCAAGCTCAAGGTGATGGTAAGGCAAGCTTAAAACAGCAGAAATTGTTGGAAACTACAACAGACACAGAGGATGTCTGTAAGTTTTATGTGTTAAATGTTCATATTTCGAAATATTTAGTATTGTAAATCTACCATATTTCATTCCCCATACTTCTCCTTAAAACGTGTTCAAATTCTCAATGGTTCCTCTCGCAACTTAACACAATGCATGACACTTTCATGAATTGATTGCTGGCTTTTTCTCAAGATGTAAGCTGGGGTGGCCTGTGCTATAAGAGGCATTTTGCAACATACTTGTAATGTCTTAGTTAGTTTGTTTGGTTTTGTGCAGAATATTTTGCACTTTGATGAAGGAGTTATTTTTTTAAAATAACTGTGGTGCTACATCACTGGGTGAGTATAACAAGATAATTTGGTTAATGTAAACTGGCCACTTAAGATTTTATAAGCTGATGTTTCAAGTATTATTAGCTGTTTGTTTGAACAAATGCCATGATAGGTAGATGCTCGAAACGTCAGCTTAGAGACTCTTTACAATGGCAAATTTATACTGTCAACTCAGTTAATGAAACCAAATTATCTTGTTATTTAACACTTTTCATTTACATGCCTTATCTTTCATTTACCATTATTAATTGCATGCTGAACTCCACTGATCATGTCATCATGATCAATGCTCAAGCCCTGAATGATCCACATTGCATAACAATCTCAGGCCAGGCACTCTCACAGTGCATCTTTCTACCCAGGAGTATAACTGCATAGTCACCAACCTAGTGCCATGGCTACCTGTGATGGACCAACAGCCAACCGGTAATACACTTCTGTCAGTGCTTCATGCTTTAGAAGCTTCCTCAGTGATGAGGCACCAGGCTCAGATAAGACTTGCTCAGACCAACTATGTAACACTATTAAAATACACTTCAAGGTAATAAGATAAAGTATTTTTATTTTCAGAACAGCAGTGAACCAATTCGTATAACATTGCTATCCAGAGGGACAAAGTTTAGAAACATTTTAAATGAGAATGAGGTGACTTGAATTTGTTTTCCTTTCCTGTTGCATTTCTGGACTTTTATTACAATTAACTTAATTTTAAAAAAATTGAAATTAAATTGTTGGAGGAGAGGTGAGAGTATTTTTTGGGGAGTGCAGAGGAAGCCGGTGATAAGGTTTTTATCCCAAGGGAAAGTATTCCTATGGATTTTGGGTTGCTATATGTACATCCATGTATGTCCTGCTATAAAAATGTTAAATATAAAATACACTCAGCGGCATTTTTGACCCCTCCCTCTCCCCTCCCTCCTTCCTCATTTTAGAAGAGGAGCTTAAAGAACTATCCCTTCCCTATTTCTGCCTTTTCATTTTCAGAAACTGACTTACTTATAGTGGTTGGACTCATTGACAGTCATTATGTGATGATAGATTTTATTTTTATTCAAAGCAGTTAATTTTTTTTTGTTTTAGTATGCCTGCCTGAAAAAACAAATATCTTTCTCTCTTTTCCTTTTGTTGTCCAAATTGCATATTGGAGAGGGATGTAGCAAAAAGTTATTTTGGGGGTTAATAGTTAATGAGACAACATTTGCACCTTGACCCAGAGAGAAAAGAAATGTTGGCTCTGAAAGAATGTAATGTTCCCAAGTATTTTTTTTAAATTTTGTTTGGCAGATTATTCATGCTTTGGATACATACCCTGGAGTGAAGCTGAATGTCTCACAATATTCTTGGTATTACTCAGTTGTGGAATTTTTTTATGCTTTATATTTCTAATGATTTTATGGCTTCTCAATTCTTCAATTACACTGTAAAAATCTGCTCCTACTTATTAATAGCAGACAAGTGCAGATAATTACATAACAAGAGTATACCTCATCTTCTTACAAATTGTAGTTCTAACTTCCAGCTCCAAATTTAGAAAAGTATACCTTGTTTAGTGCAGATGGTAACGATGATCTTTGGAAGTTGAAACTGGAAGTGAAGGATGTTGTCCAATAAATATAATGCAATCTATAAAATTTAACGTTGTCCAAGAAACTACTCTTTCTACCTAATAATCAATACATGAGCACCTTTATTCATCCATTTCTTTTCAGGGATATGCCGTTTGCTGAACAACTAAAAGTAAGTTTAATGTTTAATCGTGAACATCAATGGTGACCTCTTGGTTGGTTTGTTTGTTTCAATAACACATTTTTTGTACAGAAGTTTAATTTCGTTTTCTGCATCTTTGTCATGAGAAGTTTTTCCTTCCTGAACAAATACCTAAAGCAACTTTCACTGTTTTACGATTCTTAATATAAATAATAGCTATAACGTTTTTACTCATGTTAAATTTTTTATGTATTTAGCGGAGCCATAACACAGATATATTTATTGGAATGCACGGTGCTGGTCTTTCTCATGCCCTCTTTCTCCCTGACTGGGCTAATCTCTTTGAGCTGTAAGTAATATGACGCATCTAAGGATGTTCAAAGGCTTTCTTGATTTCCTTTCTTTCCAGTAAGTGAGCTATGGTAATCTCTAGCTAGTACTTTTAGTATAGTTAGCATAGAATATTTTAGTGTTATTCATGAGGGTTTTTTTTCTCCCAAGTTACAACTGCGGTGATGTGAATTGTTATCGAGATTTAGCACGACTCAGGTACGTAAAGTTCCTTTTCACGTTTTTTCATTTGGGTTTCAATAATTCCTTGAAAATCTAAAGAGCACTAATTTGAACTTCAAATTGTTTCTCTCTGAAATATGTTTTTTCAGGGGAGTCTCTTACACTACTTGGGAAAACGAGGACAAAGTTGTTGAACACACTGAGGTAACAAGCATCTTTGATTTTTTAATTTTTATCCTTTGATGTCTGGTTTGCGGAATTATTTCCGTGCAAAGTGAATATTAGGCCTTCATTCTTCTCTGTATTCCATTCAACAGCTGAGATCAGACTTTTCTGGTGGAAACAGTTCTATTTCTTAGAATGATTGTGGTGAATTCATAGCAGTAGGCGTAGAGCAGGAACGTAAACCATATTTATTTATTTTGTATTTTTCAGGAACTACATCCACGGTATAGTGATCATCCCAAGTTTAGAAACTACGCATTTGATGTGCGTGAATTTATGAGGCTTGTGGAACGAACAGTGAAAAAAGTGAGACAATCTATAGATGAGTACACAAAGAAGCGTGGTAGCTGACATCAGGAAACTTTAATGCGTCAAGAAACAATGTTTCACTGGAGGCTAAAGCCCAGAGTGATGCAAACTTTACTTCACCAGATCGAGGACCCTCGACGTCAAAGAAAGTCCAGAATCCATCGCCGGGGAAAATCATTTAAGTCACAACTCAGTGTAAAACCTCTGAGATCCCCGTGCCTTAAAGGATGGTCTTAATTTCTGGTCTCGAGGGAAACCGTTGGTTTGTTTTCCTAAGGGTCAGAGCGAAATGAACATTGAGGCTCTCGAGAAAACAAAACTAACTACTCCCATCGAGACCGGATTTTAAGCTTAGAGGAATAGATCGAAAGATAGAAGGAGACAAATCTTAGCAGGTGAAGATAACTGCAAACGTGACAACTATGGCAGCTTTTGAGTCTCCATTATTTTTCGGTTGTTCATGCTCGAACAACTAACCGTGTCTCGGTTGGTTAAAGGTATCGACTGCCTTGACAATCACCAATTATGGTCTCGTGCTCGACAGTGAACGCTTTGCCCATCCAACATGATTACGCAAAACACCGAAGTTAGACCGCACACAGGTTCGTTCTTACTCCCAGTCAAATAAGGTATCTCTTAGTGGAATAAAGTATCTCCACAACATTTGCATTTCTTCTTCTTTTGGTTAGTTGTCTGAGAACACCTTCTGCTCCTACAAGCTTCATCGTTTATTATGCCAGCTTTACTAGACCATTCAAACAGAATGACATATATATGTAAACTGTCCATCGCTAAAGATGGATGTGTTATCTCTGACAAATTGCTGAATTTCACGGGCGAAGAGTGATTTGTGTATTACGATGATCCACATATTGATTTGAAAATATTCAGTGGTATCAAAGTCTACAGTGCATCTGTTTTTATGGGTCTGTAGCCTATACCAAAGCCCTGGTAAAAAAAAATGCGGGCGGAAACAGCGGAGTCAGGCCTCTCATAACCACAACCGTCGTTCATACCTTCCATCCCTTAGCTTGTAATAAGCTAAGAAAAGGTCGGCCCAGGCTCCACTGACCGATAAATCAAAGTTAATTTATTCCACCAAATTGTAACGCAATCCAACTCGACCATCATGCGGTGAATCAATCTTGGTGGCGATCAAAATGCGGCTGGTTTGCTTAGCTTCAGCGCTTAGGTTTCGCTTTCAATCATGGAGATCATCAAGGATACACCATGGGTCTATTGCAGCAATTGATTGCATCCTTTCACGGTGGAATTCTGGACATGTTCACGCAACAACACCGCCAGTGTTTGATTCGAAAGTTGGATTCACGGACTACGAGAAAGAGCGGAGAGAATTTCACATTAGAGTTCCAGAATACTTTAACTTTGCCAATGTTCTTGATGAATGGGCGCAAAAAGAGAAGGTTTGAACGAAAGTTTTCTGATACCGAGTTATTGTTCTCTAATTCGTCTCGGTTGATCGTCTAATTTGTCAATGAATGTGAAAGTCAAAGTTCAACTGATTTGGTTGATCAGCGGCACGCGAAGTGTAAACGTCTCAGCTTCAGTAACCATTTGTTTCAAATTGCCAATTTTTTTTCATGAAAGCATTCAAGGTTGGAAATTTATGACACGAGTTAAGTTTCTAGTGGCTCGATTCGACGGAAAACTTAGTCACAGCTTTCTACGGCAGACTTAAAATGATTCATTTTCAGTTTTGAAATTCGCATGGTACACCAGTGCGCTTGAAAGTGTAATCAACACAAAAACCTAGCTTCATATCTTAAAACAATAGATCACGTAATGCACCATCATTTTGCTTAATTTTGAATCAAAATGGGTGAAAATTCCGTTTTGTGGAGTTTGCGTGACAGCATCATTGTCACGTAACTGTTTGCGTTCCATATAATCTCGAATTTACATGAGCATGAAAATTCACCTGTGTAAAAGAAAGATGATACGTCGCTCGCTATAAAACCTACCTTACAAACGCAGAACTATATGTCAAATGATATTCTAAAACTTCTTGAAGAAATTTTGTCCTTCTCACCTTTGCGAATGGTGAATTGTGGCAATCCAGTGCACTCCTTAAAACTCAATTTAATTTTCACAATTTTTTCGTAAACTTCATTATTTCTTAGACAGGAGAACGAACAGAAAATAACCCAGCCTTCTGGTGGGTCGACGATAAAGGAAAAGAAATAAAATGGTCATTCCAGAATCTTACAGAAAACAGCAGAAGGTGAATATTAAGAATGCATCACGTAGCCCGTAATTTTTGGTACTGAGACTTTATCAGTTGAGGGGGCAGCAAATTAAGTTGTGTTTCATACAGTGAAGAGCTGATCTCAGTAGATTTGTCATCGGCAGTTCTTATTTCCAAAACGTTTATGGTCTCCTTCAGTGATGTTGTGAAAGGAAGTAGCTGCATGTATCTTCTCCTTTTATTTTCAAGAACTGCGAATATTCTAGCGGGTGCATGTGATGTCCAGAGGGGGGATCGTGTCATGGTCATTTTGCCGAGACTTCCAGAATGGTGGCTCATCAATATCGCTTGCCTACGGACAGGTATAAACTGGTAGTTATAATATATACTTTCAAAATCACATCATTTCGGATACCACCTAGGTTTATAGCACTATGCCTTATTCCCTTTGCTCTGTCTGTAAATTGAGGTTTCAATCAGGTGTACATACATATCTTTCCCGTTTCTGTATATCTTCCGTTTTGGGGTGCACATACTTTAAATTTGGTCGCCTTTTATCAGCATTTGACATTTTGCAAATTAGCCGTTGTAGCAGGACAATAAAGCATGAGAGTTGCAATCTTGCACGTTACCTTTTGTTTTTTCTTCTGTATTTTTTATTCTCACGTCTCTTATGGACAAAGCACACTTCTTTCAAGTCCAAAGAATCCGATTATTTATTAGGTAATTTAGTGTTAACAACTGAGTTGAAAACGTAAATTGGCCACCGTTTTACTCTTTACGGTGGCCAATTTATGTTTTCAACTCAGTTGTTAACACTAAATTACCTGTTATGCTCTCCCACCGACGCAGCACCACAGTTTCTTTAGAAACTTACCCCTTTATTCAATTATTTATTAATTTCTCTTTGGTTTGTCAAGTAACGCTTATTGCGTGACATCTCAAGGTCTGTGGAGAAGACCAGTTAGTGATATGTTGGGTTAATTTTTTTAAGGAACTATTATCAGTCCTGGATCAACTCAGTTACGAGCGAAAGACATCGAGTCACGGCTGCTGGCTTCTAAGGCGACTTGCATCATTGCAGACCAGGAAAGTGCTGCGTTCGTCGATGAGGTACATTATTGAAAGAGTTAGGTGTTATGGCGGTTAGACTTAGTCGCAAAAAACAATCTTATATTTTGCTTTAAAAAATAAGATTACTGTAATGAATATTTTGCAAAAAGAGAGAGCTCTTTTTTTAATCTCTCAAGGTAAAAAAAACCCAACCTTTTTTTGCATATCATAAACCACTTACTGGTTAGAGGCGACAAAACGGAACCTGTTTCAACTTCTTGGCAGAGTCGTGTATGGTTACTTTGTTTCAAACTGTGCTGAAATTTAAAGCACACATATGGTGTGAATAGTAAGATTATTCTTAACAAAGGCAGTAGGTTACTTCTCTAAGAAAGTCCGGATAGTCTGTGAAATTATGTTGAACTTGTATGCAGTTATCAGCAACTCGTCAGAAACAAAAGAGATATTAGGTGAATCTTGAAAGTCAAAAAAGTTTTTGAGGTCCTTGTTGTTGAATGATAACATTGTGAATAAATGATCGGTAGATGATCAACCAGAAACGACTTGGAACTGCATTAAATTTGTCTAATAAAATGTTGACAGCTTTTCTCTTTCATTGAAGGTTGCTAATTGTTCACCATATTTGAAATCTAAGTTACTCGTGAAAGAAGATGAAAAGACTCCAGACAGGTAAAGACAGTCCTTTCTTGGTGTCATTATATCAAATAATACTCAAGGGTTATATTGACTTAAGCATTTTTTTGTGTTTTAGGAGAGGGTGGCTTCCTTTCCAAGACCTCTACGCTCAGGCTTCGAATGAGCATCAAGTAAGTACTCTTATTTCCAACAATTTGTGGATATCAATATACTACGATACTATTTTTAGAGTTAGCTCTTCGATTTGGTGAAGATCCTGCCGTTTCATTTAATTATCTAGGCGAATTCTCTCTCTGTGTGAACACGAGATATTGGGTGTTGTTAAATGTTTTTCAGTGCGAAGAAACACTGAGTAACGAACCAGTGACAGTGTTTTTCACAAGTGGAACAACAGGACTCCCAAAGATGGCAGAGCACACACACGCTAGTTGTGGTTTGGGGCACATTACAACTGGAAAGTAAGTCTGATGTAGCGGTCAAGACTTATAGTTGCACATTATTGATTTCATCGTAACTTGTCGGGCACTGAAGACTTACGCTGGTTATTTCAAGGGGATTTTCTCAAGACCACTTCGCCTTTTTCTCACGTTTTCTTGTGGTTGGTAAGGTAACGAGATATGACGTCAAGAAGTGGTATCAGGTTATCATAGAAGTCAATTTCATGTTTTCTTTATTATTTTTGTGGAAAATGATACGACAGGCACCCAAAGAGAAAAAGACAAAGCTTAGAATGAAAAATGTTGAAATAAGATGTTTCCGTCTGTTGATGGCTAACTTTGAAAGCAAAATCCAAGAAAATGACCGTTAGTTAGCGTGTCCGTAGGTAAAGCAGTTTCATTTCATTTTAAAAGCAAACCTTCAGTGTTGTTCAGATTTCACTGACACTGTTTTAACACTCGTGATTTATCGAGTTGCTTGTATTCGCTCAGTTCGAAATACCTTTGCTTCGCTACACAGATTTTGGTTGGACAACATTCCTGAGGATGTCCACTGGAACCTCTCTGACACGGGCTGGGCAAAATCTGCGTACAGCAGCTTTTTTGGCCCATGGTCTCAAGGTGCCTGCGTATTCGTGTACCATAAGGCACGTTTTGAGCCCGTAGCTATATTAGATGCGCTGCAAAAGTACCCAATAAGCACGTTTTGCTCGGCCCCCACAGCCTATCGAATGATGATCCAAGAGGACCTTAGCAAATACAAGTTTCCGTCATTGAGGCACTGTATAAGCGCAGGAGAGCCTTTAAATCCTGAGGTCGGAACTGAGTGGCGAGAGATGACTGGGCTGGAGATAAGAGAAGGATATGGTCAAACTGAAACTGTAAGTTTAGCCAAACAAGAAGATGCGATCAATTTTCCTTACGTACACAAATGAATCTCCTTAGTAGGACTACGCTAACTTAACTTTCACGCCAGTTTAGTCCTCAGTTAGGTACAAAAAATGGCATTTCCGATTATCGTTCTACAGTAAATAGAAAGATTTTTTTCTGGTGATGTTATTTGGCAGCAAACATTATCAGGGACTGTCACCGCATATTAAGCACGTCGGCACTCTAAGTAACTGGTTTTTACACATAGTGTAGGAACATAGACAGTTAATCTTGACCTCAAAATTACCGTAATCTAACAAATTGGCGATTCTTTGATATATCAGTGGTCACATTTTCTAAATTTCGTTATTCAACTTAAGACCCTGCTGTGCGGCACCTTTCGTTGCCTCGAAAATCGGCCAGGATCCATGGGTAAGCCCGCGCCAGGATGCAACTTAAAGGTTGGTGAATTTTCCAGTTATATTTGTCCTTTGAAGCAAGTTTTTCATTTGATACCGACGGGTGGTGTTAGTGGTTATGATGGGGATTGTTTTATTGCACAAAATGTCCTTTTTGGCTTTACGACAGGAATCACTCTTAAACTTTCTGTCACCAAACCGCATACTTTGGGGAAAAAGTTGAGTTCGAAGCATTGTAAGCAGATAAATGCAAATTTGATAATATATAAAAATTTTAAACGAATACCGTAAAATTAAAAATAGGAATTAGTTATCTCTCTATATCCAGTTAACAGTCACTCATTTAGAGTTATTATTTGAGTTCATACAGCATAAAGAACAAAATCAGTCTAATTTTTCAGATTGTGGATGAACAAGGGAACGAATGCCCGGATGGAGTAGAAGGTGAAGTTGTTGTGGAAGTTTCATCAAACAGACCTGTGGGACTTTTTACTCGCTACGTGGTAATTTTCACATTTTCAATTTAACATGTTTGTTTCTTTTATAGCATATTATCTTTAAAAAAAAACATGAAAAAAAACAAAACAAAACAAAACAAAACAAAAACAGGCCCCTATGCGACAGTGTTCTTCGCTGAGATAAACAATGTCGTTACTCCAGAAAAACGATTTAGGGCCTCTAGTTTAATTTATTAACATAACCAGATTGTGTTAGAGAGCAAAAATCGGGTAAAATACCATAGATTAAACACTCTAAAACGAATCAGACTTTCGGCTCAGGTGTTTTTTTTCCTTATACAGGATGATCCGGATCGAACAAATGCTGTGTTGCATGATAATTGCTATTGGACCGGTAAATGAAAAGTGATCGTAAATGTTAAATTTTAGTCCCTAGATCTAGAAATCTTAGTTTTTCCCAAAGCATGCATAATGTTCGCCACATTCTTAGATAGTCTTCATGACTAAACTTAATTATGAAATTACGGCCGATGCTTTTTGATGAAATTTTATGAACCAGAGACCTTGTCGACGTTTGATGTATGACCTCTGTACCTTCTTTAAGTTTAGATCAATCCACTAAAACACCTTGGACCTTTAAAATATAGGATCTTGTTTTATCTCGGCCTGCTGTAAAAAACAACGAACAAAAACAAAGTTTATTTATTTTAGCAATTGAAATACATATCTAACAATCCCAACCCGCAAAATACCGAAGCTAATCGAGGCGGAAGGAAAACAAACATTAAAATAAATTCTTCAATAACAGGTTTGACTTGACAGAGGAAATGACCAAGAGAGCCTGTATACACACAAACAATCAAAAAAAAAACAGAACGAGTTGTAGCGTGATGATAGAAGACTTTGGGTCCATCAAAGAGTTATCATAGCTCTTAACTGTACCTGTATTTTTCTCATCTTGAACATTACGCTTTAGGTGATAAAGCTTACAAAGACAAAGACGGCTACTTTTATTTTGTTGGTCGATCTGATGACGTCATACTCTCAGCGGGGTTGGTAGCTTATAATGTAGATTAAACAATAATAATAATTTCAATAATAAATGTGTAAATAAATCAGTAGGTGAAAGGCATCTTAGTAACAGAGTAGAAACAACACGTAAACGAACGAGCAAATGAGTTAGGTACTTTTTGATTAAATAAGTAGAAGTGAGTTTGCCAAAATGTCACACTAAGCCTGATTGGGATTTGAACAAAGACTCAGAACAACCCCCAAGGTCAAGGTAATAGTAAAAAAATAGAATCATCTCACTTTTAATTCAAACGCAAGTGAAACCAACTCATCTCCCGCGATCTGAAGGAAATCATAAGGTGTATCATTTGTGGAGCGTACCATTTGTTAACGTTCCTAAAAGCCCCATGAATATGATCAGAGATTGAAATAGAAATTGTTAATACCTGTGACAAAATAGCTCGTAGCTGGTATGACGCGGCTTTTTGTCTCGTCAAAGAAACTCATCAGATACCTTTCAGAGTTTCTAAGAACAATCGTTGAGCATCGCGCGCCATGTGCTGTTTACAAAGTTAAGATGTTATCACTCGGAACCCTCCATCGCAGAAGTAGTCCAAACCTTTTGCATACAAGTTACATTCACGCGGTGGAAGATTGTCAAATACTCTTTAAAATTAGTCCACATTTATTTTGTTACATATTTTGCTTTTTTTCCCTTGTGTACATTTTTCGTTTTCTTCTTGTTTATTTGTGTTTGTTTGAATTTTTAAGCTATCGAATTGGTCCATTCGAGGTTGAGAGCGCCTTGATAGAACACCAAGCAGTCGCAGAGGCAGCTGTTGTCAGTAGTCCCGATTCCCTAAGGGGGGAGGTGAGATGAGTGGACTTTGATAGGGAGGTATAAGGAGAAGTCCTCGTTTAAGTAACAAATATCTTAAAGGATGCTCACCAGCCGAGATGTACATTTGGACCCACACACATAGGAGCCGTTATAAACTAAGATTAATATGAGGAACAGGTTATTATTTTAAAACTGAATATCTTGGCAGACATTAAAACTGTGATACTCTAAAAAAAATTAAGCTTTGTGTTTTTCATATTTTATCCTTATGATACCGAGCTAACCAAATTGAAGCGTATACTCGATGAAAACGTCTTCAAATAGTTTGCCCAAAAAAAGCTCATGAGGTAAACTTCTGGAAGTATTTAATTGTTAACTTCCTTGTTCATTTTTTTTCGTTTTTGTTTAGATTGTGAAAGCCTTTGTTACTCTCTCACCACATTTTACTGGAGACAAAGAAGCATTGGTCCAGGAATTACAAGACCACGTGAAAGAAACAACAGCACCGTACAAGTATCCGAGAAAGGTAACCTGTCGCGACGGCTACATCGACCTTGGCTGAACAAGGAATGAACTAAAACGTACGCTTGAGAAATTCCACTAGGAATGACGAACATGTGAAATGTTGAAATGCCTGTAAATTGCTAGTACGTTGTGGTAGGTCGCTGGAGAAATTGTAAGCGTTGGTTTTGGAGGTGGTAGATTTAAAGATTGAAGCAATGATTTTGAAAAAAGGCTTCGCCAAAAGAACATTTTGAATTAAAGAAAATAGACCTTTCCACAATGGCGTAAATGATTATTATCCTTTGATACAAATTATGCATTTTAGCCCCCTGAGCTCGCTTTTACGCGAAAATCCTGTTGTTTTTAAAGTTGTCGAGGCCAGGAAGGCTAATATACATAAATGTAAGAGATTAGCATTCTATCCCGCTACTTGCATGTGAAAGAGGGGTGTACACTCTACTTTAGGAAACGAATCTTTTAATGTACTCATTTCCTGAATTACTTTGCAGATTGAGTTTGTCGATAGCTTACCCAAGACAGTCAGCGGCAAGATTAGAAGAGTAGAACTGAGACAGAAGGAATGGTCTTAAATGAAATATAATCAAACCATAACTCACTATTTGTTACAAAAAAAATTTATAGCATAATCCTTCGTAAGCATCTAATTTCTAGCAACACACGGTAGATAATGACAATTGAAATGAGTGAAGTGCAGTTTGTACAAGTAATCACCTGATTTCCGAGGCCACCATATTTTGGTATGCTTTTGCGACACAGAAAAACCTGTCCTCTCTATAAAGAAACCGTAGTAAACTGTTTTCTACGACAGGCGTCGACAAACACAAAGGAGTACAACTGATTTGGAAAATAAAGCGTTTAAACAATTTTTAGCTATCATTATTATGCGTTACAATACATTAGCTGCTTCAGTGTAACTATAACAGTGCTCTCAGGAACTAAACAAGAAAAAGTTTAAAAAAATGACGGTATAATTTCCCTTTGTAATCCGATAAAATGAGATAGAAAGTCTCGGAGTAAACTTCTAACTTTTACGAAGAGATTCGTTTTTTTTTTTTTTTAGGAAGTATTTACATTGGAAATCCTTCCTTTAATTGATGGAGTTGTTCCCCAATTTTCCTGGCCATGATTTAGAGCCGGGTAACTAGATTCGTCTTACATAACTATCAATTGGTTATAATAGGAGTTTTGTTCACTACGATAAAACATCTATCAAATAGAGAAATAGTAATTTTCATAGACAGTATTAATTACCGGTTAAAAGTTTTTTTTTTCTTAGTAGAAGCCAATACTTAGGAGTTTCGTCAAATAAGGCAAATTATCAATTTACTGTTAATAGTAATTTAATCGGAGATTACATTTGTTTTCTCCAGGGCCGGGTCACACTAGAGCTAATTTTGTTTGTGTAAATGTAAATCTATGAAAAAAGTAGCGTGAAATTAATACATCCCCAGTTTCTATGTCTTCGTAAACCAGACGCAACCCCAAAAAAAGTATTTTGCTACGACGAGGGGCTAACACTCGAAACGTCAGCTTTGAAACTCTTAACGGGAACCAAACTACCTGTTATACTCTCTCACCGACGCAGCTCCATAGTTTCTTTAGAAACTTTCCCCCTTCATCCACAAAAAGTCAGTTAGCACTGCACCGAAAAAACTAAAATTTCTATGTTTTTTGTCTGAGACTGAAAAACGAAGTCCCAGGAAGAAAACTACAAAGCCACGAAATAACGATTCTTTAATTCTCTGTAATTCGCGCGAGATGTTTTGGTTTATTTGGGCTCTAAAGAGCGAGATGTGTTTTCGATTGTCTCATCTACCCATCGGTCAAGTTTTGGTTGAAACTTATTTGATGCGACCACCACCAAAATTTGGAAAATTTAAAATTTTTGTCAATTTTTCTCCGCGAAACATTTGAAAAAAGTGGAATTCGTTCTAGTGCGACCCAGTCCTTACTTCGCTCATAAATATGTATAGAAACCTCGCACCACTTCCTTAACAAATAAGATGCAAATAATATTAAAAGAAATAACTCGCGGCGTTATTACTCGCATTTATCCGTGTTTCGGACAGTTCGCTTAATTTTACCTAATTTGAGGTTTCATTGGCTCCGTGGGTCGTTTTCCTTTGTCCTGATACTGTGGTTAGTTTGGTTCTGGTTCTACAACACTCGATATCACACCAAGTGTTTGTTTGTCTGTTTTGTTCGATATTTTCATCTTGCAAACGGCTGTTTCCGGATAAGCGTCATAATAAATGTTTTCTGACCGTGAGGTTTTTTGTCTTATTGTTCTCACCGACCAGATGTGTTTTGGTTGTTTTGGTTTGCGTAGGCCAATTCTCTCGATCGATTGCCAGTCGAGTATAGAATTGTAGTTGAAGGCTAAGGATAACAAGAATGAGTGACAACCATATAAACACCTCAAAGTTCTTGTTATAAAACCTTTTTAGAGTTTATTAACAAAATGCTTCGGTACATTGCCAACTAGTGTAGTTAGATCAGCTTTTCCTGGCCCTTGCACTCAACATATTGAATGGAAAAATCAATAACTAATCTTTGCCATCTCATCGGGGTATCCTTATTTATTCCAAAGAAGAATTGCTTTTGCTCTCAGCTGAATGGCTAGGTTTACTATACTAAGATTCTTCTATCATTTCATATATTGGTGTTTCGACAGCGAGCAACTTTAAAGGGATAAGTGTAAGCAAGAGATTAGAACCTGTGATCTCTTGGTGTAACTGATTATTCTAGCTATATAACTACAACTTACAACTTCTGCTTGACTCCATTGAAGAGAAAGAAACTATTATTTGTGTGTCTAACTTTATGTACACTAAAAGAGGCCGAAATCATGGTAATTGTGAAGAGTAAATCCTGAGTATTAAAGACGCGCATGCTTCCCCTTTTGTGAAAGTCGTATATCTGGTATCCTTCCAAATTGAAACAAAATTTTACTCTTTTGAGATAAGATGTTTAAAGCCATGTTTCTAGGAGGAAAAAGGGGGGGGGGTGCTCTGTTGTTTTTAATTACGAGTCTCAAAAATATTTCCAACCCCCTAGGCTATGGAAAGCCTTGCGTTACTTGTCACACAACACCTAAATTTTGAATCATGTGATGTCGTGTTCTGGAGAATGTTGATGGGTCAAAAGCTGCTATCACAACAACTACCAAGAGAAAAACCATTGTTTCCATTCCCTGTAGCCTTCCTTTTTGGTGAAAGGTTACACTAAAACCCTACAATTCCTACTAACTTTCCTTCCACTGGACTCCAAAGAGGTCACGCGAAACACATTGAAACTGCGATGTTCACAGCGGACACCACATTTGCTGGCGTGCGTAGCTCCGCCTAACGTTTTTCGCGGGTCGAAATCTGGCTTCGACAAGCCCGTTTAGGAAAGGTAAGGCTTTGCTTTGTTACTCTTTGACTATATCCTACCGTCATCGATACATTTTATTGACAGTTAATACACTGCCAGATTTCTCGTTGACCGCTTAATTGCGATCTTTGAATGTTTTGCTCGAGTCGTGCATCTATCGTACATGTTTATCACTTCACGTGCCAACTGTAAACTTCAGGTTGCTGTGCTGTTATTTTCTTGGAGTTAAATGAAATCGGTTTGTTTTTTTCGCGACAAGATGCCGAAATCTGTTCGTGCATATCAGAGGCGTTAACATTTAAGCCATCAGAGATTTAGATTTCGCCGCTAACACTGTTATTTATGGAGATCGCCTGAATAGGCTGTTGATAGTGTTTGTGTCAGGTGAAACTTAAGTAAAACGGCAGCGAAGCGTTGTCTTGATGAATGAAATCTCATTCGCAATTTTGACTAGAAAACTTCCTATTTCGTTTTCACAATGTTCAAGCTATGTAAAAAAGGTAGGACTGAATCGAACTCCATATTTCCCTGCCTTTGTCAGCATTTTCTACTTAATATGCAAATTAGACTATTCCAACTAAGGAAGGCATTTCAACATTTCGTTTTGTGAAGCAAATTTGTTTATTACACAAGTGAAAAGGGTTTCCAATTCCATATGGAAATTGAATTTGAGATTGAAATTTTTGCTAGGAAAAGAAATGAATTGATTGAAAACAAGTGCATATTTGTTTTTGAAGTTTTATCCCCATTGCAAGGTGGCTCCTACCACCTTTCTGAGTCTCTCACTGCAAGGAACATCCTCACAAATTAGACAATTTGGTGCTAATGATAGAAACTTTCTCTTGTTATAAAAGTAGACATTGGGCAAAGAAATATGCTCGCACATTTGTCGGCAAACATTAGCTGTTTACTAATTGGGGAAGCCAACAGTTTTCTGCAGTTGAAGGTTAAGGATAAACAAATGTCAGGGTATGTTTTCCCACCAGATTCAAGCTATTATTTTAGTCTCTTTCAAATATCTTTTATGGGGCAAAATGTTTATGAGCATCTTTTCATCAAAACATTCTTTATGTGGGATGTTAATTTTCTAAAATCTCTATTAGAATTTAAAGAACAAGAACTTTTGCTTCTTCTAATATATATCTACACATATGGAGACACCAGAAAGCACACCCCAGATAAATTGCATTTCAAAACAAGAATTTCATCAAATTTGGAAACTAAGAAAGTTTTAAAATTGTAGAACATCACCTAAGCAGAAACAGCAGATATCCCCTGGTTTTAGTGGGGAAAATAGCCAAAACTAACACCGATTACTCACTAATGAAAACATTTAATGGGTTGCAGGTGAATGTTTTCCCATCACTTGAGTGCTGCATATTGTATTGTTATTGAGTATTTACTAGCCTGAAGTTAGTCAATTAATAATGGCAATAGGACTAAGTAGAGACCAATTCAGTCTTAAATCAAATGAGCGATTAGCAAAATTGTTAATTGCGAGTATGATTACAGACAGAATTGGATGACATGAAGTCCTGTTACCAATTAATCAAATCTATGACAAAATTTGATAAAAATAAATTTTTATTAAAAAAAAACAACAGTCTCAAAGTATGAGACAACAATGCACACACATGACATGTTCTGTCCACTTACAGGCATGATATGTCAACTGTCCCATTAACTCTCCTGTTTCACTGTCCAATTACAAGCATTTCATATTGAGCTGGTGATAATCTATCACATTCAAGAATTTTGTTATACTTTTGATTAGGTCTGTAATCATGAGTGTGGAAAGCAGGCAGAATTGAATGATAAAAAGTCCTATTTCCTATTACCAATTAACCAAAACTATGACAAAATTTTAGGAAAAATTAGACATCAGTGATGTGTTTTCAAAAAAAAAAAACAGTTAACTCAGGAAAATGGATAACAACAGTGCCTGCACTTGATGCATACTGTCCATGCACATAGGCATGACATGTCAACTGTCCTATTACGCTGTCCAATTACAAGCATATATAAACTTGTCCAGTCAGCGCTCAAATTGGGCTCAGGATAACCAATCAAGTTCCAGAAATTCGTTATAGTTTTAATTAAGGCAGGTAATCAACCAAAACCGCTGGCTACCCTGCTATCATTATCTGAGTATTTTCACTCGTATTAACGTGATTGCTGATTAAAAAAAACTGCCCAGTTATTGAGTTATTATTGAACTGCCATCAAAACAATGCAAATAAACACATCCTAATTTTGAAGTGGAATGAAATGCACAATTTTCCATTAACAAGGTCAGATATGTAAATTGATACCACATTCAGAATTTGCCTAAGGGTTTCTGAAGACTTCATGGGACAACTGGAAAATTTAGCTGAATAGTTTCCACTCCTTCACTCCTTGACAAATCAAAATGATGTCCACAGTAACTTGGCCTCCTACAGTTTTAAGTTACCTTCTAAATTCAAATTTTATGACAGCTAAAAGAAAAGGAAGAAATATCATTTTCATAAGGAATAGTAACACTCAATTAGTGGCAACTAATAGAGGACCCTGGTCACAGTGATAGCAAGAACAATCTTATGTGTGAACTGTGAGATACTTCACTTTTCAATAACATTAGGTGATATTCTCTAAGAGCAGTCATGTCAAGTGATTTCACTTTGTCAGTGGTGCAGGATGGATGGACGGTTTGAACTTTTTTTTCTAAAGTTAGGATTACAGATAACACCTACCCCTCTGCTAAATCAGTATGAAATGTTTGAGCCACACTCTGTCTCCCTGAGAAGTGCCATGTAAGAAGTTACCTGAAGATTTGAGCTGCTTGAATTTTACAGCAAATAACAACATAGCAGAACTGACCACTCACCTAACAAGACTAACAGCACATAACTGACAGCAATTTTTCACTCAACTTTGATGATGACTTCCACTATGGTTGTTGAAACATCAGTAATAACTGTGGTCAATAGTCTATCTCAGTTCTATCCTTGCTCTGATGATCAGACTACTTGATCCAACATAATTGCCATTGATGTGGACCAAGTTAAGTGTCTATAACAAACAGAAGAACAACTTAATGGTAATCTGTTGTTGCAGGGTGTACTAGCCGATGGATTGTCCTGCCAATCATAGATACAGGTATCACAATTATGCCCCTTCTCCAAGGTTTCTTGGAAAAGATTGGAAAGGGCAAAATCATGAGGCACGTTTACCTGGAGGACACCGGGGCAGGCATCAGCGTGGCCGAAGAGGAGCAGGAAACATGGCAAAACCAATGAATAGAGAGGACTTGTACCAATCTTATCCATCTCATGCACTTCTAAAAGGACGTGTAAATTCACAACAACAGAAAAATTCTCCACCTTCATGGCACCCAGGTAGATCAATGAATTATGGCCCACCTGGCTCACCAGCCAATTTTTACCATCAAAGGAGCACCAGGGTGCATTCTAGAGGAGGTGGATACAGCCATCCACCTAAGGTGCACCCCAAGAGTTTCAGACCAGCCTGTGCAAGCTCCAAAGGTCTAATAAGTATTAAATGAATTGATACAGTGGCAGGGCTTAATGACAGGGGCACAAACATGACTAGCTCTTTCAGTATTTACTTTTTTCAAAGTTTCCCAGAGCCAATTAGACCTCTGAAATAAATTCAGGATTATGTTCACATTTTCTGAAAGAAAAAAAAAACTGCAGGTTTTGTGTTCGAATTTTAAAATAAAAAATTGACCTTTAAAAAATTTAAGGTTAAATTGGCAAACACTCCCTCTAGTGTTTGTCAATTTAAACTTGTCCAAAGTTGAGTGTCTTGGAAACTAAGGAATGGAAGAAAAAGGAAAATGCAGATATATTTCTGTTAGCAATATCTTATGTTGGTGTTCAATGTATAGCAAGTATGTGCAAACACCTGATATGTGCAAAAATGAAGCACTTTTACTGTTTATGAATTTTTCCTTTTACTGCATGAGTTGTTGAGACATCATAGTTCTGTTAATTGCCATAAGTGTACCTTTAGTTGGCCCTGTTGCTGTATTAAGTATTCTCCTATACTTCTGGCTAAAACAAAGCAATAAGCTAGTTAGTGGATGACATGCAGGTAAAGATGTAAGGTAAAATTAAAAGAGAAATTTTTATAATCTCATGGTCTTAAACCTGTTCATTATGCTTAGAGTAACTCTAATCTCTAATTAATAAAATCCTGTTTGCACGCTGCAGCCATAATTTATCTTAAGTTTTTAAACAAGATATGGATGAACTAAATCAGGTTTAGTTTGTGTTGAATGCTCAAAAGAAAATTGTAGTGCAGAAGTCATTGAACAATTCTTTGAAAGTAATTGTCATGCTCTATTCAATTACATCACTCAACTTCAATGTCACTCTTACAGGTGCATCTGTTTCAAATGAAAATGAATTGTCGTCAACCACAGAAAGTCAACAAGTGGACAAAAATGTAACAGTCAGTGTTAAAAGTTCTTCAAGCCTGGCTAAACTGACGAACAACAGAGCACAAGCACAAAAGGATGGACAAACCACATCAACAAGTACCAGTGATAATCCACCATTGGAGAAGAAATCTGAAAACAAGAATCCATCGATCAACAAAGTTGCCCCATTTATTCACAAACCATCACCTAACTCTTCTAAATTCATTGATGGCACAAATTCATCCTCATTGACTCTTAATAACCCTACCTCTGAAACAGCCTCAGAAGTAAAACTTGAAGAGCAAGTAAAACTGCATTGTGGCACAGAAGTGCCTCCTATGAATGTGACAGTTTCCAGTGTGTCTCAGATTATGACCAGTACTCCACCATGTCTTGCTTCTCAGGATGGCATGATGACCGTCTTTGCACCAACTTCTGATGGTCAAATGAAACCAATCATCAGGACAATTTGTAGCTGTCAATTAAAGAAGAGATCTTTGAAATATGCAGACAAAGGAAAAACAAAAAATGACTCCATTATCATAGACTCTGATGAAGAAGGGGATAACAAAAGCAAAGTAGCAAGTGGCTCTGTTAATGAGCAAGGTACTCCTTGATTTAAGTAAATTATGTGGTAATGGTAAATGTATTTTACAGGAATTTTTCTTCATAAAATTTGGTTAATTATTTCTATTTTAAATGATACTCTGTCTGCTTACTGTAATGATTCGATTTAGTGCCCAGGTGTTTATTTACTTTTGTTACCTCAAAAGAGAGTACCTATTTGAGACAAAGCACTAGTTAGGGACAGGGCACTTATTTCTCTTTTTGAGAAACAGCACAGTGTGTGAAACAAAGCTTTGAAGTTTATTTTAAAAAATCAAGAAGACTGGAAAGGGACTTGGATCATTCCTGGCTAAAACAACTAGGCAAGCAATTGTCACAAAATTTTAAGACAAGGTCATTTGTTTGAAGGAACTGTGCCATCACATGGATTTAATAGTTAAGAGAAAGAGACAAAGACCTCTGTCTTTCTAATAAGGCTTAATTTGAGAAAAGGAAGATAAACCACGATTTAAATTAATTTCCATGTACTCTAACAATGACATTACCTAAACAGAATAGGGGGACTTATTGGAATGAAAGTACTTACTTAATGTGGGTGCTAATTTGATTAGGGCGCTTATTAACAAAAAACAAAATTTGAGTTGGTCGCTTATTAGAGAAGGAGCACTTATTGAAGCAAGTGCACTAACTCGTGTTATTATGGTAACTTCTGACTTAATCTGCTTCGTTTAAGTAAAGAAATATTATTTAACAAAGGTATTTTCAGCTCATAATCATTATAAAGAAAATTTTGGCCTGGGCCTTAATATAGATGTATTCACTTCAAGAAGGAAATGTCTCATGTAAATGTGATTATTTTATCTAGAGCATTATATTTGATCTCTGGTTTGGTTCCCCTTTGATAACTGTAAATTGTGTGGTTTTTTTTTTTTGTAATCTGTGTTGATTTGTTTGGAACCAGATGTAAGAGTACCACCAGAAAGCTGCCCCCTTATGAAGGACGCATCAAGTGAAATGGATCAACTGGTAAGTTATATAAGCAAGGGAATACCAGAGTTTATTATTGATGGTCTTTGAGCATGTAGAAGTTTGGAGTTTAGAGCAGAATGAGAGGATAATACAATTGAACTAATTTCATGTCTTTTTTTGTCAATACTTAAGGTGGATTTGGTAACTATACTAGTGTTTATTATTTGTGGTCTCCAAACTACTCAAGCCTATAGAAATTTGGATTTTAGAGTAGAACAGGGGAATAAGACAACTAATTTCTATTTTCTTTTTTGTCTCTGTTTTGCACTCCTTGTTTTTTAGGCATTGCATTGGATGGGTTTGGTAACATTTCCTTCCAGTTCAAAGTTATCCAGTGCTCATTATTTGCAAACATTTACCAAACACCTTTTATGAAGTAGATGTATAATCAAATAATTCATTTTATTTGACATTAGTTATCAATTTTTTCCCCAGATTTGTCAAGATACACCAAAAAAACGTATGAATACTACACTCATTAATTGCTTTTGTGAAGTTTGAATGTTGAGTAATTTTTTTGATACTTATAAAAATATGATTTTTGTTCAAGAAGGAAGTGTTTTTCTTTTTTTATTTGCATGTCCATGGCTCAGCATTCACAAAGATTTTAATAATTGTCATTGTCTCTATTAGGTGCCAAAATGAGTACAGATTGTGCCTCAGTAAACAAGTGAGTGAAGTGAAATGTTATTAATCCTACAAAGGATGTATATATTGTATGCTCAAATATTGTACAGGCCTGGATTTTTTTTCAGGCCTTATTTTCACTACTGTTGAAGTAGTGTTCATGGCTGCAAAGATCACTTTCCTTCATTTCTTAATAGGCAGTTCACATATGTGATTTTCATATATTTACAGTCATTTATTCATCACTTCTTGGGTTTCTTACAAACCAACATAATGACCAGCTCCCAGTGGGCTTGTTAGATTAGTTGGTAGAGCACTGCACCAGTATTGCGGAGGTCATGGGTTCAAATGCCATACAGACCTGAATTGCTTTCAGGCCTCATTTTCACTACTGCTAAAGCAGTGTTCCATTCTAAGTTACAGGGCACAAATGAAAATGTTAGTGATACTTTCAAGATTGACAACTTCATATATTGTAAAATTTTATCAAAATTCTTTGTAGATGTTATATTTTTGCACTGTTGTGTGGGCATGTGGCAAGTTAATTTCAAAACTGAAACATGTTTTTCACAGAGTCACACAGTTTTCAGTGGTTGTTTTAAATATGCTGCCCTTTTTTGAGAGTTGCTACTGGACGGTATAGTTTGGTTTTTGAATGGTGGTGATGGGACAAAACTGGTACAGTGGGCTCAACTTATTTTAAAACTAAATTAAAGATTACATTTACATTGTAAGTGTGGTAAGTATCCTTCTTTGTGATTTACAGTTTGTCTCTGCACAATCAGTCAGCATCTTTGGTCAGTACCCAATCATCAAGTCCTGGCTGTCCAGTAACAGAGTCCATATCAGAAACAGCATCTAGGGTAGGGGACAGTATACAGAGAATGAATAATGGGGGTAAGTTTCTAAACAAACTGTATGCTTTGTCCATTGGGAATATAACAAGATTTGGATTGTATCAACATTTGGTTGTATCAACATAGCTGATAATTGAAAATTGGCCACCCCAAAGAGTTTCTAAAACTGATGTTTCAAGTGTAGGCCCTTCACCAGAGTTACAAAAGTATTTTCAGCTGATAATGAGGGCAAAGATCTGAATATTTGATCAGAGCTTTAAAATATATGTCTTAATTCAAGAGAAGAGACTGTGTTTTTGTAAATGAGATTAATTCATCCAAAGCATTAAATGACATCTGATTCTATGGTTTGTTTCCCCTTTGACACCTGTAAAAAGTTTTGGAATTTTTTTTTATGTAATCTGTGTTGATTTTTTTGCAATAAGCTGCAAGAGTACCTCCAGAAAGCTGCCCCCATATGAAGGACTCAACAAGTGAAGTGGATCAACCAGTAAGTAAAATGATCAGAAATACATGTGACAGAGGTTCATGGTTTCCATATTGCTCAAGCTTAAAGAAGTTAGGAATTTAGTTGTTTTAGAAACACTTTACAATACAATACGTGACTTAAAGCAGACAATGACCAGAATGAGAGGATGTGACAAATTAACTAATTTCTGCGTTTTCACTTTTGTTTTTCACTCCTTGTGTTTTTAGCGTTACACTGGGTGGGTTTGGAAACTTCTTGCACCAGTTTCAGTTTCAGTTCCAGCTAATTATTTACAAATGTTTAACAGAAACACCTTTCTGTACATCCTTTCCTTTATGAGGAAGTTCCAATATGATTGAAATAAAATAATCAGATAAATCATTTTATTTGACAAAAGTGATTCATTTCTTCTTTTTTTTTTTTTTTTTTTTTTTTTAGAGTTGTCAAGATTCAACAAGAAAACGTAGGAATACGTTATTCCTTTCTTACTTTTGTCAATTTTGAATGTTGAGTCAGTTTTGTTGGTGCTATTGAAAAGTATGGTTTTCATACCAGAAGCGAGTGCTTTTCGCAGGTAAACTGCGTGTTTTTCAGCGAAAACAGGGTTTGATTTACTGTCTTTGTCTTTGTTAGGAGCAAAAATGAGTACAGATAGTGCTTCGGGAGATAGGTGAGTTAAATTTGAACAATCCAACCCTAGGCTGTACAGATATTTACCTCAAGTTACAGTGAAAGATGTTGGTGATGCTGTGAAGAATGACAACTTTGAATATAGTGAACGTCTATCAAAGTTTTTTGTTAATAAAATGATATATTTGTACACTGTCGTATAGCCATGTGGCAAGGTTATTTCAAAAGTGAAACATTTTTTTACAAAGAGTCACACCTCGGTTTTTGAGTGGCTGTTTTCAATATGCTGATATATTTGTGCGTATTTACAAGACGTTTTAATCTCCCTGATCATTCTAAGCTGCATATGACAGTCTGTGGCCCTATCCTACCTCTAGGCAGTTTGAAAAGCTGCAAAATTCTCGAATGAGACAATTCCTCCATTCCTCCATCAGCTTAGAAACTCTTACCGGTGAACAATTCACATGACCAACTCAGTTGATATGACCAAATTATCTTGTTATACTCCGCCACCGACGTAACACCACAGTTTCCTTAGAAACTAACCCCCTTTACGCTATTTACATAGTTTGGTAAAATCGAAACTTGTTCAGTGAGCTTCACGTGTTGTGAAAACTAGATTGAAGATTGCATTTACAATGTAGGTGTGGCAAATATCTATCTTTGTGATCGACAGTTTGTCTCTGCACAATCAGTCTGCACCTGTGGTCAGTACCCAAGCATCAAGTCCAGCAAAAGAGTCCATAACAGAAACAGTATCCAGGGTAATTGACAGTTTAGGGCATAGTCTGGGTGATGTCTGTAGCAGCAGTACCTCATCAGACTCACTATCTCTAGTTACTGCAAACTTAACAGGTATAGTTGACAATTATTCTTTCATATTCCATCCGTATCTCCATGTAGCAAGCGAGCAGGAAGAAAAATATTTCAGAGAGATATCTCAAAATTTTAACTAGTGCAGGCTACTAGGCTCTTTTCGCTGATTTGTAGACCATTCGTAATTGTGGTTCACAGTATTTCGGCTTAGATACCATGGCTTATAAACTAATTAAAAGTTCAGGAACTGAAGTTTTCCCTTTTTTTTTCTTCAATATTTTTTTAACTAACGATTATCTATTATTTTACTCTTCATTCTAAGATAACGGTCAGCTTCTAGGTGATCCGCAGATCTTACGGGGAATATTGAGTGTATGTAAAGAAACGGCAAGGTAAGACAAACTGGACCTTTTTCAGATTATAACTCATCCATTTTGATACCTTTCTGTCCTTATATGATTTTACCATTTTCAAAGTACCGAGGGGCATTACTTTGGGAGAAGAAAAAATTCTTTGTTGATAGAAATCTTTAGGTTTACTTAATTATGGGAGGGGTTAATGTAATTACTCGCATTAGTTTTTAAGTATTGTGTGGTAAAGAATATACCGTGGTATGCACTGGCTAAACCAAGTTAGAGTTGTGTATATTGTAGTATGCTGAACGTTTCAGTTTTCGATTTATTGTTGTTGTCAATTTAAAAATGAATATAATTCTCCCTTTTCAGACCACTGAAGAAGTTCAAGTCGTCTCCAAGAAATTTGTACACCGCAGCGAAAGACTGCAATATCCAAAAAGTTATTGCTCTCTTGGGTAACTATCAGTATCAAATCATCCTCTACTTAAGGGCTTACGAAAAAGTCACAAGTTCTATCTTGTTTGTGATTCCTAATACTTAGAGTGTTCCTGAGTTAGAGTAACTGGATAAAGGTCAGAACGTCCTATTTAACACCGAGAACCATTTCCTTTCTATCCTTCAGTCGCGGGGTGTGATCCTAACCAACAACTGATGAAAGCCAAAGGAAAGACAGCGTTGCATGCAGCTGCTGCGGGAGGTTACGTCGACATAATTGCTTGCCTGAGACTGGTAAAAGAATAAGAATACTACCGATATTTTCTTCCCATAGGAAAAGAGTCATTCTCATGGAACTGGGAATTTTTTTCAAAAAAGTTTAAAGCAGTACGTAGATCTGAAGCTCAACGTCACAGACTAAGATTAATTATACGTACTGTGAGTTAATACAAAGTTTACTGTGCTTCTCTCTGGCGCACCAGCTTGATCAATTGTGAAAGATTCAAAAGAAAAATATTTAGTTTGATTGCCAGGAAGATGTTCTCTAATATCACCAGCTGCTAGAACGACTCTATGTCGAGTGAGTTCTGGTGGTGTAAGGAAGAATCAATTTCTTGCCTCTATATCTTTTAATGATGGCTGAAGTATGTCTTTTTTTTTAAATTGTTTTATAGGCGGGATGCGACTTAAATCTTGTAGACTATGAAAATAGAACCCCAATTGTAAGTAGCTAACATTGCTTTCTCTCTTTTGAATTTCAACTAATGGCAAAAAATTGATTAAAACAAAGAAGACAAAAAAGAAGCAAAATTGAGCGTTTTCTATTGTAGCAGCTGCCACCTGTCTGCAGACCATAATACTTGAAAGAGTTAATTTTATTTAGCATGTAACGATACTTTCCTCTATGTAATTGTTGTAAGCGTTTGTACTTCCAAGTTTTTTAATCAAACAAATCTTCTTTCTCTGTGATAGTTTGATGCTGTTAGTAACCACAAAGTGAAAGCCATCGAATACCTTATTGATTGCGGTGCAGTCTTGGGAACCAAGGTAGGACTGGGAATGTATAGCAGCCAGATAACAGAACAACGACTCAAATGTTTCCAATCCCAGCGCCATTACAAACTGCTTGTGGTGTTGGCCATAATTCCACTTGTGTTTATTTTTAGGATACTAAAGGTATGACATGTCTTCATTTGGCTGCCCGACAGGGGCACCCGGACCTGATAAAATTACTACTCAATACAGGAAAATTTGATATGAACGAAAAGGTGAGGAATGTTTGAGCAATGTTAAATTAATTTTTTTGTAAGAATATGGTTATTTTATGTAAGGGGGTGGGGGTGGTGGGAGATTTATGATTGAAACTCTTCTTCTGACAAGGAAATAAAGAATTAACATCATAATTGAAAGCGTGAATAACTTTGATCTCAGTAGATGAATCCATTCACCTGACATTTTGTAAAATTGGAAACTGAAACTCGCACAGATTCCAACCTGAAAGGTGATAGGTTGTACCCTGCAAGAGAGGCATGCTCGATTTTTTCAAATGAACTGGATTTATTCAAGTTGACTGCCTTTTTCGGATTCAGCAGTTGCATCAGCGATAAGGTGGCGTAATATTAAGGGTGATGAAGTTTGGAACGCGGCCCTAGGGCTGGTTCACCATGGTGTGTTCTCATAATAATAATGATAATAATAATTTATTACTTATTAGGCGCAAATTAACATCTGAATATGATCAAATGTGCCTTACAACACTTTGCGGGGGACTTTGGTCAGACTGCATTGAGCAGCTTACAATTTTTTTGAAGGAGATTTAGGAGATGCCCCCGATTTCAGAATCTAGGGCAGACCACAACACCGGGAACTACGTCCCCTACTCTTTGAGATAAGTGTGTGGGTTCTTTAACGTTCCCGACCTCCCGCACAGTAGTCCGGCGCTCATCCACGTGAGCTAACCAGGCGGCGGTTTCTTAGGCAAGAGAATTACTCTCATAGACCCCCTTTCCACTCAGGAGTACAATTTTTTACTGGCGAATTGTAAGGGAAAGTTGCCGTGTTGCTCAAGGGCAACCATACTGTGATGGACTCGATACCCATCAAGGGGGTGCAAAAATGCTGCTATTCGCTTTCGGCTACAGTAACCAGGATAAAGTCTTGTAACAGCAGATCACCTTCGCGTGAATTTGCGAAGTACGTTTAACCAGAAAGATATACTTTGAACCTTTTATGTCGGTGTCCTGAGGCGCTAAACTCACTACTGGACCAACTGATTAAGCTCATATTGGCAGAGGCCGGTGGTTAATAGACTTGTTTCCATGCCACACTCAACAGGATGACGGAGGATGGACTCCTATTATGTGGGCAGCTGAAGACAAACATCGTGATGCTACTCAGCTTTTGATTGAACAGGGCGCTAATGTCCACATTAGAGACGAAGTAAGAAAACCTCAAAAACATTGAATTCCTTTTAAGATTTATAGATAACTTGTCGCTAGAGTCGCATATCGATACTTCGGAGGCACAGTGAGGTCATTAAGAATCTTAACGCTTTTTTTTTCTTTCTCTATTTTGTTTTGCTATTTCATTTAGAAAAAATCGTCTAGCGCGGGTCGTCATTTATGTACATGTTTATTTAATTTGGCAATGCACTTCAGAAAACAACTACTGCTTATCGTGTTAAAAGGACGGTTGATTATACCTTAAGGGATGACCATCTGTTGAAAAGATTCTTTAACTCTTTACACTTTAATATCAGTCTGCAAGTTCTCCCTACTGTTCTATATACATTTCCTGTGGTACTGACAAGGAGAATTTGTCCAACAATCAAGAGCTTTTTGAGTTTGTGATCATTTCCTTTATTCTCATGACCTTAATGTTTGATTCAAGGCTGGTACTGTTGAAAGAAATTTGATGCTTATCACTCTCAGGGGTTAAAGGGTTAAATTTCTTCAGTGAATTTCTTCTTTTTTTTTCCCGATTCCACCAATGTTTACTTTTGGTTCTTTAATTTGCAAAGTTCTCCCTTGCCAACTTTGAGATCAACGTCCCCTTTATATGACCAAGACATCGTATCATTTCCCTTAGGAGCTTAACACTCCTCTTCATTGGGCAGCGTTGTCCGGAAATCTCGAAGTGTGCAGACTTCTTTTAGAGGCTCATGCCGATATAAACAGTTTGAATATATTCAAGGAGACATCTCTGTAAGTAATGAGTGTAGTTATTGTACTTTGGGTAAACAGCTACTTTGTGCACCTTATTAATGTTCCAAAGCTGGTGTGATAAGCTATGAGTTGTAAGCAACTGCAAGTGTATATTGAGATGAAAAGAACGATCCACCGCTAACACCAACTTAAAGCCATTTTGCTCGAAGAGCTTTTTCTTGTCAGTTACCTTAATTTTTCTTTAAGACCCCAGTCGTAGTGTTTCTCTTTTCCTTGGCTTTTCGAGGTTGCAGCGAAAAACTGCACTTGAAACTTTAGTCAGTTTAGTATGATTAACATTTTTTTGGGTAAAAACATCACAGTTGAATTGATAATGTCGTGCCTTGGTGGTTTCGTTTCAGACATATTGCTGCGAGAGAAGATTGTTACAACTGTGTGCAGTGAGTATGATATTTTTTGATATGACTATACAATCCAGAAAACCAGTGCCATTGTGACACTGATGAAATCTTTTGTTTACTGAAGTGAATCGGCTCTGAGTTAAGAATAAAAGCGACAGATCAAGTATAGTTTAAGCTCTCATGATCAGTATCTTGTTAGTGAGGAGTACCAACCTATTGATGTCAAAATTGTGCTAGGTTGTTAGTCAGTCGGGGAGCAAACATTTACATCAAGAACAAAGACGGCCAGACACCTCTCACGGTACGATAGTGTTGTTGTATTTTTGTAAAAATTCGTTCTGTTGTCGTAAGTCCAAGTCATGAATGATCTAAAATTATCGCTCCAGTATTACCTAGAGATCGAGTCCTTCATGAGGTGCTAATGGAATATTATCGGGAAACGCCTAAATTTTGCAGGTTGCCAAACCTGATACGAAAAGTAAAAACTTGTTGCATTCAAAAGTCGAGTTGGAATCATGTCAGGAATTTATAAGACCGCGGATCCTTCACAGGTACTACAAATTTCTTTACTTGCTCGACCTTACCTATAATTCCCTAGTATTGTTACTTAACATGTTCATGTATGTACACCTTATTTGATGGTTTAACATGTTTTGCGTTAATGAGCAAAATGTCCGCTCGTATGGTATGCGAAATCATGAAACTAGAAATTCAGATGATTTTATTGCGAAAGACTGACGTTGTTAGTTTGTGTCGTTGGTGACTAACGCCAAGGTCAGTCGTGTACTAGTAAGGACGTAAGTAAAGAAGCAAGAGCACCGAATATGCATGAACATTTTTTAATTACCGCTTTTTTTTGTTCTGATTTCATTAATAGTGATATTTCCCGTGGGCAAGAAAATGTTTCAATATCTTGTATTAACGAGGTGGGTATGCCCTTGTATTTGTAAATTATAACTTGGGATAAGTCTCAGTGTAACTTGTTGTGATCAGATCGCACACCTTGCGTCACTTTTTAAAGTCGAGTTTATTTTTTTCTTGTTCTTCGTGCTCGCTGGTCTTTTTTTGGGAGGGTTCTGTGTGTCGTACGCTTTTCCTCCGTGCATAAATTCCAGTCAAAAAAGGAATCATAAGAGGAAGACATGTCATTTAAATATTCAAGGCGGTGAAGCCGCGTTTTTCCAGCACCTGGTTATTTATTGTTTGACGTACTCTAATCGTTATCTTAGAGTCCAAAAATATCGACAAATAGCTAGGTAATAGGGTAAATAATGTCTTCGTATCGAGTGGTTGTGACATGAAGCATTTTTCATCGCGCAATTCGCTTTCGTCTTGGAAGTACTTAAAGTGTCGAAAAGGTCTGCAGGAGAAACCTAAAGGCTGGTGAATGTGATTCTTGTCAAGCTTAATGCATCAACATGAAGACTTATGAATACTATGGACTAGGTGACGAATCTGTGACTCTGACTCGAATCTGCTTTTACCTTAAATCAGGTTGACGACGTACCATTTCCGGACTTCACATTTGTCAAAGAATCCTTTGAAATTTACAACGGGACGATAAACTGGAGTATTTCAAAATTTGAGGTATGTTAAGGTAGAAGGAAAAAAGGCGTTCGTTGTATCTTATAATTCTGTGATGTTCTGAAGAAATATTCGTATTCTGTAGGGATGTGCTTGTGACGGTGACTGTCGCAGTGGAAGAGCGTGTAGGTGCTCTGAGAGGAGCGAACGGCAGAGAATATGGTACAACGAGGTAAATCGATACAACCTTCCATGTTGTTATTTTGTGGGCGCTTTTAGTGTAACTTCCTGGGGAAAGTCGCCCAGGAACTGAAATCATGAATGGAAAGTTTACCTTACGCGCTTAATGTCGTTTGAATACCTTAAGAATATGCATGACTTAGTATAGCAAGTTTGTTATTAAGGCAATGGAAAGGAAAAGATACGGCTGTGTTAAGGATTTAGCAAAGTCTGAAACTTTCAAATATACTTCAGTTGAATGATTCTGTGGGAAAAATGGTCTAGAGAACTTTCTGCTAAACGTGTAGCTGACAACACCATATTACAGTGGCCTAGTTTATACGGAAACCTCCCTTCCTTCGTTCTTAACGTAATTAGTGAATGCAAAAACTATGGAAGTATAATAAATCTGCAATTCGTTTGCTCTCCATTTGTTATAGGAAGGTTTGTTAAAAGGCGACCTGCAGAAGTACGACAGGCCACTCGTGTTTGAGTGTAACAGAATGTGCAATTGCTGGTCGTACTGTAGAAACAGAGTGGTGCAGAAAGGAATGCAGTATCCATTACAACTGTACAGAACATACAGAAAAGGTTACCTGAATAAAACTACTAATGAAACCTAAAAAGAGAGTGGGAAACAAAATACGTCAAGGACTTTAAACGAATATTTCATAAAACGTCTCAAGTGACGACTGCAACTTTAGAATCAGTTGAAATTGTACCAAGAGTAATATCCGACTAAGTATCCTACTCAACTAACTGCAGATAAAAATTTTTCCCTATCGATGTTAGCCGAGGGATATGCTCCAGTAACAGATTTGTGCGAGCTTATTTAGTCTCGTTTTACTTTTTCCGTTGAATGCAAAACTTATTTTGGCTTTTATTGTATGTTTATTGTAGGTTGGGGTGTCAGAAGCCTTGCCGAAATTCCGCAGGGAAGTTTTGTTTGTGAATACACTGGTGAATTAATTTCTGACACTGAGGCGGATGCGCGAGATGATGACGACTATCTTTTTGACTTAGATTGTAAGGTATGGACAAAGCCTGTTGCAAAAAGTACTTTGTTTCGACTGAATATTACTCTTTTGGGTGGCGAGACCCACACGATCTAGTTTTGTCAGTCACCTAACGAGACCAAAGCATTGGTTGTCACGTAAATATTTGTTAGACTAGGGATATGGTTTAGCAGTTCTTTCTATGGATAATCGCCTTAGGTGTGGCGCTTTAAATGGCCGAGTTACGTCATATGTTAATTTGTTTCTTTTTTCAGGAGAATGCTCACGAATTGTTTTGCATTGATGCTAAGCATTATGGTAATATCAGCAGATTTATCAATCACTCGTGCGAGCCAAACGTCTTCCCCATACGGGTCTTCATTCATCATAGGGTAAGTGCTGCTGACCATTTAATGTCCCACGGCTGAAGTAGTGAATGCAGTTGACATGGACAGAACCGTGTTCACAGTGATATATGAAGGAATAATTATGTATTCCTACCCCCTACGTCCTACTTCCTGCATGTACCTTTACCATTGAAAGAAAGCGTAGCACATTTTAAAGGGGCTTTGAGCTAGTGAAAACTCTTGGTTAATATAGAAGACCAAACAAGGCCGCTCGGGAACAAAAATGATCGACTATTGCTGATATCAAGTTCTTATTCTATAATATATTGTTCCTTAATAAAGATTTATTTCAACTTTGAGTATGTTTGTAGATTTAAGAAGACTAGGAAACTTGCATGTTCTAGGTCAGCTTTAATGATTCTCTAGTCGGCGATGAAAATAATGAAGTTAACTCTTTGTAAATACCTTTAAGATATTCTCATTTTAAGGTCGTAATTTTGAAAATTAAATCTACGTTGTTTTTAGGACGTTAGATTTCCAAGGATTGCCTTTTTCGCAACAAAAGAAATTAATGTCCACGACGAGATATGGTGAGTACGTCGTCGCATGATATTTCAATTACTATTTTTTTAGAAAGATCTGTGGTTTTTAAAAAAATCTCCCCAAAGTTTTGCATTTTTTCCGCAGTGACGCATCTTACAGTGACGTTCTAACTGTAGTGCTATCAATATGACCACGTGGTCGGCTGCTTTCACTTCATTTCAAAGTGATTGCTGATGAAATCGTACAATTTTGATTGAAACACAATTTAGCAAACGTATATAGCAGCAATTTCCCAGGTGTGAGTGGAGGTAAATGTTTGATTTACCGTTAGGCGGGTTTAAATGTGTGAAGCGATTCTGCATCTAGAATTTGCTCGAGGGCTCGTGCGGACTTCGTGGAACGCTTGGGAAATTTTAAATGAATAGTTCCCTGTAGAACATGTAATCTGACGAAATAAGATGGCGTCTGCGATAACCTGGATGCCAAGTATATGGTTTTAGTCTCAAACGTTTTGGCAGCCCTTTATTTATGGCTTTTTCTTCTGAATCAGGAAGATAGCAATTTGCTGTGAAGCTGATGGTAATTTTAAGTTTCCTTATTTTTTCAGCTTTAACTACGGGGATAGATTCTGGTCGGTAAAACGGAAAGAGTTTTTCTGTGAATGCGACACTCCAAGCTGCAAGTATCGCGATCGTAACAGATAACCTTTCGTAATGATGCTTGTTCTCTGAACACAATTCTACTTTGCCATCTTTCTTGTGTTGTCTTCATCATTATGATACAATCCGTTTCATTTTCGTTTTAAAAAATAACGTTTCAGGCTCTGCATTATTTTTATATGTCAATACTGTGCTTCCAGATTGTAAGGTTTACTTTTTATGCCATGTTACCAAGCAACCGCTCGGATATTTTTTAGAAAACCTTGGATTTTAAATGTTTGAAGTGTTTAGTAGTTTTTAAATCTTGTAAGGGCAACCTCTATTAGTTCTTTTACCTCTAAGCTCTGAATATCGATTCTCTGCCATGTCAGCCATGTATTTCTTAATATTTAGGCTCTAATAATTTGTTGTTCAATCGAACGGCACTCCTAGGTTTTTTCTTTTCGTCACCCTTCCACTTGAAAATATATCGATATTTTTATGGATCAATACCTTTTTGTCTATTTAGTCAGCGGCTCTCTTGTACGTGAAAAACTTCCTCATTCATATGGGTTTTTTGTGACTTAAAGCAAAATTGATAGCATTAATACAAAATGTACATCAGTACATTTAAAGCACGTATTAATTTGGAATGTTTTTAAGTCACTGTTTTTTAACCAAGCCATCTTTTTTTTTTTAGTATTTCTTTAATCGGATCAGATATATTAACCATTAGTCTTAATGGTAATTCATCGTGAACAAAATGTAACATTAAGATTTGACATGTAAAAAGTTGCCAGCCGTACTGTGATGTAGCATTATATTCTAAAACTTACCCGTAAGGCGAGTGAAAGGTTTGATTTTGGGATTTAATACATTAAGTTTCTATATATATTTATAACAACGACTATGCCTGATAACATTCAACATTCCAAGAGAGTTGATAACTCTTATCCATCTACAATCTATATATTTTATTGGCTTATCTGTGTTGCTAGGATCCCTTATCATTTATTTTGCATCCAGTCCTTTTGTGTCTCCGTTGTGTTCCTTGATGCGGGTTCTAGTGGTATTGGCATAAGACAACTTAATAACTTCATCCTAACTTGTATTGGAAAGATTGGAAAGGATACCGAAACAGTATGATATGCGAGAAACCGCATGCACAACTAAACTTTATAATCATGTGGAACGTTGTGACAGTTTTTTCGGTCTGGATTTTTACTTTCTTTTGTGGAATACGTCCATCTTTCTTTAGCTCTATCTTAAGAATATTTAAGGTATAGAGTGTTTTGCCTTTTACGTGGGCGTAATCTGAAATAAATGTATTTTATCCAATTGTGTCTTGTTTGATTTGGTGCGAAGATGGTGGCGCAATCCATCGTTTTTTATTCACTTCTTTTTTTCTCTGTACTGAAATATCTCTCCTGCATTTTTCGCAGCCAATCGGCACGAGAAAACGTTTTCATATTTATATGTAGTTACTTGAGTACAAGTAAAATGACAAATAAAACCGAAGGTGAACGTACATCAGAAAAACAGAACCGATTGTTATTGGCTCCAATGTAGATTAGATAGCCTATTCGATAACTGCTGGGTGGTGAACATGAACTAGTGGTCGCTTAGAGTCGTGCTAGATTTCGAACAAGAAAGTTGAAAGCGGCTTCCATCAGCTGGAATGCATCAGCAATAAAACGAGATATCATATTGGAGTCGTGTTATGCATTTTTTTTGTGGTTTAAACGAAGTAAACCACTCTGTCGTGGCTTAAAATATTTATTCTGGGGTTGGTAAGCCTCAGAGAGCGGCCATTTTGTATTCATGGGTGTAATATGTTGTCGATGATCGTTTATCTTATTATTCGTTTATCTTCGTGGCTTAGATTTCGCACGGCGGCTTTCCTACACTCAGCTCTTCTTCTAAGTGCGGACTTCAGCTAAGAGTTGACCTCTCATAGACCAAGAACTGTTTTGAATAAAGCTTTCGTTCCAAAATGTTTCTTAGCCTGTTTCGTCTTGCTGCTTATTTTATAGATTCCATGTAACACGAGATCTCTTCACACACGAACAAATTTGCATATGTACTTTGAAATCAGATCCGCAGACCTGTTTGCACACGTGCGACAAAATTTACGATTTTTGTCTTTTAACTTGATTTTAGAGTAAAAACTTAACATGCATTTATCGCTTTTTTCATGGAAAATAAGTTGTTTAAATGTTCTTTCGCCGCAGCTTTTTTTGGGAAATGACCATTTATAAAGGTTTACTGCGCATTGTGTTTGCTTTTCCGGTTTCTCCAAAATTTTAACTTTTAACTTGCGTAGGCACGGGTTACACTTGATTGTGAATGTGCGCTCACTCTTTATTCCTGTTTTCTCGTCACCATATTCCCACCAATGGCGTAGCTCCACTTTCTGCATATAAACCCACACACAACCCACAATTCCTCCAATCGCTCTGACGAAGGGCTAACGCTCGAAACCTCAGTTTTTTTACCCTTTACGGTAGCTAATTTACGTTTTCAACTCGGATGTTAACACTAAATTACCTTTTTATCACCCGCATGATTACAGACCGAATTGGACTCCTCTCAGTCTCACTAATAATTTGTGTTATTATCGTTGTCGTTATTATCATTTTCCTGAATTGTCGTAAGTGGTATTGTAAGTAGTGTTCTTCGTGTTGCAATAAAAAATAAAAAAATAAAAAAGAACCGCCTAAGGTTAGGCTGCCAGAAAGTGCAGGCTACAAAATTGTGTATCAGAATATCTCCTTCGTCGCAGCACTGACTGGATTTTCCCGGAACGATGCTCTTAACTCGTGTCAGTTGTCCTCATTTCATTACTTCTTTTTGACATTTCACGTTCGAGTTTTACACTATCTTAGTTTCTTTCCGATCCTATGGGAAACAGCAGCTTTACCCTCTTTGCCTTGGTAACGTCACAAGGCTGTATTTATTTGTGTCAGATAAGACGCCATCAACGAACATTTACATTCTCTTAAGAGTGAAGTTCTCCCTTACGAATCACGTTTCAAAACTGCCATTGATGTATTGAATTTCATTTCAGACTAAGCATTCTACTTTCCTCGCAATTACAGAGATAAGCCAGATTATACCTTCTACGACCGAAATACATGTATTGGCCTAACATAAGGCGGAGAAAAAAAAAGAGCGTTGATGATGCACACACATGTTTTTAACTGATATCTTATTTACATCCCGGCATCGTTTAATGGTCTTTAGTAGACTAATTGCGTCATTGAACATAAAATTCAACTATTCAGTTTCTTGTTTATCAGACTCTAGTGTATCTCTCTGACTGGTTACATCGCCGTGCTCACTGCTCTCATTTGTGTGAGTGGACTGCAAGCGTTTTGGCGAAAGTGAAATTTTTCCCAAATTGCGATGTTTGTCAGAAATTACGCACTTAGTTAAAACTCTGACATTGCGTGGTGGTACCATTTACAAGCGAATGTTCAAATCTACTGATCATTCCCCTTTTTGTAAATCATTTGTAAAAGTTGACAAAAAGAAGCCAATAAATGTGCATTGGTGCCTTTTTTTACATTGAGCCGTGGGATATTTCATTATAGATTATTCTAAGATCTTCAGTGTGGTTGGTGAATTTAATCTGATATTTCGCTTCCTTTTTCCAAATGTTCAGTTGTATGCAAATAAACGTATTTCGATTAATAAATGTGCCTTTTAAGTTATCCGATCTTTTCAAATAATGAGAGACATGTTTGGTGTGTGAAGCAAATAGTTTAAACCAGGTCCTTATGTTACGCGTCAAATATCATGAATTCGAATAAAAGCGTCAAACAGATAAAAACATAACAATTATCCTGACAGCTCCGTGAATATTCAGCTGCACTGTTTAAACAAATATTTGGGTAAATGAAAAGATTGGATCAGACTGGCAACTCATATCGCACAACTCATTTTTACCTGTTTTATCGCATAAGTCTGCGGTAAACTCAAAAATTGCAGATCGCTTCAGGACTGCAACGACATGAAATTATCGACCGAAGATTTCGTTCTGTTACCAGGATATGCTGCCATTGTCCTTATTGGAATAATAGGAAACTTTCTTATCTTAGCTGTCGTGAAAAGGAAACGCTACATGCATACTACAACAAACTTTCTCCTCGCCAATCTCGCTCTAGCCGATTTATTAACATTACTGTGGTGTATTCCAGGAATCTTACTGAAAGACTTAATCACACACCCCAATGGCCTACTTGGAGACATTCTGTGCAAGTTTGTCACCATGCAACACATGGCTGGAATATCGCTTCTGGTCGCTGGGCTGACACTCACTCTAGTGTCTGTTGAGCGGTATAATGCGCTGGTAAACCCTCTGAACGCCAGCTTGCGGCTCACGAAAGAAAATGTCAAATATCCGATCGTTGCCATGTGGATGTTTGCGTTCATCTTTGTGCTGCCCCTATTTGTCTTCGAGGATTGGGACGAGATGCGGAATAGGTGTATTATGCTCTGGAAGAAGCCATCAGCGACCATTTATTGGTCAATTTTAACGTTGATTGTTTTTCTCGCGTTTGTATTAGTCTGCTTCTGCTATCTCAATATAATCAGGGGATTGTATTTTACAAAGCAAATCTGCGCAGAAAGTTTAAAGTGTTGTTCAGAAGAGGAGATGCAAGCCAAGCGTAAAATCGTCAAGCTTTCGATCACCATCACAGTTATTTTCCTCGTCTGTTTCTTCCCTTTCGTTGTTGCCACAGTCTCGGATAAAATTTCAGCGGAGGACGTATTTTATAAGATCGCCTACTTTCTGGTTTATTGCAGTTGTTGCGTAAATCCAATTTGCTACGCAGTTCAAAGCACAAATTACAGAAATGCATTCAGGGAAACTATCCGTAAAAGATCGACCACTAAACAAACGGAACAAGCAGTGTAAAAGGTAACTGTTCACTTACCCCCACCCCCTTGCGATGTTGTGCAAGTCACGTTGGTGCTATCCTAAGTGACCTCAATCCAGGAGTAGTCACATTCTTCTTAAGTGTCGTCGAACATCTAGTCATAAATTATACTCTACTTAATATGAATAGACAACGAGATGATGAAGTATGAAAAATGCTTGGTTATGAATACTATTAGTCATTTTTCTCAAGGAACTAAGTTGCTATGAGACGAAGAAAAGATAATTAAACTTGAACAACAGGCATTGTGGGTAGGCTTTTCTTTTGGTGAAGAGGGTTAGGGACAAGTGGACTTGTCCTGATCCATGGGCAACCCCCCTTCTCCGATTTCCCCCAGTCACTAGCTTCACTCTATTAGTTGTTGCTCCTTTAATTACAGGACCCCAAATAAGAAATAACTGGTTTAAATGAATTTGATGGAAATTATCTACGTTGATTAAGATTAATTTCCCAAAGGAATCTTGAACTAAGATGCATGAAATTATTGGCTAAGCGCGTTCGGTTTAATTTACGAGTGAATTAGTCAGTTCACGAAAACATGAGGGGCTTAAGGAGGGAAGATCTTAGTCCAGGCTTAGAATATATCAAATTGTCAATAGATTCCCTTTTACACAAAATAATGTTTTCTGGAAAGTAGCACGAAGGCTAACCTTTTCCTGTTGTTCGAAACGGACGCAGAATAATGATGGGAAATGCGAAGATTGCCCTGTTCCGCTATCAAACATTCTTTATGCCAGTACGTCCATAATAGAATTGTTGTAAATAAAAGTAAATATATATTCAAATAAATTGTAAAATTAATAGATTAATAAACAAATAAAAAGATAATGATTAAGCAGAAATTATTTTGATATAAGGTTTTTTTTTTATTAATATTGCGGTAAATTGAACTGAAAAGGTGAACCAAGTATTTTTTTATATTTATAAGCCTCCACGTTCCAAAGAATAACGTTATCAGTGGGGTGGAAACTTGGATAGGTCGGTTAACACTTTTCTCCAAAATTCGTTTTAATTATAAGAAGTTTATTATGAAAATGTTTCTTGCTTTGATTTGTCACGAGACCTTTAATTTGGTACTATCCTGCTGAACCAATCAAGAAACACGAGCAAACTCACTGCAACAGCTGTACCATTGTAGTTTGCCAAATCAAATATCACCTTATGTAGTATTAAAAGTATAAATTATTTCATCGCCGAAAGTCTGCAACTTATTTTATTGTCAGTTTGCATTTGTTGACGTCGTTCATCGCACTGGTATACGGCTGAATATGCGGCTGACTAACATATAGGGAACAATTTAGACTACTTTGACGAAAGGACAAACACAAAAATGATATTCAGCAGTAGAGGTAGGTTAAGAAAAAAACTGTTGTAAATAAGTATGTTATTATTTCCAAGGACATACAGTTTGCGATGTTACAAACCAAAGGACGAAGGAAAGAAAACTTTCTCGCTTTTTTAATGTCCTTTTTTACCATGGATACACGTAGTATCCTTATGAGGATATTATGATACTACTAAGGCCGTAATTCATTGGGATAAATGATTTTCTGGCAGCTACAGCAAAGTCTTCAAAAGGAATTTATCTGACTTATTGATATTAAGTCTTAGGTAAAGGAAATCTTTTAAAAAATTTAAGACGATAGCTTAAAAAGAAAGAAAGGCACAGAGCGACGTACTTTTAAAAATTCATCGTGATATAGTGTAATCTTTCTCGTTGTTGTTTACATTTCCACCTGAGATATAATCCTGAGCAGTGAAACTTGAGTACAAAAGTTTACACAAGTCATCACATTTAGTCCAGCTTTTTATTAATTTTTCTGAGTACAATAACATCAAAATCACTCAAAGTAAACATATCTCTGAAAAAAAGTTTAAAAAATGTTCCATCCGTCAACTTTTATCAGTTCTAATTTCGGATGAAAGTATAACATTACGCCGGCATGAAACTCCCAGATTTTCGAAAAGATGAAGTTCAAATTTCGCTTTTTCATGGACAGAAGAATCGATGGATTAGTGTAGTCTGTCGATGAAAACGGTTGTAATCACAGAACAATTTCCACAAAGTACCTCCTCATGAACTGATTCTTGCAGAATCTGGTGCCAAATACATTAAAATTTCAACAGATATAAAATCCCCTATTGAAAATTAGTTCTGGCGAAATAGTTATGGGAGAAGTAAGACAAATATAAGCCGCATTTGAGCTGAACTAAATCACAGGAGATGCCAGGGGCTCAGGGTGTGCGGTAAAAACTAGCATGCAGCAAAGCTTTAACACAAAGTATGATATAAATTGGTTTTCCACTAAAATATCATGGAGATAAAAGCTTAGTTATCACGATAGCTGATCCAAAATGAGGGGACTGATATTCTATAAAACGATACAAAAGCATTATCAATCAACTTAGAGCGCAAGAAAACACTAACTATTCGAGATCTTTATAAGTTTACGTCTGATTTGTTGGTGAGGCTAATTTGCAAATTCTAGAGGGATTTGAACCAAAACAAAGCAGTCCCGGATTGCGTACGCGTCGACTCTGAATATAGCCGATTACTTCAACGGAAAAACAGGATATTTTATGTAATTTCAGTATGAGAGACTTACCAACAGAGAAAATTATCCAATGATTATCACCCTTATATCATTTCATTTATTTCTTGGACGGTAAGCCTGTACATTGACCAAAGAGCAAAATACAATCAGTTTATCCCAAGTATTTGCAATTTCTAACTTTTTCCAAGGTGAATTCAACCTCTTTCATCCTTTAACAAGTTTTATAGGAGGAGATCCTTTCAATATCCTGGTGAAATACTAGCTGGTTCTCTCGGAAATAAGGGTATTTACTTGGCGTTAATGACCCTTCAAATCTGGAACGAAATTAAGTTTGATGTTCCAATATATAAAGGATATAGTTTGTCACCATATTGCGGTAGAATTTCACTCCGAATTTAATAGTTTCCCAAAAGAAGAATATTTCCTGACCACATGATTAAAACAACTTTGCATACTATCCAGAATTTATTTTTTTGGCCACCGTCTCTCATCTCGATTGTTTCTTCTGAATTTTTAAGGTATACTGCTCAAACCGATGACAAGATGCGGTTCGGCGTCAGAACAATTTTTTGGGATCGCAACATTAAAACCAATTCTGAGTATTACAATTAATATTTTCGATTCTCGTCTCGTTAACTTTTTAGTCCGTTGAGATACACATTAAAAACCACCCAGTAAGACTTTTTTTTTTGATACGTTCTGAAGTTTTCTTGCAACACTACTGTTTCCGTTTCCATTTCCGTTAGGTAGCAGAGTACGTTAACGACGCAAAATCTACATATTAATTAATAACGGAGCTTTTACATTTTGCTGCAAAGGAAACAATAGCAGTGTACGTAGGTGTACTTTTTATCAGTTCAACAATGGTTATGATCAACTTTGCGTCAACGAAAAACAAGGAACCGGAAAACAAGCACTTTTTTTTTCGGAAAATTGATATGCTAATAACTAAAAGCCAAGTTTGTCAATTGTTCTTGTCTGCTGTCTGACAAAGTGCGATGTAATCATTTCACGTTCATCGCACGATCTTGATCAAAGGAGAAAAACGGTTTGGAAGGTGAGTCGAATATCTGTTTCTTTGCTGCTCTTGCATGTAAGACATAATCTTTTAAGTAAAACGAAGTTTAAATTCGAAGAGTATTTGTATCTCTCGCACTTTGGTGTTTCTGTTGATAGCACCATAACTGCTTACTTCTAATTAAGTTAAATTTACTGATTTTGAAACAACTGTCTGCAGATTTCAATTAAATGAACATAACTGAAAAACTCGTAGTGGACCGTAGAGTTCGAACGAAATTTCGGGATTTAGTAGTCTTTGTAAAAATGTCAGGGTGAACGACCGCGTCAACTGATTTGAAATCCAAAGGTGCGCAGAGAAGATCCTATGTATTTTCATTGCTGAGCCATTCGGAACTAACCTGGATGAAAATTTTCAACAAAACCAACGAGGTGCTCTAAGATCTTTTGGTAGTATGCGGTATGTAAAGGTGCTTTTGAACATTTCAGCTGTCAGATCTTAACGTTACTGTTACTTCAAGCGAATAATTTCATTCGGCAAAATACTCCCTATGTGAACACCCCTTGATCAGATATGTTCACGCTTGGAATATCAATAACATTTAACAGAGTCGTTAATTTATTTCCGCTCAGAAACTGAAAATTCCGAGCCTGATTGTCGGCTTTTTTACCACACCATTTCATTCGTTTGCTTCCAGATCTGTATAGCTTAAAAGGATTTTTGCGGAAGGATAAATGAAGCGCTATCGAGGTAGATCCTCATAGTATGTTGGGGTATGAACGCTATGAAAAGTCGACACCACTATGTCAATTGTGTGTTGTTATAATAAATCGGAAGTTTACAAACAACAAATAAACTGCCAACATAAATCTAAAACTGATGTCTGAATAATTCACCTCCATTAAAGGCGGAAGCAATATGAGTTCGTGAGTGACAGTCTTTCAATTTATGGTTGGTAATACACTCGCAGCTATCAAAATGACCTCGCGGTGTCTCATGCAAGAGAAATGGAAAGCGCTGCAGTATATGGCATTGGGGATTTTTTTTTTGTTTTATTTACGCCGTTAAAATGTTGAGAAAATTTTTTCATAACAGGCATTGATAAGAATCTGTAAACAACAAATTTCTCGTTTTGTTTACAAATGTTCTACTAACCGAGCTGAAGTTTAAGTAGCCTGCGTTGCTGGCGGTCTGCGGTTTTGAGTGCAGAGAGAAAAATGAAAAATTTAAGTTTAAAGAGTAATCATTCTGCTATGTATAATATAAATATTGAAAGGTTCTTTAATCCGTAGCTTGATCAGAAAATGATAGGCTTACATAAAAAGAACTGAATATTGGAAACAACGATCAGCCAACGTCACACTTCGAAGGCATCAAATATGTCTCAAGTACTCTACTCTGTCAAGGGTGGTATATTGAGTACCTTCAGACTTCACAAATATTTTATTTTTAAAGAGGAGTATTCCAAGAGTTTGCACAGACGTACATTCAGGTTTGTAAGAACAATAAACCCTTTTCTTTAAAGTTTGGGATGAGCCAAATATCAAAAGCACTTTGTTTCAAGGTACGGTGTCATCAAAAAAATCAACCCCACAGCCCAAGAGCATAGCGAGATTCGCTCTTTGATTTCTTTATATAGTGAATTTAATTAACACGATATTCCAAGTTATATTTTAATCACCGAGAATGGAACATCGACTTCCTGTCGTTAATTACGTAAAAGGAACACCTTCAAAATTTATAGAAGCTTACAGATAAGAAAAGATTAAGATCTTCCTCTGATAATTCTTCCTCATTAGAAAGGCTTTGGAATTCTTTAAGTCACATTTTCACCGAAATCCTGCAAGCTTTGAACAGATCTAGAAGATCAAAAACAACAAATTTGAAATTCGATAGAGAAAAGATTTGTTTTTATCATTCTTATGCCTTATGGACTCCTTATACTCAGAGGTGCATCACAACTAAACTAAACAATAACCCATCTCTTTTGATGGTAGAGCAATTTTAAGACAACAAAAGTGATAACAAAAAATAACGAAAGCACCCACGCAGTTTCACTAAAATATAACCAAAACAGTTAAATTTTCTTCTCTTTGAGAGAGATAAATCTCCAAAAGCGTTGTTGCAAGTTCTATATCAGGTTAAAAAATGAAAAATTCGATGTTCAAAAATAACAATTTTTAAGCCCACGTAAGGATATATATATTGCTCAAAAGTGAAATAAGATCTTTTTTCTTGATATTGCCAGTGAATTTCGGGTTGATGTTCAGATTTTTCAGTATATGTGGTTCCAATTTACCCTGAGTCGGGAGTGTAAAGGTACGCAGGAATTAATAGCTCTCTTTTGGCAGGACTCTGAATTTTCAAGCTCTGAGGAGTACTGGAGACCCAGGTTTGTACTTAAATAAGGTACCTAATCAAGATAAATAACGAAGCTCTTAGTGCTATGGCTTAAAGCCATGATTAGGACCTAATCACATAAACAAGGAGGAAAATTACGGCGATGTTTAAGTGAAAGAGGGAAAGAGAATTCAAGTTCGCGTCGTTGTTTAAACTTATTATTATTGTTGTTCAGTATCATTATCATCATTCCATTATTTATTTACCTATTTATTTATTCCATTATTTCCTTAAAACAGGAGAATAAGTTCCTTTTTTCCGCAAAAACCGATTGTTTATAAAATAGATGTAACAGTTAGATTTGTTGGTGTGGAAACGATAATGCCGTCGTTTCAGTTTAAATGAATCTTTAAAATCTCTGAGTCAAAGTTTGATGAGGTGGAGAGAGATTGAGTACCTGTGATATATATTGTACGCAACTGTTTGAAAGACATTTTTAAGGAATTTTTCGATTTGTCAGAAATTTTGCATATCGTTTTTCATAGCCAGTCCGCAAGAGCTACAACAACTTGTTCGTTTTTTTATACTAACCTCAATTCATGAAAAAAAAAGTCGAAGCACTCATTTTCTAACAAGTAATCAATATGTTCTATATTTATCAAATAGATATTGATAAAATACCTGAATTTCTCCTGTTTTGAAAACATGATATGGTAACCGGGTTTATCAATATGAGGGAATTTTCCCTTCGAAAGGAAAGAAAGAGTGTCATTACATATACATGTACGAATATTACAATGGTTAAATTCATTATTTTAGAAAGAAAAACACGTCTTGTGAGTAGAACTTGTCGTATTTTTATGTCAGATTTTAAAGTAGCTTTTCTGCGAGCTGAGTTCACATTCAGGTGATCTTTGCATTCGGTGCTCTTAAAATTTGTTTCAAAATCTTCTTCGATTGCAATATGCAATCAATACGAATCATTCATTTAATATTCTGAGAACAGTAAATGTCCTCGTGTGGATAAGAATCTGTCCTCTCTTGTACATAATCTCCTTAGCTCATCCATTTCGCTAACTGTGTATGAATGTAACGGCGTAAGCGTTATCTTCTCAGATTATTTATACAGCTAACACATAGCCAAGCGCGACTTTAGTAAACTGACTGAAAAATCGTGATTATGCGTGAAAGAAACTGACTTTGAATAAAAGAGTACTGCGAAATTACGTGCGGAATGAAACACGTGCAAAAGAGGTTTAACTGACAAAGAAAAACCTCAACAAACTTAACAAAAAAAAACACTAACGAGGAAGGAAAAATAATCGACAAGTGCTTTGGATCTTAATGACATAAATATTTTATTATTGGTATTCATGAACTGAATTCTTTGCACTCAGAGATAAGTCGGTGCTTATAATATTTTAGATAGCAATAGTAAGGGTGGTTAACACAATAGGAATTTTTTTTTCTGGCCTCCGTCAAAACAGTGCACTTGTTTACTTATTTGAGAGAGTCTGGATACGAGGCAGCGAGGCTGAAAAGTAGACTGACAAGGAAGATGACAGCAGTGATGCATAAACTTTCCTCGACTCGTTATGTATTAGGGTAATTTAGTATTATCAACTGATCATGAGATGATAACGTATATTAGCAACCATAAAGAGTTCCAAAGCTGACGTTTCGAGCGTTAGCCCTCCGTCCGGGCGATGGATTAGCCTACAACGATGAATTAGGCTACAGCTTGTTCTAACGACTACCGCAAATGAATTATTGATGAATAATAAAAGTTAATTTGTCACTCATCCATCGTAATAAGAGAAGAGAGAAGATGAGAATACCAGCATTAAGTTGAAATCAATTTGCCAATGAACAGAGCTTCAAAATCCTTTTTCTTTCGAAAAATCTTGTTCACTATTCCCAAGAGTTTGAAACAGAAAGAGACTGTTTAGGATCCCAACATGATTAAGAACTATGATGAGCCATTCGTATTCAGCCAGATGGTCACAGGTTGGCATAATGCATCTTGCGACATCATAACAAATTCCAAGAACGAATGAAAAAGCGCTTTTCGTTGCGGATTATCCGAAAAACTTCAGAGGTGAATAGCAATAATCTTAACGAGAAATTAAGTTTCCTAGTGTAAGTTGGTAAAGCATTTTCTTCTCGTCAGTTATGGTGAACGTATCGCTGTGTGCACCGCCAGAAGTTTTGTTGCTTTTACCCTCTCATTCAGACTTGAGAGAGCTTCGGGCGACTTTCATTGTTAACTGTGTCTTCAATAATTTTCTTACGTACACCGCCATCTTGTTGAACATTGTGACAATGTACGCGATGCAAAAAACTGCATCTCTGCCGAAGACTTTGAAAACTTTGTTATTTAGCATCGCTATTTCTGATGTTGGTATTGGTTTACTTGCTCAGCCAGTTTACTCTTCGCTTCTGGTCAAATGGTTACAATTGAACCATCCCAGCTGCAACAATTCCCGAGTGTTTTATATTTCGGCCAATTTGTTTTTAGCTTCGTCGTTCTTGTCCGTTGTGGCTGTAAGTGTAGACAGGTTCTTAGCTGTTCATCTTCATCTCAGATACCAGGAGCTCGTGACTCACAGGCGTGTTGTTATTGTGGTGATTTCCATATGGGTCTTAAGTGCATTTGTTTCTTTCACAATGTTCTGAGAATTACACGGCACTCGAGACTATATCAACTTAGTCTTTTTAGCCTTTGGTTTTATTATCTCATTTGCGGTGTACATCAAGATGTATTTAACAGTTCGACGGCACAAGAATCAGCTTCAGTCCTTGTTAGCTGTAGACGAAGCTCAAATTGGTATAATGACAAATTATGTTGCCGTTGTTAAGACTACAGTTGGTGTATTCTACGTTTATCTCGTGCTCTTAGCCAGTTATTTGCCTTATTTTATTTGCATGACTTTTGTTCGAATCTGCCGTGACTCGCGCATTGCTAAAAAACAGTTATTTCTTTTCTCGTTGACTCTCATGTTTCTTAATTCATCTTTGAACCCTGTCATTTATTGCTGGAAGATGAGAAAGATTCGACACGCTATCTTGGACATACTACGAAACATGCCTCGAATGAGAAATTATTCATATCGCGTAATTTACGATCGGTCTTCAAGTGTCGTCCGTTTTGGTAACTGACTGAAACCCTTGTGTGGCTAACATGGATTTTATTTTCTCGGTCGACTTAATGGGGATAAACGAGATCATAGTTACACTTAGTGATGACACGTCAGCAGAAGCAATGGCGCAGTTCGAATTTTAAAGAAACATTATGTCATGGAACTGCTTGCTAAAGTCACAGCTGCAAAAATTGTACGCATGCTCCGCTACTCGAGCCATTGAACATTCAGGGCTACGATTCATCTTCTGCAAACATAAGCTGACACGGGTTTTTCCGCCGAGAGAACAAACTTTTCCTCCAGGGGTTTGTCTACTGAGGAAGCGATGACAAGAAGCGCTAAAGCGATAACAGGTGCTGCGAACTTCGTAGCCATGTTACACCGGGCTCTTCAACCGTTCAATCACTAAATTTACATCTGTTACCAAAATTTTTTTTTTGTTGGGTGAGATATGAGAAGGAGAAGGTTCAACAGAAACTTTCCTAAGAACTTGAACCTTACCTGTTTCGTTTTAAGCTTATCCCCGCGAAATGAAAACAATCCATGGGAATTTTCAAAATGTCGCCATTTTGCCTTGATAGTCTTACTATGGAATTCTTGTCGTTTCCATTCCTTTGTGCGCGTACATTTCTCGCAAGTTACAAGCATGCGCACTCATTTTGCCGCTGTGTCCTTGCAGAAAGGGAAAAACTAGACTTTTCTGTGGTTTTTTACCGATGGACAATTAAATTGTACTTATGAAGGCAAATAAAGGAAGGATATATTATCTATATCAAGATTTTTTTCGCTTTTTGAAATCAGGATTAAAAATCAATCGAAACTTAAAGCTTTGAGGAATAATTGTCCGAGAGGGAGCTCTTTTATCTCTTGTAAAAATTTTACCCATGAATTCGGAATCTTTCAAAAAACCTCTTAAATTGATCACTCACATAGGGGTGCTAACTTCAAATAAAACTGACAACTTTGTGTGTGAAATTCCTCGAGCAACACTCGAATTTATTGTCATCCATACTCTTGCGTCAGAAGTAGACTTACCATACCAGGTCATAGTAGGTGGAAAGTTCTTCTTGAACTAAAAGTGGACTATTTTCTTTCATTTTGTGCATAACATGTTTTGGTTTGTGGAAGAAGCGATCAAGCAAACTGGCTTCTCTCTATTGTTACTAACAAATTGGAAATCCTTGTTAACATCTAGCAGTTTATTGTAGTCAAATAATCATGAAAGAAAATGGCTTAATGGAGCTAAGTTGAAAACTGTAAACATATAAAAGACATGTATATGCATGATCAACCATATTCGCTTTGTGTTTGTTCAGTTGCGGTTCTCAGATGACGTCAAAACGTAGCAAGAACGAGAGAGTTACATTTGAGCCGCATGCGGGTGTGTCAGTAATTAATAATATTTTCTGAGCGACGCTGTCATCTGTGATCTAAAACTGAACAGACACACGGCATAGTGAAATCCATTTCTCCGGATAAGGAACAGAAAGGCGAAAGGAAATAAAATCACCAACAATTTTCTTACCGCTGGAATGCTTGACAGAACTATAAGTGCCCTTTTAAGTATTTCTTAAGTCGCAAGGCTTCAAAGCTTTTGCACGCTTCTAACCTGATATTCATGGTTGACCTCTTTCGACAGTCGCTTCAGTCGATTTCTTGAAGAACGTAACAATCATTGGCAAAAGGAACGCTTGAATGCATTCAAAGGCATGCTGCTCAGTGTGACGACGAAATAATTCTTCCTTGAGGAATAAAGACTAACGCGCTTTCTAAAAGTTCGAATTCGCACTCAAAGTATATTTTAGTCTACTCGGTTTAATGGGCTGTTTTGGAAACTTCGCTTTCAGAAAACAATAAATCTGAATAAACGTGAATGATTAGTCTCATCTTTGTGTAGCGATGAAGTTGCGACTGCGTTTTTTAGTTTATCCGGCCGTGATATAAATGAGATCCATTTAAGAATCTGACTGATGTGAAAAACTCGGATCAAATGATAAACACAATAACGGCAATCACCATCAAATATTACAGATGAGATACTGTTTTATTCTCTCCGTGATCGGTCAGCGTTGTAATGCCAATATGACAGCACTTGTGCCTCTTGTACCAAATCAAGAAATGAAAAACAATTACATGTTAAGCTATGCATCAAATCGTGGAGAGGAAAGGTCACGAATGATGATAACCGTGCTACATAAACTGAAGGAAAATGTTGTCATCGTCGTCAAACCAGGGATTTTCAAGGTAAACTTAACCTTTTCTTTGTAAGGTTTTTGCAATCTGGTTGAGAGTAAAAATGGAACTTGAAGTCGATTTTTTTCAAGATATTTTCCATTTCTCGCATTTTTAGCACAAGGACTTTGCGGAAAATTGCTATTTTAAGCACGTTTTCCTTCTTATCCACCGCAAACAATTTGAATTCTGTCGATTTGAAAATGAACTCTTAATGATTGTGTCCGTTGAAAAATTTAGCCTAGAATCTTAAATTGATATCTACAATCTATTTAAATCTTGCTCATCCTCAGCCATTTTGTTCCTTCCCAGTCTAATATTGATCCTTTTTAAGTAAAGATACTTTTACAAGGTGCAAAGAGCGTCTCAAATTATTGGGAGGGGTGATCCGGTATCCGTAGTAACTTATGTAAAGAGAGGTTTCTGTCAGTTACTCAGGCCTGATATTGGTCATTAGGAGTCATTATTGCATTTTTATTGTCTGGCTCTACAATACGCCGCTGGGGTTTCATACCTTGTTGTTTAGCGTCAAATATATTTAATGATGCTAAATGTCGGTATCGCAAAGCTAATAAGCATCGGAGCGGCTTTTACGAAAGGTGCTTCTGACAGACGTCTTTGACAGGAGTAATGTTTGAGTGATATAACCGTGCACTTTTGGGAACCGTCTATGGTAGTCTGGTTGCTGTCTGTTAATTTTTTTTTTTTTTTGTTTGTTTGTTTGCTTCTTTTTTTCACCAGGGCTTTTATCGTAAGCAGATGGCGGAAACGTCTGGTTTTTACGTCGTGAAAAATTGTCTCTGAATCGAATAGAATAGGACTCAGTGTAAAGTATAAGTCTACCAATAAAGTCAAACAACTGTGAAGAGAAAAAAATAAACCAGGGGGAAAGGATGATTAAGCTTAGGAAAGATGAACTTGGGTAGTTAAATCATTACGAGGAAACTGGCAGCAAACGTTTTAAGAGTTACGTAACTCCTTCAAAAATTGGAGTGAAATTAAAACTTGCGCACTGTGTGCCAGAATTATCAAGGAGTTTATCGAGGGTTGTATGCTTCGCCTATAATAATATGTTTCATGTGTGAGACCTACTGTCCTCTTCAAACTAGGGGCGGTACGTCCGGATATAGTATTGCGTTTGGGCATGTCAGATAGATCTATGTTTTCCTGTTTATCATGTTTATTTGTGATATCTTAATTGATGGATGATTAAATAGATTATTAGCATTGAATTGGGCTTTAATGAGAAAAACCCGCAAAGTTCTTTAAAGGGTATAGGTCACTAATTCAGGTTTGATATATTCGGCAAAGGTTTATTCACCGTCAGTGTCACTGACCAAGCGAGATTCGCTTGTTCGACTTAAAGATTGATCTTTGTTCATGATGAAAACCAGATCAGCATCATAAAAACACCGTCACCAGAAATGAAGATAACATTTTCTTGTTGATCGTCGCTCCTGTTAGAAGGAAATAATTTTCAATAAAAAGTTATTTCCATTGGAAAGAGAATTGGTATCTTCTACAGTCGTTTAAAGGTGAAAATGAAGGTTAAAAGTCGAGTATAGAATAACAATAATAATTTTAATTTTTCTTTAAAATCTATTTCAAACTTGTAAACGAGTTCAAACGAATCTCGTTTACACTTAAAAAAACGCATTTCAAATTGTCAATAGTGTTTGATTAACATTGAGAGAGACGATGACCTCGCACAATTACTCAAAATAGAAGGACAAGTTAACTTTAAATTACCATTTGAAAAGAAAATGCCATTCAATGGATTTATGGTTATAGTTAAACAAAAGATTATACACAGAAGGCAGCCCTTCCGTAAGCACTTATTTTATTTTTAAAAGCGAACTGATTGATGGATTTGCTACCTGGCGACTGCACGCTTTCGACAAATATTTCTCGGTAGGCATCTTTTTATCAATAACGATTCAACCCAGGCGGTTAATATTAACTGATCTGTTTTGACATTGTAGACACGCTGTTGCACAATCTTTTGATGCTGCTTACCATGAGAACACTGAGGTTTTTGTCAATGCTGTTGATCTGGAGTGTGTATGGTGAAAAAGCGACCAATTTTCCCTGCGGCGAAGTCTGTGCGTGCTCAGGAAACCAACAGCAAAGTTTTCCAGGTCTCGTGGCCGACTGCAGTGGACGAAATCTGAAGAATCTCCCCGTTCGACTACCTCAGAATACTAAGTATCTGTGAGTTTGTTTTCTTACCAAATATATTTCGCTTTAGGGTGCCAGGTTTTACACGTTTGCGAGGTTTTCGATTTATAGTTCGATCATACAGCTGATGATAGCTCTGGGCTGGTTTGCTTAAGGCTTCCTGGAATAAGGTGAAAAGGAAAATTTCAACATAGGTAATTCTACAGATCCAGTTACGTTACATTCACCGAAGAAAATTTAGGTAATTTGAAGACAATAATGACCTTTGCTACGTGTTTTGTTTATGTTTTGAAAATGAACGTTTAATCAGCTTGATTCTTATCTCGAATAAATTGCTTAAAATTCTTACATTTTAACGGGGTGAAAAATAATTTGGAGTCATTCATAGCTGGGAAACTTTTCACTCATTTAAACTGTTTGCTCTCTGACGAAGAAGTTTGTATCATCAAAAAGAGCTAATCTCTGAATTTTTGGGCTCTCGTATCTTTCAATATGTAATCAACTTAGCCCACAGAACATTTTTGTTTACATGCAAATTGACTGATATGTCAGTCCAAAAAAAGGCAAAGGAAAAAAAAAATTACTGGATCCCTGAGTAGTACTCTGCTCTAGCAGAGCTAGCTAAACCAAGTTATTCCGACCGGAAATTACGGCAACCGGAATTAAATCTTATATAGACGTTTTGTTGTGTAGTATCCCTGAGTCAGCATTTTTACGAGTTGTGCCGTATTTTGACGATCCCGTATCGCGAGTCAAAATACAAGAACGAGTCATTTAGTTGAGTTATTTATTATCAAATTGCTATTTTTTCTGCTAAGTCTCTCTTTCTCATAAGGTGGGAAAAGCAAAGCGGATAGAGAAGCGTAGCGCGCGCTGCCGACTGGTTCAACTTGTTTTTTACAGTACAAAATGACCAGCTGTCCAAATAACCATACAATATCGCAGGATATTTGTACTCTATTCGCGCGTTATTTGTGCTCTGCTTTGTGCAATTAAGTAATAAGCGCCGATATTCTCTCTTTTTTTTTCTGTTTCAATTTACTTTGTATTGATGAGCCCCGACTTAAGCCGCTCTCTAAAATCCGATATTCATTATACTTTTATACAAACTGCCAAACTCTGAACATTTCTGAAAATGTGTTCTTAGCTGTGTAAAGCTTCGTGTTCGTCGCAGACGTTACATAGTCTGTCACACAATGACTCACCAGTGTCAGCGTGACAACTGAGAAGATTTTTTCGGGTGACAGCAGGGAAAAAAATACACCATTTTTTTAGAACTTATTAGCTAGATTTTAATCTGATATATATTCTTATGTTATAGAGATCTCTCAAGTAACGCGATATCCACTTTGTCATCTCAACAAGTTACTGATCTTCCACAGAACTTACGTGTACTGTAAGTTTCATATGGGTAACTGTATCTTGTAAGCCGGTTCAATATTTTTCTTTTAAAGTCGAAATCCGTTGGATTTCTACGAAAAATTCATGTCCCTTTCATTGTTTTATCACTTGTGTATGTTGAATCACAGATTTCCTCTTATCTTTTGTCTATCCTGTCTTTACGCAGCTATGAGAGACCTAAAAGATGTGTTCTTTACATGACTGATACTCGGGAAACACGTGAAAGAAGAATTGTACCCGAAAGTTTGTTACGTGAAGGAATGATTCTGAGTGCTCTTGTGAAAAATGTTTTTCTCTTTTTAATCTTCTCGAAGAACAAGATCATCTAAAGCTTGCCTTCGTATGGTAAAAGTTATTTCACCACCCACCTCTCCTTTTTCCCCCATTCCATTAGGATATATCCATTGCCATCTCAGTGGATATCTATTGCCATCTCACTTATAACATGTTCAGGCTAAGAGTATCCCCTGATATGTTTTCATGAATATTTTTTATTTTGTTTCAAGGAACCTGTTGGACAATCCAATAGATTGTAAAGACGCAATTCTAAAGCAACTGGCAGCTTCTATTACTCTTAAGTCCAACTGCGGCCAAATATCGAATGTTGCAGTGGAAAGTGACCTGCATTTTCCTCACTCGAAGGGTAAGTTTAACTCTAGTAATAGGTCACTGTCCACTCCCCTTAGTAGGGAAAAGGAATGGACTCCGTGCCGTCTTGTATGGTTTATTTGTTTCAGTCTTAGGTTCATCATTGCTTTGTTCTTGCACGTATGCATCATTAGCGTTGAATAGTTTTTTGTTATTCTCGTTTCTTTTTTAACCATTGTTTTTCTTAATGATATCTCTTCTGACAGAATCAAAAATAGGAGGTCGCACGAAAAGAGCTGTGGCAAGTAAGTTGTTTACCGTACGATTGTTATAGGCAGTACAAAAACTGTATGCATTCAAGTCAAGGTGCGTTCAGTGATCTGTGTTCTGTGGGCATGACTAACAAGTAGCGAGTCAACATACATACCTACTCACAAATCCACGAGCTGTCCAAATCATCTTTTTTTTCTGATATTTTTACCAAAAAAATCACATTCTCGGTGCGCACAAGTCGAAACACTTTTCCAAGGTTTAGAAAATGCTCTTATCTTTTCTACAAATTGATCATTTTATACTAAAATTAAGAAAGACAAAATCAAGCTAGTATGTTCGAAATATTTTAGAGTATTTTTATTTAACTTTTTTATTAAATGTTGTTGACAAGGTACAGTTTTGAAGAGAGGTCCTATTTTGAACTCTGGAACCTACATATGTGTGCAGGCGTAATTGCTAATCATACAATAAGTAGAAATAGTTTATCGTGATACAATAACATTGAGTATAATCACGGTAATGGCGAGCAGAATTATGACATTGTTACTTTTTCTATTATCGTAGTGGGACATCACACACTGCATCATTTTTGTTGATCTTTCAACGCAGGTTGCCAGGCGGGATCAGCAAATTGTGTGAATTACACGTGTGGAGGCATCAATCACTGGTTGCCGTATCAGACTTACTGGGGATGCTGTAAGGGCGTTATCCATGATCAGCGCGAGACCTACTGCTCAGAAATACAAGGCGTTATGCAATGCGGCACGGTAGCTCCAGCATTTAGATGCAGGAATGAACACTGTATACCAAATCCATGGTTATGTAACAGAGTGAACGACTGCCAAGATGGAAGTGATGAACTTGGATGTGATGAGTGTAGTAAAACTGATAAGTTTCGATGCTGGAATGGGAGATGTATTCCTCGATCAGCCGTTTGTGACGCGTATAACGACTGTGGAGACGGAAGCGACGAAACGTTTTGCCGAACTTTGCGCGGTGGCTGGTGCACCACAAAACAGTACAGATGCCCCACCGATAGTTGTGTTCCACTTCAAAATGTGTGCGATGGCAAAGCAGACTGCACTGACAGCTCTGACGAAATTGGGTGCATAGTTAGTAAGTACCGACAAAACGTACTTTATTTAAGGTAACCGTCAAATGTTGGGCAGCGTAAGTGGATCAATATTGGCTGCCCGCGTGCTAATTTCCGCCAAAAATTTAAAGGAATGCAATAAGGAACGACGGCTCATGGAAGATTTACAAAAATCTTATTGAAACGTTCAAGTAAATTTCTCAAGGAAACAAAAGTAGGTTAAAGGGAGATTGGAACTTTTCATACTCGAAACTTTTTTTAAACAACGGGTACCCTGTTGATTTACCATTTTGTCTTAAGTTTTATCAAAAAGGTTGAACCTTTTCAAAACGCGTTTATTGTAGCTTGTAACAATGGATGGAAACAATATCAGTCATCTTGTTATATGTACTCAAACCGTCAAAGTAGATGGACTGATGCTGAAGATCTTTGTCAGAAGGACGGAGCGCATCTCGCGAAAATTACCAGCAGGAAAGAACAAGATTTTGTCTTTAGCCTTGGTGTTCATCAACCTTTTCAAATCTGGATCGGTTTGCGGGCGCAAGGACCCTCAGGAAAATTCACTTGGGCAGACGGATCGCCACTTGGCAATTTTACTTTCTGGTCAGCGGGTGAGCCCTCTCCAGATCCTGACGTTTGTGCGGAAATGATTCGTAATGATGGTCAAGGGCGGTGGCAAACTGGCCAGTGTACAACGAGACACAGTTCATATGTGTGTGAGAAAGGTCTGTGTTACTGAAGTATGTTGATACAGTCATAGGGAATATCTAGAAATGCTGTAAATATAATGGTAACTCGTCTCTTTCAAATATCACCACTAGATACATGAAATGAATGGTCGGTCTGAAGATATAAAGCGAAGTGTCCATTGAAAACATGTTTTGATTTTACTATTGCTAGATTGCAATACATTTTGATAACAAATGGCTGCAGAAAAAAACGATTTCAGAAAGCTCGCTCCCAATCCCAAAGTATCCGCTTAAAAGATATTTCTTGCGTTGCAGAGACAGCATGTAACATCACGGGAGCGAGTGGTGATTGCAAGACTGATTTTGGTGAGTTTTGATAACATTGCTACAAAGTATTTAAAACTTTCGGTCAATCAAAAGAGAGCCCAAACCAAGTAAAAGTGTATAAATTTTACACAAAACCTTACAGATAACATGACACGGGATACTACTGTAAATGCCACTTTGTTTTCTTATTCTTCTTCTTCCAGTAAGTCTTTTGATCGACGGCAAAGTTCTGGAGCTTAATATAAGATCAAGCGCACATTAGCAACATTTATTTGCCATTGCGTTGCTACATATTCTCCTGACTTCATAAAATTTAATTGTGCATGTGAACCCTTTGGTATGAAAAAGTAATACCAATACCAAGCCATAGTGCTTTAGCAGCTAAATTCCTATGGTACAGGACCCCACTGTTGAAAAGTCATACCTGCTAGATCTGCTCCAAATTATCTTTAAAAAGTAAACTATAACTTACTTATTGTAAACTGCACCTGACTTTTGTCTATTTTGATGTTGTGCTGCTTCTTTAAAGAAACACCGCCGCTCATGAAGTCTTTCCCACGCGAAGAGATCATCTCAGCACAGTATGAAACTAGCGTGACGGTGCAATGCGAAGCATCTGGTTTTCCGAGACCCACAGTCACGTTTCTTATTAACGGAGTAAATTCGTACGCTGTGAACAAGGGTCACACAATCATGGAACCTTACAAAACAACTGTCACGTATGTTGTGACAATGCCGTCTGACGTGGAATGTCACATCTCTAACAGAATGGGTAACACCTTTTGGAGAATAAAAGTGAATTTAAAAGGTAAATCATTTAATAAAAAGTTCAAAAGCCGTGTGTGAATGAGGTATATGTTTAGAGTTCACCATTTTAGTATCAGTTTCTATGGAAACTCTTTGAAGGTCTTCATGAGAAAGGAATCGTGGTATGGAGAAATCAGATTTTTCCGATGGATTGAAATATCTTGTGTACATTTTCCACACCGTGTGATTTTTGAGTGATGATCGTCATAAATCAAAGCGAACATGGTTTTCAATATTTTTTTTTCGACAGATGACGACCCGTCATTTCTCAAAGCTGTCTTAAGATTAACGGGTGAGACTTTCACGTCTGACCTCAAGGATCCTTTGTCTGAAAAATTCAAGACACTGTCAGCCTGGCTGGAGAATATTCTTATGTCTTTATACACAGAAGTACATGGTTTCAGAGATGTAGAAGTTGTAAGATTCAGGTAATTTCAGCACAAATTTTGATCTTAGTCTTTGAAACTCGGTTACAGCATGCTGTATGATTAAGATTTTTAAATCTTATATAATTTGGTCCATCATTGTAGAAACGGAAGTGTCGTAGCAGATGTGCTCCTGACTGCCGCGAAAGGAGGTTCGTCAGTTGTTCAAAACAAACTCCTTGAAGTTATGGGCTCAAATCAATTACAAAATGTTACAGTTGACTCGTTTGGCGTCATTAAAGGTAAGGTATATCTATTTTCTCGAGGATTGAGAAATTAGACAGAAATCTAATGATTTTTATTTGGGAAAGTGAAACTTTGCAACGTTCTCTGTTATTGCTGTTGTTTTCCAAAGTTAACACCGCCTTCTCCATTTTAACGATGTAGAATTCGGTTTCAAAGAACATACGTAGCCAAGAGATTTCATAGGCATTTTTAGGATATGTTTTATTAAACAAGCTTGAAGTAAAGAAAGTTGGATAATGGCCACCTTTGAGTTTCTTAACAGCGCCGAACGAGAACGAGTCTAATATGCACCGATCTTTACTTCATACTTGGTTAATTTAGGATCTATTATTGTCAAACAGTGGCTTTTGTAGGGGCAATACTGTGACAGAAAAGGTCCAATTAGGCCCTTGCTGGGTAGCCAATAGGAATTCTAGCTGCAGGATCCCCTCGTCTTACTTCAGCTTCCAGGGTCAGACACTTTATAAAGGTGGTTTTGAAAGCATTGTACTTACACGTTTTTCCTCAGCGTGTCCAAAAGAATTTTTTAACGTATCTTGGAGTGGAACTTTTGAGGGAGTGTTTGCCACGCAGAACTGTCCCAGAGGAGCAGCGGGTGAGTCAAATAGCGGCAAAATCAGTGGAATCATTTAGAAAGCGTCAAGGGAGTATTACAAAGACACCTAGTTTAACCAGAGCGTTCTATTACCCAAAAAAAGCGGTTTACCCTGAATTCGGTTCAGAAGAGAATCCCACACGACATTAACAGACATGTTATTTGATGATTTGAAAATAGTGACACTATGGTGAACTCGTGGATATACAGTGCAGAATATAAGTCAAGTTATATCGACAAGGATTACTCGTTCCTATGCTTCGCATATCCACGAGTTAAAAAGTAGAACTTCCCTTTTCAAACAGACACTTCTATCCATGGAACAGTTTCCCTATGCTTGGCCTGAGGGCGTCTCTTGAGTGAAGGTTTCACTTTAAAAGACATACTGTCAGTTTAATTCGATGCTTCTAGGTTTCTTGTGTCGACGATAAATGTCTCTTCCGTCCTACTTTAGGTGTGGCCAAAAGGAAATGCTTAAACGACGGTGTGTGGGGGTACCCTGACTACGGAGAGTGTATCAGTCAAGAATTCAATCAACTACAAGAAAAGGTCTCGACTTTTTAACATTGTCTAAGTGGCTGAACTGTGGCATGTTGGTTAATATTGTTTCTGCCTATCATCAATGAATTCCACTCTTCAACGTAGAAGCTTAGCAGCCTTCTGTCAGAAAACTCACGGCAACAACCCGTGACTGAGTGTCGATTTTTTTTTTAAGTAATTTTTTTTTATCAATCCCAGCTGCATTTTTAAACACATTTTATCATTACTCATAGGATGACCATTTTTGTTACCCACATGGTAGATAAAAAAGAACTGGGAGGATTTTCGATCAATCTTAAAAATGTCTATCGATATGAACGCTGATGAAATCGGGCCAATATTTCTTGAATATAATCCGATTTGATCCTATCTGATTTTTCCGGTTATTTCCCTCTATGGTTTCCAGTACTTAACTGAGACTTTGTGCATTTTTAGGAAAAATATTGCTACATTTTAGCCGCATCCATTATAATTGGTCATCCCCTTTGAATTTCCAAAATTTTCATTGAACTCCAAAACAAAACAACGGAGGGATCATTTCCTCCCTTAGTATCGTTCAATAGGGCTCCGATTTAAGTATCTATGCAACCACAACATATACGTAATCTTAACTATTTAAAAGATATTATTACCTTCTCTCTAAACACTTTCAAAGATCTTATGCCTTTTATCTCCTTTTGTTAGATGAATGGCTTGTTCAACTCATCAAATCCCTCCAACGAAAATATCACAGCTATTATCACAGAACTGTCTTCCCTAACTCAACCAAAGAAATACGATTCCTTGATGGCTGGAAATATCAAGACATCGACGCAGATTTTACAGAATGTGGTCTTTTACAACAAAAAGTTTGCTAACAGTCGTGAGACAGTGTCAACAAACATTGAAGTAAGAGAACGATTTGACAAAGCTTCTTTAATTTGTTTCCAAAGTCAGTCTCGATTTTTAGATGGTGCAACTTTGTTGATGTTCTTTAACAGATGGACCTGAACAAGACTCAAATCCCACTTTTCTAGTCTAAGGGCATTTCGGAATTACATCTCCTCATTGAGGGTTTGACTCTAATTCAAACAACAAAGGAACATTGACCCCTTGAGACCTCGTAATTCAAAAAGTAGCCCAGTGATAAAGTTTGTAGCCCAATAGTTACAGTCATATAATAGACTACTCATATCGTAGTAATCCTGTCTACCAGGAGCGATTCAAATATCTTGTTTTCATATCATGTGAACATGTTGTTTTTGTAATTTTCAATAGGGATTTCTTCAAACCGTTAGTAATCTTCTTCACACGAACAATCTCAGAGATTTCCAGCAGCTTCAAGAGGTACAAATGCATTTCTCCGGTCCCAATTATCCTAAAATCTCCTATTTTTCTGTAAGATTACACATAGTATTTTGTGTATATTCAGTTTGCATAATTTGTAAAAATTTGGCGAAATGCGTTTTTTTTTTCATTGGCGGAAAATTTCAGTCAACGAGTTTATTGGAGAATTCAACTTCCCCGCCTCCTTGATTACCAGAATGGCTACCATTCTTCCGCCTTCCCCCTTCCCCCTCCTGTTCAACGCTAACTTATTGTAATTTTACCTCAACGCTGTGGAAGGCCTTTATACTTTTCATTTTAATTTTTGAATTTCACTCAAACTGTATTACCTCTTTCTAATAGACCGATAACACCACAACTGATTTGACCAGAATAATCGAGGATTACGGACTTCAGGCAGCTTCTGGACAAAAAAATGACAGATTGAGCGTGGTGAAAGATAACATAGGTAATAAAGGCTTTTTAAAGAAGCGAGAAATTCTCCAAAAAAGTGTGAAATGTACTGGCGATATTGCAATGTCTTCGTCTTTTTTTCTTTTAGCAATGGAAACAAGACTTGTACCTGACAATGTGCAAGAACCTTTGATGTTTCCAAATCATTCAGATTATAAGGATGGCATCCTCTCTTCGCCAGCTTGGACTGAAGGTGGAAGGCAGTTCATCAAGTTACCAGAAGAAATATTCAATCGACAAAATCATCCTTCAACAAACGGTATGGTGTAAATCATCCAAATATCTTTATGCAAACAAATAAGTGAGAAATCAACAATCAAGCAAACAGACTTTAATAAATTCTAACTCTGTATGAATATATATGAAGCCAATCACTGTATGGCAATATCTTCTATTCCACGCACTTCTTACAGCCAGCATTTCGAGGCACAAGAATCATTCTTTTAAATGAAGCTAACTTTTAGACACTTAGTGTTTGTTATACTTGTCAATGGTTCAATTGGTTGTTGTGATTTCCCTGGTTTTGTCTTTAACAATATTCGGTCGAAAATTACTGTGCTGGGTTCAGAAAATAGTACCAGTTGTTTCGTCAATATATTTTTTAATTCGTCGCTTTACGTATTTTTTGTTAATCCAGGAACCAAAGTAGCCAGTTTTTTATTCAGAACATTGACTCCATTTCTGTCACAGGAGAGGTGCGTATTGTCGCTTTAATTATTGAAAACTTATGCTTGTTGTACATTTCCATTATCACTGAATCATGATAAGGAAAGAGAAAAAATAGATTGTCATTCTTTATTCTAGTGCATATGAACAATTTGACCAGCGGTCTGGCGTGGTATCACGTATAATTGCCAGCTCAGTGCAGCCACCTGTTGTGAAACTCCAAAACCCAGTTGTGATAAATTTCGTTGGTATTCAGGTAATTGCATCGTGTGATACCCGCAAATTCATAGTTGAAATTGTCAATGAAGAGCTTATGAAAACAAACTGTCGACCTATGTGCATCGGCCATACGGGTCGCTATTATTATTAATTGTCCCTACCCAAGACATAGATATTAGTGCAGGGTTTACAGAGGTAATTTTTTAGCAAGGCGGTGAAGCTCATTCCACGATTGCATAAGCGATCGTGCAAGGAAGTAGGTAAGGGGTGTTTTGGGGTCTCAGGTTGTATTTCATCCCTTTCGCGTTAAGAAAGTGGGAATTTCCCTTATTAAAACAACCATGGTTCATCACTTTGACTTCATTTGCTATGAGGAGAAAATGCATGACGATAAAATCTCACCTCAGTTTGTTTAATTACTTCTTCTTAGGAGAACCAAAGCACTGCGATTTGCGTTTATTGGGATTATAACATGTAAGTTATAAATAACAATAGAGAAATTTTAAGGCGTAAAAGCTTCATCACGGCTACTAAGGAATCATAAATCTCAGAAATTGAAGAGAAATCTTGATGCATGATCTTATAGTGCAAGGACACAATCATGAACCGTGGAGAATGGTCAAAGAAAGTTAAGAAAGCAAATCTGTACAGCACTTTTTTCCCTAAGCGATTTCTATTACATGAATTTGCAGTACAGAAACCATCTCTTTACCGTTATCAAGTGTACTCTCATAAATGGCTATAATCCTAAACCCGGTATCTTTCATAAGTGTAATTCTTAACGTCAGATATAGACTAAGGTGGCGACTCTAGAGGAAGAACTATGAGTTGTTCTTTTAAGCTTGGTAACTGAGAAATATGTGAGGAAAGAGCGAATGATTTAGTCAATCCTTAGACAACCTTGTTCAGTAATCAAAGTCTGTCAATTCAGAAATTCCAGAGGTGGAGGCTGGTCGAAAGATGGTTGTGAGTTGGCGTCTCATAGAAATGACACAGTTACCTGTGAATGTAACCACTTGACAAATTTTGCAGTTTTGATGGATCCGTCTGGGATATCATCTGTAAGTTGACAATTGTTTTAATACTTTCGCCACTTAGAGTGACTAAAGTCACTCAATCTCACTGTATCATGACAAAGTTAAGCAGAAAAGTGATTACTAAAGGATGTTGTTTTCGGGGGTGGAAGCGGAATCGTGAATCATAAATCATAGCTGTTGCACTAAAATTATCATGACTTTTCCGTTTAAAACCCAGGAATCATAAATTACGGCTGTGGATCTGCTTGAAACTCAGTTGACCTGGACTGCAATTCTAAATAAATAAGGCAAATAGTCCCAATGATTCTATTACATCTCTTAGAGTTTTGACTTTTAAAGGGGGAAGACTGTTTAAAAAATAGTAATGCTGTTAATTCTCGGTCAAAATAGAGCCGCTTCCAGATTAATTAGCAGATAGGTAATGTTGATGCACCATTCCAGCTATATTCTCTTTTCCTCGTCAGAGAAAACAGTTTGTTCAGCATTTGTCATAAGCCACAAAGCAATATTCAAAGCAACATAATAATTTTTATTTTTTTTTATCTGATTTCCCTCTAGAAACAGTCGGTACACCAGAAAACTTTAGGATATATTACCGTGGTTGGTTGTTCTCTTTCGCTGTTGGGAATTATTGTTACACTTATTCTTCACGGTGTTTTATGGAGGTTTGTATAATTTTGACGTTTTACTTAATCAATCAGGTTTAATAGAGGCAATTGAGTCATCTCAATCCACTCTAACAAATAGAGATAAAAAGACGGGTTATACTCAATCAAGTATATTATGGTAAATATCCCCCTCTTTCAACGACATCGAAGTGAACAATTGTTTTAGAATATGTAACTAGGAAACCAAAAGAATTAGTCCTTTCAGTCATTATACCGTAAAATGGTCGGAAATTAAACTCCGTCTCTTCGGCTGCCTGGAAGTGAATAGTACTTCCTGATCACCTACGAAATAGCCAATCAGTGCTCTTGAAAAGCACTAGTCGCCTCTGTGGTTTAAACTAAGTGTTTAACTCTGTAATTTTATCTTTTACTTAGAATATTAAAGTCTCACAAGACAGTGATCCATGTCAATCTGTGTATCGCACTTTTGGCTGCGAATGTTCTTCTTCTAATTGGAGCAGTATCCACAGAATACGAGGTAGTTTCCTTGCCAAAATATGACCACTAGTACCTTTAATAGTGACCAAAATATGAAAGTACAATTATCCAAAATCCCATGAAGGCAATCAGAAATCCTCTACATGTTACAGCCATGTCAAATTTTAAGACTTTATGCGCTCATTATGCTATCGGGCACTTGTATCATTTTTCAATTCATTTTCGTTTTAATCCTAGAAACATTTTTTGTTACAGGTTGCTTGCAAAGTAATCTCCGTCCTGCTTCATTTTTTCTATCTGAGCGCTATATTTTGGATGTTGGTCGAGGGATTACAGATATACTCTTCAATTGTTAAAGTATTTGGTGGAGAAAGCAAACAAAGATATTTCTACTTTCTTGGCTGGGGTAAGTGTTTCACTTTGTTAGATGAAAATATTTTTAACTTAGGTGAGTAATATCACAGGACATTACTTCTATTATTTTAGTATTTCTTTATCCTAGAGTTCCCGGAGAGTCAAAGGTTTCATTACCTCTAAAACCAGTTTGTTGATTCGCTACAAAATGGTTCCTTCTTCTTGACCTCTGCATTAACGCTATTCAAGGTAGTATTTAGGAGATTAGAAATCGTTCTACGAGGTTTTCTCTTCGTGGTGTCTCTTTTCAACTAAATTTGATGAGAATGATCAAGAAACAGGATGGATTATCTGAAGGATAACTAGAAGAAACGTGCGTGCAGAACCTAATTTACGTATGTAACACTGTACACATAAGAAATTTCTCCACGGGCCTCCTACACGTCTGTAGTCTGACGTTGTTATAGCCCTGGAACTCACCTTCCATTTTGCTCCTTTAACCTTGCAGGTTTTCCGCTGTTGTATGTAGCTATATGTCTAGTAATCACAAGAACAGAAGGATATGGAGTAGATGAAACGTATGTCTATGGGAAGAAGATTTAAAATGGTTCCTTATTTCAATTTTTTCCAAAGATATATTGTTAACTACCCTCGAATGCACTCTCTGCAACTTTAGTTTGGTTGCCTTGAGTTGTTCTAGACATAGAGCTTTCTATAAAAATTATCTGCCATTGTTCTAAAGTAGAACAATGTATATTGACCACGTGTTCTATCGTCTTCGCTGCTCTATCCCTCTGGTAGGATATACAATTCAAAGACGTCTTTAAGTTCATGGTTACACTCGTTTTTGCAAATGAACTATTTGTCAGTATTGATTTTAATACATTTTACCACATCGTCAATATCGATTTAATAGATTTTTAATATGTTTGGAATTGTTTCAAATCAAGTCTAAACATCCCATAACTTCATCACTGATTTGCAGATGCTGGTTATCCATCACTTCTGGTTTAATTTGGACGTTTATCGCTCCTGCTCTTGCTGTTGTGTCGGTAGGTTAAGAAGTCTTTCCATTGTCCAAAAAAAATTATAGAAAAACCAAATAAGTCTTTATATTCTAATCCAAACCTTGGGCTTTAAATTGAGATAACGACAAACAATCCAATGATAAAAAAGGGAACATCTTAATACGTTCGCGTCTACACTTTTCTGATCAATAGAGGACACCCGAAAACACTGTTTAGAAAACTTTTATTGAGATTTCTTCACGTCATCCACCGAATGGAGTGAATGATATTTGTTATTAAATTAATTCCTGGTAGGTAAACTGCATCATATTTGTATTGGTTCTACGGGCCATGATGACAAGTCACAAAATGATTGGGGCTCAAGACAAGGAGAAAATAAAGTAAGACTCAAACATGGATCGTCTTTCTTATTTTTAACCCAAGGTATTAGATAAAGGTTTTATACTAAAGAACTTGATAAACATGAAATTCAAGGAAAGTGAAATGCTTCCAGGCGAATTACGTCGGAAAAACTAAGTAGAAGTGGATGAATAAAGTTACTTCTTTTAGAAAAGGATAGCATATGGTACAACTTTTATGTTGTGTAAGACTTGCGTAAGTTGTGTAAGACTTTGTATGGAAAATTGACAGAGCAGTCGGTAACTCCAATAAACCCTTGTGGAAACGGTACAAGTATTTGCTTTGGAGTTTCGTCAAATTCTTGATTTCAAACGTAGTTTATCCAGGGTATGTATTGACATTACTCCTCGCAAGGGATGTTTGAGTTGAAACTGGAAAATTTGCGTTACTAGAGTGTTTAAGTTAAAGAAAGGAAGAAACCTCCTTAAGAGGGAACTACATGAGCTATGGAGAGCTGATGACAGTTGTCTCTTATGTTCCTTGATAGACTTGGCATAAAATGTTCCATCGTCCTTCTTCCTCTTCTCGGCATCACATGGGTGTTTGGTGTCCTTGCGTTCGATCAAGCTACAGTGGTCTTCCTATATCTGTTTGCAATCTTCAACTCGCTTCAGGTATTTTCTTTTTGAATAGATGTCTCTAAAATTCAACTTAGGTTTCTGTCGTATTCAGTGTGGTGAGGCAGACCTTGATTAAAAAAGTGTTTTTTTTATTCTTGCGACGCATTGTCAATAACTCTTGAAGCAGATCGCAACTTTTCATCTGCATGCCGTTAACAGTTTCTTTAAGTCATGGGGTTGACTGGCTAGCGTCGTCACTTTATGGAGCGTGTTTCTCTGCTATGATTGATTGGTTTCCAACAACTGTGATTGGTATATCAACCTTCATCCAAAGTTATATAGGGATGCAAACTTCCCAGTAGTTGAAATTAAAAGATGCTCAATTCAGTTTGCTCGCTTTTTTTTGCAGGGGTTCTTCATATTTATTTTCCATTGTTTATTCGATCAACAGGTTTGTGATGTTTTGTGGTACATTAACCTAACCTCGTTTTCCAATCTATGTTCAGTAAATGTTTTTGTTCTAATAACTTGATGTAGCAAACAAATAATATCAGTGGGTGAAGCGGCTTACTTTTGACGGGAACACGTCGCTTCAATAATGCTAAATAGGAGCGTGGGACAAAGAAAAAAACCCCGAGTACCACTTTCTCTGTCCCACGCTCGTGACAAGATGAACAAACATCTCACTCTATTTCATTACCGAGCTCAACATTTACCATCTTTCTCATTAAATCTCGCGGTCGTTCAACCTCAGCCGGCTATGTTAGACCTAGGGTTAAAGTATCTCAAAAAATAATAAGTCTCACGAACTTTCCTCTGATTTCAAAATTCAATATAGCAGCAATACTGAGTGATCGCTTCACAAAAACGCATTCGAACACCAAGCTACACGATTATTCGCAATGCCGTAATCCCTGAAAATCTTGCCAATCGCAACGAAAGCCAACGTTCAACCCTTCAACCCTCAAAAGTAACCAGCATAAAGTTTTAACCAATGAATAAAACTGATAAAAGTCACGAGAATACAGGGTTTGATCGCTCGCTGAAAGCGCTCTTGCATGAGTGATAAACAAATTCTCCTGTCGGCAATGCAGGAAATGTATATATAGTAGAACGAAGAATATACATACTGATAGTAAGGTGTTAAGGGTCAATCCTTTAACTCTCAAGATCTGATTGTTAATTCTCCCCTCTAGCTGCTACACATTTCCTTGTAAATAACTTAATTTGGTGTTAGATCGAGATAACAACTTCTACCTGATAACTTTAAATATTCTCATGACCTGTTTGCTGGATATTGTTTAAATATTACAAGGAGAAGTCACATATTCATCACTTCCGGGAGTTGAAGGGTTAATGATATAGTTTGCTCGGTTCGACAAATGCCAGAGAGGCACGAATGAAGAAAATGGAGGCAAAGATGGTTCATTATGGAGAAGTATAACGCAGATTGCAAATGGAGACGTAGTGATATTTTTTCTAAATTTCGTAGGATGTATAACCATGGTTTCGTTTCATTGAAACATTTTCTTAATTTTATCAACGTCATCTAACTCTCTCAACAAATCATGGAAAAAAAACTTTTTTCGCATTTTTAGGTGAGGTCAGCGATGATGATATGGAAAGGAAAACGTCAACGAGCGGCCCACGCTTCAGGTGTTGATGCGACGCAAAAGGTATATATTATTATTCAATTCATTCAGATATTGCAGTTTGCTTCAAGGAAGTAGATTCACCCCATCGAATCAACTGAAAACTCCATTTGATGTTATGGTAAAATCATGATAATTTATATGCAGAATGTTTTACTTTCCGTAGTAATAGGTTGAGAATGAATTTATAACTTTGACCCACCGAAAGTAACTGGTTTGAACCCAAAAACAACATTTGCCGATAATCTAGTTAATGTTTAATTGCCCATGTGAGAGCAGGGAGTTCTGTGGAGGAATTTTGTCGGTCTATTAGTTGCTGTAAAGGGTTGTTGCATACAGCAGTTGTGATAGGTCAGCTTCGATTCATCGATATAGCAAAGTCGTTCCATGCGGCGAATTTTTTTTTTGTTTGAATATCGTGAAAAAATAAAACCATGCAGGTAGTTATTGACGTCTGTTTAGATGACTTTAATAGTGTGACGAGGAAGAGTTTTCACTAACAGACTTACTTGTGGGTGAGATGTTGCTGCTAAAGAGGATAAAAGACGCTAGAAACTGTTTTGAAGTGTTTCTAACTCAGTTCATCATCAAATAACAGTCATTTTCAGGCTGATGCCATTTTGATAATCTGAACTCCATTTTTTCACAGAGCAAACCAGTCAGCTGTAGTCTTACGACGGAGAGGTTACCAAGCCATGGCGTTCGAATGACTGATTTGAGTATCAAGAAAAACAATCAAAATTACAGACGTAGTGGAGAAATGAATGGAAATTTCACATGTAAGTGGTCCATTTTGTGGTGTGTAGCCTAGTCTATGCTAGAGGTTGGTCAGTGGGGGCAAGCGAAAGGGCCTGAGAGCGAAAAAACCGCGATGAAATAATGAGTACTAGAACAGACTGTTACCATGAATTTGCAACAGACAGCCACGTTTACGTGTACTAACCCTGTTGTTTTCTAATCTGTTTTTTAAGAATCCAAGTGGATGGAAAAGGAACCGAAAAAACTAAATTTAATATAAATCAACGAGGACATGCATATGTGAAGAGGGCAAGATGGTGGACATTGAATCGGAACAATAGACTCTGTAAATATTGAATATTAATTATATTGACTATTCATGGAGCGTAAAGGATATTGAACTCCAACCAATGAAAGGCCAGATGAGACTTCAGTCCACAGATTATACAACTTCAAGGTTGCTTTGAATCACAAAACAATGGAACTGACTTTTCCAGAAAGAAAGAAAGCCCTACGTTTTTTTAAGCGTTGGCATTTTTTCATTGCTTTATGCTAGCTTCCAGAATTCTTGCATTTTCACGGAAGTTGTGTTTAAGATTTCGCGTTTAAATACAGGACAAGTTGAGAGTGTTTTGATCGAAGCAGACCGAGATGAATCTAAATTACAATTTTACTGTAAGACTATAATATAAAAGGCTTAGACGTTTGTAAACTTCACGTTTAATTTATTTTTTATAGTATTTTTTTTCGTACAAATCTTCTATTTAACTTCTTTCTCAGCTAATATTAAAAGCAGTATTTCTATTCCTTTAGATGTATTCCGTCTTATTGCGGCTGACTCATTTCTGCGTTTAAAATATTTTAATAAGACCTCGTTAATGTCAGTGATTTGCTTTCTTTCGAAATTTGTTCTTTTAGTTTTTGTCGTTGCTGTTATAGAATAGAGACAACGTTTACCTACGAAACTTGAGGTTTTAATAACCTAATTTAAACTACGTGTTAAGCATAGGAGTGAGCGATACGAGTAAGCAATATGAATTAATAAAAGCAAACGACTCCAAGCTATTTATTTTAAATTTTGCAGTTAATTTTCAAGGGCGAAATGCGCGGAATTTTCACTAAGCATGTTTGCAGTTCTTTGCACAGAGTATCCGGAAAGTCTACTTATACAACAGTTACTTTGGTGCATGAAACTTAAGCACAGCTCTTATCTTATAACTCCAAAACCAGAAGACAATTCTTTTACAAAATTTTGAGACTGTGCAAATAAATGGTATCAAGGGGTGTTCAGAGGTAAAGCCTCCTGGACAAATTTTTTTATTCAGTTTTCTATCCTGCAATATACTCCTTCTTCAACCATTTCACTTCCTTGATCTAAATATCAACTATTGGCATTACTTGCTATACATTGCTGATTATTTCCGCCCTAAGAATTCAACGTGAAATCAGACATCACTAAGGAACACACTAGACTAAGACTTTTTTAAGTGATAGACACAGCGATGCTTAAAAATTGAAATTGTGGTCGCCATGAAACCTTACCGTGGTTTATCGGTTTGATATATTAGCCTTCCTTTGTTCTACTAAATACTTCCATATCTGTTAAGTGGAAATCAATTGTGCCAGTATAGAAATTGCATTTCTGTTCTTCAAAACAGCCAGGAGGAACTTGATAGGTGTCAGGTTTTGCAAATGAGGTCAGAGGTAAAGGTTTAAAAAACAAATCGGCCGCATATCCAAAGATTGGCAATTGTTGGTGACAACTGTATATAGCATTGTTGTATTTCACAGTGAAATTGACTGGATGATGCCCATTGATGTTGTAGAGTGAAAAGAGAAACGCCTTTCTATCTTCTCGGCGAACACATGGATAACCTACAGTGATGCAATAAAACAGTGAGATGGATTTCAGTGAAATGCATGACGGGATATAATTCTTTAAGGAGATTAAATCAGACCATTACCAGAGGAATATCCTATATTCTCTTGACACAACTGAAGCCGCCAAGTTCCCAAATTTTGCTAAATATCGCACTATTTGAGAAAATTTCAGCATTCCTGTGAAAGCCTAAATGATACCATCATTATCCAGCAAAAAAATAAAAGAAAAATATATAAAAAGAAAAAAGGAAAAATAAAACTGGATAACGCTTGGTAAAAATACAATTTCTAAGTTTCTTAAAGTTTCCAATGGATCAATGAAAAATTATAAATCTGTTTCCTTAAATTGTTTCGGTTTAGGAGTGCTTGATAATCTTATCATCTCAAATCTAGGAGTTAAAAAACATTATATTAAGGTTAAGCTGCCTATCATTGACGTAAGTAACGTTTTACTTACTCGTCCACGATACACTGATGTATGCTCCAAAAACATATTCTCCGACTTGTGCGATGGTTACAGTTGGCCCTTTGTTGTCACATCTGCTGTGAAATTGAGTTGTATTCCATCCATGTGACAGCGCATGGTAACATCTTGTCCAGTTGCTAGTCTTATTATCACTAATAACGGGCTCAAGGAACTGCTGCAAATCATGTACGAAGGAGCTACTTGCCGTTAGGATAACAGAATCTATATAGGCTTGAAAGGAAAAGAAGAAAACGAAAGTTATACATACATGCATGGCTAGATGACTAAATTTAAAAGAAGGCAAATTTACTCCGCCTAGATGGCTAAAAGGTCCAGGGTAAGGTAGCTCTGGACTACCTTCAACCCGTTAACTCGCATGAGTGACCAAGACAGAATTTCTCCTTACAATATCGATACATTATCAAGCAGACAAGTGAGGAGAATAAAGAAAACTATAAATTAGGGGATTATTAGTCGATCCAAACCCAAATTCTTCCAACTAACATCGCAAGAATTGTATGGGAGACAGTAAGGAGAATTATTTATGAGATCTTGGGAGTAAAAAGGTTAATTTTTTCCCTACAGCTCTCTGGTATCCATTAACACTTTACTCTGTGTTGTAAAGTAAATGAAATGAGTTTTCCAAGGAAACAAATAAAAAACACCCATGACAAGGGATGCAGCTTTCACCCGGACCTTGTCACCAGGAGCCCTAGGTATTGCTAAACTTTGCTGAGATAAAATAGGGCGGGCTATGTACAAATACAAGTCTTAATTTATGTAGACCTGAGTTAAACACATTAAGATCTCCAAGATTGAAGAAGTTAAGCAAGCGGCTCACGCTATGTTCGATATAATGGAAACTTACACCTTGTCACGGTATAACGGAAATCATAATTGCATTACCAAATAGATTGTTCCGGAGAACTGAACCAAGCGCTTCCTTATACAGCTCTAGTATCCGCATTAAATGACTAAGCTTTGTGGAAATTCCCAGAAAGAGCCACTCTTCAGAACAACTTATATGATTATAATTGTACATGTAATTAGGTTACTTTTATACCTGAACACGATCTTCCATCACCAGAATATACATTTTTACACGTGCAGTTATAAGAGCCAACGGTGTTGATACATTGGGCATTTACGTCACATTCATGAGTGCCGGAGACGCATTCATCGATATCTGAACAGAAAGTAGTAATTGAAAGTGTCTCAATCAATGGAACTCTTAAATGGAATGCAATCATTAGTAAGCACGAACAGACAATCTTAATACATCAAACCAGTTTTGAGCAGACACCTTCCATTTCCATGTCACAGTAAAGTAAAGCGGCCTTTCCACTCCTATTTGGATCCAACCAATATTTGCTGCTTATGACTGCTTTGCCTTCACTCATCTTTATTTCCCGACACGACTCTGCGGGTATCTCTGGTACGGATCCTAAAGGAGCTGTGAGAGAAAACCCAAAATAGTCATACAGCACAGGCATTAATTATAACAGATTATTCATCATATAAAATGAACTCCAATTTGACTTTACATTTGATACGTACCCCTGTCAAAAAAACGTATGTGGTAAAACCGAGCGAGGTCTGGTTGAAAATTTTCAGGTTTTGCCTCTTTGGTCCGGTTGTTCAGTTCACAGGACTTTTCTCCAACTACGTAGTTATAACTCTGACATCTGATTTCTCTTTCGCAGCTGATGTCACACTCGTGGATGGCTGATACAGAAAACTTTTTGAAAACAAATCCCCGCAGAGCCATTCCAGCTATGTTTCTCTCTTGTTTGCACTGTGCATCAACAAATGCAACGTCGATTAAGAAACCAACGACGAAGAACCAGGTCACAGTCCAACTCATTTTGTTACTTAACTGAAAAAAACGACACAGTTAAAAAAAAAGTCAAACAAAAAGTAAAATAAAAGTTGTTATTATCCAACTGCACATAGTAGAGTACAAATAAAACACGAATAGAGTGCAAATATCTTGCGATATTGTACGGTTATTTGGACAGCTGGTTATTTTGTACTGTAAAAAAAACCTGTTTAACCAGTCGGGTGTGCGCGCTACGCTTCTCTATCCGCTTTGCTTTTCCCGCCTTATGAGAAATGAACAGAATGACTTAGCAGAAGAAAATAGCAGTTGGATAATAAATGACTTATTAGACGTTTTGGTTTGTAGTATCGCTGACAGAATATTTTTACTCGTTTTTATTTTGACTCGCTTACAGGCTCGTCAAAATACGGCACAACTCGTAAAAATACTCAGCGATACTACAAATCAAAACGTCTAATAAGATATATTTATGACCCAAGTGCACTAACTAGAGTATAAATAACGCGCGAGTCGAGTACAAATAGTCCACGATATTGGACAATTGGTTATGTTAAGATAGCAACAGTCCACATGAAAATGCTAAAATATCGTGTCAAACCTATTATACCCTTACTTTCTAATTTGATAAATGAATTACTATTGTAATTGACCCTGGAAATAAGCCAACAAGTTTCAATTTATCACGCAATGTTAACGAGATAAATTAAGCTGAAGCCCTTACGATCGACGAAAACATTTTCAAAATTGCACTCCATAAAAAATTTTTAACAAATTAAAACGCAAAATTGAACACAAAATAAAAAATTATATAAGAACAGTGCTACTAACCAGAGTGAAAATAACGCGCGAGTCCAGTACAAATACTCCGCGTTATTGGACAATTGGTTATGTTATGATAGCAACAGTCCGCTTGAAAATGCTAAAATATCGCACGAAGTAGAAAAAGTTATAAAAAGACAAATTACATTTTCATTTCTCTGGAGCTTATCTGTTTTTAACAAGCTTTAAGCAATACTTCCGGCTGAGTACTTTTCAGGAGGACAACCTTTGCTCTCAATTTTTTCTGTAAAAAAAAAAAAAAAAAAAAAAAAAAAAAAAAAAGGTGGTAAGTGGGTGTAATGGTGCATGATTCATTCAAAAGATTTTTTAAGAGATTTGCAGCACCCCATACAGTGACTCTGCATTTCAGCTCTGACAAAGCTAACAAACTCATCAAGGCGACCTTGAGAAACTCTCGATGGTTTTTAAGAAGGAGTGTAACTATCCCTGTATTCTAGCGCGCTCACTTTTCACATCCCCTACGTTAGTTCGTGGTAATTCTAATAAAAAAATACTAAGAGATTGTAAACTGTAGTTTACGATCTCTTAAAAATACATGTGCAAAATTGATTCGACGACTATGGAGTTTAGCAGCTTGTTCAATGGAGCCCGACATGTTAACAAAAACATTTAAAGAAGTAGCTTACAAAGATTTTTCCTACCTTTTAAAGGACATTCGCTTTTGAAGCATGTTAGCCCCCGGGCTCAGGCGGATCAACTGTGAAAAATAGAGCCGTACTATCAATTATTGAGTAGTTGGAAGTGTTACAACTATAGCTACAAAACAAACAACTCTCAACTGTAACTCTCGTATCTTGCTTCCTGTTCACCTGTGTAAAATTACATCAGCTACTATCAGCAGGTAATTTTTGCCATTCTATCTTTGCTGGTTAGTTATATATATATTTAAGTGACCATTCTTGTATCAGCCACTTTAAAAAACTTAGATAAGAATAATATTTTTGAAAAACGTGAGAAAGTCGAACTCCTAAAAAACGCTACAAATAATACCTGGGTAGTTATTGATTTAAAAATGTTAATCAGGTCATTAATAAGGTTTTCGACCTACGCAATGATACCGTGCCGTTTGCCTGATAGGATGATTAAAAAACAGTCTCAATCGGGTCGACCGTTAGCCGTAAAACAGCCAAACATTTTCGACATTGGGCGTAAAAAATGAACAATTTTAACCGTTGGTCGTTAGCCATAAAAATGTTTCCTTTAATCACAAAAGAAGGAAATTAATCGTTAGCCGTTGAATGGCCAAAATTTAACTGTTAGTCGTAAAAGCCATAAGCCCAAAGCAGGTTACGACAGGTGTCAAACCGATTATACCCTGTCTTTCCAATTTAGTAAATGAATTACTATTGTCAGCGATCCTAGAAATGAGCCAATAAGTTTCAATGTATCACGCAATGTTAACGAGATAAATTAAGCTGAAGCCCTTACGGGCTTCAAGCAAAATTGAACACAAAATAAAATTATATAAGAACAGTGTTACTATTCCACTATGTTCCATCCCGCGGCGAGGCCAGGAAAACTATTTCTAGTTGTGCATGTGTACATGTGAAAGAGCAAAACGTGCGTTTATGTTCTCCCCCATGCGGTTGGTTTGCCGTGTGATGTGCCCCTAAAATACCCTGTGGGGTGGACATAACCCTGTCGAGAACATGAATACCTCTGCATGAAGTTACAGATTTGCTAAGTCTTCCTGTAGACGAATGATGATCATCAGCAATACAATAATATAAATTGTAGAAAATTTTGTTGTAAAAAGGAAATCTATTTTCAGAGTGGAGACATGCATTGTCGATTATGATGAAGTTTCTCACAATTGGGTGTAACTGCACAATTAAGAAAGATGAATCTTGGAGATAATCTTGGTTCACAGAGTGAAGAACACACTCCGTCAGTTCTAAACAAGTTCGTAAAAAAAAAACATGCGTGATTGGATGATTAATTCAGTATATTTAAAAACTATTCTTCGACGTGTGGTTACTGAGCCACGAAGCCGACTGATAACGGGAACTGCAGCAAATCGCTGCCGAGCTTGTTATTGGCCTTTAGGATGAACTGAAAGACAAAACTTATTCAGACACACATTACATTTCTAGAACAAGAAACGTCAGATCAAAAAAATTTTCTCTTTACTTTGGCGGTCTTAAGGTAGTAGGCTATGTAAACCTGGAATTTCAGGGTTTTTGATTATTGCACTTTCAGTTCTCTGTACCAATTGACACCCTTTTTTCACGATTGGAATGTAAAGAAAACGTATTGTCATTTCCAAGAACTCATAGGAAAATAAGGCTGGTGTCACCAGCGACGGCTTCAACCCGAAGCCCAGAGCATCGCTAAACTTGGCTGAGAAAATAGACCGAGGAATATGTAAAATTATGCTCAGCTGACCGTCTCAAAAGCACCAAATAGTACACGTCTTTAGCTTACTCAGGGATGTTTAAATAACGCTAAAAATAAAGTTAGGTCGTTCTGTTCGGTTTGTTCGGTTTGTTGGTAACGTTAGTGTTGTGAATAAGTCGTTTGTATGGTGCCGGTAGTAGTTGACACCTGTTAGGGGGGGGGTCTGTTTCAAGTCAGTAAACCAGCTCTCCAGATGTTAGCCGTTGAAAGTAGTTAGTGTTGTGTTATCTGAATGTATTAACAGAGAAACTCAACCAAGTTTACACAATCTTGGGTACCAATTTAATTCAATAAGATTTTTCCGAAACTCATTTAAATTACTAAGGTAGTGCAACGACTCCTTGATGATACGACCACGAACAGGGTGGCCAAAATCTTTACGGCCTGGCCTTTAAACAGTCCAGAAATTATAGGTTTGTTTTCATCCTGCACTAGCTTGTTGTCTGAAGAATCCTGTTCACGTGACTATCGCAAGTTCTTCCCCTTCCCCCTTTCTTCTCGTAGTAAACTGGATACTCTTTGATCACGTTTACTCGATGTGTACACAGCTGAAGAAGTCCGCGTTCAACCCTCACGCCAGTAGTTCAGGTCGAATGTTTAAATTTTCGATTGTTTCCTCAGGTAAACAGTAAACAGGATTGACAGGTTTAACCTCGGAAGATCCCAACAGAGACAAACCTGCTAAGCCAAACAGCGTGTGGAACGGATCGACCTGCAAATGTGAAAAGACGACGAATTTAAAACCACGTAGCATTTAGAAGAAATAAAATAACCTTTATCGCTAGATTACATAATTTAATGGACCTCATCTAGGGAATCAACACATTCAGGTACGATGTTTGTGTCTTCCTTGTCTTACGTAGGACATTGAGTAGGATTGCGGCCGACGCTACGATTGTAATGTTTCAATCGACACTTTGGTTGGATCGGATATGTCATCACTTCCTTTTGGATGACAAGTTACGCGGAGGTAAGTTAACATTGAGTAAAATAGAAATTTTGTAGTATGTACAAGACAAAGAACTGCCTGATGGAAGCTTACAAAACGAACCAAAGAGAAGCTTTATGGTGCTTTTTTCATATTCATTTCGTTTTCCTTTCCAATTGGCTCAAATTCCGCTAAATCCCTAATTTTCACGAGTCCTTCCTTTATCATTCAATTTGTCTCTTATATTAGAAAAAAGATAGTCGCCCAGTTCTACCTGGTCAACGTTCAGCCTTACCATATCACCCGGTCTATCAGCAAATCCACCCGTCTCTTCATCCTGACAGGCAAGGATGTAACTCGCTAATTTGTCCTAAAACATAAATACGTTAAATATAACAATTATAACAGCTGTCTCGCGGAAAAGCATCAATGTTTATACTGTCTGGCTGACTGACTAACTGACTTTCTTTTTCCCATTCGCTCTGACGAAGGGCTAACTCTCGAAAAGTCAGCTTTAGAAACCCTTCACCGTTTCCAACCTACAATATCAATTCAATTGTAAGTCCAGTCTGTCTGTCTGTCTGCCTCAGTCTGGTCTGTCTGTCTGTCTGTCAGACAGTCTGGTTGTGTCTATACCTTATCTATCCAATGTAATTTTCCGATGATCTTGAGTGATGCCAACACCCACCATGAGTAACAAACATCTGGGAGTTTCTCTGGACGACCTAGAGTGAATTTAAATTAAATATCTTAGCTTTCCCTTTTCTATGTTACTAGAACACCAAAACAAAACACAACTGCCGATTTTTTCTCTTCTTCCTGACCCATATCCCTTCCTCCAATAAGAAAAAAGGAAATAGGGAAGAAGAATCTTCATTAATTTTTTTAGTTTGGAAAACACATGGTTGAGATAATAGCCTGAATTTAAAGTCCAGTCACGGTGAGTTGTGAGGCAGAACCATTGCAATCTTGAATAACTATTGACTTCTGGGTTTTCTGCAATCTTAAAAGCTGTTATTTTGAAAAGAAAAAATACTCTGACAAGATTAGAGTCACAGTTCCAGCATAATGAATGGCAGTCCTACCCTTTCCAATGAATGGCAGTCCATTCCATAATGAATGGCAGTCCTACCCGTTCCAATCACCCTGTGGCTATCACATAGTCAAGTGTCTGTCACTCACCATTTAAACCACCAGATGGCAGTTGTCGCTCACAAAGCCACCATCCTAACATATCAGCATTCACATGATGGAGAGAGTCAGCTATGGCAAGAGCACCAAGACAGCAATAAATCTGCAAAGAGGAATGGTTGAACATGCATTACACCTGCTGCTTCATGAGTGTAAAGAAATAAAACACAAGTTAGCCTTCATTCAAGTTCTTAGAGTACAGGATATGTTGACCAAACATAAGATCAAGTTTCATCCAAAGTTTGTTCAGTGCTGAGAGATATCCCATCCTTGCATATGGAGGTGGTGTAACCAAGAGGTTACAGTGTTGTAATTGAAATCCTGTTGTCACAGATTTACTCAAACCAGTTTGTAACTCAATCCACTTATTTCTAAGCTGTTCTGAGTTCAACTCCATTTCTGAATTTTAAACAACTGTATGATTATGTGGAAATTTTGACTCTATTGGCTCTGAAAAGTCCCTTTTTGCAAAGATATCTATAGTTACATAACTATATATATATATATATTTTGTATGTGGCAAATATCTAAAGTAATGTAAAATCAATGACAACTGTACTACCTGCCCTGAGTGTGACTCTGATCCTGGTCTGCAACCGAAGCCGCCGTCAAAATTCATACATGACAACACATATTCAACAGCCTTTGGTACGTTTACTGCTTCCAGGTGGCCCTGATGAAAGACAGAGATAACTTGTAATCATAATCATGAATGTGTTTGTTCAAAAATGCAAGCTTTATTCACAGTTACAGCGTTGAGAAAACATGATTGCCTCAAGCTTTCCACAGCACAGGCGAGTGGTAGTTCTTAAATACTCAGAAAAATAAATCAAATTGAAGAATTTGTATCAAATTACACAGACCTACCAGCAACTTTAAGCTAGCCAAAGCACAAAATGAAAACCTTGTATCAACTTCCCCTGAAGATTAGAAAAAAAAATCCACATAGTTACATAACAAATGGAAGCATCATCATCTCAGTTTAATAAGTCTTTATCTAAGGTTAATAAGAAACCCACAAAGGTAATATGAGCTTAGCACCAGAGGTGCAAATTCTAATGATGAATAAACCAAGTTTAACATGTATCATATATTTTAAAGGGTTACAGTTTCATAAAATAATACAACATCTTTACAGTATAACAGTTTCTAGCGAGACCTTAAAATGCTGTAAAAATTAAAAAACAAGTTAAAACCAAGTCTCCAAGCTTTTGCCAATCCATGATTTCATTTAGGATCTGATAATGATAATATTACCAATGATCAGCAAAAGCTTTCAAAAATTGAAAATGAGTCAAAACTTGTATTTAATTTTTAAAGTAATTTAAGCCTCACATGAAACTACATGATATTTTACCATTTTGAAATGCTACTGAAGGACAACATGACATGATTATGTAAAACAACATCTTTAGTTGCACAGGAAATAGTTCAGCTGGATTTTCAAGATAACCAAGTAAATGTTTAAACTAACCCCACTTGTCTCCTACAAATGATCCATCAGCTTGCTGAAGCTTTGATACATAGTCCACTGTTTTACTGACATCTATTAGTTCAATGCATCCATAAAGTGATAAAACCTAGAATAAAGAAATAATAAATAGAAATGACCTTCAAGCTCAAGGAATGGAGAGGTAGAATTAAATGTCCTTTCAGTGGATAAAGTAGTGATAATTTTAGATGTTATCAAACAAAAGAATGGAACAGAAAAGATTGAAGAGCAAATATTATAGAATGTAAGCTAGCTTACAGTTTCTAGAATGAAATTAAAACTGGTTGAAAACTTAAGTTGCAAGTTTAGAGTGATGTCATATGTTCAATGTTTATATCTTATAAGATGAAACAAGTGAGAGATGACACTATGGAAATGACCTCTCTTGAGTTCCATTCCCTGAAAATAGTTTTTACAGAAATTACAGCAGGCTTCAAAGGTAAACCCCAAGTGAGCAATTAAGATGACATTGAAGAGAGTTTTTATGAAGTGTTTCAGTCCCCCATACCTGGATGGCACTTAGTGTGTACAGTAGATGAGGGTCATGGTTATGACTGGCACTGAATCCACCATTTTCATGTTGACAAGACTTAACAAACTCAATGATTTCATCTTTCTCCATCATATCTTGCTTGTTCATAAGAAACATTGATGTTAGACCCCAGTACACTCCACTCATGCGTAAGTATTCTGTAATACAGTACTCCTAATGGAAAATCATCAAAATACTGTTACTAAATAATCTTGTTATATAACCATATGTGTAAGGGCAGTCCAGTACTAAGAACGTCGTTGGTGAAGGTGACTTAGATCACACCAATTACCTAATTTTTCAAAGTTGAGGGAGGAGCTGTTTGTCAGTCAACTGTTTTAAGTCTGGTTTCTAAAAATTGCTGTGTCAGTTTTGCTGAAATATTAAAGGCTGGTTGATTCAAGTAGTCTTTGACACCTTATTTAGTAGTAATTGCTACATTCTACTTGGTTTTTTATTATTTAATGTATAACTATATAGAGACGACAAAAAAGATAAGTTAATATGCTATCTTTTTAACAACAAAAAAATCTTTATTATAGTATTAACTTTTGTTACTTACATAATGAAAATTATCCCAGCCTGCACATGGCTAAGTTTAATCTAGGACAACTTGGTTTTATCAACTATGATGATGATGTAAATTTACTGCTTTAAAAAGTTTACAAAGCTGATGTTGTGAGCATTAGCACTTTGTCCAGTCTAGGCAGGCAATGGTCAACTGCTAATTTTAAAAGTAATTTCCAATTGACATAAACAGGAAGGAAAAGGGTAAAGTTTTTCTTGTTTGTTTCCTTGTTTTCTTTGAAACAGACATCACTGACCCATCAGTCAGTGAGTCAGGAAGTTAGTCAGTAGTTCAAGTCATCAATTGGTCCAGAGGTTAGTCACCTGTTCAGGCAGTCAGGAAGTCAGTCAGCCATAGGTCAGTTGTAGGTCAAATAGTCAGTCAGTTACTTGTTCAGGATTGTTCATTTGGGCAGTTGGTCAGTCATTAGGATAATTGTTAGTTAGCTATTCAGAAGGTTAATGAGTTGGTTAGTCAGTCATCAGCCAGTTGTGAGTCAAATAGTCAGAGAGTCAGTCAATTATTTCAGTGATCATTTGGGCAATTGGCCAGTCAATAAGTTAATCATTAGTCAGCTATTCAGGAAGTCAGTGATCAAGTTGGTCAGTCAGTCAGTAGTCAGTTGTAGGTCAGATAATCTGGGTGAGTTGGTCACTTATTCAGGAAGTCAATCAAGAAGTCATTGGTCAGCTAGTCAGTCAGTGAGTTGGTCTGTCAGTCAGGCAGTCATTCAGTGAAGGGCCATCTTTAAAGATATTAGGTAAATTCTTTTCTGTAAGCTTTTGTACTAAAATAGTGCAGAAAGTTTCTGTCTCCAAGTCTCTCAAATATGACTTCAATATGAGTAAAAGAGCTTTAATGGGGTGCAGCAAATGAAACCTTTAGTGGAACAATGTGACTTCGTAGTGGAACGATATGACGACGTTTTGGAACGATGTGACTGAAACTTGTAGCAAAATAACCATCGAACAAAGTGACCAAATACCCATTAAGTGAGTCAATCAATCTATCTGTCAGTAAGTCAGTTAGAATACAATCTTCCTTAAAAAATTTAACATATCCATCATCTCACATACATAGTCGTCTTTCTTCTTCCCATATGCTGCAATAAAATCAGCGTGCTTGTTCAACACCAGTTGTGTTGGCGAATTAGGAGGAAGTTTGACATCTTTCACTTGAGAACCCTAAAAAATCATCAACAGAGAGTAGACTAAATTTACACATTCATTTCAATGATTCGTTTTAACAACACTCGTAATCATCTATACGTTTCATTTTGATGCTATCCTTTCACAAACTGTGCATTTACTACGAGCAGATCGATGGGGACAAATATGGTCTTCGATCTCCTAATCTAACGCACGAGAAGCTCGTATGAATTTCTCAACGGCTAAACAAAAACACGTTTCAATAAAATAAATCTCCAAAGAAATGAATCATTAAAATCGCTCACCATTTTCAGAGATAAGACAAAATGTTACAGCTGTTTGATTAATCAAAGCCATTTCTTCGTCGCCATCTTGGATAGTAATTCCGCTGGTCAAATTGATTTACAGGGAACTTTGCGGGATGCCAGTAGTTCCCAGTATCTTCGCTAACTGCGTGTGGCTGATCAGATTCGCGCGGGGAATGATAAATAGTGGAGGAACTTAAAAGGTCGGGAAAACCTTAAGTGATCTTTGCGACGAGCCGCTATGGTGTGTACCAGCTTCAAAACAAGTCACAGCGACAGTTCGCACTAACTCACCTTGTACGACTTATTGCTGCAACAGATGTTACTCGCAGCGATTTGCACCTGCGAGAATCAAAAAGTTTGAAATCCGAACTTGGTTTTTTTTTTATTTAGTTGCATCCCAAGTCCGCTTGTTACTGTCTTGGTGCTGTCAGGAGAAATTGATTCTTAGTCACTCTTCCTGGGTGAAAGGATTAAAGTTTGTTCTTCATGTTACGTGGACTCAATGCTGCGGGGACTGGAACAGGACAGTCAAAGGTGGCAACATGAATACAGGAGGAGAAATTATTAACTTTTTTTTCTGGGCTTGGTTCATATGAGGTTAAAAAAATATCGACTAGATGTTTTAAATGTTGGAAATTCTGTTTTCAAAGCTAATGTGTTTTTTTTTACGATTAATTCCAAATCATTTACATTTACTTTATGATTGTTGAGTTACTCCATTACTTTTTGTAATAAATACTGAAAGTCCAAGCTTGTCTGTCTTACTCCATTTGTCCATCGAACAAATTAAGTTAAGATTAACTGCTTTTCTGTCCATGTTTATATCAAGCTGATTTTAATGACTTCCTCCGCACTTTTTCGTCTGATAGTTCTGCTTTCACATTCTTGGTAGGGTAAACTCCGTTTCCTTGATTTAGTATTTTTACGTTCTTTTCAGTCCTTCTCGTACGAAGTGTGATGAGCATGAATTCGTTCGCTGAACATTATTTTTCTTCATTCCCTCCACGCTTAATCGACTGCCCTTACTATGCGCCTGAATTGGAAATTCACTTTCTGATTGGCTTGATCACCATCAAAAATTTCTTCTCTTTTGAATTCGGTAAGATGAGGGCATTTTCACGGTGCTGATTCCATACTGCTTCGCTTTGTGACGACTCGATTGGTAAAATGATAATTGAAGGTAAGGGCCCCCTTCCTCAAACACGTTTATTCAGCATTCAATTAAACTACTCTTTTATACGCATCTGGAGAACAAGTAAATTCTTAATGAACAGAAAAACGACTATCACAAAAATGTACTCACATGTGATACGGGAAAATAAAAGCGAAGATACCACGAGATAAACTTACTAAATACTGAGGGAATATACAAGACATGAAACGCTCGGAGGAAAAGGTTTACGTCGACACAAAATAAAACACTCTGCTGAAAAGGGGCGTGAAAAATGATATAGTAAGAGTGGCGTTATTTACATAAAGTGCGAAAATAATGATGGAGAAAAGAGACGTAGGAAAACGTAAAGAATACGTGTAAATCGATGGGTGCGGAAATATAAGACCCACTCTTGACAAGTAAAAAGTATTACACACTCGCCATAAAATACTTGTTTCAGCTGGCGATTCAAAAAGGAACTGATACAGTGTTCCAAAATAATCGGATATATTGTTTACTGTTTGCTAATTGGTGATTTTCCCGTCGACGTCAGTAACAAAGAACCGCTTAGTTTGCAAGCATTATGAACACGTCAAAAAGTTATGGTAATGACGTCAGCGATTGCCTTGTTTTTCAAGTTTTGTTTTTTCCACTTGGACGATTGACATTCGAAATCATGGATAATGTTTGCCCGTGGGAATTTATTAGTCTATAGATGTTTCGTGAAAATAAACGAAAAACGATACAAAGGAGAAAAAGTACGAACTAAAATTAAGTTGACACACGACACTCGCGATCGACACTCGCAAGCATCGGCTACTCGGAGGTGATTAGTACTTGTTAGTCACTAAACTAGCCAATCAGCTCGCGTGAAAAGTACCATTTATCGAAGTAGTATAACTAAAAGGAATGAAAGTGGTAAAAGCGGCAAAACTGGAGGATATTAACCTCGCTGCTTCGTGGCTATTTCAATACAGTCAAATTTGTAGTAAGCGGTCACCCACAAGGTGACTGCTTAATACAAGTGGACAGGTTACATAGAATAGGAGTATTATAAAACGTAGAAAAAAAACGACATTTCATGCTATAATAGACAACTTAATGTACAAAATTAACACAAAAGCACTAATAACTTTTATTTAAAATTTGATTAGAATTGACTTGGAAGTTTATTCTAAGTTTCATTTAGTGGTTGCGCTCTGAGTGACCGTTCAATACAAGTGGAGGACAATACAAACAGGTCTTTGGGACTCAGTAAAGGGTGACGCGACCAGTTATAGAGGTGACCGCTTAATAGAGGTGAAAATGATTGTAATTGAGGGGAAAATTTTCGGGACTTTAAGAGCGACCGCTCATTACCGGGTGACCGCTTAATACGGTGTTGCGTATACAGGTTCGACTGATTTCTCTCACCTCCACTGCGGTGAATAATTATTAAATGTTACGTCATTTAACCATATTAGGGCAGCGGAACGCGCTAACATGCGAAGGAATTACAAGATAGAGCAGGGCATTACATTAACGGAAAGTGAGAAACAAGATAGCCCCTTCGATTTTTTTTGGTCGTTTATTAGGCATCAGATGTTTTAGTTAGGCATCAAAAACGTGAATGGCTTCGTTTCAGAATTTTTTTCGGCTTTCTCACATGCTTTGTGCGATCGATACGATAGTCAGATAAGGCTATAGAATGTCATTTTGAACTCAAGGGCCAAAACACTGGAAAAAAGTAATCACTCATTGGATGGTTTTACTCATAAAACGACCTGTCTATTTTGCTCACTGCTCGTATTTTTCCTTACCCCGTACGTGGAAAAAAATTGCAGAGCAAAGGAAAAAAGGTTAAAATTACTATAGATGAAAGGGTGGATAAAATCAAAATGTTCGGTGTTAAGATGGTCTCAATGGGGTTAACCGGCCTTTCGGCGTGAAAATTGACGAATTTCAACTGTTCGTTGTAATAAGTTAACCATACAATTTTCCTTTTAAGTATTAGAAGGACAGACAGAAATACATTAACCGTTTAGCCGTAAAATGACCAACATTTCAACTGTTCGCTGTAAACGGTCATCTCCCTATTGAGACCCTCTTTAATTACTTTTATTTCGCAACTGTTATTATTTCGTAACTATTATTATCACTATTATTATTATTATTATTAACTGACTGATCATAATGAAAACTTTCTGTCATTAACAATAACTGAAAGTTTGTCCTGAGTGTGTCTCTTTAAACTAAGTCAGTACCGGAGAGCATGCTTATTTTAAACAATAATCTCAAATATGGAAGCACTTTAAAATATCGAGCGGGCATTAAGATCATACAAACTGCATTTCTTCTCTGCCTCCGCGAAATTTCACTCCGATAGATGTTTTCAGCGCTGATGCCTTCCTTCTCTTCTTGAAACTCTGCTATTTCGTCAGATTTTCCCTTTTGCAGAAAAAGCGGTGGCCATGACCTCCCGCGCTCTCTTTTACCTGATGAATCCACTTTCAAATGTTTGCCAGAGGATGCATCATTTCTTTTGGACTTATCACGGCCAAGGTTCTTCCATTTCCCTGGGAAATTAGGCGACAATGATTTGCGTTGTCTTTTACTCTTAACACGTTCGCTTCCTCTCCCTTCTGCTGATCCACCGCCGTCGTTTAGCGTAATACAAGGAATAACGAACGTTTCGGAAAAACTTTCTTCTGTTTGATTGTTCTGATCGCCATCAAAAGTTTCCTCTTCGTTTAGTTCGGTATGATGATGAAATTTTTGTGGGGAAAGTGGTGACCCTGATTCCATACTTCGTTACTTTATGGAGACTCGATGCAGTGGTTAAATAAGGGGGGTAAGTTTTTAAAGGAACTGTGGTGCTGCGTCGGTGGTAGAGTATAACAGGGTAATTGGTATAGTATCAACTAAGTTGATAATGTAAATTGGCCACCGTAAAAAAATTTCACAACTTTCGTTTCAAGCGTTAGTCCTTCGTAAAAGCGAATGGAGGAGTTATGGGTTGTGTGTGTGTTTAAATGTAGAACATGGAGCTACGCTTTTGGTGGGAAAATGACTTGCTTTTCTCGGTACACTTTCAACTCAATTGATAATACGAAATTATCAATGGTGAAATGGCTGCTGTTCCAGCTGGTGTTTGAAGAATTAATCGCCAAAAATAAAATAATTATAAGTACGCACGAACCGAGAGATGTTTTTGTAAATGAACACACATTTCTCAAGAGCGATTTTTCTTGTTGACGTCACTGAGAAAGAGGTGTGTTTCTCTATGAGCGCCACAGTAACAACGTTAATTGGAGTAATATTGACGTTTATTTTTAGTATTTTACCTTTTTTGGATATTTATCGGCGAGATCACCGGCTATGAAACGAAAAAGGAAATATTCTGCTACTAATATCTTGATTTTCTTTTTTTTACCAAGTGAACAGATCGGACCTGGTGCCGCGGTGCAACAGATTCATCATAAATCGAAGCTAAAAGAAATAAACGTTTAATACTATTGGAATATTCTTTGAAAATATCATTGGAATGTTAGGATCACATCACTTTCTGGAGGGTCTCAATGAGGTTAACTGTTAGCCGTAAACCGTGACGGTAAAATAAAATTAGCCGTTACGGTAAGAATTGACAAGTTTTAAGCGTTAGTCGTAGAAAAAAGTTAACCGTAAAAAATTCCGTTAACGCTGACGAGAATGATTTAACCATTAGCTGAAAAATGACCAAACTTTTAACCGGTTGCCGTGAAGCCATCACCTATATGAGAACCTTTTATTGTGTCTATGCGACGGACAAGAGCTAACCACTCAGACATAATCAGAACACACCGCGCACTTCCTGAACCTCCCCTCCCCTCCCTCTTTCTCCGTTCTAACAGAGATAGGGATGGTCAGGTGATGAATAAGGGTAAAAGGTTGCATCTGGCAAAGAAAATATCATAAACAGCAAATGTGAGTGACAGCGTGTTAATCTGTTTCCGTTTGAATTCCTCTTATCCTGGGAATTAATTTCCAATCAATCATTTTCAGGGTTGAAAAATTCTCAGATGATAAAAAAGTAAAGCCAAAAAAAAAGTACAAAAATAAAACTTTATCCACAAGTGCAAACGTTATACAGACTAATGGATTTTTATGTACATCTATATTTTTTTTTCCACTGGTGATGAGAATGTCTTTAACACCGATACAAACATCTTTGCAGTACGGGAGACCAAAAGTAGCTGATTCTTCAGTCTCCAGTAGATCTTCTGTTTGATATCCAGTATTCATATCAGCAAAGACTAATCGTGTTGAATCTTTTGAACTGTTTTAACACGTATGTGGTTCATCTGCCAGTGATCGGTGTGTTTAATCATTCAAGTAACTCCTTTCCTCGAGTAATCAAAAATCCATTATCCTTTGAACAGAAGTTCACAGCCTGAATGCTCGTATCGCACAGTCTGTTCACAAATGTTGTCGCTCCTGCCTGTCACGCCTACCTCAATGTCACGCCAGCGTGGAATCATCGTAAGAGACGCTAGTAGATGGAAAACGTTTAATCCGTGGGAGGACCTTCTCCAATCTCGTAGAAAAGACTCCGTACATCCAACATGGAGGCCAGCTCAAGAACTTGTTTCTCTATGCTGCCGTTGAGAAGAATTTCCTTTGCAGGTAATCTTGGAAAACTTTTTGGGTAGAAGTCTGAACCCTAAAGAAAGGGAAAACAAACACAAAGGAAAGCACAATGAGCTCATTAGAATTATCTGAGAGAAAACTACAGACAAAAAACTTTGTAAAAATTAAAACAAAAAACACGTAGACTGGGATATCGATATCATAAAGCACTTTTCGACGAGTATCGTAGCACCAGAACCAAGTTATCATAACGGCCAATCAAATGAAAGAAATACACCCTTGAGAACCAATAAGAAATCAAAGTAAAGCCAAAAAAAAACATTGCCCAAAGCGCAGGAAAACGCAGGTGACCAAGTTATGTAGTTTTCCATATGAGTACTTGATAGAGTAGAGCGAGTTTTATGGACCGATCACAGAGCAAAGAAAACCAAAACTGATGCAATTCCGGTTTCCTTTGACAATGAATTGAAAACTGCTCTCTGCTCGCATGAATCCTATTTGGTAAACTGAGTCAAGGGAAGATCATTCGTTTTTTCCTAAAAACACGTTTCGACAACATTTCAGTGGCTAAATTCAAGACTGAAAAGCTGTTCCATGCCCAGATCAACTGCCCTACCTTAAATGCTCGATGAAGATGCATTGTGTAGAAACAGAAAATATAACGGAGAATCATCAGCCGAAGAAATTCGTCGTCAAGGAATTGAATAAACACAACATCTGTCAAAGGAAAGAAAAATATTATCTTGCATTCCTTACTCTAAGTAATCCAAAAACTTTTTGAAGAAATGTGAGTATTACTGACAGATTCAAATTCTATGAAACAAAAAAACGAGACAAAGAATTCAAAAGAAATTCTACATTAAATACCCCAAGATCTTAATACTGGATCCAGATAAAAACGTATGTTATCGGAGACATAGTAATTTCTAAGATCTGTCTACGTATTGGGAAATGTGTCAATCGTTTTAAGCACGAGCTAAGAGATAAAAAAAAAAAGTTCCCACGAATATTCGAATCCCAGATTTAGCGGTCTGGTGCTTTATCACTGAGCTGCAGAGAAACCAACTGCGACTGAAGAATTAACTAGATTCATGTGTGACATGCGTCCTGCATACTGCTACGAGCCACGATCAGCAATTTCTAATGCGTTATGACAAAAGAAAAGAGATGTCAGAAGCAAAGAGATGGTAAATTTTGAGTACAGTCGTCGAGTAAAGAAAAGTGAGTTCTCATCTTATCTTCGACAGTATGTCAAAATTTGGGAATATAAAATAAATAAAGTTCCAATTGCAAAGCTTAGACCAGTTTCCAGCAGTAGTTGCGCTCAGGCGCCTCCGACGACTCACCGACATATCGAGACCAATCGTAAAATACTCGAAGGATGTCGTTCATTATTCGTCGAACCTGCCGCTGACAGCTATCCCACAAGTCACTGCGAAGATCGGCAATGCTGCTCACGTAGCAGAAGGCAACCAACGGATTGAAGAGGAACAGAGTGAAGAGACTCCCCTTCCGACTTTGTTCTGTAAAGTAAGAAATCCGAGAAACAGACCATGCACAACCTTGCAGACATAATTTAAATATTCAGGCAAACTATAGGAACGTAGTAACGATAGTGTAAAAAATCCATTTACGAAAAAAGAGGCTAGAGTCCAAACTCCGTAGAAAATATATTAAACTTTTTACATGAACCACAACATTGGGCTGAAATAAAAACTCCGTAACTACTTAAAATTCCAAATAAAGGTGACAAATTTACGCGAACGAAAGCTCATAAACAACAAAACTAAAACTCCGCGAAAAAAAAAAGTACATGAAAATGTCCACGTCAGTTTTTCAATGTCAAGGTTAGAGTTCTTTGACGTGATTGGCTAATTTATGAAATCGCGCGCACCGCGCGTAGATACAAAAAGAATTCAAAGGGGGAGAGGAAGAGAAAAATTGCTACTTGAAATTTCAGTATCTGAGCAACTGCGCACCTACCCCTCCCCTAACCCATCATTAGGCCTCAATTGTTATCAGTTGACTGGTGTTGAGTTAGGGGAGGGGTATCATTGATCCCGAAAAAATTTATACTAACTACGCTTGAAACTTCTGTCCATCATCGTTCTTTCTGTTTCTCCAATGTTATTGAAATGGGACAAACCCTACCTTGCATTGTAGTAGGAACAGTAATTGGCGACATCAAACAGACCAGCGGTTGTCCAAATAAACTTGGAAAATACTGTAGAAGGATAAAAAATCTCTTTGTTACTATAACAGTGGTATTAACAATTGGACAAAACCATTGAATGAAATAATGTTAGCGATAGTAATGCGCACAGACCCAAATCTGATTTTATTTTTTGTTTCACCATCATAGCCAAATCAAAGAATAAAAAGAAAACACGACCTTCGACACCAAAGAGTGAACTTGATTACCGATTTTCAACTATTCTTCTAGGAAAAGGTAAATAGTTTTTCGACAACTTTTATCTAGGTTGAGTCTCTGGATATAACAAATCAAGGCCTTGTGTACCACCGGGAATGGTAGTACTGAGCAAGAGAGTGACTTATTGGGTGCAACCGTGCAATAAAAGTTTATGGTTTAAGAAAGATAAAACGGCCCCACATGGAACTTACCCTGAAAGCATGACTGTTTGAGCTGTCTACTATTACCACAAGAGGCTTCCTACTGAAGGGCACAAGGTCTTCTGGGTACAAGCTAGAACAAGTCAAAAGATGTTTGCAATTAATTTGCCACGTGCGAAGACAAAGAAAAAAATACCTGACGAGGATGGAACATACGAGCCTCTGACTACTTACATCTACTAAGATGTAAGACGAGCTGCAGTTTATTCTTGACGAGACCACACCGACCTTATATACTTATGCACTAATTTTAACTTACAATCATCGTTTTTCACTCTGAAAAAAAACATCCCTCTACCCCTTATACAATGTTGAAGTCGATACTTTTTTCAATATCTTTAAAAAGAATTTTATTTCAAAAGGTGATAAAATGTGAGAACATTTTCCTTCTTTTATGAACCAATTAAACTGTTTGGGTTAAGCCAAATACATTTAAACAAACAAAAAATTTCCTTTGAACATTTCATTTTTGGGGGCGAGGTCGTGAGGTCGTGAAAAGTGAGTCCAAAAGCGATTCGTGCTCACTAAAAAAATATATAATATAATAATTAATAATTATGGAAAACACTCAACGCACCAATGAACATCCTTCAGGTTTGTTCTCGTTCGTCTTGCTGTTTCCTCGTTTGATATTTTTTTGTGGCTCATAGCGACACCTCCCTGTTCGTAGGGACCTGACGAGATAGAAGGATCTCCTCAGAAAAGAATCATGTGAGCAATTTTTATGGTAAGCGACCAGTTGATTCTTACAGGTCTTTGGAAGCGCAAGAGAGCTGGGAACGAGTCACGAGTCATAGAAGCAGACATTGCAGGCGATGATGAAGCACCTTCCGGAGTGAAAAGACTGGAACGAGTTGAAAATGCAACTGACGTGTACTTACCTTCTTCTCCAGCTTTCGCATTTCCAAAGTAACCATCACCGGACACATAAACCAACATGACGCCATTGTTTGGAAGTTCCTTAAACAAGGATAGTAGCTTGAACATTAAGAACATTTATGTGATTTCTCTATTAATCTCATCTTTCTCTATTAATGTGATTAAACATCACATTAGGAACCTACATCAGTCCTCGGACGCTTCATAGGTCATGTCAGTTTAAAACTTGTGGTTTTTAGTGTTTAGTCAAAATCATCGTCGAGGTCCTGAAGCGCAAGTGTGAGGGCAAGTTTTTTTCTTCCTTACATGTAGGCTTCGAAAAATAGTTGAAAAACACGTAAAAACACCGTGTGAAAGGGTTGACTTTTCTCGCATCCTTTCAAATGCTTTCCGTGAGACTTAAAAATGGCAAATCTTAATGCCAATGAAATAAGAATGAAAACCACGAGAAGGCCGAGTCAACATTTTACCTGATTTACGTTCAGTTGGATTTGGTAGGTTAAAGAAAGAAAATATCATAGAGTGTCTGTAGCTAATCAATAACCAGCCAATGTAGTATTGAGGTTTGATTCTGCATGCCTCAGACTCACCAGTAGTAAGTGAATACTCACCTTAATACCACAGGCCAGAAACACATACAACTGAGTCAGTGTCGGTTTATACAGGAGATATTTATGAGGATTTGGTCGCTTGGAAGACGATCGCTCCACACCATTGACTTCCTTGAAAAAATCAGCGATATAAAAGAAGATAAGTAAAAAATTTGATATTCCGTCCTATCGCGAGCGTGGAACACAGAAAAAATACTAATTCCCAAATGAGAAATTGCGCTCCAGCCAATCTCTCATCCGCGCTACCACTAAGACACAGAGAACTCGTTGCTTAACCGGGCCATGTACATACTAGGTTCATGTGTAACAAGCGTCCTGAAACGAAATAAGTGTTTGGATTACAACATACTTGATTATCTTGACCCTCAGACACCTCGGTGGAAGTCACCAAAGTACGCGAAGGTGCATCCTCAGGCTCTCGCTCCAGAACTTGCAGCATACGAAACATGTCCAAAGTTAACTCGCTGAATTTTACCTGTAAAAACAATAACGTGAGAAGCAAATTTTTTAAATAAAAATGCGCCAAGTGAGCGTTTATCGGATTGATGTGAGATTATGTGAAATCTTCAGAACTTTGGCTTATTCAGCTCAAGAGAAATGGTACTTAAGGTTCGAACCCAAGATCTTTGGATTCCGCGCTCCGATGCTGTGCCACTGGGCCACAGAGACTTTACAGAGAGCGAGCTCATTGCTAGGTGCATATGTGACACGCGTCTGAAAAAGAAAAAATTCCATAAGATACCTGCTTTTCACAGTTCCCCACAATAATAATTTCTTGTAAAGATAACGATGTGCCACTGACCGGTCTCTGAGGAGGAATCTCCTGGAGAAGATGCAACATACAATACAGTAAATGGTTTGTGCCATGGGGTAATATTGGATCGTTTAGTCTGATCGTCCGTGTGAGAGACTGGGTAGTCCTGATCGAGCTCACTCTGGTTATGACTTCTATCAAGGTTGTCGAGAACTCAGTCTCCACTATGGGCAACAGTCCTCCTCAAGACTACCTTCACTCAGACAATCAGAATTTATGCAATCATACAAGAAATGAATTACTACCATAATTATAATAACATGATTTCGAGTACAATTTGGAGCAAAGAAGCACTCGTAAATTTTTCAAAGACTACAAATTGCACTCGTCATACAGGCTTTTAAAAGCAATTTTGTTCTCTTTGAAAAATTTACTCCCGCTTACTAACACCAAATTACACTCGAAATAATGTTTTTACCCATACAAAATCAGGCTTCTTATTAATCAAATAAACTTTAAAAACACGGACTTCTACAAATAGATGACGATCAAGTTGGTTGATTTGCTTGAAAGAAAAAAATGTACAAACGTTTTCTCCCATTCTATGTGATAGAGTGACCGGCACAACATCTGGGGTCATGACTGTTACCAATGAGTCTGCCTGTTTGGGGAAGAAAAAACAAGTATGACCGGAAAATTGGCCATTGGACTTACTTTACCAAGGCTATTAAGTTGTAAAATTAAAAAGGTATCCAAGCAGGCCCAAAAGTTGCCATGAAAAGTATAAAACATTTTTGATACCTCCATAAAGGCTGTCACTTCACTGATCACCAACCTCCATTCTTCATCGTCATCCGCTTCATACACATTAACATATTCCTCGACGTAATGATAAAGTTCCTGGAAAGAGAAACGAGAAATTTTGCTTTAGCGGATTGGGACTCGCTACAGACCAAACATCGGTGGGACTCGGAAACCCTAGAATGACAAGGAGTTGCATAAATTAAAAAATAAAGCACCTGTATCAATTCTTTCACAAGATCCACCTTGTTGAGGAGAAGACTGACGACTATAAAGCGAGCATAGTAACGGAGTTTTTTCACCATCAAATCAGGCCTGAAGAAATACATACCACAACAATTAATAGTTGCAAGTTTAAAATAGTAATTTATATATGTAGAAATAAGTTGCAATTCAAGACAAATATTTTTTAAAACGCTGTAGAAAATGTATGTGTACTTTGGCTTGTCTCCCACCTATTTTAAGGGTCTACAATATCTAATACGGTCTAATATTTCTTAATTAAAAAATGCTGCTTCTTCTATTTTCACTGCTTGCTTCTTGTACACCTTCCCCCATCCTTCCTTTAAGTTTTATAACAGTATCTGAAACAATACTGCTTGCTTACTTATCTTCCTTGCTTGCCTGACTGTAGTATGCCCTGGATCGAATGGCAGAATAAAACCCAAATGACTCATGAAGGTAGTTTGCTTCACTTGTCCTAAGACTGTAAAGGAAATCGTTAGTAAATAAAAACAAATAGGAAAGCAAAAGAATGAGAAAAGTCATACAACTGGTATAGAGGTCATGTGATCACTGTTGGGTGAGGCTTGTGGGGGGGGCTATGTTCTTGATGAGGATATGAGGATATTGCAAGTTACTTGGGTTTCCTAGTTCTTGCTCTTGTAACTCTTTCCTTCCAACATTTGCCACTCAATGTCACAACTAATCAGTCTCATAACTTCCCATTCATCTCAACCACCGCTATTTTGATATACTCTATTATATAGTGTTTTAAGTGGAGAGAGAATTTCAACAATTTTTACCCTCCTATGAAATGTAATATCCTTCGCTGTTTCAGGTTAGGCTATCCTTTGTTTCACAGAATTCTAACAGAAGACCAGCCAAAGTCTCTTCTGAAATCATGCACCTGTTTCCCCACCAGCCCCCTGTTTCCAGAAAAGAGGGAGCATAAACATGAACACCTAACTGATACCACTGTGACCCCCCACCCCTTCCCCTTTGCACAAAGAGGGAGCCACATAGAGGTGAGCAATAATCACATGATTACAAATGTTACTGAAGAAATTATACCAATTTCTTTTTGAACAATGCCAGCCACATTTAAGAAGGTATACAAAAGAAAAATGATACTTACTAATAGTGATAATAGAGTTGTCCAATTTTTGATGCAATTTCTCCTATCTGCCATCTTTTAAGGTTATACCGAATATCCAGAATAGATCTAGGAAAACAAAAATACAATTTTACATGGTGATGTTTCAAAAATAAATTTTAAATATGGAATTTTCACTGAACATATTCTTTTTTGGCTGATTTCTGCCAATCGACATGAAGCCAACTTTGATGAGTACTTTTAATTGATTGAGGGTTAAAAAAAAAACTAAGTTGAAGCTTCTAAACAAACTTTACTAACTGCTTTTAATTGCCGCTTTATATCACAAAATTAGACCAATAATTCATTCTCGTGAATCCAAGGTAGTAGCTTAATATACAGGAAACATAACTACTATGCAACGTTCATCCACCACACACTCAATCATGAAATAACTAAGAACTTCTCTACTTGTAAGAAATTACTACAGCCACAGTTGAAAAGGACAAATTGAGTCTTTCAAGTCACTGTAAGGCTTGTGCAAGAAACTAAAATGTACTTCCCTTTACTAACAATTGTGCTACATGCACAGTACCTTCAGGATTGCAAGGTGATCATAACCAGAATTACTTGAATAAACTAACAGTATCGGTGTAGAAAACAACATTTAAATTTTTAATTGATAAAGGTCACTCATAGAGACAAAGCTGATTACCATCAATAAGTTTTTAGTGAGAATAGATGTATCAACACATAATTTAAACCTCTCTTAGTTCATTTCTCCAAACAAAAACCAAATAATTGGGTATATGAAGGGAACAACTTTTAAAAGAACAAAGAATCCTTGGTGAAAGAAGGAAAGATCTCCAGATAAATTTACAACAAGTTGTAACATTTTATTCAGTAAACACATACCTGTGGTTTTGCTGAAATTTCCACAGCTGATAAAATAACAAAGTTTAGGTGTTTAACTTAGTGATGTCAAATTCACAATTAAAATAAGAAAACACGCACCACACTAAAAGGACAAAAATAATGAAAGGTGCTTAAAACTTATCATATGTACTTTTAAAAACAATCAGAATGTCACATTCACCCTTGTGTAGACATCAAATGTTCTGCCAAAATGTGTTTGCCAGTGCTTGTGTCCAAACTGGGGCAAGTCTCTGTCATAGATATCAAATTAAAAAATTATTTTAACATCATAAATTTTCAAAGTTTGCAATAGGGGAGGAACAACATAACCATTATGTCAATGAAGATTAATTGAGGGCACAGTGAAGATGAAAACATAAAGCGTATAATTTTGTATTCATGGAGATCTGCGCCTTATGGAACCCTTTAACTGTCTCTTAAAATTAAAAATCTCTGAAATTAGATGCCAGTCATTCTTAGGGGGTCAAAAGCTTAACAGCACCCCTTAAAAATCTATCAAGATGACTAACTGCCATATCCGATTTCAATCGTTGTACGATGTTGTTTATTTAAACTGCGCGCGCCTCTAACTTACAATACATGCTTAATCAGGATTTTCGGACAGAGAACAAAGAACTATGTGACTGAGTTGAAGACAAGAACGTTGTTGTAAGGTAATATGCAGGTTTTTCGTACAGCGATCGGGCTGTAAATAGCCTCGGACCTTGCCCCTATCCCAAAGTCGAACAAATATCGAACATTCTATCACACCACACAAGAAACATCTGTGACGACTCAAGGGTTTAATAACTGATGCTGAGAAAAGTGAAATGACTTTCCTTGGCAGTCAAGAATCACAAATGTACTAATGACTTCGATGTGAAAACAAAGTTAAACTTACAATAAACAAAGCTGACCAAAGGTTACACGCCCTCTTAGCTGCTCAGGTTTCCGGGGAATCAGGGGATGTATTGAGGTAATTTACCGATAATCTTAACTCAGAGAGAAAATCACAATACCTTAGCGCGTTAAAAAGCTGTCGGGATTTTTCCTGCAGCTGGCAAAATTCCACCACGATTTTTCGTTCATCCACTTTCGATGGAGGAGATTCGTTGTTTACGTCTTCCGCCATTTTTGTTTGACAACAGACTGCTAGCATGTGATTACCGCGGGCTCAACTGTACTCAAAGTTAAATCTGCTAGCGTTGCGTCATCTGATTGGCTAAGTTAGTCGGTATCTATTTCGTGATATGTGAATATGCAAGCAATCTTCGAAGAAAATAAGGCATGAAAAAATTTCGGCCTGTACGGGATTTGAACCCATGACCTTTGTTTCTTAAAAATGGAGGTTAAAACGTGCTGGGAATGGATATATTCCACATCTTACGAATTGTATTATTATTTCATCGTTATTCAGTTTTTCCTGTTGATCTCTTTATGCTTTGAGTTACAAGACAAACTCATTTCATTCGTTACCTAGCCAAACAAAAAATAAATGATTATTGTCATTTCTTTAATTTTCCTTTTTCCTTGTATCGTCCCTTCATAATTTGATTTAAATCACTTTTGCAATAAGGCAATATTCTGCTATAGTGATGAAATAAAATAAAGCCTGTTGCTGTTGTCTTTGTTGACTCGTTCTACTTTTAAAATGCGTCAGTCCTTTGAAGCCGTCTCAACTCCAATCCGCTTCCTATACCCGACAGACTACAGATAATAATTTACTAACCTCGTCTTCTCGGACCTCATAGTAAGTGATATATCCTCGTTCTTTGCCTTTGACTGATCTATGGCCCATGGGCTTTGTGTTAATTATTAGAGTCATACATAACTTGGTCCAGCTTACCCTATAGAACCCAAACTCGATTAGTAAGAGTTTTGTATATCCTTCCAGAGTATTTGAGAACCAGGAAGATACTACTTTAAAATTCCCATACCATATTTGACCAGATGCAGCTTTGCATCAGTGGAGGGAAGATTCGCATCCGAAAAACATCCTCTCGTGCACTCGTTTCCCACAGAAAATTAAAAAAACTCTTCATGCAGTAAATGCATGTACCCCTCATTTCCTGAAAGCAAATTGTAATTGTCTATTCCTGATGAACAGTTCTCGAGAAGTTGCGGTGAAATCTATCCTGTGTGGCGAGATATCCTACACAAGACAATATTTTCCATAGGAGACTTTTTCAATGTTTTCCAGTTGGTTGGAAACACCCTCCGGGGGCTGGGAGGACGACTCAATAGGGGACCAGTTGATGTTATTCTGGCGATAATGACTGGATTATTAACGGATGGAGTTTATTTTATAATGTTCTAGTCCAAAAAAAATTATTGATTCTTGGCGAGAATCGAGCATGTATCAGCAACATGAAGATTACCAGGCTCAATGTACGTATTTACGCCATATGCCTACACGATGATTATTTTGAATTGAGTTCTATCACTTGATGAACTCCCCACTAATAACATTAATATTCCTCCGCTGGAGACAAGTTACGCACCTGCCGAAAAATTGGCAGGATTTAACTTTGTTTAAAGAGACGACAGCGACTTGTTAAAATATATCAGAAGTCTTTCATTTCTATTTGAGTTTTTCGCTTGGTTCATATCAGCACATGATAAGGACTCAATAACTTCCTGTCAGGTCGATTTTTTTTACCGCAACTCAAAAACCACAATTAGCTTTGGTTAACCGAAGAAATTTCGTGATTTGCGCCTAGCTACTTGCGCTGTATTCAACCAAACCGTTCAAATCCTACCGAGAACTCTGGAAGAATCAGTGAACACCAGTGTACAAAGTACGAATTTACCCAGAACAGCTCCCCAAAGGTTCAAGTAATGAGCTCTGCATGGATGTCAGCTTAGAAATTTCATTGCAGGTTCAGCGCGGACAGTACATCTTTTCATTTTGTATCATACCAAGTATTCACTACAAATTATGTCTTCAGTGATGTTCTACAAATATTCGACGGTGATTATTACTACAGCATACAGCCTGGTACTTTTTTTTAACACTGTGATTTCAGCACAGGAAAACCCAACCATTCCGTTGGGTCTTATCACTAATACATCTTCAAATACAAACTGGACTAAAATTTTTCATGATGCTTTGAGACTGAACGACAAGCTGTCGCAAAAAGTAAAGTTTGAATTTATAGCTGTTTCTAAAACAGACTTGAACTCCTTTGGAAAAATTCTAGATACGCTGTGCCATGAGTTACTACCACGAAAAGTTCAGGCAGTTTTTCTTGCGACCGAAGGTTTAACAGTTTACAAGTTCACGAAAATGTTGGCGGTTGTTCCCCTGCTAAGTTTGGGTACAAACAGGGATTCGGCGATGGAGAATCAGGTTAGTTGCATGCATTTAGAGAAGAACATAAATCAGTGTCCACCAGTCAACGGCGTTTAAGTCTAGTGGGATGCTATTCCTACTTCTTAGAAATTTTTACATGTACGACTTTCATTTCACCAGGCTGACCAAAAAATAGAGTGCCGGTCATTTCGACCACGGTCATAAACAGTTAGTAAACCTTAAGATTAAGTCATAAGTGTGGATTCTGAAGTGAAAAAAGGTCAGTAGTCTCTTGAAATTGTTCGCAAAGTTTGGAAATTTTTTTTTGGCGAAAATGATCATGGTTCGGAAACGTGATTTTGAGAGAAAGTGCCTGTGAAACTTACTTTGTTGCGTAATTTACGTTGATACCAAGTAGCAAGACACATCTTTCAATATTTATAGATAAGTGCAACGAGTAACCCTACTTCGAAATTTTATCCAAGCCTAAAGTTCTAGAAGAATACAATGTCTCGCCTGAAAAGAATGATAAAGTCGCTGCTTACAAAGTCAGGTGATATTTGTGATATCAAGTGATATATTTATTTACCTATGCCATTAATCAATTCAGTAAATGCTTCGTTGTAATATCCTAACATATCATATTTTCTGAACATTTTTCTCGTCCATTAGGAGGTGTATTGTAACTACAAATATCTTCAACCTCCCGTAACTCAACAATCTAAAGTGATTCAAGCCACACTAGATTTTCTGAAAGTTAAAAAATATTCTATCGTGTATGAAATGCACACAGAAAACGAAAAGCTAGCTCAGGAGGGTTTTTCACCGGATACAAATCGGAATGGTTATGTCTTCATGACACCGCTCGTATCCAAAGGAAAGTATGCTGACTTCACTACACTTGTGGTTCAAGTTACAGAAGTATTAACTAAGATTAAAATCCAGGAAATCAAAGTGATCGTTTTGACCTGTGGGGAAGAGTTGGTAAGAACTGTTTTTAAGATTGCGACGAAGTTAGGGATGGTTTCCGAAGATTTTCTTTGGATTGGAACGGAGGCAGTCATTCAAGCCTTAAACGTTACAAACGATCGGCATCAGGACATGCCGATTGGCATTTCAAACTTGATCGGAGTTAAACTTAACATGTCGGAAGAAACAATAGGTAAGAAACAATAGGTAGGAACAATTTAAAACTCTTAATTAGCATAGAGTCCTCGTAGATAGCTTCACTATGTACGCACTTGGAAAAAATTCATTGAATTATTAATTTTATTATTGTTGAGATTTATTACGCAGCGTTGAATTCAGTTAGTATAAGTAATAACATGATTTCTAACGTAATTTGGTGTCAATAAGCACAAGTAAACTTTTCAAAGACAACAAAATTGCACGAGTCCGAAAGGCAAGTGCAATTTGTAGTCTTTTAAAAATTTACAAGTGCTTATTACACCAAATTTTGCGAGATAAATCGTTACTTGTTAATAATGTACAAATAAACATCACAAAAATTCAAGACAGATGAAATTTTGAAAGCGTGCGCTCGCTATTTATATACATGAGAATGCACTCGTTTTCAGCCAATCAGAAGCGCGTAATGTTTTCATGTACATTATTATTATTAATTTCATTATTGTTGAACTTTATTACACAGCATTAAAAGCACTACAGATTCTTGCTTCTTCAACACAAGTTGACTCCAATGAATCAGTGCTGACTGTTTCACTCCCAAACGGGTCATGTGATGGTGTGTTTCATAGGACGTCTTTTAAAAAGTTGATGAGGTAAGCGTTCACTAAAGATGGCTCGCATAACGCCAATAAGTTAACAAAATCTCCAAATTTCGGCATTTATAAATTCGTAATTTCATGATCTTTCCACAGTCCTTGTAGACCGACGACCAAAAGTTTGACGTTGAATCAGCAAGTTGTCAGCGATACTTACGACATTTTAAAGCTAGAAATTAATCCTGTGTTGAGGCAATCTTGGAGGAAAATTGCAACGTTTCAAAATAACGGAAGCTTTCAGTTTGAAGAAAACTTTCTTCCAAAATTCGATCCCAAACCTGGCGTTGCATCTAAGAGTCTTCGAATTGTTGGTATCGAACACGGTCAGTACCTTTATAAGGCTGGAAACGTGACAGGCTGCATCGAACATGGAGAGCATTGCACGAAAGAAAAATTACAACACAATTCACCTCAGCCGACTTGCGAAATAGGAGTCCCCTGTTACGAACACTCCAACATCTCGAGCAACAGTTCAAATCAGCTGCACGTCTTCTGTGTATCTGGTCTAATGATAGACTTACTGGGCTTGATACAGGACAAACTAAGCTTCTCCTATGAACTATACCTCGTACCAGATGGAAAGTACGGGGCCATAGATGATGTTACAGGTCTGTGGAATGGTATGATAGGTGAAGTGTTGTACGGTAAAGCAGACATGGCATTAGGTACTATCACGATCAACGCACAGCGCAGTCAGGTAGTGGATTTCACTACTCCTTACGGCGAAGTTGGAATTGGGATGGTAATTGCCAACGGTGTTTCTTCCAAACCCTTCATAACTATGGAGTTTCTCGAACCGTTTGGAACAAGTTTATGGTTTGCTATCTTGTTATCCATTCTGACAATTCTTGTCGCCTTGTGGTACCTGGACCGAAAAACAAATGAGTTTTATATTAATAGCAATAGTTATTTTTCGAAAAGAGCAATCACAGAAAGCTTGAGTGAGAAAGAAAGTCTAACGTTCTTGGAGAGTATGTCTTACACATGGAGCACACTTGTGCACGTGCCAGCGGGAAGTGGTTTTCCAAGAAGCTTGAGTGCGCGCCTAGTGGCTATCTTCTTTGCTTTTGCCATGATAATCCTGAGCAGCACATATACCGCAAATCTAGCCGCTAATAAGGTAAAAGATGACGCTGAGCCACCAGTAACAGGAATATACGACGAAAAGGTACAGTAAAGTTAAAGAAACTTAAAGCTTATGCATCTGAAAGGGAAGGGATGTGAAAGGCAAAAACACGATGGAGACGATAAATTAAGGGAACAGCTGGGAGAACAGTTGTGAAAGACAAAATGGATGGAATATTGAGTAGTAGCACTCCTTCCCATCTCCCACCTTTGTTTGTCCACTTTCGTCTTAGACCCACTTTTCCTCTTGCTTGAACCCTTAAAACCCTAACATCAGTATGCATATTCTCCATACTGTTCTCTATACATTTCCTACTGTACTTGCAAGGAACATTCGTCTAACAACAATAACTTCTTCAATTGGTGATCATTTCTTTTATTCTCCCATCCTTAATGTTTGAACCAGGAGTGATTTTGTAAAGAGAAATTGGATTTTAGGCACTCTTAAGGGTCAAAGGTTTAAGCCCCAAAAGTTTACCGTAATAACAGTAGGTGCAACCCCTCGTGTGCAAAGAAATACTGAAAAATTATTATCTCATGCTTTTCGTCATATCAGAATGGTGCCTTCTTATGGTATGTGTACATGGAGATAAATTTCCTTTATCTAAAGCAACAGATTGTGGCAAAATTTGTATGTACCAGATAATTGTTTGACTTTAATGTCTTACCGACCCAGATATGCTGACTTTCATTTATTTTTTTTCTCTCCTTTGACAGATGACTAACCCTCCCCCCGGTTTTCACTTTGGAACTCTGAAGTCGAGCAGCACTGAAGCCTACTTCAAGTTTAATCGAGATCCGCGCATGCGTAAAATCTACGATAACATGAAGCATTACAACGTGGAAAATGTACATGACGGGGTGGCAAAAGTTAAATCTGGGTAGGAGTTCCATATTCAGTTGCCTTGATTTACTTCAGAACACGCATGATCAAATGTAGCTTTATTCGGAAGATTTCCTGTTGTACTGAATTAACACATAAACTTCGAATTCCGTAAACAAAATTAAAAAATAAAAACAATACATGTAATACTTAAGAAATTCACAACAGTATAGCTCCTTATTATCCCAAAAAAGCAGAAATAACAGTTTAACCGAAAATTATAGGCGGGTAAGTTTCTAAAGAAACAGTGGTACTGCGTCGGTGGAAGAGTATAACGGGGTAATTTAGTGTTATCAACTGAGTAGATAACGCGAATTGGCCGCCTCAAAGTGTTTCAAAGCTGACGTTTCGAGCGTTAACTCTCCATCAGAGTTAATGAACTAAATCAACTGAAAATTAGTCCAGTGGATATACGTGGTTGCCAAGGCTCCTGTTTATTTATTTTCTTCTCTTTAACCTTCTAGCCTGTATGGAAGGACCTAGCGTCCATGTACAATAGCGGGTAATGCTTATCACGGTTATTGGTACTCTTATCTACAGGGAATTTTCAGTTTACATCGACGACCACCCTTATCTGGAGCATTTGGTCTCTTCGCAACACGACTGCTCCTTGAGAATTGTGGGAGAGCCTTTTGGTATCTCTGGATATGGACTAGTACTAACGAAAGATTCCTCTTGGACCCAGGTTTTCTCAAAGAGGATTCTCCAACTGAGTGACGAAAACGCGTTGTCTGTTCTTTGGAATAAGTGGCTGGTGCGAAAGTGTTTGACAAAAGAAGACTTTGAGAGATCACCACACAGATTGTCTATGTCTGATCACAGCGGCGTTTTCGTGCTTGTCGCTGCTGGCATCTTCATATCAATTTTATTTTTAGGCATAGAGCGTAAGATTGCTTTTTATCAGACAAGAAGGAAAATCATCGCAGAAGAATCGGAAAGAAATGAAGACTTCGAGTTATCTACCACGACTCCGAGAGAGGAAAGTAAGATGCAAAGCAGTGTTTTGGACGACAGGTCATCACGACGCAGTTTTACTCCTTCGACGACGACATATTCAAACTCTGTGCTACAGCTTGAACAATGTGATAACCAGCAGCAGCAAGAAACAAATAGGTTTAAGTTTAATTCAGTTTGTTAGCCGATAAAAAACTAGACGAGTAAAATATAGGAATGTCGGCCACTTTCGTTAAAACAATTAAGTAGAACCTTGGATAGCAGCCACTTGAACCTGCAGCGGCCATGTTGTGTTGTCCTGGCAGACGCTCTCCACTTAAGCTCTTATCTTAACCTGTTAACAACAGTCACCCCTTCTAAACCACAACGTGTTACAATGTCCTTCTCAGTGACCAAACTGACCGAGCTCTCCAACGACCAATTGATCACCGACTGACAAACAATGCAAAAATACGTGACAATGCAACTCCCTCTATCATGCAAACGACGACAGGTTTATTTTGTTAACGAGAAAATGCTACCTAACGCAAACTTTTTACTAACTAATGGATCTATTAAGCCTCATTAGTTATTTCATGTTGGCATATTTCTTCTGAACATTATTATTTCTTTCTATCTTATTGATAGATTAGGTTATATTTTGTATTTAATACTGCAACAAATAAATTTTAAACAAAGAAGAGCCAGCCTTAAAAGTATCAGGTTTAAAAAAGCTCCTCTACCTATTGTTAGTTATTTTCCTCTGTCGTAAAGACAACATCAGTGAGTCAGTTAGAGACTGTTCAATTTAGTCAGAATGTATTACAAAGCCATTAAACAGGTTTTTACATTGATTTCCTCTGATAAAGCATGCTTCATGCTTAACAGGGCAATGCGAGTGTCCAGACACTCAGAGTATAGCCTCACAAATGACAGAGCTGTAAACTAAGCATCGAAAATCTGATTCATCACATTTGAGAATTTTAGCAAGCTTGAAGTCAGTTTTGTAAAACGCCAATACACATCGACATTTAAGGGTTTTCTGACCACAGCAAATGTGTGTTGAGAAAAGGAAAGCAACCATGTAAAGCAATTGTAACTTTGATAAGAAAGGATGACACTGTCTCTCTCGAAAAAAAATTCAGATTCATAGAAAATTAGTAGCCACGCGTGTTACAATTTTCATGTGGCTCTCAACTTTTGCAAAAGCGTGACATTCATTACCTCATAGCAGCTAAAGGACTTCTTAATTTTCACCACAATACCTTCTTAGTAGACACGTTGCTCCTCAACACGAATAATATCGGACAAATTGTTCATTCGTTTCTCAACACCATTTTTTTCTCCTACCGAGGAAGAAAAAGTGGCCTCGAAGTTTTTCATAACAGAACACGACACCAAACTATCAGTTTACCTACTAAGACTTTCGTTTTCGTAAAACCACGAACGAAAATTAAACTCATTTTTCCACCCTCTTGAGGATTTCAGAACAGAAAGAATGAAAAAAATATTCAAAAAACGTTTCCTTCAGAGCGTGGAAAATCGAAAAAAGAAACTAAAACTAAGATCCCATTCTCGATGAAGAAATTAAACCCGTTTGTAACAGCACGGAAGAAGAAATCCTCCGCTCTCCCCCGTTCTTGCTCAGTGACACCATTCGGAAGGCCAGGTTACATAGTGAATAGCAAGTTATATTCGGTTATTGGGAGATTTTGTTTTGGTGAATAGCACTAAAAATGTGTGCTTAAGTTTGTCAAATTCATTCATTCAGATGTATTAAATCGCAAGGCTAACACTTTAACTCGGCATTGTAATCGACGATGATCAGTTTCAATGGAAAACACTGAGAGAACCGCAGCCATGGAGATGGGATTGCCATTTTTCGCTGGCAGCCCGTTGAAGTCTTCTCAATTTAACAAACCGAGGATGAGACATATTTCAGATCGCCACCCTAAACAACTTCTGGACACATTAGACTCTCTACGGCAATGCAGAGAATTGTGTGATGTTGTAATTAAGGCTGGTAGCAAAACTCTCTTTGCTCATCGAGTGATTTTGGCGGCTTGCAGTCCGTATTTTAAAGCCATGTTCACGGGCGAAATGGCGGAAAGTCGGAAAAAAGAAGTAACAATTCAAGATGTCGATGAAACAGCTATGGAACTCCTGGTTGATTTCGCATACAGTGCAGAAATTATTGTGGAAGAAGGCAATGTTCAAGCCCTTCTTCCTGCCGCTTGTTTACTTCAAATCTCAGAAATTCAGGAAATATGCTGTGAGTTTTTAAAACGCCAGCTAGATCCTTCGAATTGCCTCGGTATCAGAGCTTTCGCTGATACTCACTCTTGCCGCGAGCTGTTGCGCATTGCCGACATTTTTACTCACCATAACTTTCAAGAAGTCATAGAAAGTGAGGAATTCTTACTTTTACCGGTGACACAATTATTGAATATTCTGTCCAGCGACGAACTTAACATTCGTTCCGAAGAACAGGTTTTTACAGCGGTCATTAACTGGGTCAAATACAGCGTTTCAGAGAGACGATGTCACCTTTCACAGGTCTTACAACATGTCAGGCTACCACTTTTAGGCCCTAAATTCTTAGTTGGTGTCGTTGGTACTGATCCTTTGGTAAAAAGTGATGAATCCTGTAGAGATCTTGTGGATGAAGCCAAGAACTATCTTCTTCTTCCAGAGCAAAGGTTGCTCATGCAAGGACCTCGGACCAGACCTCGAAAACCAACTAAATGCACAGAAGTGTTGTTTGCTGTGGGAGGCTGGTGTAGTGGAGACGCCATCAGTAGTGTTGAACGCTATGAACCACAGACAAATGACTGGAAAATGGTGGCCACCATGAGTAAGCGACGTTGTGGTGTGGGTGTGGCCGTTTTGGACAATTTACTGTATGCTGTTGGAGGTCATGATGGTAGTAGCTATCTCAACAGTGTTGAAAGGTATGACCCCAAAACAAACCAATGGAGCAGTGATGTTTCACCAACTTGCACATGTCGTACCAGTGTGGGTGTTGCTGTTCTTGATGGGTAAGTTGTTTGGAATAAGAACAAATCACGTATTCGGTAGCAGATATAATAGAAACAACCGTGCTTGTTAATCAATTAAATGAATATACTGGTTCAGGTATTTAACCCAAGTTAGATGGAGGGAAGTGAACTTACAACAGCCCCACATGTACAAATTGTGATTATAGGGAAATGCATAATGAAAAATGTTGTTAATACTTAGGTAAACTTTGTCTATCCCACTTGCATACTTAAGTACCTAAGATGATTCTGCTGTTATTTGAAAACTAAGCATAAGATACAAGAATGTGAGTTGAGTAACCACCATAAGTACACATGACAGACTGCCTACCATTATCACATGATCTGGTGATTCTTGAGTAGTTTTTTCTCTTAATGACTTTTTAAATTCTAGTTTGATTTGTAATAATTATTATTTTTAAGCTTGCTTGTTCAAAGGGGTAAACAAGAAATATATCACTGATTTTAAACCAACATTTCCAGGTACATGTATGCAGTTGGGGGGCAAGATGGTGTATCATGTCTGTACATTGTTGAAAAATATGACCCTCAAGATAACAGATGGTTTCGAGTTGCATCCATGAGTTCTCGCAGACTTGGTGTTGGTGTTGCAGTACTGGATGGTTATCTGTATGCTATTGGTGGCTCTGATGGCACCTCACCCTTAAATACAGTTGAGAAATATGATCCTAAAACTAATCGTTGGAGCCCAGTGGCACCCATGGGAACACGAAGGAAACATCTTGGGGCTGCCCTCTTCCAGGATAAACTCTATGTTGGTGAGTATTTAAAAGGTTGCTTTATTCTAAATTATCTAGTGGAGTGAAGTCAGGGTGTTGGTGAGGGAGCAAAGTTCAGTTAATTTTCAGGCATGATTATCCAGCTAAATTTTGAAAGCTTGACTGAGCTATTTTTTTTATTCAGATGTGGAGAGTTGTTTCCTGTTACTCTACACATTTCTTAATGAGAACCCTGTATTTAAAGCATAGTGCATATTATGGGTAACATACCAATACAAATGGAACAATTGAAAAAGGTCATACAATTCATACAGTGTGATCAGGTTAGCAAGTTTGTTGCGAAGGGAAATGGTGTACAACCTTATTGAATATCTGTACCTGACCATCTGTCAAAAGTTCTTTGACTAAAGTGAGAACATTATTTTCCCAATGGCAACCAAATCTCAAGTAATTTATGTGCACTGTGAAAATGGTACTTCTCTTAAAGAATAAAGATAGGAACAATGTTATGTGACACTTGATCTCAGCTGTCGTGGTCATCACTTAACTTACAAAGAAGTAATAATATTTCAACAGTATTAAATTCACACAGAATAAACCAGCACTTAGTCAGTGAAAACTCCCTTACAGGGTCTGTTTTATTATCTGCAGAATCAAGAAACAATTTTAAAACTGAATACTTGTTTTCATTCCTCAGTTGGAGGGCGAGATGATGCAACAGAGCTCAGTAGTGCTGAATGTTATGATCCTAAAACAAACCAATGGTCACCTGTTGTGGCAATGAACTCTCGCCGTAGTGGAGTTGGTCTGGCAGTTGTAAATGGACAACTTTTAGCTGTTGGTGGTTTTGATGGTACCACGTATCTTAAGACTATTGAAGTGTTTGACCCAGTGTTAAATCAGTGGAAGCTTTATGGAGGGATGAACTATCGTAGGCTAGGTGGAGGAGTAGGAGTCGTAAAGTTACCACTTAGTGATGCGTTTGGATGTTAAAGTGAATTGGGATAAAAAAATGAGTTGATGTTCCTCCGTCTTTTGGTGTTTGAATTTCATCAGTTGACAGAACTGTTGAGTTTGGTTTGATAGATGCTCAAGAAGCGCCAATTCAGACAATTTTGTATCATTAATCATGTTGTACAAGGAGGACACCAGCATGAAAAGGATAAATTTAATTTGGTTACACCAGCATTTAATGGATAAAGATAAGTTGGTGTTATCCATAAAGTATTTAAAAAAACAACTGCAGAACAGTGTGATGACAAGAAGTATAGCTGCTCAAATGAATCTCCTATCTCTCTTGTTGCAATGACAAAAGCGTCAGACACACTGATTTTTCTTTATTTGGGCTCTTTTTGTTTCATTAAAAATATGCAAAGGAAAGTTATCCTCATCCCCCATAAATCAAGGTTATGGTCTACAGATCAGTGTGTGTGTCTGCTTGGGTGTGCCCAGCAGAGTGTTTTCTTTGTATTCTGAAGGCATTTGAAAATTTTTGGCCCGTCATCAATTACAATCATTCCTCCTTTTGCATGACTCAGTGTGAGGTTTCAATTAGTATTTGTCTCAAAACTTTGTGCCTTAGAAATGCCAGTATAGACCAAAAGTTGTTCAGAAAAGTTACCATACAATTTATATAATATTTTTTTCACATGTTAACATCAAAATAATTTGTTTTGTTTAATTATGTCTATTTTTTGTAGATGATGTTGGCAGTAAATTCTTTCATTGAGGTAACAAGATTATGCCACAAAGAAATGCAGAAAATTAATATAAGATCTGTCGAACCACTATGCAAGCTTTTCATGACATACACGTATATTTGCAAAGTAATTTTTCTTGCATTCTGCTCTCATTTGGGTATTTTGGGTTTTCACCTTATTTATTAAATCAATGTAATCTTGATACATAGACAGCATTCTGATTGAAACTAACTAGGAGACTAATCCAGCCTTGGTGGTGTCTTCACACTTAAATTTGTTATCAAGATTAACCAATCACCTAACATTCTCTGTGAAATAAAAATTGACTCATTCTTTACTCTGTTGTGTTTAAGTTTGAATACTAGAAGTTGGTTTGTAAGGATGATAAGTTTTTATATGGCTTATGGCTGGAAATACCTTTTCACTTTGGTACTTTGGAAACATCTCTGCATGCATCCTCCCTTACCAAAATTTTTTTTTTTTTTTTTACATTTGCTTTCCTTTGTTTTTGCACAATTACTCCACTTTTCTAAGAAATATTACACCAAATTTTTTTCCTATGTTCTATCGTGTCTGAATTTCACTACCACCAGTTCTTCAGTTTGCGCTGCTTCCCTTTGCCAGCTTGGTTTGAGCAGTGAAAGTCTTGTTCTTCAATATCTTAAACTTTTTCATAAATAAACCCTTTGGACACTATACTTCTTCATACACGATATACAATGATGGCACGCCATTTTCCACTGACACTCTACTTTGTGCGGGTTCAGTTAATCACAAATCCCATCATGCACCATGTTACGTTCTCTTTCGGCTGCCATCATGGTAGGTTGGAGTTTGAGCGTAGGATAGTGTCGAAGAAATCCGCTATAATCTTTGCATCTGTGTCATCATCGATGTTATCGTTAATTTAATTGTTGTTTCTTAAGATGTGAGAAGTGATCTCTGCCTTTATTTCGTAAATTTGCACACTGTGCAAAGTATTCAAGCGAGTTAATAAATGTACAGTCGAACGTTACGGATTTCGAAGAATATAGGTTTCTACTTTGAATTTTTGCATTTCTCAGGCGTTTGAAAAAAAAAGAATTTTCTGAACAGCAAGACTAAACTTACAAGTTCTCATTTGGCTGTGGAAATGTCAGAAATTTCGCGAATGTTATTCGATGTCGTTTTACTTTCGAATTGTTAATACTACTATCATTATTGATGTAAACGAAGATGGTTAACTTTTTAGTGATGTCATTATAACTAATTTCAATGTCCTCACGTTAAAATATTTATTTTCGCATAGGCCCTTGTAATTCCCGAGAAGTTTCAGCATATTTTGCGTGTACTGAACACCAACATCGATGGAAAACAAAAAATTATGTTCGCACTAACTTCCATCAAGGTCAGTGGATAAAACAGGAGAAGATGGCAAGATTTTCATGCAATCCCATTCTTCATTATGCGTACAGAGAGACTATGGCTTTGTTATGGAAGAGTGTGGGCTTGTGTGGAAATCTTACCGAGAACATAAATGTTCTTTATTTGGAATTAGTGTTGTACGGTGTGAAGATCTAGTGTCGCATTTGAAGAGGGCCATAAGCAGAGTTACATTGTATAGTAATCATTATGGAATTTCTACATCAGAAGCATGGTGAACTGTGACCACTAGAAATATTCTGGGGATGTTTTTATGTCTTGAAGAAAAAGCCAACTAGCTGTTGCTCTAATAACAGTGGTAATCAATTTGTTGTAAACTTTTTTGTGATTGTTCAGTATGCAGTGGACTTGTCAAAGGCAAACAAACTTTTTCAGGGAGTCATGAGTTTTACAGTTTCCACAGTCCCTTGTTAATGGTAGTTTCCTTATGTTTACTCTAAGTTTTTCTTTGTTTGTCCCTTGTGTTTACTAACATTGTGATGAAAAAGTGACATTGTAGTGTGTGCTACATTAGTACTGTGCAACAAACATGAGGAAATTGAAATTTCTTGCAGGGTGTGGGACGAAGGTATGCCAACCTTGTGTGTAAGAAGGCTGACGTTGATATGAACAAACGTGCTGGAGAGCTCACAGATGATGAGGTAAAACTTCATGGACAGAATTATTAAAATTTTCATTGCCACAGGGTTTTTAGACTGAAAAAAAAAAAGTAGCTGGATAACAATTGTATAGGAAGAGGAGAATATTCAGTTTATCAGGATGAAAAATAAGTGAGGCTGTTATAATGAATTTAACAAGATAATACTGTGTAATAGCCAGAGAATTCTTTGTTCTCTGATATATATTAACATCCTGTAGTCAAATGTTTTTATTTGCTTATTAGTAACTGATAATGGCTTGACATTACCAGAGGTTTTTCACTGTGAGGTCTCAACAGTGTATATTTTCATTAATTCATGCAGAAGCATATTAGACTTACAGTTCTAGTTTGCTTTGCACCACACAAATCTCTGTCTAGTTGATAACCATTAAATTGTCCTACTCAGCAATCAATTATTTATCCAGTAGGTTGTGGTTTTCAGCTTTAAATAAACCTGACCTGAGCATAATTTTCAAACTACAATTGTGAACTGAATTATCTGACTTCTGTTCGTGACAGTAGTTAGTATAAACTTAAATCAATTGGATACAATGAGGTAAAATTGGTTATTATTATTGTTATTTGCTAAGAGGTTACTGTACATGGGTAAAAGTAGCTTCTGTTTGGCTGCAGGTGGAGCGAGTGGTAACTATCATGCAGAACCCACGCCAGTACAAGATTCCTGATTGGTTTCTTAACAGGCAGAAGGACATCAGAGATGGCAAGTACTCACAGGTATGGAAAATTGAACTGAACTGGAATTTAATCTTTAAGGGTTTTATAGAAGGGTTTCATTTGATGTTGTAATTTGTGTTTTAGATCCTTGCCAACAATCTTGAGAGCAAGCTCCGTGATGATTTGGAAAGGTTAAAGAAGATCCGTGCTCATCGTGGGCTCCGTCATTACTGGGGGTATGTTTTGATTTGAGTTTTGTGGATATCATTATGACTATGCTCATAGGGCTCATCTGGTACCAACACTACTCAGAGCTCAATTGGCCATTTTAGATATCTTAAGAATTTAAAGATATCAAAATGGCCTATTACACTGGCATTCAACAATTTAATCTCTGACAAAGTCATTTATACTTTTCCTGGACTGGTGGACAAGTTGTAGATGAAATGTACACTGGTTATAAATTTCTGTAGAAGCTGTACAAATGTTCTATTTCCATGTTATGTCATATAACTTTCAGTGGTAGGAGTATGCCAATCCACCCATATCCTAATCTATATCAAAGTTGTAGAAGAGTTCTTCTGGCTGAATGGCTGTTCCCATTGATTGCCGTTCTCTCTAATCACTTTTTTTTTCATGTAACGGAAATGAATTAAAAGGAAGCACTGAATTAAAAAGGCGTAGAATAACAGATGTTCCTTCTTTTTTTTTTCCAGTCTGCGTGTGCGCGGTCAGCACACCAAGACCACTGGTCGCAAGGGTAGAACTGTTGGTGTGGCCAAGAAGAAGAACTAAAAGTGCAATGTTCTGTTAATTGTAATAAAGAACACTTAGATCGCCAACTTCACTTGTCTCTTTTATTTTGCATTTTTCCACACTGACCAGTGAGAGTAAAATAAACTCCATCAGTAGTTGGACTAGTCAGCAAGTTTGCAATTAAAAGTTGCAGAACATTGCAGGTAAATTTAACACATGATTGGGTGATTTCTTTTATTAGGCTTAAAATTGATTTAACATACTATTTTACAAAAACAAACTGTTCTAGTAATCAAGTCATTTCTGCTGATTGACACTACTTTGCTTTAGAGTGTAGAAATCTATCTAATGCAGAAAATGACTGTACAGATCTTTCTTCACTAATTTTCTCTGTTCTTCTTTCTTTTCTTTTCTTCTGCATTGCTTGTCTGACTTTTTCCTGGAAAAAAAAAACAAAAAAAACCCTATGCAATTATACCAGAGTAATGACAACCAGCATATAAAAAAAAATAATCATTTGTAGTAACGTTCCCTTAATCATACTTTCCCCACTCAGGAATAATTTTACATAACCTTCCCAAACCCTTTTCTGAGTGATCATCCTTTAGGAAAAGTTCCACTTTCAACATATTTTGGTAGAAGCGACAACCTTGTAACACCTAAAACTAGCATGTGACATAAGGAACAAGTGGCTGTGTCAGTTCTTGGAGAATAGATCTGATATGCAGTCAAGTGAAAGGCATGTCAATTTAACAGAATGAACCCAAGGAGGAGAAATGAATCTGTGTGGAGATTTCAGTGGTAGTTCAACCTATGAGAACTTCATGAAGTAAAATAAATAGACTCTACTGCAATCTTGATGTGATACTGAACAGATGCAAGTTTTCTGACAATGGGCCATTTACCTTCTTCTCTTGTTCTTCATGACCCTTCTTCCTTAGATGATGCTTTCTTGAAGAGCTACGACCCTTCATTTTGTGTCTTGGTTCAAATTTCTCATCTGAATTCTAGGTAACAAAGAAAAGGTGGATACAGTTCATTTGAATAACTATTCATTGCAGATAAGTTGTTGGTTGAAATGTAAATTTTAATCAATATGAACATATGTAAGAATTTCATCTGCATCACTTGTGTCTTACAGTTGCACCTTTAAGTAGTATCTTCTATTTGCATCTTCTGTACCTACCTCCTCATCATCATTATCATGGTCATTTGTATTTGAACCTTTTTTCTGATAACTAACACGCAAGATATCCATTGGGTTTAACGTTATTAATTCTGGCTGAATCTGCAAATTAAAACAAGGTACAAACAGTGAATTACAAGCGAAACAAAATAATACGAGATAATAGAAGGGATATTACTTGAAATCATAATTCCTGGTGTGTTTACCATAGACAAGATACTATTTGATTAGAAAGCTTGTTTCCATTTTTCACCTTTTCTAACAAAGCCTTGACTTCAAACTCCTGTCTTTGCTTTTTGGTTTGGTAAGGATTGGCCTCCAATGCATCAAAGTTAGGTTCACCAGCACCTGAAGAGAAAAAAAAACAATAATATGATACAAGAACATTATAGATTGGTATTACAGTGGATTTCAAATGAACTTTCCATAAAAGATGAAAATCCACGACATTGAGAAAAGGCTCCTGTTAAGCCTGTGTCCTTCTGGTTATCACCAAAGGCAAAAAAAAAAACCAAAAAACATGTTGGAAATATTGTGTTTTCTCCACCATTTTATCAAGCAAGAAAATGTTCTGACTTGTTAATAAATTTAAATCTGTGACTAGTTTGAATAAATTGAATAAAACACATCTACCTCCCATTTTGTTAATCATACAGATTAATTATTTACTCGTTTACTGAATGATATCACAATATTTATATTGATGTTGGTATTGAAGAAAGAAGCAGCATAACACAGGTGTTGTGTTATAAGTATTGAAAATAGTACTTTGCCCATCCTTGGTTCATATAATAATTCTGTCCATTGTACATTTAACCCTTTCACTCCAGATCTCATTAGTAATTCTTCTTTCATCAGCCATAATATATAGATTTAGGGAAGCCTAAAAAGCAAAGCTTGCATTTTTTTTCCCACACATCTCGTCAAAAAAACTTAAGCCCCTATTATGGATAGAGTGTGTGGTAATATTAATGGATTTTCATTCACAACTTCTCCATGTCCGTGTAGAGGACTGATTATAAGATAGTGCTCGTGGTACAGTTGGCCGTGCATGCTAAAAGTAGCACCTTGTATGGTTGGTCATACAGCTGTACGGTCGTACATCCAAATTTTTTCGGCTTGATGGGATACTACTATTTTGTATAATTATGGGGCTATGCTTTGCGAGCTCCGCTATGAATTGTACGATGTTAGTTTGGAGAATTTGGTATTGGATCAACTAATAATCCCCTACCTGACATTTTCCTTAATTCTCATCAAAAGTCTGCTTGATATTTCAATGACATTGTGAGGAGAAATTCTGTCTTAGTCCCTCATAAGAGTTGAAGGAACAACAGTCTCACCTGGTATAAGTAAGCTGCCAAATCCTTTTGAGTGTCCAACACCTAAAACATCTTCAAATGGACAGAACTGCATGCCATGAACAGTACAAGAGGGAAACATATGAGACATGTAGGGAGACTTCTGTTTTTGAGTGAAAGCATCCCGCCATATCTGTTTGCAACAACAATGAAAAGGAAGCTAAGAGTGAGCTCAAAATTAAAATTAAGTCTACCTTGAACCATAACATCAGTATCCACATTCTCCACACTCTTCTTTATACATTTCCTTTGGTACTGACAAGAAGAATTTGTTTAAAATCAAAGCTTCCTAGGTTGGTGATCATTTCATATGTTTTTATTTAATAAAAGATTTGCAGTATTATTGTAAGGAAATATTAAATCCTGGTCACTCATACTGGTTTTAAAGAGTTATAACTACATTGAGGAATTAGAATGAAATGTATTTAACTCCTATCCCTGAGCATACTTCATCAGGTTTCTCAGACAGTTTTTTTTATTTAGTATCTTCTTAAACTTCAAAGTAAAGAAAGAAACTGTAGGTCTGTTTAAGTGTTTACTCCAATAACCTTGGCTTGAAAGTAAAAGCCTGGACTAATGTTGATGTGGAATCTAGTTAAGGTAACCATAACTAGAATCAACATCAACATTAGTCCAGGTGTGTATTAACCACGCAGCAGCAACATGTTTGATAACATGAAAAATCAACCATCATGATTTTTAGACAATGAAAATACACTTTGTGGCAGATAAAACATACATTCAAAATAAAAACAAAAAAGGAACCAAAAATAAATAAAAAACTATCAAAAACCACTACATAGACTCCAACACCTCTTGACTTTACTTAATTTCTTAACTCCCAGCAGACCTGAATATGTGGTCCATGACCCACAGCAAGCAATCCTCGTTGACTGATAGCAAGACAACTTGCTGGGGTAGGAGTATAATATGTGTGAAGTTCCTTATATGTTCTTACATCCCAGATCCTCATTTTTCCATCTAGACCAGATGTTGCCATGTAACTGAGTTTTAAAAAGATTCATGTGGTAAGACAGTGTTAGAATGAAATTCAAGTAAAATGCTTTCAAACTACTGGCATGTTTACTAATATTTTTCTTTGTTTACAAATTATAATAACATATATCTGGAAAAGCAGGAAAAAGGTTATCAAAATTAGGTTATAAAAACTTTGCTGACAGCATGCTATGTAACTGCTAAACACAGGTCACCATATTGGTAATTATCCCCCAAGTTTAGTTACAGTGGCCACCAAATAGTTGCTGCTTGGATACTGACTGTGAAACAGAGAACTTGTTGATGATTAAGACCATATGCAGTGATTCAGACAATAAGTTCTCCTCTTCATATTAAGAAGAGTTTGTTCTATTCTGTGCAAAGGCTACATGAACTCTTGTACCCACGTATAGGCCACACTGCAAACTTTCAAGGTGGTTTTTCATCAAAAAAGTGTGGCCTATGTGCGGGCAAATATGGTATGTAGAAAAATGAATAATTAAAAAATTAAATATGATAATTTGTCCGCATTTGATTTGACCTTGGTTTAAAATTCTTTTCCTAATTTCACGTAGTTTGTCCGTATGGTAATGTAAGATTCCCACTGTGAAAGAAAGATAATTTTACCCATAGCAAGGATAACTAAGGGTAACTGAGTGAAGTATGATACTTATTTTTGAAATGAGTGCTTAACTTCTTTCTAGAAATCTCTGGTTGAAAAAGATGTATGTACCACAGACTGGAACAATCATGAGAAGAACAAATGATTATCTGCTAGGTAAAGAACTTCCCTCTCTCACTTTCCCATTGAAAAAAACCTCAGCCAAGCCAGGTATCAGAATATAATCCCAGGGGGATAAGTTGGATATATTTTTTCCAAGATAAATTTTACTTACTTTCCTTTAGTATCAATGGCAATTGACTGTACAGGTCCTCTGTGGCATAACATCTTAACAAGAGGATCTTTTGTGTTTGGGGCCCACATTGTTACTGTGCCTGAAAACAACAAGATACCTTAGTTTATAACCACAGCTTGCAGACAGACATAATTTGAACAGAATGGCTGATTACAAAGTAAACGAGTCCATTCCATGCAAATTCTCCCTTGGTAACTAAATAGCAACACATTGATCTTCAAAGGAAAATATTACAAAAAAAAATTGAAATTGCTGAAACAGAGGCATCAAATTTCTTTTACACATGGCTTGAACATTTGCCTTCCAAAACCAATATCAAGAAGACCAAACAACTTTCTATAAGGACCAATTTGCGATTCTTAACAGGTTCAAAAATTCATATATATTTTTTTCCCAAGTAAAAAATACCCCAAAATAAATCAAGTGTCATGCTGTGTATCACATCAAATATGACCAAATGGTCTCTTTTTTTTTCCTTTGGCTGTCTGTTTCTGTCCTAGAATGTTAAGGCCACAGAGCAGGTTGGCAGTGCACAATTTATTCAAATAACCAATAACCCTTTACAACTTAACATCAGTATATGTACTCTCCATACTGTTCTCTATAAATTTCTGAAGGTGCTGACAAGGAGAATTTGTTTAACAATCAAGAGCTTCTGTAGTTGTTGATTGTTTACATAATTCTCATGTTTGTAATGCTTGATCCAAGGATAATACTGTTTGGAGAAATAAGATGCTGGTCACTCTTAGGGATTGAAGTAGTTTCAGTCCTCATCCCATTTGGGCTCACTTCTGTTACATGAGTATTTAGAAGTGTTCTCCTCCATTTTATTATATTTGTTTGTAACAGTATATTTACCATTGAAGTGTCCCAAATGAATGACTGCATTGGAAGGATTTTGAGTCATACAATCACACTTCCCTAGTTTAGAAAACAATTGAACAACTGGTTTGCCTGTTGATACATCTTGATATTTGAGGATTCCATGGTCACCCTAAGAAGAAATGTAAAGGTATGAAAGAATATCATAAAGAGCAATTAAAAAAGGGTTTAGCTTGGAATATTTAAAAGCTTGTAATATTAGCTGCTGATGATGAACATTGTTTAACTCTTAAACTCTAAAATCTGATTGTTTAATTTTCCCTTCTTACTGTTACACTTTTCCTTGAAAATAAGTTACAGGAATTAAGTGTTTGATCAAGATAATAACTTTCTTCTACCTGATAACTCTGGGTATTCTCATTACTTGTTAACTGGTAAATGTATGGTTAATTATAGGGAGAAGTTACATATTAATCACTTCTGTGATTTTAAGGGTTAAAACAAAAGGAAGCTAAATTACATGTCTGAGTTCATGCCAGTAACAGTTTCCCACTTTCTCTTGACAACAGACAATTTCATTGATAGCAAATGACTTACCACTGAAGCCAGAAGAAAGTGATATGGTAAAAATTCTAATCTATTGACTTGGTTGTGATTCTTAAGGCAATGAAGTTCAATTCCATTATTGTCATAAATAAAGACATTTTTCTTTTGGGCAACTGCAAACATAGTTTCAATATGCAACCATCTGAAAAATACAAAAAAGGCAAAATAAAATAATGAGGTGGAAGACATTTTCACCAACAGCCATGAGTGTCAATCAAAAATTTTCAGTGCTGCAGACTAAACTTTACCTGACATCTCGCACAGTCTCTTGTACATGAAATTCACAACCAAGTCTCTTGTTCTCCCAGTCCATTGTGGCCAGATGACCTTTCTTCCCACCAATAAGAAGAAATCTAAAAGTCCAGGAAAAAACATCCACTTCTGGCAGTTAATTTCTAAATGGCAAGAGTACTCAGTACTCAGTACTTATCAAATCACAGCCTAAAAACTAATAGTGTTTTACAAAGCTCTTCTGGGTCTAAAACCCTCAAAATTTTGTTATGCTTTCTATCTTCTAACTCAGCTAACCAGGTGGTGTTTACAAAGAGATCAGTAATAGAGGCCTTTGATATTTGATAAATTCAACTAAAAAGAGGAAGTAAACTAAGCATTTATATGTAGCCAATAATGCCTTAAAAGAAAGTTTTGTCCACCTTCCATTACGAGTGTAATTTATTCTGTAAGGTCCAAATGTATCCAGCTTAAGCTCAAAAGACTTCTGGGCACTTGCAACATCAACAGCATTTACAATATCCCTTTGTTTGAATTTAAATGTTTTCTCCAAACCCTCTGCCTCCAAAAACCTGCCAAGCAAAGACACACACAGAAAATTAAACAAACATAATAAATAACATCACAATTAAACAGCCTGCGCTTGAATGCCTCCATCTAGTGTTCAAGATCCTAACCATACAAATATCGTGTTTGTAGATCTTGCTCGAAAATACAACCTGCCCAAAGACAAACTGCTTGAGAATTCTAATTAAAACATGAAACTGAACAATGAGGCCTCTCTTTCTACCATAATAATCCTGTTTGACGACGTAGTGGTGCATTAAAGTAACAGCAAGAGTTCTTTCATACCCAGGTTGCTCTGTTAGAAGAATTTCTGATCTAGCCGCCTGTATCGCTGCTTGTTGATGTTGTGATTCATATGACTTAAGTTTCCCACGCAGCTTCTTGTCTTTTACATGCTGATGGGCGAGAACTTTCAGGTTAGTTTCACAGTAAGAAGATGGCACTTCAGCACAAGATCTAGACAATATCTCGATTCAACAAAAGTTAAACCACAACATAAACTAAAGCTTCTTTCGTTTCGCTTACCTTGAAACGATTTTGCTTTCCTCGGTGGTATTTCTGTAGTTTCTTTTCGTCCACTGGATATTCATCCTTACCCTTTTTCTTGCTTACTGCCTCCATTTAAAAAGATTCCTTCAAATCAAATGCGTTTTTTTTGAGAAATCAGATTTGGAAGCTAGCCACATGTGTTACCTGGCTCCGTCCGCCATATTAAGTTCATTCAACACACCGCTGGTTTTTGGGGCCTGCGATTACTATCAATCTCATCCTCAGATCCCCGCCACATAAAGGCTCAAAAGGAAAATTTCTGCTCAAATACGCACGAGACATGTGCAGAAATGGTTACTGACTAATACCTGCCAATTAAAGCTTTTATTTCAGTGAGTCTTAATTTCACTAAAACGGCAAAAATGTCTTCTTGTGTCTGCCCTCGCTCGTGATAAAGAGTTTACAAAAGAGCAAGGAGATTAAAGCGACTTGAGTCAAAGGTAAACAACATTAAATATCAAATACTTGAATCTCCTGACCTTGCAGGCCAACATCTTCAAATGTTGTTAGGAGAAATAAAATATAAATCGGAAAGCAGTACCTTTTACCTCTAAATACATCGAAATTAGCTATTATCACGAAATGCTCAGTTTTTCTTTGATTTCAGCTAAATTCGTCTTCATGAGGATGCATTAGGATAACAGAAATGTGTAAGAAAAGGTCAGTACCTTTAACTCATGTATATTCTTTTGAATGTTCTGTTTTTGGTGAAAGTTTTTTTATTCCATGTGAACAGTTTCAATAGGATAATATACGATTTACTCTGGCTGTGAAGTAATGCATTGAAATGAAACTGAAAATTTGCATTTATGGTCAAAATTTTTTGTCTTCCTCAGATCTCTGTTACAGACAACCTTGTAGACAGAAGGACCCACTCTCCAACAATTTTGGGAGATAATGGGAAAATCTCTGGCCTGGCCGCAGCGTTAGATGAAGGAGGCTGCAGACATTAAATGCTGCAAAAATGCTGCATCAAGCCACTGCCAAGAGTATGACACCAGCTTATGCAGTCTCATGGCATTGAATGAAAGTGCTTCAGTTTTGGTATTGAGTGATGCAATGATAAAGTGCGCTAAGTTCACAAAGATAGTTCTTCCTAAAATTGCAAAGCAGGAGATTAATATTTTTGAGAAAAGCCAAACAAATTGTATTAGAAGTGTAAATAATTTGTACAGTGGTGGCATTGCAAGCAGGCAGAAGTACAATTCAGTAAGGTCATTATTAATGATGTGCTTAGATGATGCTGAGGTTAAAAGGAAGCATATTGAATTCATGAGCAACAATCCAGTACCTAGACTTCTTTCCCATAGTATATTAATCAAATAGACACAGTTGATTTATGTGATGTGAGAGAAACACTTAGCAAAGGGCTCAAGGATGAAGATATAGTTAATGGGAAGTACAGGGACCCAAAGCTAATGCTGAAAATAGCACAGTTTCATTTCAGTGCCTACAATTAGTGGAAAGATAAGCTTAACTGGTTTGGGACACGAGAGGGAACTTCTAAAGCTGCTCTAGGGGTAATGGTGCATTCTTTGGAAAGGATGACCAAGCAATGGCTTGGTTAGTTAGTTTCTTAAACTGTGGTCAGAGTGTGTATAGCTCTGCAGAGAACTTTCTCTTAATCGGGGCCAATTGCTCTTAAGACTGTGACCTGTTCGCAGATATGTGGCACTGCTTGAAAGGCAAATGACTGAAATTGAGGGGGAAATGTTTTCAGTAGAAATTGAAGGTATGGAGAAGTTTGTGTCCTTCAATCTGAACTGCTACCAAATGACATGAAATACAAATGAAAACACAATGGAGAGAAGGGAGGCAAAGCATGTTACTCTTGCCAAATTTACTAAAGCTATAGAAGCCATAAAATAGGTTAAAGGTGGCCTGTAATGAAACAGTTTCTTAGAATTTGCAAACTACAGACAGAAATATAACTATTTTACTGTTACAATAATGTACTTAATATATGGCCATTTATGAGATATTCATTATATACCCCTACATACTATGTTAAAAGGAAAAAAACTATAAATGTAGATTATGAATACCTGTGCAATAATTTTTTAAATGTTTGCAAGAATAATTATTAAAATCAGAGCAAATTGTCAAGGAAAGTTGCTTTCTATCAAATACCTTAGTACCAATTATCATAGGATATGTATCACCTACTAGGCACATATGTTTGGGGTGCTGAAAGGAAAATGAATTTTGTGTCTCAATTCTCAATAATCAAAATGATTTCCATAGTATCTGAAGAATATTAATTTTATGAGTGATTCAAATGGAAGCAAATTACCAGTAGTGCATTGAATATCAATATAAAAAGTTTATAGTAATATACAGATATGTATATTTTAGATATATTCAGAGATTACAAAAAAAATTTACTATTTCAATTTTTCATTAATATACAAAAATTGCACGCTGAATGTGCTGCCATCAAAAAATATTATTGTCTTAAATGTTACAATTATAATAGTTGACTACAAAATTTTAAAAAGATATATGTATATCTAGCTGTCTTTGAGTTCCTTCTCAAAAGAGAACATAAATTTTGAATTATTAAAAATAATTATAGCAATGTGTATGTTATAAATGAAAAAATAAAAAATATACATTGCAGATCAAAAAAAGTATATTAAATATATCACACTAAAAGGAGTGATCGTAGTTGCTGTTCACTTTACACATGCTGCGGCCAGTCGTGCTCATTCCAGCAGCCATAATGAAAATCAATGGTGATTAATTCTTTTTTGTAGGAATATTTTATTCCAAATTGTTTTTCCGAACTTATGATTGCTTCTACGCGCTTGTTACCTTTAATTTTTCTTTTCAAAAAGGTATTTTTACTCAGATTTTGATCAGTACAATCAGAAAATACCTTTCTCACTCTGTTACGAGAGGTGAATGCAAACACAGTTCTTTGGTGTTCGGTCAGCTATAACTTCGAAATTTTTCCGCGAAACAATAGCTTCTAAAATTTGAAAAAGCTCTCTGTGCAGTTTTTCCTTCACAACTACCTGCCAGGCGTGTTTGACGGAACATCGTGGAGACATTTGTCGCTGAAATGTCTTAAGCCAATCCATGGCTTGCCTTTGAAACATTGGGAAATAATCTCCCACGATGTGCTTAAAACCGGTTCGGTTATTGAAGTGTCGAACCGAAATTGGTGCCAACAACCCTCTTATATCATCTAGAGCTTCGCTTATGTTATTAATTTGACCATCTTTGCCCGAAAGTTCAGCTTCTGCAACTACAAGCGCACCACGAACAGTATTCAGAAACACTCCACTGACGTCCGCCATGTTTCTTCAGAGAGAAGCCTGGTTGAAGTCAGCCGCTGACGCATTACTTGAGCCCGCCGCATCACTTGAGCCAAACTCCAGCCAGGCCAAATTAGAGCCAAAAAATCCCCGGCGCGGTAAAGATTGACGTCTTTGTTGATAACTGATACGAGGTGTGAAACACTGCTCTTGCACGATATCGTCTGATTTTGGAGCTGAGATTGAAAAGAGCCTTGCTCTTTGGAAAATTGTACCTGAAAAAGTAAAATGAAAACTGTATAGTATTTCAAATGAGTCAAAGAGGAAGTGACTGGCCAGCATAACTTTGCGGTTTGTGTGCTGGATGTCGCAAAAAAAAAAAAAAAAGTACAGATGACACACAAAGGTTTGATTTGAGTGTTAAACTTTTGAAATAAAAAATGAAAGGTCTTTGGAAGGAGCATAATACGGCGAGGAAACTTGAGTATATCAACTATCAAGAGGCCATTCCCTGTAATTTGCTGTTTCCTCGAAATGATATACCAGTACAGAACTCACAAGAGACACACCTGGAGAGTGGAATTTTCTATCAAGCCCTACGACCACGTGATCAACTTTTCATATCAGCCGGTATAAAGATTAACCTTGTGAAGCATATCTGATCCATACGTGTATGTTGTTTCATTCAATCTTTCGCGTTGGTAAACGTGGGTGTCATTCTTTTGAAAATCATTGGCCTTTAATACGACGAGGAAGCTTGAGTGCATTTACTCTAGTCAACAGCCATTCCTGACAATGGTTCCCGTTATTATATATTCTACAAAACATAAATGAAATACAAAGCATTTTAAAATTCTCCACTTGGGAATGGTGGCGATTGTGTTGTGGCGAAATAAAGAAGAATAAAAGCAATAAAAAAAACTGATTGAAAGCGTTGGAAATGATAAAAATCAAAATAATCATATTGAAGTCTACTTCGAAGATTGCATTGTCATGTTGTCTTGCAAATTTTCATTAATCATATAGTTTTCATTCTCTTATTGGGCGCCGAATCTTCTTTGCTATCGTCTGATCCGCCATGACCTCAGGTCGTTACAGTTTCGCTTTTAGATACAAATTTGTCCTTATTTTCAAAGTAAAATACAATTATCCTATTTACATTTTCGAGTAGTAATAGTTGACATTGAGTGAGTGATGAGTTGATGTATTTGTCCATTTCGCCCTTTTCGGGAAGCCACTAAAAATTCAAATGAAGTGTGTACAATGGGAAACTTAAACCTTGAAATTAGGCGAGGGAAAATTGCGAGTTGCAAATTACAGTTTATTGGCGAAGTTTATAAGCGAGTTAATTTTCAACGTGTTGTTCGCTGATTTGATTTTTTTTATAGGATGTGGAAACAAACACCGAGTTTATTTGCAAAGATTTTCTCCTATTGTACAATAGAAAGGCCGAATAGAAGCGATTTTATTATGCCGTAATTTATAATGGACACCTGCCGAGGAAAGAGAAAATGCACCTGGTTTTAACGTCGCCTGAGGAATCTTTTCATTGGTTTGCAATAAACTAAATTATTAGTCGCTAAAATAAAATTGACCATAGTTATCAATTGAATCTGCGGAGATAAATAATGAATTCGTTCACAGGACTGCAGTAGAGTGATTTGCAATCATCTGCCTTGGTGCCGAGGTTTGTGTTTCAAGCAAGGGAGCTGTTTTGCCGGTTTCAGATCAAAGTTCACCCGCTCTTTTGGTTTCAACCCAATACAAATTAAACTCGACGTTTCGAAGCGCCCTTGTTGTGTCTCGCAAAGAAGAATTCACCATGTCGTTCGCGGGCTTCAAGAAACAAATTAACAAGGCGAACCAGTTCGTGAGCGAGAAGATGGGTTCGGCCGAAGGAACCAAGATGGAGGATGAATTCGTCGAACTAGAGCGAAAAACAGACGTAATGACAAATTTAGTGACGCAGTTACTCGGCAAAACCAAAGAGTATCTTCAACCTAATCCTGCTGTACGCGCCAAAATCTACATGCACATGGCTGCACAAGGAGCCAAGTATCCTCAACCCGAAGGAGCTCTTGGGGATATCATGCTGAAAAGCGGCCATGACTTAGATCCTCAAGTCTCTGATTACGCTTCTGCTCTACTCGACGTCGGCAGCGCTCTGATCGAAGTCGCCGACGCCCGAGATGTCATGGATGCACAAGTGCATGAGAATTTCCTCATGCCGCTGCATGAGTTAGACGAAAAACAGCTGAAAGAAATCGCACAGCATCGAAAGAAGCTTCAAGGACGCAGGCTCGATTTTGACTGCAAGAAACGAAAGGGGAATAAGATCTCTGTGGAAGAAGTGAAAATGGCACAATACAAATTTGAAGAATCTAAGACGATTTGCCAAGAGCAGATGACGGCACTTATGGGGAACGAAGTGGAACGAATACATCAACTCAGCCAACTTATCTGTGCCATGCTGGAGCACCACAAGAAATCAGCCGACACCCTCGAGCGATTGTTACTCTTACTGAATAAAAGAGTACAAGCTTCAAGTCGAAACGGTAACGCCGCCGTGAAGCCCAATCCCGCAGAAGTCTTAGCGGACCAGGGAAAGTCGGAAGCTTCCGCCAAAGGCACGAATCCTTTGGCCGGAGAATCGGATTCCGCCGAGAAGCCGAAGGAGGAGCAAACAGCGAGTAACAAGCCAAGCTGTCGGGCAAAATGCGATTACAAGGCTGAAAAAGATGGCGAACTGTCGTTTTCAGATGGCCAAATCATCATGCTGTCCGAAAAACTCAACGAAAATTGGTATGAAGGAATTTTGGATGGAAAGCTCGGTCGTGTCCCTGTTAAACATGTCGAGATCTTGGTGGATTTACCATAAAAATATTTTCGAAGGATGCAACCAATTGACGCCCTCGAACAGATTGAAACTAAAAGGTTTCTGAACCAGTTACCTACATTAATTAAAATTCTGTTAACGTGTGGATTTAAGATAGAGCAGGATACGAAATGAATTTTTTGTTCCATTGTACTAGTTTATTTTCAGCGTTGTTTCTTTTCTATAATTGTTTTCACAACAAAGGAGACAACGATTTACGCGAGGAATCAAAATACAGCGATGTATCTGTTTTGAGTAAGATTGTAGGCATTACGAATTTTTCAAATTAGAGATAAGATTTTCTATTTAAAAACTGCTGTTTAGATCTTTTTGGGTAAGAATTTCTCTGTAGGAGAGTACTGAAATATTATCATAACAGAGCTGCCATCACAGTTCATTTCCGCCAAGATTGAATCGCATTCAGTCAGAAAAACATTGTTTTCGATTTTACAAATTACATTGTATCTCAAGCGCTGTCGCCTTTGAGGAAATGTTTTGCTTTACTCTAGTAAAATTACATTGTTCGAATTTAGGGAAAATAAAATATATATTGTTTTCATTCAGAAATGTTTTAAACTTCTAATGGGAAGCTGGATGAAGCGTTCTCAGCGGCTTTTGTTGATTCAGTTTGCATACAGATGGACCTAGGAAATATGCTAACCCAGTTATGACATTGTATCTTTGATTTTATTTTTATGGCGCAACTTTCGCCATATGTAAAGAGACATCTGCTAATGTACAGTCAAGTGCTACCTTGGCAAAGACAGCGAGAGTTTTCCATAAAGATGGGTATTTATTTCGAATACTGTCACAGGATTAAATCATATTTCACGGCCGAATTGAGCTCATTTACAGCTGCCTCTCTTCCGTCTACGATTAGCCTCATCTTAGCTATTCACAGATTACCTAAGGTGAACATGTTGTAGAAAAAGGACTTCATTCACTTTTTTGTTTCTTTACAGATCGTGAGACTTTGCTCGAGGAATTATTTTTGACGAAAATTATTCATATCCGTGCCCATATGAACATTTTAAGTAATTTCCATAAACATAAATCATCAAACTTTTCGAGGATTTCGAGTGTTTGTGATGATCAATTAGCCGCGACGGCTCGAATTAAGTGTACAGAAAATGACTGGTGCCAAAGACGCCACAATCTGAGTCAGGAAATTTCAAGAGTTGTAAAAAAATCTATAACTCAGTGAATCCGTGATTTACGATGTAAACCTTGAATCATCGGGCTTTTTTAACTGGTCGTTAAATATGCTGTCTACTCTGAGTTTTTTTTAGTCCTGAATATTTATTTGATAATTTATTTCCTGAGAATTAATTCTGTCTTAATCTGATAAGGTCTTGACAAGGGAAAAATTTTAGACTCGAACCAGGAAAACTGGATCGAGTACATGAAGTGGAGGAGAAGGGTAATGGGAACGAGTCTCCAAATAGGGAAAGGAGTTTGGATAAGTCAGTTGTAAAGCCTTGAGTTAACACTGACTGGAAAAAATTTTCATCACCCAATTCTTTTTGAAGAGCCTCCGTATTACGCAGGAAAAGTACTTTTTGCTGTTTCAACAGATCGACACGATCGGAGCCAGGTTGTCAACGGGCACAAAGAGAGTGTAAAACGTTCATATTCTCTCTCAGCTCAACCAGCTAATTCGTGCCCGCACTGATGGTCTTCGTCGTGCCATATTAATTCATTTTTAGGGAATATACTCGGATAGATGTAACAAAAAAAAACATACGCTTCTTGCAGTACTCATACATTACATTTATTGCATCATTGTTATGCATCAGACAGAACATATTTATCTTACATAGATATATATATTTTTTACAAAAATTGCACTTTCCTGTATTATATGACACTTTCCTTCTGTAAGACATTAAAAGGCCCTTCTAAGTTTGGAGTTACAGGACAGCTTGTTGTCTTATTTGTTAAATAACACAGATATCCAAACCTCCGTTACAGCTTGATCTTGTACAACCACATAAGCAAGGGTAACACAACCTTGCCTTAGCTGTGAATTTCTCAAATTTATTTGGTGATCAAGTTATAATCCCTTACTCTGAAGAAAAGGCCGATGGTGTGGTTGTATTATTGTTTCCAATCTTATTTAAGAATATCACGCAATAATTGCCAGGAAATTTAAAAGCGCGTTATGTGACCAACTTTTTTGGTAGTAGAACTAGCACAAGGTTTGTTTTGCCTTTTTCCGGAAATTAAAGGCAAAATCGAGGAGAGTGCGAGGAAAGAAGCATGCGCGAGGGAAAGAACTATTCCTCTTGCGCGTAAGGCCCTCACGCGTGAGGCCCCTCACGCCCACCTCGCACACACCTCGTTCTCGCCTTCACTCATTACTGGCAACTCATTCACAACGCATAAAAATGTCATGTCTTTTGTAAGACAAAAAACTTGACTAATACCGTGATAACGTGGCTGATGTCTATGATATGCACTAAGACTTAGCTGATTAAAAAATACAACTCTCTTACTTAGAGAGCAAATAGTAGTGCCTGATTTTAAAAACCGAGGGGACTTGTGAGCACTCAAGCCATTAGTATAAGGTATACTTGGCTGAAATTGTGGCCTCATTTTTTTAAATTCTTGACATCTTTGGCAAAAAAATCTTCATCTGTTGAGTAGAAGAAATTCACATCAATTATTTTTCAGGGGTCCCTGGTAAGTGGGCTGATTAATTAAGTAAGAGAGACACCTGAAAAAAGGAAAACTTTATATCATACTTGAATGTTGAAAGAAACAGTCTTAGAACATGGAGGAGCAGTAAGAAACAGCAAAACTAGTTAATTCTTTAGAAGAAAATAAAATCAAGAAGATCAGTTCCAGTGCATAATGTGGTGTTACAAGCATTCTAAAAAATCAGAATCACACTGAAAGAAGTGGAAAGAATGATGGTGACATAATTCCTTTAGGAAGTTTTAGAGGGAGAGAGAGAAGGAAAAAAAAAATTTAGACTCACAAAAATTTGATTTTTCACACAGTGGTTTAGTATGTGCTTAGTGGGACAAGTAGTTATCAGTTTATATGAGATTTTACTTTTCCATCTAATGAAAAATGATTAAATTAAACATAAAGTGCAGTTTTACCAGTGCCCAGGTGAAAATGATTTGGAATTTTGTCCTACAAACCTCACTGGCCAGAAACCCAGCTAGGTAGAGGAACTGGGCAAAAGCTAAGCACGTCGTGACTGAGTTGGCTTGACCACATTCAAACCTGAGGTAATTTATATTACTTGTGAGCAACAATTTTGAATTTTACTCTCCAATAAGTCATGCAAACTTTGGGAAATCAGTTGAAAAATGGAGCAGCTGAGGACCACTCACTCAATGGTTCAGTTCTTAGTTCTCTGAGATAAGGCATATACATTGTAATTCTTTCAGTCTCTTCCCTAAAGATGTATACTGGTAACCATATGGTGGCATCCTGTACAAAAGGATGGCTGGTGGTGGACAAGCATTTTGATCAAAGGAATATTTCAATAGTCCAGGTTATTTCTTCAACATTTTTTGTGGTAAAATTCACAGTTATTTCTATTCATAACCATGCACATACACCAGTCATATGGCTGCATTAATTTAAGCCCTCCCTTTCTTCAGTATTTCCATTATAATTACTCTTTGGTTTATTTTTCTCTCCTTTGCAGACACCAAAACCTTTCATGTCAAATCAAGATGAAAGTATGAATGATGAATTTTAATACCAAGTAGGTAGTCATTTACCTGTTTCTTCCAGTTTGCTTAACATGGGTTTTAAAAGCTCCTCTAATTCTTGTTTCTGTTTGTAGATCTCTTCAACTGTTGCCTGTTCTTTGTGGGATTCTAACCAGTCATTCTTCTCATCACAGAAACGGTTACCACTCAGCTACATGTGTTCAAGCACAAGTTGAGAAATAAGAGCTTGGTCACCGGTGGCTTCTGTAACTTTTTTCATAAGGGGTCTGTCAGTGAGGGTAGAAGAGAGTGCTATGGCTAGGAAATTGGCCATAATTTGAAATGTAAAAAATAAAATCTTTTTCAAATGGAAGTAAAAAGCCTTGTTAGATCATATGAGTGGTGATAAACCCCTAATAATCAAATCAATCCTGACTAGCTGCCCAGCTGTGACTACCATCATAATGATTTGATTCACTACCACGAATGCTTATTTACTTCTGTTACCTCAATGGAGGGCACTTATTCGAAACAGGGTGCTTAGTTCTTTTTTGAGAAACAGCAGAATGTGAAACAAAGCTTTGATGTTCATTTAACTGAGGATCAAAAACAGAAGAAAACGGACTTGATGTCCCTGGATCCTTCCTTGCTAGAATGACCAGCCAAGCCATCATCACAACATAATAGTTGAGAGATTGAGTAATTAAAGGAAGATGGACCACAGTTGATTTCCATGTACATCATACTGACTAACAGTGCTATTACTGAAACAGAATAGGGGCACTTATTGGTATGGTAGTGCTTATTGGAATGTCAAGGTGCTTATGCAATAGGCTGCAGTGCTTACTAGAATAGGGCGCTGATTAAAACAAAAGACAAATTCAAGGGGGGCACTTATTAGAGAGGGAGCACTTATTGGTGGGAGGGCGCTAAATCAAATAATTACTGTAATGGTGAGTCCTAATTACTGTCTTGTAAACCTTCCATTTTAACCCTCCATATGTTGATATCTCATTTAGGTGAGTTCTCTGTATTCTCCAAAGTGTTTCTATACTTTTGGCTTTGTCTTCAATATAATTCAATAGAGTTGAACAGTATGTGTAAAACTGATGATAGACAAACCTTGTCCTCACGTGTGAATCGACCCATGTGCTTCTCTGGATCAGATATTGTATCCTTGGTTGCAGTTATAACACATAAGAGGGCTTTTTGAGCTTCTGTAAAACAGATAAAACACATTCATTTTGAAATCTCCTACATGTAGTTGGAAAAGTAGTATGTTCAAAGAATTCTTCATCTTTTTTTCTTTTAGAAGGAAGTCTTGTAAGAACTTAATATCAAACTTGTGTCATCAGTTACCAATATCTGTAACAGATATAAGACAAAAAATAAGCCAAAAAAAACCAGAAGTGGTGTTCATTACAAACAGTTAGGATAAAAAGTCAGGTTATGACCTTTTCAACTATTTGACAAAATAGGAACCACTTAGCAGAACCCTTTTCAATTAAGTGTCACAAAACCACAACTAAAGAAAAGTTCAATCAACAGCCAATCAGAAAAAAGGTGAACATGGCAGGCAGGTAATGAGAACTTTGTAGTAAATCACACTGTAAGTGAAACTTGGCTGAGGTATAAGAAAATGAATGCAACCAAGTGAAGAAAGTTCTCCTGACCAATTACTAAGAGTAATATTAAGCAAAACCAATGCATTTCAGCTTTACTTCCAACACTCAATTGAAAGGTACACAATCATTGTGTGTCAATACCTGCTCTATCTAGATAGTCTACACAAGAGTCTTTCTGATAGCGGGCAGCAGCTTCTCTGGCCCTTTCACCATGAGCATTTCGTAACTGTAGATCAGCTCCATTTGCAACCAGAACTCTCAGACACTCAGGGTGTCCCCAAGATGCTGCTCTGTGCAAGGCTGTATAACCTAAAACATTAACCTCATTAGTGAGAGGTTTCCTTTGAGAAACAACAGTTAGGCTTATGGTGGAAAGTACAAGAGAATGTTCTCTTTGTTGGAAAGTTGTGCTGTTTAATCCTACCAGTTTCACTCAAAACAAATATATATATTCTAAAAAAGATGTTGACCTCCTCTTTCCCCAGCCTCTTGTCACGTTCTGACAACTTAATAGCAGCCTGACACTTTTCTAACTGATAGACTTTGTTTTGTTCAGTTTTAACCCATTAATAACACTCGTTTTGTGATCTCGGGTTCACCAGACACGACTAGTCTAGACACATTTTTCATCCGTGCTTCCTTGTAATTCCTCAGCAACACTTTACATTGGATGATTAAGACTAACCCGAAGACCGCATATTAATTTTTCTGTTACAACACCAACATTGGACAAATAAAGGTTCTTCAATATTGTGTAGTAAACGATAAACTTAACCATCAATTCTCACATCACTTTTTCAATAAACTGAATAAGAACTCTCTGACAAGCTTTCGTGCTTCACCTTTCTTAGTCTGACTATTGATTTCTGCTCCGCGTTCCACAAGTTCTCGAACGAGTTCTTTGCGTCCTAACATAGCTGCAATGTCCAATGCTGATTTGCCATCTTTATCTCTTTTATTTAAAGCCTGCGCCGGATCTGTAGCGTATACACTCTCCGGGTCATCAAAAAGCTCCCGAAGTCTGTCAACTTCTCCCTTAGCCGCGATTTCAAACAATTCCTTGCCCATTCTTACGCTTAGCTCTTACTACTGACAATTTTTGTTTACTGATCAACAGTCTCAGAAACATACCGCTGACCACCAACAACTGTGTTCAGTTTCAAGGAGGAGCATTACTGATCATTGTTTCAGGAGTAAGTCAACGTTTGCAATGTTATCTCGCCAGTTTTTTGGTATTGCAGCAAGAACGACGCCCCTATCAAAGTCCCTCGTTTAAACATAATTTCTGACTCCTAATCGTTTAAAACGCACAGTCTGGTAATTTGCATTGCGAGTGATCAAGCGTTCCCTTTGATATTGCAGTGATGTGGGTCTCCAATTTTGCGAAATCCAGTTCACTTGAAAGCGACCTTCCTCCCAAATCGAAAAATGTCTTCTGAAACATTTTTTCCTAAATTTTTCGCGATACGGTAAGGAAACGGTAACTAAAATTAAAAAATTAAAATTAAAAAAAACAAACAAACAAACAAAAATACTATCAGCGTCCATCCTCAACGGTCGTTTAACCGCCAATGTAAGTCACCTTTATTTACAAAATCAGAAAAGTTCACACTTCAAATATATTGATCTAGAAGGTTAAACAGTTCTTTTCTTCTCTTACTTAAAAAAATTCGGTTCCATTTTTCCGTTTGCCTATTCAGAAATAAATCACAGAATACGTCCATGTTTGTTAACACCAGTGACAGAAAATCCATTGGTAACCTTGTTCTCAGGGTCCTTTATGTTCCAGGGAACGAAGTCGGCTCACGAGCTACTTTTGACACTATCTGTTATCCATCACGTACGCTCCTTACAAAAGTAACATGGCGAAACACATTGTTCTATTTTCCCTCACCATCACCTCATGCGCAAAAATTGCAGATCTTCTCACTTTTCAAATATCTTCACATCATCGTCGCACTTTCGTCGCCTTATTTTCTCGCAGCCAAGCCTCAGCAGAAAAAAAGTTAACAAATAACGAAAAACATGCTAAGTCCTCGCATGAAATGGCTAAAACTGTGAAGATAGAAAAACCGGCTGACATTCGCGAAGAATTCAACCAGCAAACAACAACTTCTAAATCATAAACACTTTGGTGCGATTTTCAATAGAGGTTTCACCAGTAACAAAAACTTGTGGGTTGAATAGCCCAATTTGTCTCAATTAGACGATGCTAATTTTTTCAAGTTGTCTAAAGTCTCGCGATTTCTGTGTTGTTCATGAGTCTTTCGATGTCTTCAATCTCCTTTGGGCATTCCGCCGTAAGAACTTCAGGTCCTTTCTCAGTGATCAATACATCGTCCTCGATTCTTATTCCTATCCCTCGGTACCTGAGAATAAAAGAAATCATAGCATCAGACATAGCCGGTTCAACAAGGGTTAGCTGAGAGAAAATAAACCACGACTCCTTTTGTGTTCGACCTCTACCAATCAAAGTCATTCATAAGAATAAGAACATTTCAAACCTTTCTGGTACTTTAGTGTTATCCACAGAGATGTAAATCCCAGGTTCAATTGTTATCACCATACCCGGATGTAGTCCCAAGCCTCTGCTCACCATGTGCGTGTCGTGGGTGTCCATACCTAGATAGTGGCCCACGTGATGAGGGCAGAATTCAGCGGTAACCTAGAACCAATGGAAGACACAATTAAAATAATTGGTGATGTTAACTCTACTATCTATCAAATAGATAGAGTTGTAGTCTCCTTGGCGGTAATCTCTTGGTATGTCACGTAAAATGAAATCCCAAAGACATCTCAAGCTCTATAACAAGTTATCCGTAGCTCAATGGAAGAACAACACACTGCGAAATCGGAAGATCAATGATTGAATCCTCACGGGGTACTCGGTCATTTTCTCAGACTAACACTGATACTCTACCACCGAACAGCAAAGAATTCGTTGACAAACTACGCCTTACACCTAACTCTTGTCACCCCAATATTAGTATAAATCTTCTTCATACTGTTCTATGAACACTTCCCATGGTGCCGACGAAGAGAAATTGTTTAACAATCGAGAGCTTCTTTAGTTGGTAATAATTTTCTTTATTCTCGTAACCTTAATGCGTGATTCAGGGGTCTTGTTGTGAGGAGAACTTAGATGCTTGTCACTCTTAGTGATCAGAGGGCTAATAGACTAGCAGTAACCAAAATGAAAGTTCTTCTTGTAACTGTTTGTTGGCATTAAGAGGGGTTCATAACGAACTGTTAGTTTGCGTCAATACCTTTTTGAGCTGACTTTCGGTCAAGTTCTTCGGAATCATATTGAGACCTGACGATAAAAGGAACGTAATTAAACACCAGGTAAATTGGCTTACCAGCGTGTAAGTATTGAATATAATTTGGTTTTATCAACAGAGTTGATAACGTAAATTGGCCACTGTAAAGAGTTTCAAAGCTGACGTTTCGAGCGTTAGCCCTTCGTCAGAGTGAATGACGTAAGTAAGTAAGTAAGTAAAGCCTTTATTTAAAGAGGGTGGCACTTAATAGCCAAAGGCTAATAAACTTGTGGCCCTCACAACTATTTAGAATCTAAAATACTGTAAGCTAAAATATATATATATACAGTTAAAATATAAAATATGACAGGATTCGATTATAAGATAAAAATAAATTATTAAATTATGAAATGATGCAAAAATTGTTGTTCCTTAAAAATCTTGGCACACATGTTCTTTTTAAAACATGCTACAGAATTTAGTTTCCTAATTTCAATTGGTGTACTGTTCCACAGTCTTGTTGCCGAAACAGCGAAAGAGCGTCCTCCTTCTGTTTCTCTTTTATATTTAGGACAAACAGCATTAGTGCTTGAATATCTAGTGTTGCGGGAGTGCCGCTTATTATTTAAAATTAAGTGTTCATTAAGATAATTCGGCAAAGTCCCATTAATTCGCTTATACATTATTGTGCATTTATCAATCTTATGTTGGTCATAAAACGGGATCCAACCTAGCTTGTTAAACAAAGCAACTGATGGTGTCATGCGATCGGCATAACAAATAACGCGTGCCGCACGTTTTTGCAATCTTAAGACCCTATGAACCGACTCTTTATCGCAATTTGCCCAAACAACGTTAGCGTAAGACATAACAGGGCGAATAATGCTATTATAAAACTGAAGTCGCTGTTTAAGAGGTAGACACGCTCGGATCTTACGCAATATTGCGATTCTAGAGGCCAACTTTTTACATACTTTCTCAACATGTTCATTAAATGACAATTTGCTGTCAATTTCTACGCCTAATAAGGTAGCACAATCCACATTACTGAGCTGTTTTCCATTTACGATTACATCTATGTCACTTCTATTTATGTTGGCCACGCGTCTTTTGCCAGTGATCGTAAGTACTTTAGTCTTGTCTTCATTTAATGGGGGCTTATTCGCTGAAGCCCATAATTGAGACGTAGAGCTAACGCTCGAAACGTCTGCTTTGAAACTCTTTACGGTGGCCAATTTACATTATCAACTCTGTTGATAAAACCAGATTGTCTTGTTATACTTCTCCACCGACGCAGTACCACAGTTTCTTTAAAAACCTTACCCACTTTATTCATTTGTAAGCATAAAAGTTTGCTGAGTTAAAAACAAGTCTTTTCCAGTAAATATCTTGTGCACTGTGATAGAGAGTTTGCCTCTCCACACGAGTTAAACTAAAATTAAATTAGTTTGCAACACTCAGATTTTCTTGCTCAAGGAACCGGTTACAACTTTACCTACCCAGTTAGTAAAATTTTTCAGTTACAGTTTGGAAACATTGCATGTACAAGTTTCTTACGAACATGTCTTTTGACGGCATGGAAGCTGTAAATACTATCATCGGTCGAGTAAGTGGCTCCAACATAGACAATTACTTGAAGCAGTTTTAAATCGCGTGTTACCGTAAGTCTTAAACAAAATGCCGAACTGGCCACACTCTATGGTCACGACTTGGTCACGCATACATTCCCCAACACTTTTGAAACCGGTTGTTTTCCTTTCCGTTTTTGTTTCTAAATTGCTGTTGGCATCTGCAATCGCTTCCATTGCATTCACTTTGGAAACTTAAAAGTACACATAAAAAATTCCGCTTACCTATGAGTTCCTCTCCAAGCAGTAGCAACATGGCATGATGAAGATAGTCAAGAGAAACCGTCTTTTGACAAAGCTAAGAACAAGAATGTCAAAACAAGTACCTTAATTTGACAAAGTTACTCATGTCAAGTTTTTAGTATATCAGTAGTATCAGGTCAGGAAAGGCCTCCACTCACTTGTAAGCATTTCTTGTGCACTCTAAGTACCACTTCATAGAGTTCCCTCTGTGGCTCACTAAAATTACCACTGACTGGCCAAGTCCTGGTGATATCGCTGGCGTAACCATGGTACTCGCTTCCCGCGTCCATAAGGACCAGCTCTCCGTTTCTGCGGTAAAATCAAAGGTACATCTGTTATGATTACACGCGCCTTAACACGACTGGCTGTAACCACTTTTGACCTTGGCTAAATATTATCCCACCTTGGCCATGTTTTTCCTGCCCTTGGTGATGATTGCATATGTTTCCAGTCATGCATTGTTTGCATAATTCTTTGCTATTTAAGTTCGGCAGATATATTTTTTAACGCCCTTGATGCCGGTTGCAGTATTCCCAAGTCTACCCCTAGTAGTATTACTCGCATCTGTGTAGATTCATATAGACTTTTCCTGGGCTTAGAAACTTGTAGACTTACTTGCCGCATGTTACATCATATCTCACCTTAGAACTTGTGTGTTGTTAATGTAGTGAAGGGTGTTGGCCATTGGACCACTGGCCACTACAGGGGGGTATGCCAGCCGCTCAGCCCCTCCCATACGACACTCATACTCAAGGATGGTATGTAGATGAGATTCCTCCAGCCCTGGACGGGTGCTTTTCATCACCTTGAAAAAATAGATCAATGGAAACCACAGCAGTGAAAAGAATTGATGCACCATATTAACAACCTAACTTTCTGGGAATTATGACATGGAGGTATTTATATCAATTGAAATGAAATATATCAAAATGAAACTAGAGGAGGAATTCTAGCAGAAATATTTGATCTGCAATGTTTCTCCTTATTCATGGTGTGACATGATATTTTCCATTATAATTTTTAAACTGCTTGCTTACTGGTCAATTGATCTCAATACTTTCATTACATTTAAGCAAAACTCTTGAGCTGACAGATGGTAATTATCTTACCTTTGTAATGGCTTGAGCTGTTAGTGAGGCTGATTGTCTTAGAAGTTTAATTTCTGCTTCAGATTTTATCAGTCTCAGCATATGAACATTGTGACCCAGAGTTAACAAGTCTAGAAAAAGAAATACATTTTTGGGGGTTAGTTTCTCTGATTTCAATGCCTGAGGTTAAAAGTAATAACAAAATAAATACAAAGACAGATAAACATATCAATCAATTGATGAATAAATGAAAAAATATTTTAAAATAAAAAAAACTTTTGCTCTCTTTTAGGGCTGTTTCAAATAAACAACACAAATATGCTAGTAGCATGCGACAATGTTTTAACATTAAAATTGCCTGTGGCTTCTACTGCATGTGATATGCATTCTGTATGTTCTCATGTTTTCATTTGTATCATGCTCCTATGTCTTCATGTACTAACTTTTTTTAAGGACAAGTGTGATTGAGAGGTATTGGAAGGAATGAAAATGAAGCAGGCAAAATTAACAATTTCTTTCATGAATTTTAAGTTATTTTTGTCATACCATCTTGACTAAAGCCGCAGTTAGTGCCAAACAAGAAAAATCTGGATGTTTTTAAATTGCATTGCATGCATAATTACTTGCAATGAAATCAAATGCAACACTCATGTGCAGGGTTACCAAAGAATGCTTCACTTCCAGACAGGTGCTAAAACATGAGGTATATAAGAAATAGTATACCCTTCTGAGTATAGTTGTTGATAGTTTAAAGGGGAAAAGGGGCAGCAGAGGGACTCATAGGGGACTAATAGTAATGGTTGTGCTTACTTTTATAACTGAACTTCTCTGAGCGGAACAGAACCTTGGAAATTTCTTCATGGATCATGGGGTGAGTAGGGTGTAAGGAATCATACCACACACTGAAGTCCTTTCCAGCATACCTGGTATGAATTTTTAAAGTCTTGATTAAATGGGATGTAATTTACCAGGCCAAATTCTTGTGGACTATCTCCCAATGACATATATGTGGATGTCACCTACATGTATGTGGATATGACACTGAACATGGGTTTCAATAACTTTATCCATAAGCACCTGCTGATGGTGTACTGGGTGACTGTGGCCAGAAAGGGGTGTGAAAGGTGAAACACACGAGCTTGTTAACATGCTAAACAAACGATGACAATAAGAGGTCTTGCAGGTGGCAGTAGATGGCCAGTAACTGGCCTTTATTGAAACCCTGACATTACAACAAATTATCATTACTTCGTGTTGGCAGGCTTCCAATAAAAACGTATGGCTTGCACTACTTCTTTTTTAACACTAGATATGGACACTATAAACCAGTTTTTAACACATACCTGTCAATAAGAACAGGAGCTAGATTTCTGATAGAGTATGACTGGAAAATAGAGGAAAAATTGACAATAAGAATTTTAGAACAGCAAGACACTATCACAAGAGTCACAACTCCTGTAAAATCAACTGAATGTAACAAGCTTTCAAACTTACCTCATCAAATCCAAAAAACAGAATAGCATCTTTTGTTCCAGGCCTCTTACCTTCCCACAACTCCCTAACAAGAAAACAAACAGCCTCAACAGAGGTGTAATACCATAGCAAGAGACGAGTAAGCAATGCATAGCCCACCCCTTCCTGCCCTTATTATTAGACCATAACTGAGGCCTACAGAGCTGAGATGCAAAGATACTTTTTCATCAAAATAACCGTGACTTGTGGAAACACATAATTAGGATTTTGGGAGAATGCTTGAAAAGTTTGTAAACCACTCACCTCAAGCTTGTGATTTACAAACTTTTTTCATGTTCTCCTGACATCCAGTGTGGATTATCACACTGGTAAACTGATGGAAAGTGTGGTCTATTGCTTAAATTTGCAACTTAATTATTGCTGTTGGTAAGCCAAACTACTAAGTGACATGTATAAATCAATATTCCAAATAACTTTTTTTAAGACCTTTATTTCAACTTTCTTAGCAGGAGTATGCCCTCTGACCCCCCTAGGATTGTCCACCATTTGGTAGTAATTTATCCAAACTCCCCTTCACCAAATTCTGGATCCACCCTGGGGCCTGTTGAATCCAATTAAACCTGAGCATAAAAACAGAGCTTATAAATAAAAAGTATTGTAATGAGTAATTACCTTTTGGGGTCTGGAGGTTGAATGAACAAGGTACTCTTATGTGCAGGCAGTGACTGACCCTCCAAGGTTTCTGTACAATGAAAAACTGTTTAATCTTCATCAAACTTTGATCAAAGATGGCATAACCTTGGAAGTATCTTCCTTCCACTCAAAGTTTGGGCAACAACTTACGTAATACTAAAACAGCATCAGGTTCTTGAAAACCAGTTAAGTAAAGAAAGTCTGTGTTCTGTCTAAATGGATATCTAAAAAAAGCATAACAATAATATAAGCAGGTAAAATTTTCAGATCAGAGCACTTTTTAAATCAGGGTGACATCGTCCACAAGCTATTGATTAAAACAATTCACATGACTGTATAGTATAGCATACACTTATTTCCCTTTCCATAGTTTCAGATTTTGTTTACAAGATTTATGTTTGTATTGTGTTTTAACATAAAATTCTTTGTCAACAAAGGTCAACACAGGCTGAAATAAACTAGATAGGACTCATCATAATCATTTGAGCTTAAATTTATTCCATACTACAATTAAACTTCCTTAACACATTTCAAATGTTTTAAATATTGTACAAACTAACTCTCCCAACTTGATATAAACTTGGAAGGTAAACTTACGGTACATCTATGGTCATATGTTTCGTTGGGTTACTTGGAATAACCACCAAATGCTTATCGTGAGTTTCACCAAAATGTGTCTTGGAGAGTACACTTTAGATTGAAAGATGACGTATAAAATTAAATAATTTTTGCAAATACATTATACCTTAAGATCAAGTCTACCCATGCCTCTGACAAATTATGAAACAGATCAGTTGTAGTTCATCAAGAAGTAATAGTTGAATTCCATTTAATCACATAATCATACAAATACTTCAGCTAAATTAACACCATGATTCAACACATAATATGTGACTCAAACAGTCCACTTCATCTACATTGTAGAGAAGTAGAAAGGAAAAATCCTTTTCTTCCAGACAAATGATATCAGCAACAAAATGAAACAACCACCACTGTTTGAAGAGTATATCTCAAATCAAGTGAGCCTTTTGTTTCACTTGAGATGTTAAAAAATGGGGTTTAGCTGTTTGAAAATTTGTAAAGTGAGAGACACCTGTTTGGTTACAACCAAAGAAAACCTTTATTTTAGCCTGCAAATGTGCCACAATCATTGACAAAGTGATTTTAATAAAAGAATTGAAAGACAATAAATGAATAACAAGAACCTTAGAAGTTTGTGTCTTCTGTCTCTGTATTCCTTCTTGGTAATTCCAGGGGTGACTAAAAATAAACATACGCACACTTACTATCAAACTAGGAAAATCATGAACATAATTATGCAATATCTTTGGGTTACTTACTGTGTCATGAACAATCATACTACAGATCATGGCACACAAAAAAACTTAAAGAAAAACATAAACTCATCAATTAATATCATTGTAGATTGATTGGTTGGTTTTTCACCAACACCATGAGAGGCCAGAAACACACCTGTCCAGTGTTCAAGGTTTTCTGAGTTTCATGTTTCACATTCTGTAAAGTTCAGATTATTCTTTGTATGAGTGATTCAAAAAAATTATTCATGGTCTTTTCTTAAAACCTTAATTATAATGAATTGATATTTTACCATCAGTCATAGTTAATTCTTAAATAAAACTCACAATTGAGGCTGTAGATTAAGCTTTTGCATTCAAAAACTATTAATATTGGTTTAAAATTTAATTTTTGAGGCTTCTCAAAACTGGATTGGTAAAAAAGAGGAAATTTTATAAAGGTGAAATATGACAAAATAGAATAATGCAAGAAAATAAATACTTGAGAGATTACTTGCAAGCAGCAGTAGATTGACAGAAAATCATTTTCTCCCTTTAACCTCTTAAATTGCTTATTGCAAATCACAAGCACATAGAGATTTACATAGGCCTAGATTTTCAATTTACACCACATTTTGGTTTACTGGCTCACTGAAAAATAACATTAAATTGATAGGTTTTCAAACAAGTACCAAAAGTGTCATCGGCCACTCCTCTTCTTGGTCGTCTTGGAGTTGGATATAATTCAGGAGCTGATGGACTTGACAATTTCATCATCAAATTTTCCTCATTCTCTGTTGCATAACCAGCATATGCTAAAATGACTGGCTCTTCCAAATCAAGAGTTTCACTGACAATTGAGCTTCTCTTTGACCCTATAATCTCATCGAGCACAGGGAAGTGTGACATGGCCAAAAAAATAGCAAATAAAGTGCAGAAAAAAATTGCCAAAGATATGATCCATCGGAGAGTAAAATTCCACATGGTGACAGAAGTATATGGCTAGCAAAGTAGTAATGACCAAGTGTCTTTTAAGTCACATCTAAAATAAAAAATCTGAAACAATAATCCACTATCCAAATAAGCATAAACGCAGCTCCTTTCCATTTCAGATGCTAGTCCAAAAAGACCCAAAAATTTGGAGTTCACTTTACATTTTTAGAGTAGTTCCTCAATCCATGTGCTTTGTGAGAAAGATAAAAATAACCATTCCCACAATCCCTTGCTCTATTGTTTCTTCAATTTTGTAATAATATGTTGGCAGGTACTACCTGCAACAGTGACAAACAACAAGTTTGGAAAATCTCTTAATCTGCTATCCCTCTCATAAATATTAAAAAACCTGCTAACAAACACCAGTTACTACAAAAAGGTTCATATTCTAAGAAAAAAAGTCTTGTTATCACTATTACTAATTTTGGTTAAAAGCATCCTTTTCCCTCTCAATCAGTGATTGAAAAGAAGAATCCAGTAGAACAATGGATAAGATTAAAAAAATTAATATTTGTAAATCACATTCTGTGATAAATATAAAGGTACAACTTTTACAGCTGGTATTGATAAAGCAAGATTTTAAGGTATGATTTCAAATTAGTATAATTTGTGACAACAATTTACTTTAAATGCAAGAAGAGTCATTAAAATTGTAAACTGTGACAAGATCACTCCAAATTGGGTCAATCTACAGTTACTGTGCTTGCTATCTAATTCTGCTCTTTTCATATTTTCTTACATTGGCCACAAATTTCAAATTACCAGAAAATCAGCTTTTTTCTTTAGAAATCATTACCACATGTGAGAGCATAATTTCACTCTCAACAATATAGAGTGCCTGTGCCCTTTGAGTCATACTGCATTTTTGAACTTTTACAAGGATATAATTTGTAATTTAATTTAGTTGTGGTATAAAATTTTTCTAGGGGTTTAAATTTTTTTTCTGACCCCTGTATTCTACACTCATTATCATCATCTGATAAATGTAATAACCAAATCAACTAATGAATGTAATAACCAATAAACTAATGAATGTAATAACCAGATTGGTTTCAAATAATGAAATAACATGAACAATTTGAACCAAAACTTACTAAGGTGAAAGAAACTGAAAGACTGACAGTCTTTCAAATAGAATTGTACCTTTTTTCACAAAAAAACTACCCAGCCGAAATAAAGGACAAAACTTTAAGTCAGCTACCATTGTCTAATGTTCCTTTTTTTTTTTACTTTTTGTGCACTGGGAGACACAATCGCTCAACTGTGAGTGTGCTGGTCTCTGAGTCAAGAGGTTCATGTTCGAGACCTGTGCAGGGAATTTATTTATAGTGTTCACCAGCAAGGCACTACAATGTCACCTTATCCTTTCCATCTGGATATATAAATTGATATATAGCTGTAGGTGAACTGTCAGAGGAACCTGACTGAATGTGGAGAAAGGAAGGTATCTGACTCACATTCCATCCAGGGGGGGTTAATATTAATTCTAGTGGATTCAAGCAATAGAGATCTGAATAAGTTGCAGCTGGATGGTCCCTCTTTACAAGGGTGGTGACGGAGAAAAGGGCCTTTACAGAGAGGAGAGCTCACCGATAACTTTAAGTTCTGAATAAAAGTTAATTCAAAGAAGGGACTTATTCTAATAGACACAGGTCTCTGTGTCTAATAGCTAAGCCCTGGATGCTTATGTTGGTTCACAGTTGAAGTAAAAATTAACTTGATTGACATCCTTGTCACTCACTTTCATTTTCCTCCATTAGGTGAGGGTGCGATTCTGGTGTTGGTTGTCCAATTGTTTTTGCCTTGTCACCAACAAATCTTAGTCCTTTTTCACTGAGGGACTTCAGTTTTTCTGAGAAATAAAGCAACAGGACATATTTGAGTGTCTGTAAACACTTTATGGAATGAAATTGATTTAAAACATTAAAAACATTCCTTTAATAAGAGTGGAAACTAACAACAAATAAGAATTCCTTTTAAAATTTAAATGTCTGCTTCATTCTAATGCTTTGAAATCTCAGCTTAATTGAATCACTAAAAAACATATACTTGCTGATTTTTTTTTTGTTTTGTTTTTTTGGACCCTCTCCATACCCCCTCCTCCCAATCCTAATAAAGAAGATTATAGGGAAAACGTTCATAATCAAAACCCAAACTTCCTGATTCATAAAATCATAAAGGGAAGTCCTTCCGGCCTTCCCAAGGAAAGCGACTTTATAGAGCAACTAATTATGAAAGTGAGATATGCAGGATCAGTATCCTTGAGAAACCAGAGAAAGACAGGAAACAGTTGACCCCAGCTCTAAACAATTTGCACCAACAAAACTGCAGATACCAAGATACCAAGAAAAAAGGAAAGTAGTGTTGCAACATGAGTCTTTTAAATGCTGAGTATGACCCAAATTTGTCTTTTGTCAGCCCGCAACAAGCATCCGCGTAAATCGCATGGGGGACCGGCTACCGGGGTATAACTACAGGTTTCCCTTAATTAGGGATCACTTAAAGCCCAGACGAAACAGCCATAGTAGAGCAACTTGTAAAAGTGGAAAAAAGGGAATGTTTTACCTTCCTTGGCAAAAGTCTCTAGTCCAGCGATACCGCTCCAGGTGCTTTCCTTGCAAGCCTGAGGGGCAGACATTGTGGCGTTACGATGCCGACATTTCCACCTCGTAAACTTTGCTCCATGGAGAAATCTACCAACTATTATAATATTAGAGCGAATCCAGAACAAGTCTTTAAGGTATCTCTCTTTCAAACTTACCAAATAAGCGTCGATTTGTTTTCGAAAAAAGAGTTAATTTGGGTATTTGCGCTGCAATGTGTTTCATATTGGCCGCCATTTCGATTATCTCCCGAGGACCTTTTTCTTTGCCTCGTCAATACTCGGCAATATACCGGCGTCTTCCGACTAATCCCGAAGGTGTTGCCGCTATCCTATGAAAAGCGTGACTACCGCGTCTGTTGGATGTGGGAGTGTATTTCTTTTCTCACTTTGGTTACTTGTTAGAGCCATGTCTCCACATTTTCAGTTAATTCTTTTCTTTCTCATCGCTCTTGGTTATGAATGCGAGAGTAGGACAGGAAGGCGACTGAACAAGTTTATCAGACACTACGAACCTCTATACTATGACCCGACTTCTTTGCACAACATTCATCGAAGAGCCGTTGAAAGAAGCACGCACGGTAAATTCTCCTTTTCCGCGTTTGGGAAATTCCATCGGCTAAACTTGCAACCCGATAGAGAGATATTTACAGCAGATGCAAAAATTCTCTCTGGGGATGGAAAACCGATACCTTTTGAGTGGGATTCCGTAGTACGGGGGAAAGTGGAAGGCCGACCGTACTCTGATGTGTACGGAGTTATTAGCAAAGATGATGGCTTTCACGGAAAGATATTGAGTGGAAGCGAGAATTACTACGTTGATCCGTCATCCTGGTACTTTGATGAGAAGCAGGATTTTCCATCAGTTATGTACAAAGAGGAAGACCTAGAGTACGAACATAATTTTGCAGATATCAAACATAGAGTGCCAGTCTTTGCGGTTCCAGAGCGAGTTAGACGCTCGCTTGAAGGGCAAGACCGTTCCCGTTCTCGTAGACAAAGTGTATCAGAGCTCGACAAAAACGCCTGTACGCTTAGTCTCTACGCCGATAACTTTTTCACCAAGTTATACGGTGGGAAAACCAAGGCGATCTTTCAGCTCGTCAAGCAAGTACAGGCTGCTCAAATCATTTACACGAACGAATTTAACGGCACAGATTACTTCTACCAAAAAGGAATAACTTTCCGCGTCAAGACCATCGTTGCCTTCAACGACAGCGAGAAAGCGCCCAACAATTTACCTTCCCAAGTAAAAGACAGCAACGTCGGTATAGATACCCTTTTAGATCTCTTCTCTAGCATTGATCACAGTGGTGTATGCGAGGCGTTTCTGTTTACCGATCGCGATTTTGAGGGCGGGATTTTGGGTCTTGCTTGGATCGGAGATCCAAAAGGGAATGCGCTAGGAGGAATTTGCGATGATTTTGTCGATATTGGCGGAGGCAAGAAACGAAGTTACAACACTGGTATCGTGACTTTGAAGCTTTACGGAAGATTTACACCTCCGAGAGTTTCAGAAATCACGTTTGCTCACGAGCTTGGACACGGGTTTGGCTCACAGGTATGCCTATGTTTTCCTACCTAAAGGTGGAACCTAAGCTTTCCTTGGATTAGCGCTGTAAGTTGTAAGTTGTGAATTAGGTAGGAATTTTTATACCGATCCCAATTCATTTTGTACATAAGTTGCTGGTTAGATACAAATTGCTGTGTAATTCAATCTTACCTCGCCGAAGGATTTGGAGCCTGACCTAATACGTGAAGGTCAAATTACAGAATTAACAGGCCGTTTCGCTACTTGACGAGTACGCTAGTGTCAAGTTCGCTACATGTTCGCAACTTACATGCCGAATTCGCCACTTACTTCATCCTATCATTCTACTCCCACGATCTTTTAGAATCAACATCTTGTCCCAAAGAAATCTGCCTTAGCGAATTCGGCATGTTAGGAGGGAACAAGTAGCGAAACCGGCGTAAAATAAAGATAAACGATCCGCATTAGTCATCTTCTCGCTTGTTTTTGTAACAAACTATAAAGAAAACATCCAACTTGCGCGCTGCGTGTAAACAGTGACATTCTTGATAACAGTTTATTTATTTATTAAGGATTAACATATGAGAGAAAGGTTTGTTATGTGAAAAGTTATTCACTAAGAAGCGGAAAGGGAGGTATTTAATTTAGTTTACACATCAACTTTACAGAGTACGAACGTGCCTGTGTATTGTGAACGAAAGCTGGAAACTTTTTGATCACATGCTTTGTTTTCATGCTTTATCTCGTGAAATCAAATTTCACAGTTGTTGTTAAAAAATTCGGTAAAATTTCCGCACAGTCCCATACTATTGTAAAACAAATCTGTTTTCCCAGTAGCAATCTATTGTTTTTGTCATTGTTTTCTCTATCCAAGAACTGAATGCATAATGTAGTATGGGGCTGTGCGGAAATTTTACCAAACATTCCAACTAGTTGAAAAATTATGATTTTAGATATATGAAATTCATGTCTTCTTTTCTTTGGACTCTCTTGCAAGGGCCTGGTGCCTCAACATGTTTCCTATCCCAACATACTTCAAAATTTATCTAATCACTTTGTAATCACAAAGATGATAGTAGCCGAAAACAAAAAAAAGGTCATTGAGCCATCAAATCTATTTCACAAACAATTTTCAGAAAAAATGAGTGTTTAGTTTCAATGGCAATATTGTCTGGTTGAACAAGTTCTACATTGTGATGATGTCATCATCAAATATTACATGAATTTGATAGCCACAAAAGTCTAGTGTTTTGTGAATGAAATTTGCCATTATCTGGTGCAATTATTCATTTAATTTGCTTACTGTTTAAACAGTTTTGAATGTCAAACCTGTAAAGCCTTGGTCACAATCAACAAAGACTTTTTCAGCGTTATAAAACATATTTTCTTAATGATATAATTAGCAATGATGTGATTAATTTATTTATCACGAACAATATTGTGTATGTGTGACTTTCAAAGTAGTTCCTGTTGTGGTCATTTCTCAAATTGGCAGAACTTGCTTGTTTTTCAAAACAAATTAAATAGCTGAAATATTTACTGGGAATGTTTCTTTTCCTTAGCATGATCCGGAAACTGAAGCTTGTGCACCAGGGAAGCCTGATGGTAACTTTATCATGTTTGACAAGGCAACATCTGGTATTGAACCTAACAATGACAGATTCTCACCATGCAGCAAAGATAGCATCAAGGAAAATGTCAACTTTAAAAGAAATAAGAAAAAGGATTGCTTTGTTAACCCTAAAGAACCTCTTTGTGGCAACAAGATTGTAGAGGAGGGTGAAGAGTGTGACTGTGGAAATGATAACACTTGTGCTGAAGATTGTTGCATTCCAGCAAATTCAGATCCCAGCAAAAAAAATCCTGGCCAGTGCTCTCTTAGAGTTAAAGGGGGTTATGTTTGTAGCCCGAGCCAAGGTTGGTTACTCTGTGACAGACAGCCTTTGTAGTTAAAATGTATGATTTTCAGGAATTTGAAATTAAGAAATATATTTTTCCCTTGCATAAATAACACTTGTTTGTTCTTTTGCATTTAGGACCATGCTGTAGCAAAATGTGCAAATATGAAGGACCTGCAGTTGTTTGCTCTGTCACAAATGGCTGCACCAAAAACACATCATGCAGTGGCCATTCATTCAGCTGTGATCCTCCCGAACCACTTAAGAATGGGACCCTCTGTGATGAGGGACGTCGCCTGTGTTACTCAGGGCAATGTTCTACATCTGTCTGTCTTAGATATGGCTTGGTTGAGTGTTCATGTGAAGTGGAAAGTGAACTTTGTGATCTGTGTTGCAAGGAAGTAGGAGGAGCATGTACTTCAGCAAAACGCTTGACACAGGTGACATATCCTTCATAATGACCTAAATAAAAGCAAATTACTTTTTTGGTATGAAAATCAATGGTCATCATGGATTTTTTGCAGAGATATGCAGAAGTGCAAATCTCTGCAGTGCCTTACCTCAGCTTGGGCAGTTTAATCCTGCCATAAGTGCTCAGTTATTCTCCACGGTACATGTATGCCACACTGATTAATCCTTTCACTCTCAAGATCTCATCATTATTTCTCCGTACAATTTCCCATTCAATAATCCCCTAATTCATATTTTTTGTGTTCTTTATCACTTGTTTCCTTGATATTATATTGATTTTGGAAGGAGAAATTTTACCCTGGTCACTCACTGCAGATTATGTTAAATCATAAATATAGCTGATTTTATATTCTTGGTGGTTTACTCTACTATACTAGCCATGTGGGCTCAAAGCATGAATGTCCCCACCGCATTCACGCAAACAACATGTAAATTAAAGATGGAAAATAAGAGATCAACCTTTGATATACAACTTATGGGGTCAAGTTCACTTTAACATCTTGGATTGTTTGTAATGCTTGCTTCCTACCTATCTTCCTATCTAAGATTTATAAGTTCTCAGAATCTAAGAGACTTTTTTCACCATAGATGGCGACAGAACTACGGTCATTGAAGTTGGTTCCAGGGACACCTTGTGATAACCTTAATGGATATTGTGATGTATTTGCCATATGCCGCCGCGTTGACATGGAAGGTCCTCTTCTACGTCTCAAGCAGAAGTTCTTCACTGTGGAGGGTAAGAAAATGATAGCACCTTTCTATTTTGTTCTTGCACTATATGATGTGATGCTTTTTACTTGTATTGATTTACCTCACTTTAAGTTGAGGTGTCTGTGAAGTGTGTAGTTATCCATTTGTGTGCTCTTTTTATCAAATTCAGCTTAAAATGACTATAGACTGTTATATAGTGGAAAAACTGAAACTTCCAGTAACTTGCCACTCTATATATATTAGTGTTGGCTTGTCCTTAATTTTTACAGGAAGGATATCTGCACTTACATAAATATTGTCATATTGTAAATTGTAAGAAAGGCTTTTAAAAAATGTTGGTAGTCTTCTTGTGAACTTATTGTACATGATATCATGATCCCATTTCTTGGTTATGCATCAATGTGTGCCATTTGAGTATCAGAAACTGGGAAGAATGGGGTGAAGTTTCCTCAATATCTTGGAAATTAAGGGAGGAGGGGTTCATTTGTAGTAAGGTGCTAATTTGAGGCTGGCCAAGGTAATAATTTATGTGTTACAGTTGCGTAACCTCAAAGAAATTGTTTAAAAATACATTTTTCTTCATCATCAGGCCTCAAAGAAACAGTTAAGAAGTATTGGTGGGCCATCATGCTTGGTACAATCGCCTTTTGTGTCTTCATTGGACTTTTTGTCTTTTTGTGTGCGCGCTACACTCCAAGCAGTAATCCTCACAAAGAGGCAAAGAAACCTGCCAAGACACTTCCAGGTCGCAAGAAGCGAAACCCTCAACAGAGGCCAGGCCAACATGGAATGGAAATGGAGCCACGCGTATCAAATGCATAGTTTTGTAATAAACTTTTGATATCAGAATGCAGGGCAATGCTTCAAGAGGTTCCCTACATGAATTTTATTTGAACCCTGAAAACTTGGTTGTATTTTTAACCTTGGACCCATCATATTTCACTTGAACAATGTACCATTGTACAGGTATTTAAACTCAGTGATGTTCTTTGCATTCCTTTTTTATGAAATTCCTCTAGTCCCTTCCATATCTTCACAGAATTGGTAGTCCTTTTTCAAAGCCTGTGAGAAATTTTTCTCATTTTGAAAATCATATTGACTTCGGTTTTCCTTGGGTGTTCAAGTATGGAACTTTTGAAGCATTGACTTCTCACTATCTTTGGTGTATATTTTGTGGTCATCAGAGATGGCAGGACTCGTTATCGATAGCTTTTCTACTAGTGGGTCTTTTTGAGTACCTGTGAGTGTGTAACAAGTAATTGCAAGTTCAATATAAGAAACATTGTTTGTACTAAGCATCTCTAAATTTGACACTGAAACTTGGACAGTTTGAAATGAAAACAAAAGCTCATCTAAAATCAATTAAATTTAAAACATTTCTTTTTCCCATGTTTTTGATGCAATAGAAGGGGTGATCTTTGATTTTCCTCAAATAGACTTCTTTCATGATTGCAGGCATGATAATCATGTGAATAAGACATCTTCAACTTTTTTTGAATAATGTTTTTTTTCAAACAGCCTATGAAGGGCAGTTGGGGCTTCAATAAGTTTTAAATTAGATGGCACAAACTCAAATAGGCATCTAATGCAAGTTGGATGTTTGCTTTAATGCTGTTGATTTCAGAGAAAATAGGCTCAATTTTGTTTCAGATAGGTGTTGAATTTCACCAGTTACTGGCTTTTATTGAGATCCCTGGGGAAGAAAGGCTAATTGAAATAGATGTTACAAAAGATTGCAAATATGCCAGCCATTTATGAAGGAGGTCTACTGGTTTCAAAATTGCATCTTCAATCAGAGAAAATGCAATTAAAATCCTTATACCCCTGGTCAGAGTTTAAAAAAAACAGCCCCAAAGTGTCTGGCATGTGATTTCATTGACAAGAGTGGCTCATGGCCCCCTGTGCCCATAGGCAAGCAGTGTGACTGCATGAAAGTTAGTCTTAATTTTCTATTTATTTAGTCCAAGGTTGCAGGAGTTTCACAACTTTGTTGTTGTCTAACCAGTGAGTGTGTCGCTGTTTTCTCAGACAACCTCTCTTGTCTAATTCTTTTTTCTTGAATTATCTAAAATATGAGTTGGTATGTGGACTAATATCGTTCCTTGTGGTCAAGGTTTTATTTATGTACTAGCAATGCTGTTGTAATTGAAACATTTGTGGCAATTGTAAGCCACTGGTAGGAAAAAAAATTGGTTGTAGTATATTTTAATGCTCTGTTAAAACATTTTTGGATGACCAAGCCACTACAAAATAATTTGTAACAAACAAGGTAAATATGTAGCTTAAGATAAGTTGCAATTCTTCTTGTGCTATGTTATTTATAACAATTAAAAAAAAAGTAATTTATAAAAGGTAACTCAATGCATAAGACAGTCTGAAAACTCAGTTCTGGCCTTATGAGCTGTCATGAACATTATTTCGTAATTCTGTGAACATTTTCCATATGCATCGGTAGAATTTTGAGTAAAAAGTTTCCTTTGTGCATTCTTTTGAAACTCATTTGTTGCCAATAGCTTTTTGGAAATACGTGTAATGGAAAAAATTCCTAGGATTCATTTTTCTTTGTGAGATATTGCTCTCATTTTTACTTTGTGGGGAAGATTGAGGCGTTGAAATCATTCTTTTCAATTTTTTTTTTTTTACAAATATTCAGTCTCCTAAATGACTGTTTCATTTTTCGTCTATAAACCATAGCCGTTGTCATCCTGCTCCAGGCCTTGGATCTCGATGAAGAGGCACAAAAAGGCCAATGACCAACCTTCGTGCGGTTTTTCGCTTGTTACCGATGGATTGTCTCGAAAATTGTAACTGCATGCTCCCTACCCATCTAGATTTGAATTTTCAAGACCGAATTTTTTCTATTTTTGTATGCTAGTGTAACTTACCATGAGAAAATTGTGAAATGTATTTTTGTCGGATAGCAATGAAGTGAAACCAATTTTTTTAACCTCCATGGGAAAGTGATGTATAATCTGCTCGTTAAGAACAAGACGTCACTGCCGATGTACAGCTTTTTTAAAGAGAAAAACAGTGCACTGATTGTAATAAAGATAAAATTGCCCTTTTAAACGAGTATTTTAATTTCGTGACAGTAAAATTAATAACCGGGTTTCACCAAATCAGGTAAAATGTAAACATGCTGAATAACAGTGGTAACCTAATGAGGCGTGGTCTCAGAGGAATCTTCACTCTTTCAATCCTTTGGCGCTCTCACTACAGCGCGGAAAAACGAGTCGGTTACCGAAGCTCAGCGAAGAAGCATCAGGCTCGATAATCAGCCTTTTCGCAGAGAAACGAAAACTAGGCATGAGAGAACGGATGAAATCGATCCGAAGGATACACGAGGGTGACAAAATGCAAATTTATGAAAAAATAAATAAAACAAGTTGGAAATTATTTGGCTTAGACTACGAGCAATCTCTCCTTTTCGGAGAGGTTGGCCGCGCGAGTCAAAAAAAAAAAAAAAATTAGCGAAAACGGAAAAGATGATGATAGCGCGCCCGAGTTCCGCTTGGTTCGCCAACCTTAAATTTTTCTGCGCTGACTTTTGTTACTCGTGCGACGGTCTTCACCGAATAGAAGGAACTGTTCCTAGTCCATAATTGGCTACAACAACATAACTGGTGATGACTGAGGATTTCCGGGTGTCGAGTCGTAACTCAGTCGTCTTTGTTGTTCATAGTCGTCACGCAACACAGAATGGCGTGACGACACTGAATTGCGTTAAGGAAACAAGAAACGACTGCGAGAAAGACCACTACTATTAACAGAGGGAAATAATTTCTTCTCCACTTTTTTTAAATCCAATTATTTCCTCATTTTCATTCTCGTATGTTTTTCTGTTGCTGAACTGAAGCGACTTTGAGTTGCGGGTGGTTAAAAATTTTTTCAAGTAATTGAAAATTTTCCAATTATCAATGCCCATTCTACTTCGCCAGGATTAACCTTATGTCTGGTAATAAAAATATTTTAATCACCAACCAGGATCATCATTTTCAATTTCGATCTGCTTCATATCAAAATTAACCGACCAATCATTTGTGATTATTTGTCTTAGTACTCAAAACATTGTTCAAGCCATTAAGAAATTTAATGCGCGTCATTGAGTAAATACTTAGATACGCTTAGAAATTTGTGTTTCTGGTGCAGTTGGTGAACGAAGCTTTGGAAACGTTGGGAAAGGTTACGCAACCGTAAAAATCAGCGAGATTTTCACTTAATACTCAAAGCAATGGCGACGTTGCAGCGGCCTAAAGCAGTAAAGAGGTTAAGCTGGCAGGACTTGTCTCTTGACAGCCCGAGAATTCAGTTAACAAGACGAATCGTGCAGCTACAAGGAAACAAAACGTCTGCTGACATTCTCGAACAAGCAAAGCAAATATGTAATGATTATATTGAAGCTAAACTTGAGCGCGAAGGCTTCAAAAATCGAAGCTGGTCTTTCACCTTCTCCAATTCAGCACCGCGTCAAGAGAGCGGTGAGATGGTTTCTCAAGTATCAATCCGTGTGCGGGAAGTTGGTAGACTCCTTGAACAGAGCTATCCCCGTTTATACAAAGATATTTCTGGCCGTATTAATGTCCCTTTTAACAGCGAAAACACCGTTCATGATGTATTTAATAATGTTTCGTCGGAAATCTTGAGCGATGGATTAAATTGGGCGAGAATTGTTGCTCTGTATGCGTTCGCTGGTGCGCTCGTTGCTGAATGTTGCAAAGAGGGTCGCAATTCTTACGTGCTGGAAATCGGAAACTGGATGTACGAATTTGCAGCTCTTTACATGGTGGATTGGATCAAAAGTAAAGGTGGATGGGTAAGATTAAGATATTTCATGTTCACAAAATGATCATTTAGCAAGAATAATGAAGTTTAATGTCTTCTAAAACGCTACGTCGATGTGTTTTACCACAGTTGTTTCCTTTAAAATAAACAATACGAGCAACCAAGCTGGCAACCTCAAGCAATCTTGTTCGTTTTCAAAATTGTATTGGCTTTCTAACCATGCGATGGTAATGGTTACTAAAACTATAATTACACAATTTGTATTGTGTGTAAGTGCTTCTTTACATATCAAAGTATTATTTAAAGAATTAAGCGCGCATGATTAAGCTTCTGATGAAAACTCTTTTGTTTACACGAACTTTCTATTTAAATTGATGGTGGTCTCTAAGATCTATGATATGGAAGGCTAGATAAACATTCAGGTCTTAAACTCTTGACCTCAGTGCTGATGCCGAATACAGAGAACTATTGTATGCGCAAAGTTATTGAAGTTCCGTGAAAGTGTCCACGACTCGACTGAAGATGAAACAAATTATTCTCTTTTCAACCGTGACAATATCATTGATCTGTTTTGTATTCATTCATAAAATACGCTTAAAGAGGCTGAAAATATGTCCAGGAGTCTTTTTGTTTGAGCCACTCTGATTTCCGCATTTACATTTTTCCAAAGGTTAATCTTCCGCCAACTTGTTACTTCTTTGACGTCATCAAAAAAAATTGATGCAGGGGCTTTCAAAAAATAACCTGTTAAGTCAGTCTCCACAAGTCACACCAAGAGAATAGAAACTGCAGTTGGTAATTTCTTGGTCAAACTAGATACCCAATGTATCGTGACTGCTCCAACACATATTTAAGAGTTGTGCAAGGCAAAGGATCCAAGCAGTTTGGCTTCGCAGGAGACACGTAAAAGACTTAGACCTTGGCATCGATCTCAATCTTTAATTCTCTTTGGCTGATAAGTCATTAACATCAAAGTAAAAATTCAAGAGTGGCTAGTAGCAATTTATGTCCAAATTCTGGTACAAATATGTCATTAAGTATCTATCTGTTTGAATTCAAAACTCTTTAGGGTATTTCGATCTGTAATGTAAACAATGCAAACAAAGCCCAGCTTTTTAGAACCGGCAACTACTAATAGAAACGCCCCCTTGGATTTGAGCTCTAGCTGATCGAGGTAATTTGTTGTGCTCACAGTCCTTCTTTCCACTTAGCCAGCTGTTTTAACGATTTGCTGTATTTACAGCCTGCCGCAAAAACTGACAGGATTTGGGGAGGGAGGTTATACTTACAATGGAAGAACCGGAAAAGAAGGAATACGCGGTCTAGTCGCTCAGTGTCATAGAAATTAGCCAGTTCCGGGCGTTGAGTCAGTAAAACGAAGCGATATATTAACAGGTGCAATTGAAGCGGAGGAGTGAAAAAAACGAGGGGGGTACGAGATTAGGTGGACCAGATATCCCTCGTTTTTGCTCTGTTGCTTTTACTTTTACGGCGCCTTTTACTTTCATTAGCTGAACGCCTGGAACAGGCTACACAGAATCAGACAGGCTTTGGCAAGAATGAGCCCTCTGGTTCGTTTACTGAGTTATCTATTCGCTTGTTTTGACAGGGAGACCTCTTACGAGCTTTCCCGAGCTTAACACCGACTGGTTTGGGAACGTCGATCGATGTTCAAGCTACTCAGTGGTACAGTTGGTTAGTGATGGCTGTTAGGGCGTGGTGTGAGACGGCTTTTGAGTTCCTGGAATACTGCTTCAAAGCTTACATGGAAAGAGTGCGGAAAATGAATACTGGCTCTCGTAAAATAAGCCACTGATAAATAAATAAACTGTGTAACATCTAGAAAATTGGAAAAAATAGAAATTTTTCGAAAAGGCCGAATCATGGATGATGGCTTTGATAATAATTTACGGTTTATTTTCTTATCAAAATTTCTAGAGTATTGCGAAGTAAAAATAAAAAAATCCTTTTTAAATGTTATTAACAATATTGACAGTGACCTGGTGGGTTGATGTCACGTACATTGTGTTCAAGTCCCAACCTCCCGTGCATCACTGTACGTCCCACAGATCGTGAGCTGCGTTCAACGCCTCAGCTTCGTTCTTAAACTGCCAGCCTCTCACCATTTTAGGTAGGGTACATGAACTGTGAAAGTTCTGTGTATCGCAACAAATAATTCAACTTAAATGGCAAGACCTTTAATCTCGTGCTTGATTTATAGACTCCCAGGAATTAACCCCTAACGCTAAAAGCACCAAACGGACCTGTTCACCTTACATTTTAGCGCGCCGGCGGAACTCTGAGAGCAAGGCATACAGAAACGTTGTGCTCTTCTTTCCCAGAGTTCTACGCGGCGTGTTAACATCAGTTTGTTTTCTTCACTCTTTTTTTTTTTTCACTAGCGCGATGGACTTCGCCGGAAAGGAACGACTGCTCGTGGTCTAGAACCGTAAGTTTCTCAGCGCGTTGCAACCAGTGAACAATCACAAATTGACAATATTTACAAGACTGCATTAGTTGTAATTGTTTAATGAAGCAGGTTACAGTTGATCCTTCAGAGTGAGTAAGGATTTTAGTATACTAAATAGAATGCCGTTCTTACAGAAGAAAGAATTAAAAAAATCCGCGCAATCTCTCCTATTCAATTAAACTATGTTCCTCAAAATTAGTCAGATTGGTGAGGTACTGCACGAAAATGAATGGTTACCAAGAGATTTCTACCTGATATTGTAAATGACTGTGCCCTCAAAACATGACAGTTTTTCGATTCCTCGTAATACATTTTGTTATTTCGTTAATTCAGTTAAAACGCTCGGACCAAGTAGTTTGTTCCATCTCCTTCCAGCCATTGTGTTCCTACATTTAGTTCTTCTCAACAATTAAAGAACGCTTCGAGCTGCTTACTGCTGAAACCAGATTGCCACTTCAATATTCAAGTCTCTGAGATGATAAGATTTTTTAAAACTATGATCCCTAACATTTTGAACATTGCAACAGCCTTGCACCTCAACCCAAAGACAAAATTTGTTGAACGACCCATTCCAAAGTAATTGGAATTCTACCAATCAACACATACATTACTTATTAAGGCTGATGTCACGGTTAAACGTCAATCAATCATCATACCTAACGACTGGATTGAAAAGGAACAAAAAAACTAGAAGCTAGAGTTGGGCTTATATATGCTACTTTTGATGATATGGCTTTGAAGCGAGACTAACGATAATTGTTACAAGTGTTACTCAATTACAAGTTTACTAAGAAACTGCAATGCTAATCCTTTACGAGAGGTGTTTGCTTCAATTGCAAGAAAATTGATCGCATACGCGATACATCCTTAGTATTTTTTGTTCCCTTCGGATTAAAGTCGCAGTTGCGGCACACTCGTTCCCAGTCATGACCAGGAGTTGAGCTGTCATCTCGGTCTGCTACAAAGGCTTCTTCATCTGCCCTGTAAACGAAAATTTCCCCAAGACTTTGAGTATAACTAAACTAAAGTTTGTCAAGAAATCTGTAATCTATCTTCTTCTCGACCTTACCAAACAAAACACAGAGATAAAAAAAAACTTTCGGTTACTTTCTCAGTATACCTTCCACAGCATTATGAAAAATAAACACCATTTCAAATGGATATAAAGCTTTAGAGGTACACACATTTTTTTTAATTACTGTAATATGTGTTTAACTGTCAGTGAAATTACTGGAACAGTCTAATTGGTGGAATGTGATGTTATTTGGTACAAACTTTTGTAAAATAACAATTCTTCTACAAATTAAAAAACTAATGTTACTTGATAAAAAGAGTGAAATTAAGAAATACAAATTAGCTTCAAGATTTATCAAGAAACATAGCAGTTGAGAGAGATCTGACAATAGAACCAAAGAAGTGTTTGTTGACTTTAGCTGTCTAAGACAATAATACCTGTTGCTTGTTTGTGTTTTTCCTAACTGTTCATCTCGTCTCTCATACCAGTCGTTCAGTTCCTTCTTAGCTTTTTCACGCCATTCTTGTATTTCTGCTTTTTCTTCTGTATCCATTTTCTCAAGAAGGGCTGCTTTTTCTTCCCTCCATTTTCTGTAACAATGTACATTGATACATTAAAGAAACAATCAAGAATATCTTAGTTAAAGAGTGCATTTAAGACCATCACAGTCACTGAAAATATAAAAACACAATAATTTCTTTCAAAGGATTCTCTCATGTATTTCTTTAAATGGTAAAGCTAAAACCTATTGTTGGACAACGGTCAAGGCCTTTATCAGAAGACATACATTCCCTACCAAGACCAGTAGATGTGGTGCATGTGCAGATTTTCCTGTTCACAAGAATTAAAACCACACCTCTCAGGGGAAGAGAGGGTGTGGCAGTTATCACTTGAAGGTTACTCTTGCACCGATTTAGCATGTGCTAAGCTTGAAATGTCACTATTGGACAATCAGCTATTTATGGTGCTCCTGAAGAAGTGCCAAATTCCAAACCTTGCAATATTCTTATTGATGTCAGCTTTTGTTGGTAAATATTAAACAACTGAAGGTCTGAAGTCCAAGCCATACCTTACAGACTCTGGTTCAGAATCTCTTGCAAGGGGTACAGCAGGCTGGTGATCACCTGAAATCTGTAGATAAGAATCAAGAGTTACCAACATAGTCAACCAGTCAACACAGTGGAATAACTTGAATAACTGATAGCCAGGTTCAGAACACTTTTTCCAGTGCTCGACTACCTGTATTATTTTCTGTAATCAGTGAATCAGCTATTCCTAGGTTTTCTTGAATCAAATACCTTATCAACATAGCAAATTCCAATTGAATGTCAAAAGTATTTCAAAATTGCTTTGGTTTTATTTCAATTTACTTGATTAGTTGAGAGACCTTGCAGCCCTTTCAACAAAACATTTGTAGACCAAAACCAATTGCTTGGTCAATGGACAATTTCCAAGATCTTGCCTTTCAGTGATCTGGTACCAAAATTTCAGCAGAAGTTATACATCCCAGCATTCAAAATTTAAGGTACTAGCAATTTGCTCTCTCTTGTTTGTAGCTTCTCCTTGAACAGTATTTTGTAGTCTATGGCAGAAGGAGGTAATTTGATCTGCTTATTTGCTGCAGCTTCCTTGTATAAATCAACCAGTTCTACTTTTTTAACTGAATGTCTCTCTCCATGCTGATTTTCAAGAATTTTGTGCTCATTTTCACCACCACAGCCTCCTTATTCTATATACCCATAAGAGTGACTTTGCACTTAGCACTGTTCTTGTCCCTTAATTTCAGCGTCAGATCACTGAACCACACAAACTTAGTAATGGTCATTGCGTTTCCTCCCAATTTTCTCATCAGCTAATTACAATGTTAACCCCAATTTTTCTTATTGGCTGCTGTGATCACATTGGTATGAGTTTTATTTCACTCAACTGAAAACTGCTCTATTATCAGGTAATTTAGTGTTAACAACTGGGTTGAAAACGTAAATTAGCCACCGTAAAAGGTAAAAAAGCTGACGTTTTGAGCGTTAGCCCTTCATCAATCACTCTTACGAAGGGCTAACGCTCGAAACGTCAGCTTTTTTACCCTTTATAGTGGCTAATTTAAGTTTTCTACCCAGTTGTTAACACTAAATTACCTACTATACTCTCTCACTGACGCAGCACCACAGTTTCTTTAGAAACTTACCCCTTTGCTCTATTACCACTTAAGTTCACAGAATACCAAGGAGCCCTTTACAATTGAAGTAATTAAGAGTGGGACCAGCAGACTATTGGTTTACAGGAAAGCTTGAAAAATTACTTATTGTAAAGAAATTAATTCAAAATGACCACTAGAAGCATTCTTTAAAATTACTTCTTCATCAGCAAATCCATTAACAACCGGCTGATGATCCATTCCCCCTAATCCATCATGAAGTCCATTCATTGCCTGTAAAAGAAAACCAAGTATTTGTAATTTTGTGGTTTCATGCTAAGACAAATCTCTTGCAGACAATTCATGTTTACTAGTCGTGTAGTCCTTTTAAACCTCCAGTATTACCTGGACAAAGAAGATCGATATAATGTCACCCTGATCAATTCTCTTGAAGGCACTCATGGGTTTGCCATGGTCGTGGCACCCCTGCACCCTAACATGTTATTTATTTATTTCTTTCTTGTTCATCTTGTTCTCTTCATTACTTTTCTCCCTAAAACAAAACCACTAACGAGTTTTCATCAAACGAAAGACATTCCCCGCGCTCATAAAATGCCAAACTTAACTACATCAACCGGAATTTTGACGTTATATTAAAGTTTCACATGAAATGACAAATTAGGCGAATTAAATTTTGAAAATTTTCCGACCGCCTCACCCCCCCTTTTTTGGATTCTAGGCCTTTCAAACTTGTGTTAGTGTGAAGGAAAGATCAAATGATTCATCCTTCGAATTTGAAAGCAGCTCTTTCGTGTCAAATAGCAAAGTTAGATTAGATTAAAGTGTTGAGCCAAAAAGAAAAACAAAGCAAATGGAGAAAATTAAAATGGCTCCTGTTAAGATGATTCCTTACTCAACAGTAAGTAACCGACGGTCCAAACCTCCGTTGACGCCTTCCGACTTAAACATGACAAAACTAAAGATCATGTTCTCTACAATATCACAAACCGACAGTAGAAATGGCACTAAATACGGCTAAAACTAAGATTCCGAGGAGCTTACATTAGCTTCTGGCTGTTCTTCACCGAAATCTTCTCCAAGCTCGGCGAGATCATCTTGTTCTCTGGCCAAAAATTCGGCTGCTGGATCTTCCTGAAAGTCGTCACTGCCCAAAAGATCCGCCATGATGGTACCGGAATGACTCGTGTAAGGCACAAATGTCCCGGATATTGTTTCAACTATATTCCCTTGGGACCCTGGGATTGTTCGCTGGCGTGATGCCCTATGGGTAACTTCTTGCGTCATGACAGTCACTCGGTCCACATCGAGAAAATGGTGGGTTATTATTCTTCGCTTTTTCATGGTGATCTCTGCGGGCCATTTATTAATATGATGTTGTTTTCACTTTTCCTTAGACTACACTCGTATTAGCAGGGCTTGGAGTCGCTGGAGCGGCGATAGCAGGTTTGTTTTATGGCAGAAAAGCATCAATAACTTGACATATGTGATTTGAACGTGTTGCATAATTCCTGATAGAGGACTTCTTTCGTATTTCAGGCCGTTTTGCCATGCAGGCGTTAAGAAAAGTTAACTTAAATGAGATACCTAAGATTATCCCTAAGATACCGGTAAGTAGTGTTAAGAACAGATGGGAAGTCCTTCATGATAAAGTTACGTGTTTGTTTAGTTCACGAAACCAGTATTGCACTCAGTTGGCCCTTGTCAGCGAGAATCTCAATTTATGTTTGATTTCTTAACCTGGTGGTCATTAATATGAGTATCAAGTGATGTTACTGTATTATTAATTAGAATTATTTTAAAAATACTGTATATTTAATACAGTATTTTTAATGTCAATTAAAATTGGGGAGAAAAGCATCATGTGCCAAAGTAATCACACTAATTCTCCCTAGCTTTTCTACTTGTAAACTGTTGTAAGAAGATTGTATTTTCATATTTACAGTAAAACTCTAGGTTCCTTTTTTTCAAGGACCAAGTAACCCTTTCATCAGACAGATACCAATGTTCACAAAATTTACTACATGATGGATAATTGTTGTAAAACAAAAGGAATGCATTGGTGTATAGTTAGAGGTGAAAATTTTAGCTTGGTGAAAAAAAAAAAAATGCCTGTGATCTTAACTACTGAGGTTTCCACCAATTGCATTACATAGCTTTCTTTAGAAAATTCAAGGCAGTCAGGGAATATTCTACAGAAAACAACTTAAAACAGCTCAGACAGTTTTCAGTTTGAGTCCTCCACCCTTCCCCCTCACTCCCCTCTTTTCTTCCTTCCCTCTGAGGAACTAACTGGAATATGCTGATGATGTACTTTTGAGATAAATATTTTCCACATTTTATATATTTCTTTACAAACAGGAGTTTAGTCATTATTACAGAGGAGGATTTGAACCTAAAATGACCAAAAGAGAAGCTGGTTTAGTTCTGGGAATTAGGTACAAAAACAGTTCAGTTTGATGTACATTAATTTCTATGTTATTTGTCATGAAATCATAAAGGATGAATTGGCTGGCTGTCAATGTAATAAACAAATTATCATTTCTATGATAATACGGTGAGAATAAATTTAGATTGGTTTTCCTTGTAATCTTGCTTAAGGGAAGAAATTATAGAGGTGAACTTGCAAGACAGAGCGTAATACAAGCACAAGAAGGTTGAATTATATTTCAATAGTAATTTTAGGTGTCTAAGAAATGTGAGTACATTTATCTCATTCTGCAGTCCTTCAGCAAGCAAGGCCAAAGTCAGAGAGGCACATAGAAGAATAATGTTGATAAATCACCCTGACAGAGGTAAATTTAACAATTGTATTCTACTGAGGTGTAATCAACCAAAAATGCAAACATTACTCTGTTGAATTTGAGTAGAGGTGAGATTTAATGTCAAAGTTTGGCGTATTAAAAACTCCCTTTGGTGGGGCATCATATGAAACTAGGAAGGCAAGAAAAGTTTGCAAACTACTTTTTTTAAACTTGTGTGTAAAATTTAACCAACATAGACTTAAAAACTAAATATGTATTCTTAATCTATCTTGCAGGAGGCTCCCCATATCTTGCTGCAAAAATTAATGAAGCAAAAGATCTTCTTGATGGAAATGGCAAGTGATAGCAACAGCCTCATATGATAGAGTTAGAACTTTCAACTAGAGCTAGAAAAGATGACCCGAGGACAGTGTTACAAAAAGTCTTCAATCAAGACTTCATGTAATACTCCAAATGACAGACTCTTGGAGACAACAACCAAAAGCAAATATAAATTTGAATAACTTTAACTTTGTCAAGAATTCCTAAAGGGTCAACCTTGACCCGAGTCCCAACAGCATTATTAAACATGCAGTTAAGAATCTCACAGAGCACTTGACTGCATTGCTTTGTCAAGAACCGAACTTCCAAGACATATTCTCCATTAGATAACAGATACGGTAATGCAGCATGCCAATTGTTAATAATTTTTTTGGAAATTGAGAATTTCATAAAGGAGCAGTAAAACAGAGACGATAAAATACTGTCCAAAATTACCCCTTTAGCAAAATGAACACTGTATTGTAAATAAAGGTTTTATTCATATATCATATTTGCTGGTTATATTTTGTCCACACCTCTTTCCAACTTACTGTTCTCCTTGTTAAATTCATGATTGTAATTTTATAGATCATCATTACTTACCAAAAGTATTATCATGATATTTATTTCCAGCCCAGTTCAAAGTTAAATTGTGCTTAATATTATACGGGACCATTTCCCCTCTGATTTATGAAAATAAATAGTCACTGATAGAAAATAGATAACAATTGAATGCCACCAATTTGTACAAGGAGTTTTTGGCAGTACATACCACATCAAATTTAGAGTAGCAAGAGGAAGGAGGCCATGAATTTTAATTGAAGAATTCAAAGCAAAATCAACATCTGAAGCACTTAGATTTCTCTCATTCATAGTTCTCTTTTTTGTTTTTTAATTACTATAACCTTTTTGGTTTTTTTGTGATTTTTTTGGTTGTGATTTTTATTTTCTATTTTCTACTTACTGTATATTTTAAAAACTAATGACATCACCCTTATGTTACTTCACTATTTCCACCTCTAATACCTTTGAATTACCCCTATCCCATGTTCAAACACCTTCCTGTAACTATGTTAAATCAACTGCAAATAAATGTCTTAGTTAGAACTTTAAAATTTTGAATCTGAGCTTGTAACCCTTGTAGATATCACTTGCTTCAGGAACAACTCCCAAGAGTTGTTGCACAATCTTAGATGATTAAATGCAAGGTGCAACAGAAAATCATTCACGCCTCTGCCACTCAGGGTGCTCTTGTAGTAGACGTTGACTGACCTCTGAATCTCCGACTTCTGAAAGAGAAAATGAACAGGCTTACTTCATAATCTAATCTGCGCAGAGGTGTTGCAATACACATTAGTTTGAAGAGGAGAGTGGTTATGAAAGAATACAGAAATCAAAAGTTAAACAATGCTGTTACATTTTTGTCTGAGAGCTCCTTGATTGTTCACAATATTTTGGTTACTCGTCAGGCATAATGACTGCATAAAGTAGTGGATTTATTTCAATAGAGAGTTAATTTGGCATGATGGAATGCTTTGTTGTGCACAGTTATGTCCAAAGAACAAACAAAAAACTGAAAACAAGAAAAATTTTTGAGTTTCGAAACCAATCGTATTTCACAAGCGTGGTGTGGCAGCTCACAGTGTAGCCAGGTTCCTTAATGAGCCACCAGAAGTCCTTGTTCTGGCTTGGGGTTTGTCAAGATCTATGACTGAAATTTGTGCTCAGTTTAGCTTGGCTATTTACCTGATGATTCTAGTGGATAGAGATGAAGTTTTCGCAGAACGTTTGCTATATTCTCAACTTCGTTTTTTCTTTTCTCACCAACCCAAGCATTATTTTTATTGCAGTACTCCAGAAGTCTGAAAATATACATTCATAAAAGTAAACACATCTTTCAAGTAAACCAGTTGACAGTTGGGCAACAGTCGTTAGAGGGGAGCTGTTCTTCACAACTACTTAAAACAAGTATCTAATGACTGATAGATCACCTGACTGACTGACTGACTAACTATTTAACTTAAACCAAGCAAACACACTTGATTCGATAGTCATTTAACGTTGCCAGACAATTCGCTGTTAAAACAGCTCATTCTCATTGAGAATGATTCTCATTCCAAGGTACGAAATGTCAGTAGCATTTAGTAGAGTTAAACATTTCTCTTATTATTCCTTACGTAAAACAAACTTGCAACTAACCTTGTCCAGTTTTCATCCATGCTAAGCATGTCTGGGTTTCCTATCACAATCAGGAGAGCTTGGGCACGAGTTACAGCCACGTTGAATCGCTAAAAGGGACATTTCACGTTAGTACCGTGCGTTTGTCTTTTTGTTCGCTGACAATTTTTTCTTCTTCTTACGTACATACATTTTATTACTTGGATTTGTCTTAACAAGTTTTCATGCGCCCACAGTTAGCTTGAGTGCCATTCTTAGTGAGTCGAATGTTAGACGTGAAAGCTCATTATAATCTTATAATTTTGTTAATAGGACAAACTTACTGTGACAGAATAAGTACAATTACAATATAATTTAGGACTAAATAAGGATATTACATGTTGGCAACTAAAAAAACGCTAGAATTTAAAACGTTTCAGAAAAGCTCGCCTTTTGAATGATTTGTTGAGTGTCAATATATGACACTGTTTTTTGTCTCTATGTACGATATTGAAGGTTATAGCAGTATAGATAGTAAATCGCTGTCTAAATACCTTCGGGTTGTTGAGGAATCCAAGGTGAAATTCCTTGTCCATGTCAAGATAATCTTTGTTAGTGCTCCTAACAGTTGACAAGATGATCACTCTGCGTTCTTGTCCCTGGAATTCTTCCACACTGCCGACTTTGATTCCTGAACCGAGTCGTCTCTTTTCAATCATCTTCTGAATCTTTTGCACCTAACAAACAAGAGAATTTGAGATTGTCTTGAGAAAAAAAAGTTGTATCCTCTGCCTTTTCTCCTGAGGAGAAAAGGAAAGTTACATTTTTGTTCAAGAATTGGTTCAGTAAATTTTAGAAATAGCATGCGGAAATTGTCTGAGAGAGTGCTTGTATCGTAAGCTACAAATTTACTTTTCAAGCAGAGAAGGTTTTGATTCTGTTCAACAAGTTGTTCAGTTGTATGATGCTTATCTGTGACAACGATTTCGTTGTCTTTAGAACTATAGAGGAAAATGAAAAAAACGGTTTGTTCTTTGTCAAAAACGGTCATAGATAAAATGCGGCGTTTATGTAATTGACCTACTTGTTTCTTGTAGGGTGAAATGATTCCAACCATCTCAGGTTTAAGGTGCATCAACCGTTTGCTTCTCTCTCTGTCGTCCAAAAGTTTCTTCAGGTACAATTCCACGGTTTCCACCTCAGTCACGTTAAAGAACGAAGGGCTGTTCTCTTCTCGTTCGTCTTTGCCATACACCGCGTGGAAGATCATCGGAAATTGCTTATTCGGCAGCTCCTCCCAATTTAGCATAATGTTCCTGTGGTCAAAAGTTACCCTTTTTAATCAAAACACCTTAATCAAATATGAGATGCTAAGTCAGTTGGTAAGCCTGATCATTCCGCCGGCCACTCTGCCTGCCTCAGTCAGTCGGTCTGTCTGTCAGTCAGTCAGTCAGTTCCTAAACAGAAGAGATGGAGATGGAGCAAGGGAGTGTGCCATAGTGGCTGGGTCCCCTTCAGTGGCTGGGTCCCCTTCAGTGGCTGGAAAATGAATAGGAAACACCTCAAAAAAAACATTCAATGTTCATATCACAAAAGAGACTGGTGGGGTTATATTAACCCTTTACATCCTAACATCAGTATGCATATTCTCCATACTGTTCATCATACATTTCTTATGGTGCTGACAAGGAGAATTTGTTTAACGATCAAGAGCTTCTTTAGTCGGTGATCGCTTCCTTTATTCTTGTGACCTTCACGTGTGATTCAGGGGAGATATTGCGAAGAGAAATTAGATGTTAGTCACTCTCAGGGGTGAGAGGGTTAAGAGAAGCCAAGTGTTTATTAATAATTTCGTTACTTGTCTCACCTAAAATCCCCTGCGCATTCATTTAACTCATCGTCATAAAATAGTTTTTTGGGAATCTCGATGATGTCTCTGTGTGAGCGATAGTTGTTGACGAGTTTTGTTAAAAGATTTGGATCGTAGTTTGGGTTTCGCCAGTACGTGTTGCATGACGTCATCAATCTCTCCAAAAGGGAAATGCCTGAAAATGAAATAGATAGATTTTATCGTAACCAGGTGTTAATGTAAATTTAGAGCAGTTGAGGCCATTAAAATATATAATGCATTGGCTAGGAAAGCTTGCTGAGCTTTCCGAGTCAAAAAAGTTTCTGCGAAGGTGACAGAAAATCAATCTGGCCTTTTTTTGTCTACGAGCATCGGAAAGAAGACAGCAAATCGGTGGGCCGACAAAGGTCCAAAGATACACAAGTGCTACAAGATAGCAACGTCTTTGCAAAAAACAGGACATTGCATTATTAATGAAATATCGCATGAAAATATTTCTTAATTACTCGCTGCTTGAGACAACTACGAGCTCAGCTTCAGAAAATAGCCGTGAATTTGATTACGCGTCTGTATACCACATAACGATGATTCCACGATTTTCCTTTAATACCATTAACCACACTTGTTTGGCGCTCGTTTTGAAATCAAGATTTAAACGAGACTTTCATATCTTCTCCGAAGTGCAGTTGATAGAGCATGTAACAGCGACATCGAAGGATCTGAGGTTTGTTTTAATCCTTTTTGAGCTCCATGTATTTTAATACCCACCGAGGCCATAGTCCTGTGTTTTCTTGCACCTAAGGATTGGTCCCAACTGCTTAGGGTCTCCCGCAAGCACAAGCTGACCGCCCCTATGGTTATCAGGGTCCAGGAGGTCCGCCACAGGAATGATGCACTCAGGTTCTGTTGCATGACCCGCTTCGTCTATGAAAATGTGCGTGAAATGATGTCGAGGGAATGATGCAGAAACCAACCTGAAAAAACGCATAGAAGAAAATGATGACTGCTTGAAGTATCCGTGACAATCCCTTCCAGTTTTGCTTTGACTCTCAATTAAGACCAATTAATGGAAAATATGGTTACCCTATCTCACCCCAACGAGTAGCGTAGGACATCAGAGAAGGTAATTTTCTTCTTTCCTATTTTCTAGTCATTTGCTTCTAGGCACTTTAGAGTGCTAAGATCTTATAGCTTACCTTCCTGCCGTTACCAAAGTAGTAACAATTATGCGATAGTTTTCCGTCAATTCCTCCTTTGAGGGATAATACACTTCGCGCGTCACTCGGTCAAAATTCACCACTTGGGCGTCCTGAAAATTGCCATACCTTACATAAATTAAACGAACCACAAAGTACAAGTGTGAACTGTCGGTCACCCTTTGGAGGAACCAGCGACGTGAAATAGCTTTAAAAACTTCAAACAGATTTGCCACTTTAAAATGTGCAAATAAAAACGGAAGTTCAGTAAAGTCATCCCATCTAGTTGAAAGCACAAAAATTTATCTCAGGGCGATGATAAGCGTTTGAACGTTACTAGATTTATCATTTCTATTTCATACATTTGCGGTCATCACGTTACTCTACACTAACTCACTGACCCGCCCAGGATCAGCAGAGAGAGGGTTATTTTCAAAGCCGCATTTTCTGTTATTCAAACAGAACTAAGCAGAAAAGTTTTCGGAACTTTAGGTGTTGTCTTCAGGATTTATTTCCGCATTGTGTTTGAAGAACCCTACCTTGAGAGGTTGTGACACGAATTCCCAAGGTCTTGATGCAGCATACATCCT